AAGCCATGGGGCATCGCCATGGCCCATGGGGCAATCTGTGCACAGCTCCCAGACCTGAACCACAAGACAAATATGTCACGCACATAGGCGTAAACACGTCGCCCAAATCTCGCCGGAAAAAAAAGGAAGGCATTCTCCAAAACCCTCCTTTTCTGATTCTGTTTCATGTTTTGTCTACCCCCCAGGCTAGAAACTCGTTTTGGAAGAGACCCCAGAAATCACCGAACACCGCTCTTGTCAGAGCTTCATGTCGTCACTGTTGGGTAACACAAAGGCGGAAGAGCCCTTGGGCAGGCCTATCGCCAACCTTTTGTTTTCTGGCGCCAAGACCACAGCTGTGGACATTTCTCCGAGTGGTTTCCTTTGGTTTGGTGCTGTGTTGTGACATAGATAGTGATCAGTGCCCAGAAATGGGCGCTCTTCGTGGGGTACACCCTTGTGACTCCCCGGACTCTGTAGATATTTCCGCAATGAACCCCAGATGAATGAACCCCCTCGATTTTGATCGGGGGGTGTCCCAAGTCGTTTAGGCGATTCAAAACAGCATGCTTGACTCCCCTAGTGGCGTGAGCGGCGACAAAGCCATGCACAAGCCTTGTGGCTACCCTTTTCAACCCAAGAGAAGGGGCCGGAGCTAAGGGCCTCGGATATACAGCCCCTCAGTGTCGGTGTGGCGGGTCGGGGAGCTTTCAAGACTTGAGCGCAGTCCTCAAAGGGAGCCGCTTGAAGCACTGCCTGGAGCGAAATTTCGCAGGGAGAAGGCCGCGATAAAACTTTGAGACTCCAAGCAATTCAAATGGGACCTGACCGGGTGGGTTTTGAAGGAAACCCCAAAGGAAAATACCTATTCTCCTACCAAGTGGCGTATCACAGGCGGGGCTCCTGGAAGATCACATTCCTTTTAAATGGAGCCCCGAACGTCAGGTTCCATGTTAATTGGTGTGAGGGTAAGCCATGATGAAACAACCCACAGCAGGGGGATTGAACAGGGGCTGCCCGGATTTCCGCGAGTCCAACATGGATCACTTTGCTGGTGGAAACCCATTGAAACCATCGATCCAATGTTGGAGGTTCCCTTAAAAGGGCATGGTATCCCTATGCTTTGAGGTACCCAGGGGGCAGCTCCCAAAGGGAACCACCCACCGAGGAATGAGGGTACTGAAGAAGCCCAAAGCACAAAAGCAAAAGAGAAAAACAAAAAACATGGTACTCTCCCAACAGAAGGCAGCTGTGGCAGGGTACCTGTAAGATAAACTTCCAGGGGCTATTCCCGGTGCCCCACATGCTGGAGTGTTTGCAAGTTGCAGTGCTCGAGTGGAAATTCACGGAGCCCGCCCTTTGGATCCAATCTATTTGGGGAACATCCCTGTGTTTGTCTGGCATCATTCTATTTCGTGACACTTATTCGACATCGGTCCAGTAGAACACGGGGAAGAAAGAATCTCCCTCGCCACGCAAGCTATGGAGATGCTAAGCATGGTGAAGGATCAAAAGTTTCACCAATCTCCGGATGGAACGGTCCCCTTCACTTACCCAGGTTTCAACAGTGGCTCCTTCGGCGAAGAATGGGGACAGGTCACCGCATTTTTGCGGGATGAAGAAACCGGTTCGGGGTTTGGAACCGTCGACCACAATTTATTTAGGCAAGTTGTCGATGCAGGGTGTGTGGAAAAAAATCCAAAAAGATGACAAAACCGATGCCAAGATGGTGAGTGCCTTGAAATCTGTACATCAAGAATCACCAAGTTGCTGGCCTTTGGTCTCGAAGGGCTTGCAAGTTGGTTACCCCTGGACATGAAAAAAATGAACCCCAAGGGTACAACAAAATGAGGCTCCTCTCCGGTCGTTTTGTGCCAATGAAGGTTCGGCGCGAGAACGAGGCCATGGCCTGAGCCTGGGAAGTGAAAGCTGTGAGGCTCAAGTGGCGGGGGCGCCTAAGTTTGGATCGGAAGGGAAACCGGGGGCTTGCGACGGCCGGATGAACCTCGCACCTGAACTTGGCGAAAGCCGGGCGGGTTTGCTTTGTGGCGTTTCTAGCCAAGGGCACAAGATTAAAGCTGGGTTCTCCTTGTGGTTTTTCTAGGGGACAAGGGTGGCTTCAAACCACGTCTTGCTCTCTACCCCCAAACTCAACATCTCACTCTCGCGCCGCGCCTCGGAAAGCATCGCCTGAGTTGAGTTTTTCCGGTGGCATGATGACAATCCGTTGGGCTCCGCTGGTGGCAAATGAAATCATTCACAAACCGAAGGGATCCCCACTCTAGACAGATCCACTTCGCAGCTAAGAACCTCTGATAAATTCGCTGTAACCGACAGGCATCGACAGGCACTGGTTCCAAGCATGGAATCAAACTGCTGTGAAATGGATTTCACCCAGTATGAAAGGAACCGGTCAACGAAACCAAAGCCGGCCGCTGAGGAAATGCCCGGATCGTTCGGAATAGGGATGAAATACCGCAGCGTTTTGCCAGGCTTTGTGCTTTACGCTTAAGCGGCTTTCGCTCTCCCAGTTGGTGCTGTTCTGGGACGCCATCCAAAAGCCCAAGAGAAGCCTGATCAAGATAGGCTAGAGACCCGAGACACGCCGACACACCCCGAAATTCCTTTCACACGCACTAGGCTATCCCACCCCTTCTAACTCAAATGCAACCAGCATTTGTACCATGGTGGTTGTTCCCATGTGGTGTTGCCATGTAGTGCCCGCGTGGCTGTATTTGGGGAACCCTTTTTTCTCACCCTCCAAACCTTGTTTTTCAACCCTTCCCTGCTTTTTCAACCCTTCACCCTTTCAATTTAACCCTCCCCCCGGCTTTTTTAACCCTCCCCCTTCTTTTTTAACCCTCCCCCTTTTTTTCTGACCCTCCGCCTCTTCCTTTCAACCCTCCATTTCTTTTTGCCAAGCCTGTGGCGACGCCTGCGGCAACTGCACTAAGCAACGGTTTAGAATTGGGTTGGTTTCGGAGTGGTTTTGGATTTAGGGTTGGTTTAGGGTGGTGGGTTTAGGGTTGGTTTCGGATGGGAAGGGTTTGGGGTTTAGGGTTTAGGGTTAGGGTCGGTTTTGTGTTGGTTTAGGTTGGGCGACCTCAGATTTAAGGCTAGTTTGGGGTAGGATTAGGTTTGTGTAGGAAGGGTTTAGAGGAGGGGTAGGGTTTGTTGAGGGTGGGTTTAGGGTTGGTTCGGGATGGAAAGGGCAAGTTTGTGGTCGGTTTAAGTTTAAGGTTGGTTTCGAGCAGGTCTGTGCTGGGTATATGGTGGGTTCTAAGTTGGATGAGGGTGGGTTTTTGGCTTGGAGAAGTGGTCTACAGTGGGTTTATGACTGGTTTAGGATGGATTTAGGGTTGGCTACGGGTGGGTTTAGAATGGGTTTAGGGTGAGGTCAGGGTTGGGATAAAGGTTGGATTTACATGGTGTTAATTTAGGGTGGGGTTAGGGCTTGTGTCGAAAGGCTTCAGGGTGGATTTGGGTGGATATAGTGTTGGCTTAGAATCTGTTTGAGGTGGGTTTGGGGTCGGCTTCGGGTGTAGGGTTGGATTAGGTTGACTTTGGGTTTGTGTTTGGTTTAGGTGGTCTAGAGTAGGTCTGTGGTGGCTGTAGGGTTGGTTCAGGGCGGGTTTGCGGTGTGTCTATGTCTAGGGTGGCGTTGGGGTTGCGCTAGGGGAGGCTTGGGGTCGCTCAAGGGTGGCTTAGGGTTGATTTGGGGTGGCTTGATTTCAGGTGGGCTTAGGGTTTTTAAGGGTATGTTTTTCGTTGTTTTGGGTTGGATGTAGGTTGGTTCAGGGTTGGTCTGGGATGGTTTAGGGTGGGGTTTGCGGTTGGTTTCGGCTTGGATGTGGATTGGTTTTGCGGTTGGCCTAGGGTTGGCTTCACTGGATTTAGGGTTGGGTCAAGCTCAGCTTAGAGTCTCAGGGTGCGCTTAGAGTTGGATCAGGGTGGATTCATGGTTGGTACGGGGTGGGCTTATGGTTGGTTTAAATGTAGGGCTGGCCCAGGTTGGTTTTTGAGTTTAGTGTGGGTTGCTTTTGCGTGAGTTTAGGGTGGGGGCAAGGTTGGTCTAGGGTTGGTTTTTGCTGGGCTTGACTTTAAGGTTGGTTTTCGGGGTGGTTTGGGATTGGCTAAAGCAGGGTTTAGAGTGGGTTTAGGATTGGTTTAGGGTCGTTTTAGGGTTGAGGGTTGGTTGTGGGTCGGTGGGTCTGTTCAGGGTTTAGGTTGGGCTTGGGGTTGCGTTAAAGCTAGATTAGGGTGAGATTGGGGTTTAGCTGGGTTTAACGGGTGGGTTTATTGTTGGCTTAGGCTGAGCTTAAGGTGTGGGGTGGGATTACGGTTGGATCAAGGTTCGGGCGGGTTTAGAGTTCGTGTAGGGTGGGTTTAGGGTGGGTTCAGGACTGGCTTGTTGGTTTAGGGTTGGCTTAGTTTGTTGATTTCGGGTTGGTTTGGGGTCGGTTTGGGATTGGTTACGGGTGGGTTATGTATGCTTTTGGGTGGTGGTTTCGAGTAGGGGTGGGTTTGGGCGTGTTTGGCTGGTTTGAGATTGAATTAGAGTTTGGCTGGTTTGAGGGTTGGCAAGGTTTGGCTTAGGGCGGGCCTAGGGTTGGTTTGGGTTGGGTTGGGTGCGGGGCGGGCTTGGGTTGTTTTAGGTTTAGGGTGAGCAAAACAAGGTTGCGGGGTGAAACAAGCAAGCTCGCGGGTGAAAAAAACAAGGCGGAGGGTGAAAAAAACAAGGCGGAGGGTGAAAAAAACAAGGCAGAGGGTGAAAAAAACAAGGTGAGGGGTTGAAGAGAAAGGATTTCTCAGGGTTGGAGAAACAAGGTTCCCGCAGACGGTTCCCAAGCAGGGTTTGAGGGTTGAAAAAAAGGAAGGGTGAAAAAAACAACTTCGGAGGGTGAAAAAAACAGGGAGCCCGTTGTATTTGAGTGGCGTTCCCATGATTTTTTAAGCCGACTCCGTTGGGTTGGGTGCATAAGGCCCAGTTAAGGCCCAACCCGCCTAAAAAACGGCAGCTCTCAGGCGCCCGCGGACACCCGAGGGAGAACCTCGGCCGACTTCCGGGCGGGTGAAAAGGCAAGCGGCACACATGGATCAGGAAAACCCATCTCGGGCTTTTATGATGCGGTTAAAACCAGAAAACTGAAAGGGCAATTTTGTGGCTTGGCCCAACGCAACTTTGTTCTTACAGTTGAGTGAAAGATGTCGCAATTTCATCATGGCTTCATCCCCCTTACTTTCATGGGGTTGGTGCCATCCACCAAATCACCCGACGCCGGACTTCTCCGCGCAACATGGCTACCCTTCGGCTGAGGACCTTTTGCGGCCTCACAGGTGCCGTATGGTGCCGTGGTCAAACGACCGGTCCCTCTTGGGGCCAACAGGCTTGGTCTGATTTACCTAGTAAGGATCAGCAACCATTTTTCCCTCTGTCCAACATGGAAGTGGACAGGGGGCTTCCAAAACCCTCCGGTCAGCTTCTAGGACCTCGGCCTACAAGAAACGGAGTTTCGACTCACACTCCCAACAAAACAAGGCATCTCGAGACATGCAGATCGCCTGAAGGAATAGCTTTTTCTCTGTTGTCTTTGGACTGAAGAAAGTGTTGTACGTTTCTTCCTTCGATTTGGCTGAGTTCCCCACCGACCACGCAAGCAACCCACCAACCCGCTATGCCCAAGCAAATAACGAACGAACGAATCACGGCTGTCTTCAAAAGTGAAAGTACTCCAACCAAAGACCATGGCACATCAATCATTTTTGTTTTTGACCTGTGCTCAATTTTTTCTTACTTCATATTTAGAGGCACAGAACCGTAGCAACCCTTTTGGTTCAAGAGATCTGATGGTGAACCCAGGGTACTTCCGGAGAACCGCTGCGGTGGTGCGTCAACAAGAATCGGGTTTTCCAACGCCCCGTCGCGGTTGCTCCGAACCTCAAAGCCAAAAACTTCGCCGAGGGAAGGATACTGGAAGAAACCAAGACATGTTTTGTCACTGGGCTTCGGAGTGGCTCGGAGCACTGAGTGAAAAGGGGAAAGGGCATCCAGTCCTACCTAGCCATGAGCTATAGTCCATCCATCCATCCATCCATCCGTCCGTCCGTCCGTCCGTCCGTCCGTCCCTCCAACCATCCACCCACCCGCCCGCCCGCCCACCCACCCACCCTCCCCTAGTTGCCTTTTCTCAAGCTGCCGACCTTGTCATTGCAGTCACGCCAGCTCAGATCAACAAGGGTGGGTGGGTGGCAAATCAACAAGGCAATTCTGCCAGGCTCAGCAATGTGAGTCAACACGCAAGGAAGGGATAGCAGCTTGCATGGGATAGCAGCTTGCATGATGATGCGATCTGCTAAACATAATGAAATCTGGTCTCCGCAATCCTTCTGGTTGGCATGGTTGACCAATCCCTTGCTATATGGTTAACACAACTAGGGTTCCACCAGCACCAACGACCTCCCTGACGTTTCCCTTTGCACAAGTGCCAGCGTCAGAATGTTGCAGTAAACTTCTGTCAGGAAAGCAAAAGGAATCAGAACCTGTTCTCTACGCTTGGGGTGCTTTTACTTGCGAACCCTGTTTTCGGTCTAAAATCTCTAGCATCTTCAAAAGAACCAGGGTCTGGTTGCTGCCACACATCCTTTGCTTCCTCCAAAAGTGAAGGATTCGAGTAAAATGGAACACTCTCCTATGACTCTGCAAGGTGTTTAACGTTTACCCAATATTAGTCAACCACTGTTTCTTAATAGGGGGACACAACCCCCCCAATTTATTACTATGGGGTCAGCATTCGTGATCTTAGGTCCCCGTTCGCGTGATGAAAAACGGCACGTCCCCACTCGCATGTGCGGGGGTTCCCGGGATCCGCACATGCGCGCGGCGGTATTGCGCCGCCTCGTCCGCCACGTTGCCCTGGCCCCAGGGGAAACGGGTGTGGCTGACAATTAAACAGCCAAAAATGAAAAGGCGGCTGCAACCATTGATGGCTTGTCCCTTACTACCCTCCAATCACCCGGGTTGTGATTGTGACACAGCCAGGGTTGCGCAGGAAGGTGCTATTTTGGGCACATCTTTTTGAGCCACATAATTGGAATCGGGTTGTAGGTGCTTTGAAATTAAGTCACTTCCGATCGCGAGGATGGCCGAAAAAAAGGTTACCATACTTTTGCTTGCCACATAAGTGGTCTTCCCAACAAATGTATACACTCAGGAAGCGAGGCAAATCAAATCATGATCATAAGAGAACAATGAGTGTAACTATCTAGCCCCTGATGATACCCGAATCTTGACACTCCGCAACCTTGTGCTTGACGTCTTCCCAGATTTTCTGTGGCTGTGGAAGACAAGAGACACACTTCTGCTGGTTGGTTGCTGTGAAAGGGACACGAAAGTGCCAATTTGTGCGCACCGGCCTGATCCTGCATGAGCAGTGTAGCCACATGCCGCTCGATCACCTCCTCCACCTCCATGTTGCCCATCTGGAACGAGCCGCGGCTGGCAAAAACCCCGTTGGCATGACCCTGAACAATCAGAGCTTAGCTTGCTCCTTTCAATTGAATTTGTCTACAAAGAGGGAAACCCTCCGCCCAAAACATGTGGTTTCTTTTTGGCATTAAACAGCCAAAAAAAAAACCACAACAAGAATTAATCTGCGACCCAAACATATCAAGCTTTGGTTCTGCCAATCTGGTACAAAGATCTATTCTAGATTGTACACCCCGCGAAACCAGAACCCTTCTCTACATTGGTCAAAAGGGGGCTTTGGGCTCTGCGCATCCCTCACGGGGGATTGCATCGGTCAAAATGGGAGCCTGCGGCCTTTTTTGGCAGGTTCCAGGACGAAAAACTCTCGAACCCTGAAAGCAATCTATTGGGGACCTGAACACCGTTTGGAATGAGATCACTCTTTTTTGTTGCTTCAAAGAGAAAAACAAACCTCCACTTGCTTCAGTCCCCGGGAAAACTTGATCACATATTAGATTCCCTTTACAACCAACAGGGGAAATATATAAATATATTCAAGCACATAGAGGATCAAGGATCAATCCTCTAGGATTCGATTCCAGCCAGGAGCTTTTCTTGGCCCACATCTGGGGTACACAGAACATCCCCAAAATGTAAGACAGTGTTGGAAGAGACCCGGTGGCCATGGGACAAGAAGTTGCCGACACTTTGTCTGTGGTACTTGGTTTTGCAGGAAACCGCGTGATAAAGTGTTGGGACAAGAAGGTGCCCGCACTTTGTTTGTGGTTGAGAAACAACAAGTGGTACTTGTGGTACTTTTGCTTCCCTCCACAAAAACAAACACGCCGGGCACCGGGTGTCAGGGTTTAGCACTTGACGTGTGCTCCCGCGTGGCCTTGCGTGCCAAGCTCAAGGCGGTGATGCCGTCCACTTGCCTCACAGGCCCCCAGGTCGTCCAGGGATTCAACACAAGATCAAAAGCATACGCAAGTACCATGTATGTAAACTTGTATGTACGCATGCATACATGTATGTATGTATACATGTATGTACACATCATGCATACATGTTTGTATGTATGTATGTATACATGTATGTACACATGCATACATGTATGTATAAATGTAAGTGCACATGCATACATGTATGTATGTATGTATGTATGTATGTATGTATGTATGTATGTATGTACACATGTATGTACACATGAATGTACACATGCATACATGTATGTATGTGTGTCTGTATGTATACATGTATGCACACATGCATACATGTATGTGTGTATGTATGTATGTGTGTATGTATGTATGTATGTATGTATGTATGTATGTATGTATGTATGTCTGTATACATATATGCACACATGCATACATGTATGTATGTGTGTCTGTATGTATACATGTATGCACACATGCATACATGTATGTGTGTATGTATGTGTGTATGTATGTATGTATGTATGTATGTATGTATGTATGTATGTATGTATGTATGTATACATATATGCACACATGCATACATGTATGTATACATGTATGTGCACATACATACATGTATGTATGTATGAATGTACACATGCATACAGGTATGTATGTATGAATGTACACATGCATACAGGTATGTATGTATGTATGTATGTATGTATACATGTATGTACACATGCATGTACACATGCATACATGTATGTATGTATGAATGTACACATGCATACATGTATGTATGTATGTATACATGTATGTACACATGCATACATGTATGTGTGTATGTACGTATGTATTAATGTATACATGTATGCGTACATGTATGTACACATGCAAACATGTATGTATGTATGTCTGTATGTATACATGTATGTACACATGCATACATGCATGCATGTATGTATGCATGTATACATGTATGTACACATGCATACATGTATGTATGTATGTCTGCATGTATACATGTATGTACACATGCATACATGTATGTATGTATGTATGTATGTATGTATACATGTATGTACACATGCATATATGTATGTATGTATGTATACATACATGTATGTATGTATGTATGTATAGATGTATGTACACATGCATACATGTATGTATGTATGTATGTATGTATGTATGTATGTATGTATGTATGTATGTATACATGTTTGTATACATGCATACATGTCTGTATGTATGTATACATGTATGCATGTATGCATGTATGCATGTATGTATGTATGCATGTATGTATGTATACATGTATGTATGTATACATGTATGTGTGTACATACGGTAGGTAGGTAGTGTACTATGTATGTATGCATGTATGTACGCATGTATGTATGTACATACGGTAGGTAGGTAGGTAGTGTATTATGTGCATACTGGTAGGGGACTAGTCGAAATCCATTCTGCCGCCCAATCAGCAAAACAGTTGACACACCGTAATACTCGTGGGCATAGGGGACTTTTTGGAAATATAGCTTGCCCTGATGCGACAAGAACAAGTTGGAGCTGAACCGGGCTGACAACAGCAACGCAATCATAGTTGCGCAAGGAAGAATCAAACACACGCACACACACACAACATCACCAGGAAACAATCACACGTGCAAAGGCTCCAGTCCTCCTTTTACGCAAACTCAAATCGCCACGAGGCAGCGATTTTGGCAGAAACGCAGCGAACTCGCAACGCAATGTGAGTTGAAGCCTGGGTGCTCACCGGTGGCAAAGTGCGACCGCTAGGGCTGTTCAAAATGATTCGTGTTGGCCAATCCGATTGTCCACAATCCAGATAGGGACGCCACAAAGGGGACCAAATCCTTGCGTAAGCCAGGGAAAGGATTGAGGATTACCTTTGAACATCCCAGACCGGAGGTTCTTTCGTCACTTCTTAGACGCAGTCACGGGACGAGTTCAACCGACTCTGAGAGCCCGTTGGGCAACTGCGATTCGGCCTTGGTTGATCTTAGGCCCTCTGCAAAAGAACACTTTTGAGGCTATTTCGGTCGTACCAAAGAACAAGCCAAGTTGGGTGCTGGGGTCTGAAAAAACTTGAACGAGGCGGGAATGAAACAAAGCAAACAACAGGCACTGATTCCTGGAACTTTGCCTGTTCACTGCTCCAAATTTGCCAAACCAAGCCACCTGAGGAACGCAGCAAATTTCGAGCTGCTTGGGTCAACCCCACACCATGATTGCTTAGCACCCATTTTGGCTTTTTGGTAAATCAGCAATTCTGGTTGCTAGTTGGGTTTGTCTGTTTAAAGAAAGGGATTTTTTTTCCAAGATGGTTCAGGTTTCCCTTTGCACCACCACAAAAAAAACAGCTTGAACACTAGACACACACACACACACACACACGCGCATGTCGCCCGAACGCCATAGATCTCGTTTCTCGGCGAGCCGGGCGCCCAGCTTGTGCACGTCTGCCAAGGCGTCCAGCAACAGCTCGCAGACGACCACGTGGCCCCCCGCGGCGGCCAACTGAGTGCATGGGACGCCGGGGGGATGTGGGGGGGGGGGCTGAGGGAGGAAAATGGTTCCGCAACCAGGGGAGGCGCGGAGCTGAAGCAGAAGTGTGGCTGGGCGAGCTGGAGATAAAGCCGGTGAGAAGTTGAGACTATATGCCCAAACAAGTGATGTTTAGACCGCCCCAAACGGGGGTTCAGAAGGGGTTCCCCCAAAATAGCGGCCCTGTGAATTCGTGCCTGTCCTTGTTTTTCCTTTAACACCAGCACAAAAGAAGGTACCAAGCCAACACACCCATGAGGTTTGTGGGGTCGCTGTTTCCGGAGGTCAAGACATGGGATTCTCACCAGACAAGCTTCCTTGTTGTGAGGGTACCCTCACTCCCATGTTGCCATGGCTCCTGAAAAGGTCTCCCTGGCGGAACATCTTCCAGGTGCCCTCCCACAGGTGCCACGTTAGTGACAGGTACCTATTTTGGGGTTGGTTTGAAGGGGAAACAGCAGGAACACCCACCATCTTTTTGGGGGGCACCCGACTTGGCTGGGCACAACATATGTACCAATTTGGATCGGGGGTGGGTTGCATTGGTTCTTCTCACTCCTTTTTGGTGGGAATTTTGGGTGATTTCCCCCATGTCCCAAGCGGGTCCGAAATGCACAGACCAGAACCTTTGACCGAACTTTAGATCACAGTTGCAGTGCAGGAAGCTTGGCCTGGGGGATTGACTTGGTGAACAATGCGAATTCTCGCCACATGAACAATTAGCAACTTTACAATCTGTTTCTCAGGGGAAAAAGGGCATCCTTTTTAAAGGGGGAACTCTTCCCCCAAAAAAGGGGGAAACATGGGCACCACTGGGCAACCAAGGTTTCACCGGGGTTTTTAGATGTACCCTTTTTTTCCTTTCAAAATCCCGGCACGCGTGTCGACGCCAGAAAATTCCGCTGCACTCCAAGCCGCGTGGAGCGGCGTGTAGCCGGTGCCGCGGCAGCCGTCGTTCACGGACAGGCCCACCTGAGGCGCGTGCCAAACCGCCCAAGACCCGACGCTCTAGTACCTTCCATTTCCATTCTGTCCAGGGATCCGAATCTTTTCAGGAAACTATCCAAACACCCAGGGAAACCGATCGAGTTTTTTGAAAAGAAGGATGGTTGAAAAGAATGGGGACACAACGTCTATAGACACTTCAAAGTACCCCGGCACGTGGAGCCAGGTGTGTGGTACGGACATTTGTGAAGCTACGCGGACCTTTTCACTATTCACCAGCTTTTTAGGATCCTCATGAAAAGGGTTGGGATATGCTCCTGTATGTTGGAGGATTCTAGGGGTAGCTTCCCTATGATTCAGACCCAATAATTTACCAGACGCCCTCATTCATCAGGAACCATGGACCGGAGCAACTGAATGGACAACTCTGCTTTGTCACACGTTTCTATTTGTAACTTCCCTAACTTTTCCCGGAGATCCTTCTGAGAAAGCCACTTAGATGTCAGTGAAACCGGCTGCTGGGTTTCAAAGCATAGTGGTTGAGTACTCACTGCGTGAACTGTCCACTCTGGCAGTCGTTAGTTACGTGACAACACATCTGGATGGCATGAACAAAACAGCGACCTGAAATCTCGGGCCAAGAAACCCCCCTTGACATCCCGTAAATTTGATTGAAGTTCAGGGCATGTCCCCACATGTCCAAATGGACCAAAGGCTGGAATTCTTTGCCCACGCACCTTAAACGTACCCCGCAGAACCACCCTTTTGCAAGCCTTTGGACGCCATGAGAAGAACCCCTTGTGCAACCACAACACAAATCCCCCCTCTGTTTCTCCACTCCTTTAAAATATCTATATATACACGTATTATCTATTTCTTTATTTATCTTTTCATTTATATATATATATATACACATGCTTATTCCTGTTTTTGAGGATACCAGCTTCAGGTTGGCTGAAAGGAACATTCAAAGGAACCCCGCCATTTTGGGGGTCCCTATTTTGAGACATACGTTGCCCAATCCTGGACGCTTCTTTTCTAAGCCGCCCCACGAGCCTTGAAAGCACAAGCCGATCTGAGCCCCGCAGAACTTTTTTTCGCATCCCCAACCGCGGGGTTGGCCGAATCTCCGGAACCCTCCCTGAAAGGAGTGTGGGTCAAAATTAAACCAACAGGAATTGGACCGCAGATTTTGGTCCATGTTTCCACTTACCAGGGTTCCATTTTGGTACCGGTTTTTTGACCTACAGCTAAAGCTGCCCCAAACTATCCTGGAGCCTACCTGGGCAAGCGCCCCGTAGCTTTCAGCTGTTGGGGAAAAACGAAAAGCCCCGTTGCAAAGCATCGAAGTACACATAACCCCGAAATGGGTTGCCCTCGTAAATGGAAACATGGAATACAATCTGCAGTCCCCTGGTGGTTTAACTTCGACCCATACCCACATTAACGCAATCCAACTAAGGATCCAAATCCAGAGCCTGACCAATATGGTATGATGCAAATGAACAACGGATGCCTGTTGAACACATGAACACACAAATGAGCACGTTCTGAACACCAATCAACAACCAGCTCCGCCGGTGGATTATGACAATTCACCATCCGATCACCAGGCAACAACAGGCCTGATCACTACCAGCCTGAGTGCAAAGGTCTTATGTGGTCCATGGCCACTGCTCCCACAATACATATGTACATATACATATGACATATATATATATACAGAATCATAAATAGGACTGCTTTCGTTCGCCGCAATCACCGTGGGTCAAATCGGTCCCATTCTGTGTTGCGTCCACAAAACGGGAGCATCCAACAAAGAGATACGCATCCAAGCAAGACCGTCGATGCGTATACTTCTTCAGTTTGTTCTGAATAGCACGGAGTGGTGGTTGGTGACGGTTGGAGATGGTTGGCCAACAAATGACCAAACATAGGTTGATATAAGTAAAGCTATTGCCAACACTTCTACCACTGTTGATTCTTTTCGTAGTCTTCAGGGTTGCTTTTCCGAACACCAGACAAACCAGCTAGGCGGAAACAGCCACATTTCTTGCTGTTGAACAAACCAAGGTTCGACAAGCTGAAGGGTAACCCCTTTGACACTTCTCCCACCCCCCCGGCAAAAATGCAACACACATGAAGTCCCTGGCAGACAGGGAGGAGTGCAAACGATGGCGACAGGGGTTGCCCGGAATCCACGATCCGTCTTTTCCAAGTTGGTGTCCGAAATCCCACAAAAGGCGCCCGGTGGCTGGCTTTTGAACAGAATGCTGCAAAAGGACTGGGGACCACTTTCGTTTACCGCTAAAATGATCTTCCCCACAAGTATAGATTCCCTTTGAACACCAGGGACAAACAACAAGATCTCACGAAAATGGGAAGTAGTCTAGGTCCTCCAGCAGAGAGATTAGAGTAAGGGTACCTTCTTTTTCTGTTGTCTATTTTAGTAGGGGAACCCTCCCCGAAAAAGGGCAAAAGAGCACCACTGGGGGAAATAGTAGAAGTAACATGGAGCAGAACAACGTCTCAAGGCAGGATCCTCTTTCTGTCGCGATCGGTCCAATGGAAGTGGTATGTGTAGTGGGTCAAAACTTTCGCCACCAGGGACCGTAGATTTTAGTCCTTGTTTCCATCCAAGGTTACCCACATGTTCGACCCGCGAAATGTTCACCTGCCCATTTGACCCTCTTTTTCCTTGACCACTTTCCATTTACCAAGGCTTAAACTTACCCAATTCTATCCATAACAAGGAAATGGGAAGCCCTTCCTTTCCATTTCTCTCCTTTGACCCTCTCGACCACTTGACCTTCCCATTTGATCCTCTATTCTTTTGACCACCTTCCATTTACCAAACACTTTCCATTTCTCTCCCATTTGACCCTCTTGACCATTTTTTTTTTTTCCGACCACTTTCCATTTACCAAGGTTTGCTTACATATCCATTTTTATTTTTTGACCCTCCATTTACCCAGGTTTAAACCACCTTCCCGTTTCACCCTCCATTTTTTTGAGCACCCCATTTACCCAAGGTTTGAACTTACCCCATTTTTCCTCCAGTAGAGAGGGTAGAACAAGGGTACCCTTTTTTCTGCAGTCGATTTTAGTAGGGGAACCCTCCCAACCAAACAAGGGGTGGGAAAGGACACCTAGCTGGGGGACCTAGTTTTGCTTCCATTTACCAAGGTTTGAACTTCCCCCTTTCTATCCATATCAAGAAAATGGGACGCCCTTACACAAAAAAGAAACAAGAACATAAGGGTTGCTTACCCCATGTACTCAGGTTGCTTCCCCCCTTTCTCTCCATCTCAAGCGTCAGAGACTCGCTCGCTCTCTCCGAGGCGCTGCCACCAGCTCCCGCACCACCGAGGCGCTGCCGCGGCCCGCCGCCAGGCGCAAAGCCTACGGATCAAAGATGGCGAAGAGAGAAAGGGAGCCAAACTTTTCTTGGCCGAGCTCGTTTTAACCCCCCCCCTCCGTTCCCCCCGCCAGCCCTCCAGTTTCCCGACCCCTCCGTTCCCCCCGCACCAAAATGACCACATCTTTCTGACCGTCCGGAAGGCTCTGGGTGGGGGCCATCGGTCCGGATGGATCCGCGACCTGGTGAAACATCTTGGCACCAAGTCAAAGACCAAGGAAAAGACGAACCAAGGAAAGACCAACAAAAGACCTATGTCTCATCTCATCCGCCGTTTTCAGCGTGGAACGAAGATCTTTCAAACGGATTCGGCCTTTGGAGGTTTGAACCGCAGCCTCGAAATGCAGCTTTGTTGGCGGATCCGCCAAAGCATTCCGCATCCAAGCCGCAATAATTTCAGAAACCCCTTTGTGATTCATAGCGGGTGCAACCCTTTTTGGAGGGAATCCTTTTTTTGGGGAGTTGCAGCCTATGAATTCGCCAGGTTCTACTTTCCGTCAACAAATGCCTAGAAAAAGGCGCCAATTTGCCGCTTGAAACTGTAGGCGCTTCTCCGGGGCACGTCCCACCAAAGGACCTGGCAACATGTGATCACCTCTCGGGAACAAACGAAACCCAAGCAGTGACACCCAAACTTTTACATCTTTTTCCACTTGATTCCCTGTACCACAAGGGTTGGGTACCCTCAAAATTTGAGACACGTGGATTCAGGGGGATTCAGGTCAAACGCCCGCTTTGCGCCTCGCCCATACCGGCTGCTGCCACGCCGTCCGCCACGAATTGTAGCACCTCGGAACTGTCTTGGGTTCGCATGGGCATTTGCTTGATCAATCTTCCCTTCGGCCCCAAAATGACCATGGGTAACTTTTCCCACCTAGTGCTGAAAATCACCTTTTTTGGTGGTTTCCCTCAATGGTCACTCCTTATGTACCCGACGTTTTGTTGAACCCTCGTATCTCCAGGAAAACCCCCAAATGGATGGTATCCGTTGGTTGGGTCTCCTTGAAAAGCCGAAGATAGGCTCCCTTGAAAAAGACACACTTCTGAATACCCCATGACATTGAGTCCATTCCCAACCTGCAAAAACCATAGAAATTGGCGAAACCAACCGCAAAAACGGCAGAAACTCGACTACCGACACCAAACAATGCTCAAAACCCATCGGACATGGCCAAAACCGAACCCTAATCCTGTCCGATCGCCACATTGGTTCTTACACATTACCCCCAAACCAACGCCACGGGACAAACTACACCACGCCCTCCCAAACACACTAATCACACGAGTGCCCAGGGAAAAAAAAAAACACAAACCATCAATCGCCTTCTGGCGTTCCGCAGACTCGCCCCGGTTTTTTCTCCCCACATGTTGCAGAATCCGAGCAGCCGAGCCACCGAGAAGAAAATGCTTAAACTTGCTTGACCTCCTTTCTAGGTTGCTGAGAAGGCCCTTCTGCAAACAAAATATCCTTTTGTGGGTCCAATGGAAAATTACCTGTTTCCCAAAAAGTTGAACCAACGATCCAACCAAATAGCCATACCGCTTTGAAGAGCTTGCTGGATTTAGAGAACTCCATCTCATTTCTTGTGCGAATCTTGCTCCACAAACAACGGATCACGCCTTGCGCCTACCACTGCAATGATTTCCCCAAGAAGTATGTTGAGTTCTGGGCGAGTTGTGCAGATTTCCCGGGTTCGCTATGAGGGAAACCTTCCTCAAGGCGGGCGCGGTTCACAATAACAACCATTGTGAGGTCACCGTGTTCTGCCCAATTGAGTCCGGAGCTGAAAAACATGTCCGTCGTCCTCTCAACTGAGTTGGTCAGGATAACCCCGTGAAAAAATACCCGTTGCGCCTCTTCGCCCTTTTGCACTGTGGGGAAGCATCTTTGTCAAAAGGTTCTTTTGCTCAAAGAGCAAATCGACCTATCCTCAAACGCCCCAAAGGTGCTGCCTGCGCCCATTCGACCCGAATCATCCTAGAAACTTGGCCAGGCCTTCGGGTCCACTGTGGGGTTTGCTAGGTTCACGCACTGATCTGGGAATTACCCGCGCGGATTCGGAAACTTGGAGCGAGGATTCGGACACTTTGGTTCGGAAACTTGGGGCACCGGACATGGCACCTGGTGCACTTGAGCGGGTGCTCTTATCGTTGGTAGGCAGATACACGGTGCAGCGCCGGTGCACTTGAACGGCAGGCAGATATGCAGTGCTGCGCGGTTGAGCTTGGCAAGCTATCCAAGTGCACCTGCACGGGTGTTCTAATTATGTGATAAGGAGATATGCCGTGCTCGCCGGGCGCACTTGTGCTTGTAATCAGTTGGCTTCTATGGTAAGCTGGCAAGCAAGAAGAGAGATGCAAGGCGCGAGGCGCAAAGGTGTCAGGCGCAAGGCGCAAGGCGTTGCCGCTGATGACGCTTGCGACGACATCTTGAGCCAACCGGCGCTGTGTCCTTGCATTCTGGGCAAACGCTGCCTGGCCTTGTTCGAATCCAGCCCGACATTCTGCGCTGCCGCATCTAGCAACTGCAGTGCTTCGCGGGTGCGCTTGAGCCGGTGTGTTCTTATCATTTGGCAACAAGATACGCAGTGCTGCGAGGGTCCTATCATTTGGCAAGCAGATATGCAGTGCATTGCAGTGCTGCGCGGATGCACAGCGGGTGCACTTGAGATGCTCTGCTTCGGGCCGACCAAGTCTCTGAGTTCGGTTCACCGGGTACCCCAAAAAAATGTGGGTAGGAGGGGGACCCCAAAAATGGTGGTTTTCCTTTTGGTTTCCCTTCAGCACCAACCAAAAGTGGGTTCCCCTAAAGCAAGACACAGCTAATCGAGCAAAGATGAGGCTGTTGCAGCTGGCAGTTTTGCGCCTGCCAGCACCTGAGTGCGCTTCCTCTTGCAACCAGCCATGAATCGATCCTTGAGCAGTGGAAGAGGTGGGACGGTTGCCATCCAAAGTAACCACCGCTGTAATTTCAACCTTGCTCGGAGGATCCTGTTCGATGCGGGCACGGATTTGACTCGGCGATCTGCACATGCATCACTGCAAGGCCTGCTGTCGCGTGAGAAAACCGTCCCATTTGCCGCAGATCTTCTTCTCCTTCAACTTCATCCTACATGTCCCCACCAGCACGTGTTTTTTGCAACTCGCTTGCTGGTCCCAAAAACAATGTACACAGGCAACCAACAAGCAGAAGCCAAGCTGAACTTTGAACGTTTTATTTACCGCACAAATGAAATTTAATAAAGGCTTAAAGTCCAGAAGCTCAGGGAGTGCGGCTTTGCATACATGAAGGGTTTTGATGACCTACAAGACAATACCTGCTCGTTTGCCTTGGACGAGGTCTCCAGTTGCCAATGATATCCAGAGCCGCAAGGGTTCAAACGGGGCAACCGATCAAAACCAACCAACCAGCTGACACGGGAGGTCGGATCCGTCGCTTTTGGGACCTGAGTCTTGGACGACTGGCGCATCGTCGTTCTGGACCTCGGCATCGTCGGCCACCCGGTGGAGGCAATCAGTTGGGATGGAAGAGGCTGCAAGTGCAGGATTTGCTCCATCCATCTCCCGCTATCGAAGACACATTCACTTGAGGGAAATCGCCTATGCGGCAGCTTGGACAGGCAATCCGAGGTCATACGGATAAATGCCATTGGTTTTTCAAGGGACCTGGGTGTTGGAAGTGGGAAACACTCTGTGAGTATTCAAACTTTCCAGTTTGTTTCAAAAGGAAACTGGTGCCTGCTGGCAAATCGTCGCCGAGTTTTTGGTCGTGGCCGGGTTGATTGCAAAATGTGCTTAGAGGAATCAGCCCAATCCGCAACATCTGACAAGCCTGACACAGAGATCGTGGACGCTGATGTGCAAGGGAACTATGTCCTGGTACCCAATCAGAGCAAACTCAGATTTGCCGGATCTGTTCTACCAAGCGCACCCGAATGGCTATCGGTCAAGTCCAGCTTGTTTCTGTCCCCCAATGACATTAGAATGTGGGTGAGGTCCCAAGTTTACTACTGTAGATAGTGCAAAGGGGGGACCCGAGCAAGACCCCGTTTTTTCACATGACCAGGGGGCTTTAGCTACAGCTTGGCGTTCAAGGGAAGCTTCCTTCGTCCCCTTGAAACTTGGCTTGCCACGATGGTCCGAAGTAAGCAAGGGGAACCCCTGTGGATTTTTTCCTATCTGAAAGTCGCTGAAGGTGAGGTTTCGGAAGCACCACCCCAAAAGGAGCAAGGTGGGCAGAGGATCTGACTCAACTCGCCTACACGAAACGCTTCAAGGCACGAATGGCGGAGTTGTGGCTCAGGCGAGTTTCTCCAAAATTCCAGGCGCTCTCGATTCATCTGTGCTCCGCGCGGCACTAAGCAGCTGCCGCCGGCTGCGGTCGTCCTGGCCGCGAAGCGGTGCCGAATGCACAGCATGCCGCCCCTCTTTGACTAGCAACCAGCGGTTTTCCCCGCTCTGGTTTTGCTTGTAACTTCCAGTGCATTCCGCTCCATGCAAAGAAGTGTGGCTTCAGCCTTCATCTTCATGTCGAGTTTCCATTTCGTCGTGCACGCTTTCGGTGGCAAAATTCCGCGACTCCGCAAAATGCCTGAAGCAGCAATGCATTGACCAAATACGGCATCGAATATAGGTTTTCCATGGCTTGGACAATGAGCACTGCTTTGTTTGTTGCGTTGGTTGCGTCTGATTCTCCGCGGAAAGCCGCGAATGCCGACTCGGAGAACGCAAACTGAACGCACCCAACGTCACAAAGTTGGCTCATGAACCGGCTCCGGTCGAGCCCAGCTTTTTGATTAAAACCCTCAGAAGGTGCCCTTGGTCTGCCACCCCCTCCCAGGAATTCCTCGAGGATTCGAGGCTTTTTGGCTGGTTTGCCATGGAGTTGGCAGGCTTTTTTTCTCCAACCATCTCGAGGAAACCCGGAAAAAACAAACAAACCAAACCCCTCAGACTGAAGGTACCCTTGACCAGCCATTTCTCCCCAGGGATTGCTTTTTTTGGGTGTTTGATGTTTCCCCGCTTCGTTTGCTTGTGTGCTTTTCTCAGTTTTCTCGAGGTTTTGGCTGTTTGCCATCGATCAAGCACACACACACACAAACACCTTCATGCTGTCTGAATAGTTGCTGTACAGCAGAAACCAACACAACACACGCACCTAAATGGCAATTAGCACACCTACAGGCCGCATGGCCTGTAACCCTTCTGAACACAAATCTGTTTGGGTGAGCCTCTCCTAGTGAATCTTGAGTGGACATTATGGCTCTGTGGCTCAGATGACTTCCAGGGGTCCTCTCCAAGCCACAAATAGAAAGAGGCCTCGTTGCCTCTGAACATATGGCCCAAAAGCACGGGAATTCCCATTCTTCAAGTTCAGGAGCATTGCTGGGATTACTTGGGTGCACCCCCCCCCCCAAAAAAAAAAACACAACAACAACAAGAAAACAACAACAAACACCATCGGGAGGCCAAACTGAAATGATCTGAAATGGGACACCCCATCAGAAGTTGGACAGTTGGAAATGGGAGCCACGGGTCGGTACTCGAAACTTTATGGCCAGCTAAGCCCCAGTCATCAAACATTTCCAGCCCAAACAAAGGCTCAAGCGGGTAACGTTACCCCTCCCCCTCCCCCACAACTCCCCTCCCCACCCCCCACACAACCTCCCCCCCTCTTGGCAAACCCCGCGCCACTAAGAACCGCCTCGTCCGCAAGCCCGCGCCGCGGCCGGCTCTCTTTGAGGCTTGCCACCGCCTGCCGCAAGCAACACGGCTGGATCCCCTACTGTGGATTGGACCGGAAGGAGTCGATTTCCCCTGTAAATACCAATGAACAATGGTGTCAACCTTGGTTTCCAGGTGGTGCGAACGGATTTCGTCCATCTACAGTATGGTCCAGGGGTGTTCCCTGTAAAAATGGCAACACCTTCCTTTTGGCTTCCCTCAAAAGAGTGGATCCCCCTGACTTCCGGGTTTCATGGATTTCACTGGAAATGAGTAGAACCAGTTGGAAAGCAGTGGAACGCATCTATTTCTGAAAAGGACACCTATGGTCCAGGGCGTTCCCTGTAGCAATGGCAACACTTTCCTTTTGGTGTCCCTTTTTCTAACTTCCCGAGTGCATGGCTCACAAAAGTCTAAACTTTTAATTCACCCTAAAATGGCCTCCGTGGGCATGCTAGCTTCAAGTGGGGCTGGATGCAAGACATACTCCTAGGCACAAATCCTGAGTGGTGATTGTTCCTTTAAGATAGAAACGCGAAGGGGGCGGACTGAATTAAATTGGATGATTTCCGAAAGGAACATGTTGAAGGCATTCACTCCCACTATCATTAGTGCTTACATTGTGATCGCCATATTGTCACTATGAGTTACTATCATCATTAACATTGTTATCCATACCATTATCATTCAATATAGGGGTCTTTGTCCTTTTGGTTTCCCTTCACACCACAAACTCACTTGAGGTCCTCTGACTTGAGACACCGCGTCCGAACTGGAGACCTCGCCTGCCCGACTTCCTCCTCCATGGTGGCGTTCACGTGAACCGGCACCTCGTGCATAAACAGCGCCTGGCGCGTCGCGGCCTCGGGTGGGGGTCCCATGCCGCTGGCTCCTCCTTTCACCAAATGCTTCGGTTTTTTTAAAGCGGACACCAAATGGAACGCCATGGGACCCGGGTCCTTTGACGCATGGCTTTTGAGGACACAACTTTTGGCAGAGAGAGAGATGGAGCGACCGAGAAACGAAACGAAAAGTCACGCTGGAGAAGCTGGACTCCGTTAGCCTTCGATACTCTGGAAAACCACTAGCCGTGAAACAGCCTGCAAAAGTCGGTTCAACAGAACAAGAAAGCGGGAGCTCAGCGAGAATGGCATGCACTGGGCACATGTCGTATTTCAGCTCTCAACACCTTCAACTCATGCGGACCCGGCATCATCTTACCCAAATAGGTGGATTGGCTCACCGTTTGACATGAAAATGGTCCTCTCAAGTAAGTCCAGACACTCAAAAAACGAGTTATAATTCTGCAGATCCGCATGGAACCCCAAAAACATGGTTCACACGGGTCCTTCCCTCATTCCCTTAGGGCCAGCAAGTGTTGGGCCATTTTCGCCGTGCTTTTCTTCGCCACACGCGGGTGTCTTAATATAGGGGAGCCCCCCAAAAGGGTTACCCTTCATGGGCCAATAGACCTCCATTGAAGCTCAGATTGTGAAAGCCAATGCTTCCTCTTTGCAAGCGGTTTGAGTCTACCCAACCATCAATTGAGACAAACACTGATATTTGAGAGACCTTAAAACATCCTCAAGCTCCAAACTTGCTAAGCCACAGCAAACACGCAACTTCAAACAAAGTAAATACATATAACACATGACTAGAACTGCTAATCACACAGCAAACAACTCAACAACCACGAAAACAACAAATGACAAACTCGCAAATCAAACCGCCACAACACAACCATCAACAAGCTCACCTGCACATTTTAGAATAAGCCCACCACAACAAACAAGGATTGGGCTCCCTCAGAAAAGGACCTACAACATGGGCTTCGCTCGTTTTACTCCCCTCCCAAATCGGTGAGCCACGTTATAGGCTGAACTCTTGCGTGCCAAACGAGCTACAATTGGGTGCCTCATTGGGGGTCTGGGACAAAAAACACCCTCCCCACCCCCCGTGGTTGGCTCCCTTTGAGGAAAACAACATCCATGCTTGTGATGAGTGTGTCTTTTCGGAGTATACTTTGTCTTTGCGGTTTCCAAGAAAAAACCAAAAGGAAGACCACCATTTTGGGGGGTTGGATCCAAAAAAAAACGAGTTACCCATATAGAATACAGAGGCAAGCACCTCCGACTCGGATCAGAATCCATCGGTCGCCTGCGCTAGGTCAGGGCTGATCATGTCTTCTTGCCTCGGACAGAGACACGCGAGGCTTACACGACACGCGCCCCGGAACAACGTGAGCCCCGGAGAAAAGAACAAAACACCAGAAAGAACAGTATTTTGTCCCCAACATCCGAAAGGTTTGGGGTCTCTGTTCAAATAAGCCTTGGGGTGGTTTGGAGCCTTCAGGGTAGGGAGTTCCGATGTAAGGTTCGCTACGTGTCCGATCCTAGAGCTGCCTGTGGAACAGGCCTTTCCGAGTCACATAAATTCGTGGCCTTTGGTGGCGGAATAAAACAGAACGGACGGATGAAGGACACTATCTCAGTTGCCCCTTAGGGACCCAGAAATAAAGGTGATCACCTTTTGGGTTGCATGACTATTTGTGTTTTTGCCAAAACTGGAAAAGTTGAATTCGCTTTGAGCAACTGAGTTATGTTTTGTTTTGGGTGGTCAAGCAAGGCCTTCAGCTCCTTTCTGGTCTCGCGGACAATACGGGTGTTGCATCTATGTGTCAACGGTCACAGTCTGGATTTATTCGACAAGGACTCCAATGAGGGTTTGTGACCAAGGCTGAGGGAATTGCCCTTCTACTCTCATACTACTGGAAGGCCGACCGACCCGTTCCTCACAATTGGGGGGAGCTTCCCTGTAGTTCCGAACCTCAAGTCGGCGGAAACTCCCAGACCTACAGTGGACGCTTGGCTTGGCAATGGAGTTTGAAGGGAACCCCTCCCAACAACTGTCCATGTGCGAATACGTCCCCTGGCAACAAACATAGCAATATGTCCAGTGATAGATTCCCTTTAAAACCAACAGGGAATAAACACATAGTCCACTTGGATTTCATTTCACCTACCACTTTGTGACTTGATGTGGCCCCGAACCAATGGAACGCACCCAGGCCTTCCTTGTGGTTTACCTTTTGAGAGCACTCCTTTGAAAGGCTGCCTCAAAAAAAGACGAGCCCACATATTCTTGAGCAAGCGGGCTCAGCTGAATCCGATCGCACCCGCTAGTCCCGCTAGTCGCCCGCCGGATGGATCCTCTGGCAAGGGGACTCTTTTTGCCAGCTTTCGTGGACTAAATGATTGATGACCCCCTCGTAGTGAAGGGTTCCTTTTTGAGGGGGTCGCTGTCCTCGGCCTCAGACCCATCTCCTTCCAGGGAGTTGCAGCAAAGTGCTTCGATGCCCTGGCGACTTGAAACCGAACCAGAAAAATGGGCGGCTCATCCCCTTTTGTTTATTTTTTTGGGGGGAAAGGGTCTTTTGGGGTGACGTTTCCATGGAACACCCAGGGAATAAACATTTAATGTATTTTTGGGGGGGGTGGGGGACTGGGGCAACCCGTGTTTTACCCGTCTTTTGGGGTAGCTTTTTCCATGGACCCATAAGCCAACCAGGCGTATGGTGAAGCATTGAGATGACTTAAAACTTCGATGTACATGGAAACAGGTGGGTTCCAGAAACAAACGCAAGCAGAACACACAAGGCCGCGGGTGTAGTTTTTCTACTGGCTTCAAACTTGAGGAATCCGCCGTAGAAGTAGGATCCTATATCCTCCCTTTTCCCCCCACCACCGTCCCCCCAAAATTTGTTTCAAATCAAAATCAATCGATCGTGGCAAATTCTAATGTGTCCAACGTGTTCCAACTGCTGGCTTCATGTTTAGCTAAGGTTTGTTACCCTGCCATTAACATGGAACCTGACTGAGGCGTCCAAACTTTACGAGCATTTGAGCCCGCGCCATGAGCATCCGACGCACCACAATCCCACTTGTCTGCCCAAGCAACTGCTCGCCGTCTCACATGTGCCGTGATCAGAACTCTATCTAGATCATGGTTCTGGTTTCTGACCAGGACCAGAACCTCAAATGGATAGACTGGACATGTTGACCTCTCGAACCTCTCAAACGAATTGCAACCGGCACTTTACCTCGCGATGTGGACTCGGTGACCCAAGTCCTTCGACCAATGGGTGTGGAAACTCTGATCCTATGGGTCATCCCCATGCAAATCGCAAAAGGGGACAAGTCGATGGGCCGAAAAACCCAAGCGGATCATGCATAACTAGGTGACCTTCTTGGACAAAACCTATCCAAACCAGTGGAACTCATCGATTTCTCTTCGCAAACTGTCCGATCAAACAACAGGACACTAGTGAGAACATGTTCCAAAGCTTCACTCCCGGCCTTCACTGCCAGGGCAGAATTGCCCATCGCCTGCGCGCTTCGTTCGAGACAGAGATCTCATCTAAGGACGCCAAAAAGGAATCGCCGGGAGTGGCAAAATGGATTGTTTCCTTTCGCATTCCCTCTGGAGAGGGTGTAGGGAACTATGCCATGCCTTGTGTGTCAGAAAAAAAAACCCTCTGGAACCCCAAAGCACGCGTACTCCCCCCCCAAAACAAATTACATGAATTGAATAGGTACTGGGTTCCCTTCAGACCCAGCACGTCAGGGCACAGAACATCACCCGCCCTTATATCTTGACCCTTGCTTCGGGCCAACTTTGGCATGCGAGGAATCGACCACACAAAACACAAAGAGTACTTTTCCAGCAAGCTATTCTTCAAGGGCAAGCCTGGTGAACATAATTACAAAGATACGATACTAGCTCCCCAAACGCTCAATGCTGTAAGCACAATGGACCCCAACATAGATCACTGCAGGATCACGTTGCTTGCTTGATAGGGTGGCCAGCTCCAGCAACGTCTTAGACACCTTCCGACAGGAGATAGTGAACTCAAAATATCACCAGTGCTCATATTTCCTGTTGGCCGAGATAGGAGTTCCCAGGTGTAGCGAGGGCTATAGTCAGGCCTATGTAAGCCTTAAAGACTATAGTGGATCCAAACGTGAACAGGGCTTCATGTGCTAAATATCCAACAGGGAGTCATGGGGAATTTTTAGCTCTTAGGTCCTGCAGTAGAGAGGTTAGAATATGGGTACTGTTTTTCTGTAGTCTATTTTAGTAGGGAACCGGGCGACCTAGGCTCTATCTCGGAATGGGATGAGAAACCAAAGGCATTCCGCGAATCTTGGGACCCCTCCGACGGGTGGTTTCTGAAGGTGCTAAACTCCTTTCCTCGCCTCAGGCGCCGATGGCGCGCGAGGCCGCGTCGCGGTCGATGGCGCGAGAGGCTCCGCTGTCTTTCTGGGGATTTCGCTCCGAGCTTTGAAGAGTTGAGCTTGCTTTCAGAAAACGCCCCTTCTGCGTCGCGAGCTCTTCCCCCTTTTTTCAAGAATGTTTTTTTTTGCCGCTGGGGCCTTCAACTTCGCTATCTGTGACATCTGTGCTTTGCTCGTGCATGGCAACTCAGGACTCGGCAGCTCAAAAAACGACAATGCGGAAATCCCATTCAGGACATCTTGCTTTCCACATTGGCCAAAGATCTCCGATGTTGCTTTATTCTAAATCTTATTCTCTCCTTTTTTCTTTATAAGTGAATAAACAAACAAATCAAGAAACCAAACACAAACAAACACAAAAACAATCCAATCATCAAATGCTGTCAGCCTGGACAGGGTTCGCCAGCCTCTGAGTTAGGCCCTTTCGGGCGAGAAAAGCTCAGAACGCCATAAGCCCCGATAGAGCGCGTTGGGCTTGGAGATGCCCACCAGAGTTTCCATGGGTTTGGTTAAACCCCCAAAAAGCATCTGCCGTAGCACCTTGGAAGAATCTCTTTCTGGTGTTTCTTTCAAACACCGGCCAGGGGTCCTCTTTCAAACTTTTGCCACCCGAACGCCGCCGTCGCTTTTCTCCAACTTCGCGTCTCTTCGTCCGTCTTCGAAGACTTCCTCGAGGAAGCGGCCGTCCTTGATCTTGGGGTCCGCGTTGGTGTGGCGCTTGAAGCGCGTGCCGCAGCACTGGCCTAGACCAGAAGCAACAAAGAAACTTGTTGCTTGAAACAGGCAGGACATCGAGTTCAGGGCGGATGGTTCAGCTTGGGGTCATTCATGGTCATTCCAACTCTTTAATTGCTGAAGACCGGTGGTCCTGCAGATTTGGAGAACCTGGAGATTCCCGTACAGAAAATTTGGGGATGGCTTAGTCCAACTAATTACTGGCTGAATGCTTCCCACTCACTATTGGGGGACGCACCCCTATTGAAACTATGAGCAAGCTTCATTCACTCACATGTTTGGACGATTCCTCCCCTTCAAGAGAGGTAGAGGTTGTGGGATGAAGAGCCCCTCAACTACTTTGACAGCCTTCCACGCACAGGAAACATCCCCCTGCAAGGGCACTCACTCTTTCTTTGGCAGTTGATGGGGGGGGACAAACAAAGGACGCTACTGGAGGTCAGCGGACCAATCGCATGACAGTGTAACACGTTGCGGATAAGATCTCTAGGGGTCGAATCCCCCCCATCCCATGTTGGGGGGAGATGGTTCCCGAAGCACTTCCTGAGTTTGGCCAAAACGTTTTAAAAGCCTCGGGACTTTGTCTGTCTATACTCAAATCTTGGCCCCAACCCAGTACACCAAGCATGTCTGTAGTTTCATATTTCTGAGCCCAACACAAAATCAAAACTCGGGGAAGACCCGATATGATCTTCTCCAGGTTTGAAGTCAAGGTTTGGTATCCAAAGATTAGACGCATTTGTTCCCAATCCGCTCTAAGTCCAGAGATTGAGAAAAGATGGGCAGTTTCTCTAAGCGGAACCTGAAAATGGACGGCTTCCCTTGAAACTCCCCTTTTGGACCGCCCCAAAAAGGGTGAGCTCAAGAAAAGCACTCCCATGCGGGCACTGTGCCTTACTTCGGCCGAACGTAAAGCCATCTCCTGTTCCCCAGAAGGAAGATCATGACAACAAGTGCTATATATATATATATGTACACACATATGCAATATAATTCCCTGTTGGGTCAAAAAAATAGAGCGACCCCGAAATGGGTTGCCCTGACAAATGGAAACATGGACTATAACATAACCTGCGGTCCGATTCCTGGCGGCTAGACCCATACCCATTTGTTGTCAGCCATCCTTCAAGGTCAACATTTTGAGGTTGAGCTACTGAACATAGGTTGACGATCCCCCCGTTCTGGCGTCTTGGGCGGAAGCCATGGCAGCTTGGCACAGGCAAGGCTCGATACTTCAAGCACCCAAACAAAGCAGCCAGCAGTGCAAGCCACAATCAAGCGCTCCCCATCACAGATGTTTGTGAGTTCCCCTTTTGGGGGAATCAACCGCTCCTGGGTTTAAGTCTGTTGGGGGTAGTAAAAAAAAAAACGAACCCGCGTACCCACTGCCGTTCACTTTACACCAAATACTTGGGTCTTGAGTCTTGAGCACCGCCTGCAACGCCAAAGCTTTTGCCTGACCGGAAAAATCTGCTTCGAAAACGCCCAAGCTGTGCCAAACAGTCACCACGGTGAACATTCATCCGATGTTGCTACGTCTTCCCCCAAAACAAACGCGGGGAAACAAGTGAGTCCCCCCTTTTTGCCTCCCAAATGGCGCCACAGACCGCGAACGTCGATCGATTCTTCACCCCTCGATTGCGGCTAGCCGCAAATGGCGGAGGCGTCTGAGCAGTAGATGGCCAGGCAGCAGGAGCACACGTAGCCAATGGCTTGGGGCTGTTGGTGGCACAAGCAGACCTAAAGCGAGGCGGAGGGCTGGCTTTGTCTCTCTCAGAGAACGGGACGTCGGCGAAACGGACGGCTTCAACATTCATGTTGGACAACACCTAACATGGGCACCCCCAAAAATCGATGCACCGTGGGTGTTTCCACCAATCAACTCACACAAGTTTTGCATGGTCTTTCAAGGGAAACCACGAGGAAAGAAACCTTTTGGTTAAGCGCCCTATTTTTTTCTGACATCTGTGTTTCCTGCAGATTGACATGGTTGTGGGCCATAACCTTTTCCGTGACACCAAAGCGGGCCATCCCTGTTTCATGGAATTTCCTTGGTATCACAGCAACCGGCCCTAAAATCCTGCTTTCCACAACCGTAGATTAATCCGCGAAACCAGATTTCTTTCAGGTAGTCTTCCAAAACTCATGTGTCCACTTTCATTATTGTTTGAAAATGGGTATCTTGGGCGAACTGGCTGCTAGATGCCGCTTCACCGCCCCAGTGGCCATGGAGAAAACAACAAAACAGGGGTAGGAGGCAACCCACTGGGCCGGGAAACAAAAAAACCAAAAAAACAACAACGACCCAAAGCCATTTTGGATCCCGTCCCAGGCCCAGGGCGCCATTGTTCATCATGGTCATTGAACATCGTATCAGTGTTTTTGTGGTAGCAGCTAGCTTGCTAGCCAGCCAGCCAGTCAGCTAACTAGTGCGTCAGCAAGCCAGGCAGCTGGCTATTTAGATAGGTAGTTAGGTAGTTAATTAGTTAGTTACGTAGTTAGTTAGTTAGTTAGTTAGTTAGGTATTCAGTTAGTTAGTTAGTTCGTTAGTTCGTTCGTTAATTAGTTAGTTAGTTAATTAGGTAGTAGCGGTAGTGGTGGTAGTAGTGGCGGTAGTAGTGGTGGTGGTAGTAGTAGTAGTAGTAGTAGTAGTAGTAGTAGTAGTAGTTAGTAGTAGTAGTAGTAGTAGTAGTAGTAGTAGTAGTAGTAGTAGTAGTAGTAGTAGCAGTAGTAGTAGTAGTAGTAGTAGGAGTAGTAGTAGTAGCAGTAGCAGTAGCAGTAGCAGTAGTAGTAGTGTAGTAGTAGTAGTAGTGGTAGTAGTAGTAGTAGTAGTAGTAGTAGTAGTAGTAGTAGTAGTAGTAGTTGTAGGAGGTGAGTAGTAATCATATGGTCGACTTGTTTATTACAAACACAGAGGCATGGTGTTGTGTTTTGTTTGGAGCCCAACAAAGGCGACCAGATCCGTTCCAGGGCCCAGGCCGCAGGCAGGTGCTGCTGGTCCGTGGCAACGGCCAGCTGCTTCCGCACCGCGCGGCTGGCCAGGAAGTGGAACAGCATCAACGGCGCCAGCGCCTCCGCCAGGGGCGGCTGGCCTGAGACGCGGAAAAAGTTGCGGAGCCTTCCCCAAAACGGGGGCTTGGTGGGGTTTCTAAGGGACAACTGGACACCAACCGTTTTGTGTTGACTTACTTTTTTTTTGGTTGGGGTGGGGGGGGAGGTCCCTATTTCACGATATTATTTGTTGGGGGGTCCCTGTTTGAAGCGAACAACGAGCTGAGTCACAATCAAACCTGGTACGAAATTGCGCGACCCCAACAGGTGGTCTGGAACAAAGGAACAATTATCCATAGTCCATACCCCATCGGGTTCCTTTCGGGAAAATGAACATCACCCACTTCACGCGAGTCATGAGTCAGCGGTGATCGATCTGCGCCTGACGCCCGGGGTGGTTTCTCAAAAGCACCATGCATGGGAGAAGTGGGAACCTTGGGGTGCCCCCCAATGTCCTCCCCAGAAAAACAATCGACTACAAATCATTTTGTCAGTTGCTCAGTTGCCCAGGTTTTGATGGCTGCATTCTTCACCTTTTGCCCGGAACATGGGGCTGGGCTGTGGGCAAAGCGAACCAAAGGGTTTTTGCCCCGCAGGTTGGAGAGCTTGGCATCACGAGCTAAAACAAGGCCACGAGTCTGCGTTTTCCAGTTGGAAGGTACCAGGGTCCAATGCAGCGAGAAAGCAACAAGTTGGGGGAACATAAACACGAGTTACACAGAAAAATAAAGAAGAGCGCTCGCACTGGGGCGATCGTCCTCTCCCTCTCCCTCCCCCGATTTTCTGAGGACTCCTTTCCCACCCATCATTCGAACAGGAGTTGGGTAGCCCTCACGCGACTCCCCGACAATCAATCAACAAACGGCCCCAAAGGTGAAGTTTAAGCCACCCTCCAACCCAAAAAAACTCCCTTACATCCTCAAAACTACCTTCTCAATATGCCCCAAAGTCAGAACTCAGAACCCTTTGTCCTTGAGCGCATCAAGACGTCCAGTTTTTGAAGCTCCTGGCCAAAGCGCCGGGCTTCGGGGGGTTCGGCAGGTGCGCGAACTTCCCCTCAGCCAACAAGCTCACCTGGCGAGTCGGGAGTCGGGAGTCGCACGTCTTGCCATCCAAAAGTCAAGGTCGGAATTGGCAGTGGCTCAAAACATGGAATCCCCAGAATGACAGGGAATGACAGGGGAAGGGGGAAGGCTTCTTAAGCTTGCGCACATGTTTGGGATATCCGTGATGTGTGTCTGTGTGTGTGCGTGTGTGTGTGTGTGTGTGGCCCCCCTGTTTCTAAGAGGTTTCCGCTGTCCTTTTGAGTTTGGAGTCGAACGCCACCTTGCTGGATGTCTCAACATGAAGTAGTGTCACCTACCGATGGCGTTCCTGAAGAGGATGGTCGGTGGCACGAAAGATGTTTGAGCATGCAGTAAGCCGAAACTCCATTGCCCTCGCGGAGACCTTCAAACAGCCTGTGCCTGCTTGGGGGTGCACCTTGGCAGTTTCGCCGTCTCATATCAAGTGTGTTTAGGCACTGCGTCCGGGCTTCGGTCAGTGTCTTGATCCCCGTTGTGGGCATCTGTTCCGACTCATGCAAAGACATTTTCTACAGACAGTTACCGGACCTTGTCGCTCGTGACGCTTGACTGTTCCAGCTGACCTTCTCAATACAGGCTTCGTTTCGGCACCCCTGACTGTTTCCGCGGACCTCTTTCAGTCAGACAACTGTTTGACTAACCACCAGACCACCCGACACATCAGGCCAGAACTCATGACGCCGTCAGCTTGCTCTTGGCTCGCAATTGTCGGCAGCAGATGCCACGCCCCAACGCAGGTCCGATGTCGAACTCAGCAGGCCCTATGTCGAAGGCCACCAATCACACAGCGGGTCCTACGCCCCAGATCACCAGTGAGCCAGACAGCATCACCGAGCAGGAGTACACTTGTGGCACCGACCTTCAGCACTACTGGCACATCGTCCGGCATCTCGATGGCCGCAAAACCTTCGGCTCCATCCCCTGCTCCTCGTGTCGCAACGGTGCCTAGTTCTTCTTCTCCTACCCGGCCTGGATCGGCTGCTGGCCCACTGCCGCGAATCCTGGTGAAGGCGCGCCCAGCAACCCCAACTACCCCAACTACCCCAACGGCTCCAGCGACAGCATGTCCGACTCCGGCTACCGCACCGACCTCTACGGCAATCCCACGGTCGCTCAGAAAGCGGCAGTATCAGGTCCTACACCTCCACAGCCAGCTACAACGCCCTCGGCTCCCAACCAGGCCACCCCAGTGCCAAAGCCAATGACCACCACGACTAAAGCCCCGACTCCGACACCTACATCGTCGGCGTCTCATCCATCCAGTCAGATGCTGCCACCGGCCAACCCACCGGCAAGATCACGCCGCACAACGGAGGGCGAACGATCACGTTCCCACAAAGCTTCCCCCTACTCCAAGTCAGTGCCCCCACAACGCCGAAGTCGAGCTCGCTCCAGGACGCCACCACTGATCTCCCGGAGGGACGCACGGTCGGATCGCTCATCCACGGCAGCAGCAGCTCTCGCCACTTCCGCGACTTCAGCGACTACAGCTTCATCCCAGGGACCGAGAAGTAACAGGTCCCCGCTTCCGCGCAGCAGAAGCAGTGCTCCATCGGCTCCAGCTCCTAAGACCACCGGTGCTTATCCAGTTACAGAGTCGTCCTCCAGAAGTACTCAACTACGTCCGAATCCAAAGGCACACCCACCGCTGATCCTGCTCCCCAACCCGCAGTCCGACCCAAGGTACTTGCCTCGCAGTACGTCCGCGACGGGATCCCGGTTAATCAGGAGCAGCTGGACTGTGGCCGCTACCCTAAATGCAGGAATACCGTCTCAGCACTCCACCTTGCCCTATGCAAAGGTCAATTCGGACCATCACTACTCCAAGTTCCCTCCACACTGGTTCATGCTGACCGTCCCCTACCTCGGCGCCACAGTTAGGCTCAAAGAACCAACGAAGACGCGACCCATGCTGCTCTGGACTCACGCTTCCAGTATTGGCGGTACTCGAGGCATACTACGAAGCCGGCAGATACATCCTTCCCGGCAGCATAGCTCGGAGTGCCCAGCCTTTTACGCCCAAGGTTGGAAAATCACAGGACACGCCGACTACGACGCTGAAGAGATAGCCCGGATGATGTCTCAGAACTGGAGTATGTCTTTCAACATGGCCCAACTATTGCTGTTCGGGCGCGCCGTTGGTACCTGTCAGCCGATTCGTGGAGGGGGAGAACGAGCTTGCATCGAGGCCTTGGATTCCAGTGAGCGTCCTGACGTCATACACTATGTTGCAGGCAAGTGTTGGCTGGTGATTCCAGAAGCCAGCCAGATCGTTGGACTCGCATGGCCTACCGACGCGAAACCACCCACAGGTATTCTCCGCTCGTGAACCTGCATCAGGCAATGATCCAGATGACCAATGTACCACTTCGGCAGTCATGCTTTCCATGAGCTTTATCGATGCGCTGGTTTTGCTACACCGGCAACCCGATCAAACGAGCTGCTGCACCTGATGACCATTAATGATGTTTCATTGCAATACCACATTGCCGTCTCCGCCCGCCGACAGCATTTTGCGACGAAAAGTGTATGCCGGGGCCTTCTGACGCAAGCACGACTTTATTTTGCTGGTCTTCTTGACGTGGTTTCCATGGTCTTGTGTTGATCCGCTTGTGTTGATCGCTTTTTCTTAATTTCCGCCCTCTGTTTGAAAACCTTTGTCAACGTGTCAACCCGTGCCGCATGCCCAGCGTTTGGTCAATCAATCAGCTAGTGCCAGAGATAAACGACCATCCCTTGATGGCCTCTCAGTGGCCCTACTCATGGCCGGCGACTTCGGCAACCCCTTCTTCGCAACCGATGTCTTCGCATCTTCCATCATGGTCGGTCCGTCCCAGACAGCAGCCTACTCGAGCTCCAACCGGATAGAACCCGTGCAGCACCAACCTCGAGAGGAAGCAGTACCCCGGGTCAATCCTCCTCGGCCTCCACATATGACCTACCAGTTCCCACCGCAGCCTCCTGGCCAGTTTTACAACTATCATGGCGGTGGCACGACCCACATACAGACAGGTTCTCGGCCCCCACCACCAGCACCACCAGTTCAACTTCAGCCCCGTGCGCCCCTAGGCCAAGGCGATACAACGCAGTATACTCAGCCTCGCTATGCGCAGCTTCTTCCCGGCACCTTTCAATCTGATGACATCTTTCTCGACAAAACGGAAGTCCGTGGCCTGCAACTATACCGTCATATTCAGCCCACTCAGTGGTCTTGCAGGGTCGGACTCGCAGGAACAGCAATTCTAGATCTTCCACTGACGCGTCTTCTTCGTGGAGGAGCAGAAGATCACGCGCTCAGAGCGCTATCGAACGGGCGATACAGCACACCGGTAATGGCTCAGACAATTGCCGAGGCGGTGTTATTGACATCAATCCTCAAAGCCTTGCAAGGCAGGGAAGTCGACATCGATCGGACAGCCCGCTCCCTTCACCCGGACAATGCGCCAGACAAGCGCAATGAGGCTATGCAGTTCATGGAGCCGCTCGCGCTCAAAATCGTGGACCACATGGAGTCCCTGCAGCCTGCCAAGCAGGAGAACCTCACCCGCCACAAAATTGCCGAATTGGAACATCAGCTTGAGCGCTACAAGAGCAAAGGCATCACTCTCACACCGGACAAGAAGCAGCCATCTTCGCCTCCTTCCAATACCACTTCCACACCTGCTCTGACCAGTCCCTCTATATCAACAAAGCGATGTCGGATGCTCCTGGGCCCCCCCTACCAGTTCCTTCTCCGGAGGCTGATCCAGCTCCCAAACGACGCCCGGCCAAGCGCAAGACTCCAGAGGCCGCCCCGGACATCACCCGAGATCCAGAGCTTTTACGTCAGGGCAATCCCAAGGGCCAGCAGATCCCACTTCCCAGCAGCCTCACGGACAAAGTCTTCAAAGCGTGCTTGCAGGAACGCACGCTGACCAACCAAGCGACTTATCTCGACCTCGTCAAGCAGGAGCTGGCATCGGACACGGTGGAGCAGTTGAAAACCATTGCAGTCAAGTGGGGGGCGACTATCTCGCTGGTGAGTAAGGGATCGAAACGAGCGCTCCTACAGTTCATCACGGTACTGTACATGTACGGCAAGTGAGAGAAGCGATGCTCGCACTCACGATGGAGGACGTTAGCAAACTATGAACCGGCTGGCACAAAAGGCTCCACTGCTAGGCGCGCGGTCCAAATCAAGCTGCTCCCCTGTGGGTCGATGCCTTTTCGCTAGGACGTTGTGGTTCCCTCTGGTCTTCCTTTTCAGGTGTGCCCGGAACGTGCCCTGGGTTCTTCCTTTGCTTTTTCTTTTTCTCGTTCTTGGTTCTCGGGGGTTTGCAAGCCGGTGTTGTTCTAAGTTGACCCCAACTAACACGCCGGTGCTCAAGCCTGCTACATATGGCCAAGCCATGCCGGTCATTCAGTTTCCGGAAACGGTGTTTCTCCTGCAGCTCTTCGGCAAGTATGAAAGTTCAGAATTATGCGGCGCTGCCAAATACTATGGCATCCCTGAGCCCATGTGGCCAGTTAGCTTGCAACACGGCACCGACCACTTCCTTCCCTACCTCACGGCGCTCATTGCGCTACGACTCGGTGATCGCCATCCTTCTCGGCGAGATTGCCGCAGACACATGGAGACGCTCATGGGGGATACACCCCACACCACGCATATGGCAGAACATCAAGCAGTACTTTGACAACACAGATGACACAGTCACCCTTGCCTTCCACAATGACGACTTAGTCGGCTTCTTCAACAGTGTTCCTCAGGACCAGGTGTGTGCAGCGGTTGCACAGCTACTCGTCGAGCACCAACGAGACAGGCCCAGTTCCGTGTACTCAGTGGAAACACAGGCAACTGCCCACCACAATCGGGTGTTTGCAGGCAAGCAATCCTACGGACGCACACCGACCACGCGCATCATCCACGTGGAGGACATCATGAGCATTGTCAAGTCCAGCTTCCAAGGCATGTATGTTCAAGTGGGGACCCTCATCATGCGCCAAGTCCATGGACACCCTAAACCCTAAACCCTAAACCCTAAACTCTCTCTTCAATGAATATTTAAACCTTAATGGGTCTGTGGCTCTATCTTGCCGCCCCCCCAAACCCAGCCTTATCTCAAAATGGCCATTCCCTTCAGGCCCCTCCTGTCCAAGCCAAAGAGGTCACCTTCCAAGGCTTCTCTGTCCTTTGGGGAAGGAAAGGTCTTAGGAATTGCTTTGGCTCTGTCCCAAACATTGCCGATTTGAGTCACGTACAGCAATTGGCTCCCAGCTCAGCCCGGTACTTAGCCACATATGCGTAGCAAGGCACGAAGTCATGTGGCAGCGCATCTATGGACAATGGTACACCAGTCACAACGTCTTCTTGGAGCGATATGTGGACAACCGGTTTGTCATCTTCCCTTCTCCATCCTCAGGTCACCCGGCGCCCCCACTGGAGGCACTGCTCCAGGCTGACTTCTACGGTGCCCCCATCGTGCTGGAACAAGTGGGGTCTTGAGAGTTCGTCGGCTTCGTCATCGATGTCGGCGACCGGTCTATTTACTACAAAACCCCTACAAAGATCTGGCAGATACGAGGACCACGCACTGCTGGAAGCCTCTCCATCCTCCTCTCAGGAGCTAGGCCACCAAGTACGCGCATCCGGCCAGAGCAGTACAGATGGCACTGGATCAGCTTCGCAGCATCTATTTGTCCGCAGGCTACAAGTCAGCTGACCTGCAACACCTGTTTCACCTACCGGCGACTCCAACACGAAAGAATTCTCAAGCGCCTGCCTTTTGGCTCTTACCCTCATGTGTCCGCGTTTGTCTTTTCTTGTGTTTCTTGGTTTCTTGTTTCTTGATGTCCGTGTTGACCATGGTGCTCATACACTGGTTCAAACAGTGCTGCACTTCCTGCCGACCTCCGCGAGCTGTCGCCATGCTCGGCCGCATGATAGCGCTTCATCACCGCATGACTCAGAACGCTGGTGACATGATGCAGCTCATTCAGGAGACCTTGAACCAAGCTGACGAGGCACGCAGTCGCCGGCACCATGATGGGCAAGGTCGCTGGCAACAACAATATGTCCAAGGCCGGTCGCTGGCCGAGCCATCACGGCTACACGCACCTGCTCCTGTTGGAGCCGATGAGGTAAACCCACCTGGCCCGCCGATGTCGAATCCAGTCAACCCAGCATCTCCGACCGACCCTCCACCACATGTCGGATTCCAATCAATTCAGTCACACGCAGGCCACAGGCGGAACGTGGCGGTCAACCCCAAGTCGTTGTCCTATTGCATCATCGCGGCGGACACCAACGACCCTACAGATCTACGTTCAAAGAGCCCCATGGTGCACGATTACGTTGGTCAGCCGGGCTTCAAGAAGGCCAATGTTCCTCGCTCTATCATGGACAAGGGTGAGGCCGATCGACGCAGAGCCAAGCGAAAGCGATGCCGCGCTACATCCTCCGAGAAGATGGACTTGCCGGAACCTCCAGCACGTCCAGCACCTCGTACTCCAGCTCCAGCTCCGGTCTCTCCCTGCGCTGGCCTGGTATCCTCTCCTGAATCCCTTCCAGAACCTCCGGCTCATGCTCATTCCGATGCCGGCAACCCAGGAACTCCCCCGGAAGCACCTCGTGCCTGGACAGAGGAAGATGACCAGCAGCTTTGCAGCCTGAAAGCGGACAACCGGTCCAAGTACTCGTACAAATCGCTGGCCAAGAAGCTCAACAGGTCCATCGCGGATGTCACGCAGCGCTGGAGGAGGCCACAATCAAAAAGTCCGCAAACAGCCGCCGCCGGTGTATGTCTTGGCATGGTTTTGGTTTTCTGTTTTGTTTCTGTTTTGCTTCTGTCTCTGAGGGCCCCTGCTGTCTGGGTTCCTGGTTGGCCCTTGTTTTAGAAACTGGCTTTTTAATACTGTGGGATGCGCGTCTAGACGCACAGGCAGGATTTAAAAAAGTGACCAAATCTCCCATCGAGCATCATGATGGAGGCGGCCTTTCGGTTTCCTGTGTTCTCCCCCTGCGGTGTGTGTGTGTGTGTGTGTGGCCCCCCTGTTTCTAAGGGGTTTCCGCTGTCCTTTTGAGTTTGGAGTCGAACGCCACCTTGCTGGATGTCTCAACATGAAGTAGTGTCACCTACCGATGGCGTTCCTGAAGAGGATGGTCGGTGGCACGAAAGATGTTTGAGCATGCAGTAAGCCGAAACTCCATTGCCCTCGCGGAGACCTTCAAACAGCCTGTGCCTGCTTGGGGGTGCACCTTGGCAGTTTCGCCGTCTCATATCAAGTGTGTGTGTGTGTCAAGTTAAAAAATAAGTACAAGTTTAAAAAACGGGTGCCCAAAACGACATGATGATATGGGGACAAAGACAACCATGAGTCAGAAGACCTGCGTACTTCACCCGGTTGGCTGGCAACCTGAGCCGGCTCGGCTCGGCCTTCAGGCTTCAACACCATCAGGAAGTCTTTTAGGAAAGGCGAATGGCATGAACGATCCAAGGCTAAGGTCGGACACACGGCAAAGTTGCAACACGTGGAGAAGACGTGGTCAGCATTTCAGCAGGCCCACTCCGCTTGGTCGCTAGCATCCAACTGCGGCTCCGATTGCGCAATCGGAGCCTGGCGCAGCAGGAAGTCGCCGCAGTTGACAGCCAGTACGTCGATCCTGGATTCGTTTGGGAATTGATCTAAGGGATTTTGTATGACACCCTGGAATACACCCACTGGGTATTGACCCCATTTAGGCACATTTCTGGATAACACCGTGTTATTTTGAACCTTCTTGGTCATTTCCCAAGGGTGTAATCCCAGGGTGTAGTACAAAAACTCTCAGAATTGAGCCCCATGGCTCTCTCTCTCTCTCTCTCTCTCTCTCTCTCTCTCTCTCTCTCTCTCTGTCTCTCTCGCTTTCTAAGTGGATTGGCCAGAGGCAGTCAGGCAACCAAATCTTTTCTTTGCCGCCACGGTCTTCCCCCACCCCAACAAAAAAGGACCTCCTGTTGTGTGGGAAGGTAGTCTCTAACTTCACAAGATGCAGCGGAGCGGAGGATCCATCGGATCGGTCTGAATGTTGCGATGGGCTTCCATTGAACCGAGCCTCTGACAAGTTCTTGGGACACTTTCGGACATAAAACGTCGCGCCCACTGGGAGGGGGGACCCCCAAAAGGGGTTCTGCGTTGCGGGGGAGCCAACGAACACTTGCGTCAAAAGGCTTTTTCTTTGGACCCTGCCCAAGACACGACTTTCGGCGGGAAGGCAGGGTCCAACATCTTTGACTTGGCCCGACATTGTAGGCCACAACTCCAAAACCAAGCACGGGCCCATGACACAGACCCCAAAAATCGACATATCTTGGGCGTCAACCACCCTCGGGTCATGGACACATTTTTCGGGCCATCGGGGGCTCGCCCGAGCGGGCGAGCGAACATCGAAGCCGAGTCTCAAGATGCCCTGACTCTTTGCCGCAAAGGCGCAGCTCACCTGCAAAAACTGGTCGGCGCGAGAGAGGCAGGGAACATGGAATGGCCCCAAGAAAAAAACACATCCAACTGGTGTCCTTTAAGGGGACCCCTGGGTTCATCATCCAATTGGTGGTTTCCTTTATTCGGGGGTCCAATTACCCGATTTCCGTTTTTTTGTCTGGTTCAATTGAATTCGTCAAATGCTGATGCTTTGGAGGAGCAGGCAGTTCATGTTTAGACAGCATTTTGTTGTTTGAGCAGATCCAAACATGAGCAATGGCTCGTAGAAGTTCACCTTTTGGGACCTTTACTAAAAGTGGACCAAGGGAAAGCCAAAAGATGAAAAAGGTCGGCCTTGGACAAGTGAGTTGCAGGCATGTGTGCAAACATGTTTTTCTTTCCAAGCCCTGAACATGAACAGAAGCAACACAAACAATTACGTAAACAATGCAAACAGTGAAGCCATGAAACTGGCTTGACCATGGGACACCAATGGGTGGCTGATTCCCACAAAGGAGCAAAGGGGAGAGTCTCGGCAAGTTCTGTCGGCTTGCTCACGCCCTTGATGTGCAGAGTGAGCCGAATGGGCCTCGATTTTCAGCTTGCGGCGTGACCTGTGCCCTGTAGGGGGCATCCTGCGCCAGATCGATAGGGACCCCCGCCATATCCGAGCCCGTCTTTGGGTCCGCGGGCTCCGCTCGCGCCGAGTCGAACTTCAGCTCGTCGGGGGAATCCATTTCGGGGCTTCAAGAATGTGAAGGGGACTTGCCAGGACCGCACAGGTTGGATGCTTCAATTGGGGGTTCCAACATCATTCCCTATCTCCAAACCATCCCATAAAAGAAAGAAAGAAAAAACAAAAACGGCTCCATGGTTCTCCTTTTGGAACTTCCACAAATGCCAACCGAACAATGAGTTGGTTTCAAGAAGGATGCCGGGGGATCCGTTGAAAATGCCAACCAGCATGGCCGCCGAACATGAGACGCTCGCTGAACTGTCGAGCCGCCAGCCCGGCGCTCTGCTGGGTATAGTCCACCTCGCTGCTGGAGGCATCAATGACCAGGACACGCGCTTGCAGCTGACGGTTCTGCGCCTCGGAAAGACCAACCCGGGCGGCAAATTTTTCACGTTCAGTGGGTGAACTGGCAAGCACCACTAAACCTCGGTTGCTTTCTGTTCCCCTGCTAAAAGTTTAACTTTTAGTGGCTTAATGGAAAACCCCATTAGTTGGCGAAAACTTAAAGTCCTAACATCCAAGCAAATGCACCAAAGAAACCCAAAAACCTAGGGAGCCACAAAGCGGCCTTTTTGCCGGACACCGGGCCCGAAACGTATCTTGGGGACCGCTTGACCGTCCCCGGAAACTCCTTGTGCTCAGGGGGGTCCGGTCGAAACATTCACCGCCGCCCGACCGGACATGGGAAATTCAGAGCCTTCGGGTTGCGCGAAACTTTGAGTCCACTTGGTCCCAAAGAGGACCTTGGACTGGATCTTTGGTCGTTCCGGCGTGCTAAAGGGGTCCTTTTCGCCCCAGGCCTAGCTGAGGGGTGTTTTGACCATGGCACACTAGGTGTTCCAGTAGAGAGGTTAGTATAAGGGTACCCTGTTTTTCCTGCAGTCTGTTTTAGTAGGGGAAACCTCCCCCAAAAAAGGGTAAACGGGCACTACTGGGGGACCTGCTAGTTTCAGAATAGGAAACCCGCCCGGGGAACATGACAAAAACCTGAAAACGAGTCACACCCCCGACGCCTGACCGAAGATGCGCTTTGATAGCGATTCCCCATGGCTCACGGTCTGGAAGGGATCAAGCTTCTGCTGACTTGAAAAAGGGGTCATTTTAATGGCCCGTAAGCATAGGCTTGATTTCCAAGGGGTTTATAGAAATCCCGCGGGTCCACGCCTCCTCTCCTAAACATGAGCAATCAGCAACCAATCTACGCCATGCCCAGAACATGCCCCCTAACCCAAACCAAGCTCAACCTAAACCCATCCTGAGCCAACCCTATTCCCTACAAAGCATCGTCCGAACGTGCCAGTGAAGCAGTACTGGGAGCTCAATAGCGAAGGGTGGCTGGACATCAACAACATGTCCATCCCGGTTTGAGGGAAACAAAGTGGTCATGGACTTCCTTAAAGTCTCCACGACTCTCCAACATGGGATTTGTACTCCATACTTCGCGTGGACCCCGTGATTTGAGGGTCTTGGAAACTCCAGAAAGGTTCAGCCAACCAACCTAAAGAATGTACACCGTCCTAAGGCAACCATGACGCCCCGGAGTTGTCACCATGGCATACATGCCTTCTGAGTTGAGTGTGTTGGCCAAACAAGTATCGTATGTAAACTTTTGCCACCCAAACGCCGGCGTCTCTTTTCTCTGTTCCTCACTTCCCAACTACTTCCTGGACTGGCCAAGAACAAGTAACAACATTTCACACTCACCACTAAACTAGCAACCAACCCCCAAAAGTGACTAAAGTCCATGAACTCAAGGAGTGAGACAAGGGTCACTGGATTTCCCCCTTACCACTACAAATGACAACCAACCCCAAAAAGCAACATTTCAGTCCGAAACGGAACTCGATCGGGAGTGAGGTTGTACTTGGGGTGATTTTGAGGGAAAAAACAGCCCCTTTTTTGTTTCCGTTTGGAGAACCTGCTGGGCAACCAAACTTTTTATTCACCACTAAAACGGTCCAACCCCAAAAAAGTAACCAACATTGCTTTATTACCAACCTCCCAAAAAATGGCAACCAGCCCCCCCCCCAAAAAAAACAACAACAACAACAACAAAAAACAACACATGGTTACTTACCACCAAAGTGAAGGGTGACACAAGTCCATGAACTCAGGGACCGAGACCAGGGAACAATATTTCCAGTAGTGAAATCTTTTCCCTTTGGAAACCAACAGGGGGACGCTAATCATTCTTAACCAAATGGATGCGGTCGGGAATTCTTCCCGAGCCGCGAGCTGTCGCTGCGCCAGGCACAGGCCGCAGCCCAGCGCCGCCGCCGTGCACGGCGTCGACACAGCCGGCGCCTCCAGCAGCTTGCGCCGGGCCGCCTCCGCGGGATTTTTCTCCCGCCGGCTCGAGGCTTTTTCGCCGGCTCCAAAGCCGGCGGCTACCAACGAATACGGAGAAAAAACGCGGGAAAAACTCAGCGGAAAACGAAAAAAAATAAATCTGGGAAAACACGGGGGAAAAAACGACTCAAAGCCTTGCTCTCTGATGTGGCGGGATGGTTTTGATGTGTTCTTCTCCACTGCGGATTGTTGAAACTCCGAAAACATGCATGAGGAATCTCCTCTTGGACCCTTTTTTTTGGGTTCTTGCTTTGCCGTGGAGTCATTCGGGTCTACAAAATGTTTGGGTCTACAGTTTGGGCTGATTTTGGGTCGCTTTGTCAGCTTTTCTTTTTTTTGAACTGACAAACGGGCAAGACTCACCGTTGAGCCAACTAGTGCTAGATCGATGGTTGTGTCTTTTGAACGAATGTAGCACTCGTTGTAAATATTTGTAGTATGGATGGATGCCCAGATTCATGAAAGGAATGTGTAGATGCTTTTTTTCTCTGGTACGTATTTCCTATGAGGAACACGCCTTTCAGGGTGCCTCTTGAAAGCCATGTGAGGTCTGTTACCCAACATAAACTAATACCAAAACAGAACAGTATTTTGGACACTTCATACATGTCCTAAGGAACCTCCACGAAGAGGTACCCTCAAGAAAGACACACACCCTAAAAAATCGCAGCTCAACTTGCTGTTTGCCTTTCCCACTGCATTTGTTCAGGCCTTCTGCTAAACATGATTGAAACACATATTGCTTAAACACCCTCTTGTTGCTTGGTTGGATCTTGCCCGCTTACAGTTTGAGAATTGGTCGAGGCAACGCATCCCCGATTTCTCTAATTATTCGTTTTGCCTGACAAAACTGTTCACTCCAGCTTTCCTGAGGGAAACTTCGGAGGGAACCAGCTACTAGATGGTTTGATTAGTTTTTTGCCACCTGTACCCCAATATGACGAAGGATTTTCTCGTCAGTTTACTCAGTTGGTCCTGGAAGAGTTGTCATGTTGTTTCTCAAAAAGAACCAACCAAAGCCTATCTGGGCCAATCGACCCCAGAGCTTCCAGCTGTTGGGCAAAACGGTCTCGAAAAACAGAGCGACCAATCTCAACGTAAGGACTCCACTGTTTGCGTCCTGACCAGAGACCGTTCAACAAAAACTAAAGGAGCGACCTGAAAGGAGATAGCTTCATTTCTTCTTGAAAAGAAGAGAGACCCACGTTTGTTTCCCTTTAAAACCATGTTTTAAAAAACAGGCACCCTCAAAAACAACGCCGGAGACCCACACAATTGTGGTTTTCCTTTTAGTTTTCCTTTAGAATCGTTCAACAAAAAGGCACCCCCTCCCAAAAAGAGAGAGAGAAACCCAAGTCACATTGGCCTTTTGCGAAGGCACACCGGAAGAACCTACCCTCAAAACAAACGAGAGACCCATTTGCGGTATGAACAGGTGAAAAGGACCAATCCCCCGGCGTCCTTCGAGCTTCCTTGAGCTGCATTCCTTCTTGAAACAAAGAGGGGGACCATTTTTGCTTCCAAACCAGCCCCCCAAAATGTTTGGTGAACATGAATGTGAAATGGTTCCCTTTGAATCCATTAAGCCAACAGAGGTAGCCAAATCATTATAAAGAAAACAGCGTTTTTCCGGTAGGGAGGTTACGGTGCTGCAGCATGGCAAGCTGCTTGGTGGACGCTTCACCGGCACATGGATGCCTAGCGAAGCCCTGGGGGCACACCTCCCGGAGGCAAGTAGCTGTGGAGCCGAAATGCCTAATAAGGGTACCCTTTTGGCACGTGACGCACGAATCTAGAGCGCGCGCGGGTGGTAGGGCATGCCGCCCTACTACCGGTGAAAAGAAGGGCATCAGCCCCGCACACAAACCGGAGGTGTGAAACTTGGCAAGGGCACAAAATGAGCGGAAAGAGGGGGGACCAAAATGAGCGGAAAGAGGGGGGACCCCCTTTCCACTGGCTGGTAAGAGCACGAAGTCGACAAGCCCAGCACCCACCAGTCCCAACCCGCAGGAAGGGAATGGGGGGGTGGGCAACAGGCACATTGGCTGCCTGAAAACGTGCCGGCAGTGCATCAGGAGGTCAGGAAGTCTCCCGGCTTAGCGCTGGGAGTGCTGGGGAGCCACGACCACCACATTGAACCCGAGGTACGGCACGTAGGCAGTCTTGGCAGTGTCGGAACTCACCTGGGACATCACAACACATCCTTGCCCAGAGAGAGCTTGCAGGAGGCGTAGCATACGTCCATAGACCTAAATACCAGGCGAAGGAAACAGGAAAAGGCCCGAGGAAAGTCGGCATAAAATGCTGTTGCTGGGCACCGTCACGCTGAACAGCTACCGGTTATCAACCCCACAAGTCCGGTAGATGAGGATGAAGCAACGAAGGATAAGGTCGTACCCAGAATCACGCCCAAGTGGTAGAGGAAAGCCGAAACACTGTACAACTGTCGGTCTCCAGAGAGGCAAAATCACCAAGGCCACACGGAATGTAGAGCAGCAGCACCACAAAGTAGAAATCAACCATGAGGTTTGCGCCCGGCACCTAGGGCATCAAATCGCCACCATGCAGGGAGAGGAGGGGGCCGAAGAACAGGGCCCATCCCTAACGCAGGGGTGGGCACATGCAGCGGAACCCCACCAAAGCAATCCACACGCCAGGACCAAAGCGAAGCAGCCATCAACGAAGAGACCAAGCCAGGGGAAAGGGCGACACCACCAAAAAGGGGGGGGGGGGAATCAGCACGCCAACAGCACAACGGGCACAGCAGGGAGGCCACTAGGGGGGCCCCGCACACGAAAAGCGGGGCACTGTGGAGGAGACCACAGCTTGGTGGACGACCAACGCACCATGGAGTGTCGCAGGTCCCCGGGGGCTCTACTCCCAATAAGAAACGGCAAAAGGGCACTACTGGGGACCTAGAAAAGGAAGCCCTCAACAAAAGGGGAGACAAGGCCCCGATTCCGTGGGAAATTTCATACGTGTCTCTTTTAGGGTAAAAATAGATGGGTTTCCCTGGTAGATGATTAAACCACCTGGAATCGCCATCTACTCCACCAAAACATAAAAAGAACACCTATGCCCCTACCTTCCGCTTGCTTACCTGCGTGAATTTTTGCGTTTTTTTGGCGTGTTTTTGTATGTCTACTTGCGTGTTTTTTTCTTCTTCTGCCTGCCTTTGCTTTGCTTCGCTTACGTTCAACAAAAAAAAGACCGCCGGACGCCGCGGCGCCTCCCAGTCCGCGGGCCCCGTCTCGATCTCGGAGAGGGCCACGGCGGTGTCGGCGGCCAGCAGCATCACCGCCTGAGGTGGGCGGCTCGGTTTGAGAGGTCCTCCAGATTTTTGAGAGGATAGAATAAGTTATGGTGCCAACTGCTTTTCTTTTTCTCCTCTTTTCCGTTTTGGCTCTTTTAGGGGAACCCTCCCGCAAAGAAGGGGAGAGAAGGGCACTACTGGGGGACCTAGTTTGGGTGCTCCATGGTGATTCATGGTGGCGCCGCTTTCTTTTGGTTTGTTTTGGTACCCCCAATTTAGGTTTGTAAGAGGATTGTTGTTTCTGTTGCTTTTGGTACCCCAAATTTCGGTTTCAAGAGGAAGGTAAAAGGAGAATCGAAGGCATTGTGGGCGGCTCGTCTTTTATTCTTTTGGTACCACAAAAAACCAAGGTCTAAAAAATGACACACCCAGGTAACAGCCCCCCCTGGAACCCTCTGGAACCCTCCCTTGCGAACCACCCCAGAGACACCAAAGCTTTCAGGTCTTGGGGGAAGGCAGGAAAGCCCAAAACAAGAACCAAAACAAAGACGATTCAAGTTATGGTAACAGCGCCGGTCACGAGCTTTGCACGACTGGGCCAAACTGATCCTACCAAAAAATGACGGTTCAAGAAGGGGCCGTGTTTTTGGAGCCCATGACAGTGACATGATGTTCCTTTAGTACTAACCCATGGAAGGAATATATTTTTTCGGATAGTTGGGCACACAATTTAGGGCCACTGGGAACATGTCACTATGGCCACCAAAGGCAACACAAAACACAACTGAAATTCCAGGCTTCGAGGTGGGTTTCCGTCCCTTGCGCCAAACGTGCGTGGCAAAATCTAGCTCAGCTTTTTGCCCCCCACCCAAACTATGTCTGATTCTGTTTCATGTCTAGTGAACCTAAACAATGTAGCACTACCTTCCAGGCTGGTAAAATTCACTATTCCGATTGTTCTAGTCTTCCAAAAGGGACGTAATTGCCCTGACCCCCACAATTCCCTGAACAATGGGGTATTGCCCCAACATTACGGGGTAAAAACCCCCTTTTGTGGGCAGTTTGAGGGTCCAGGCACATGTTCCTCGGGGTTCGCTCCTGATTTTCTTAAGCTCAACTCGTTGGTTTTCGCCTTCTGGTCGGAGTTGAGGGCCACAAAGGCGCGGAGGAAGAGCAAGAGGCTCTCCCACACTGCGGGAAACGCCGGCTGCTGCGCCACCTCCTGCGTGACACCCCTCGGGCTCTGGGACGCTTAGGGCTGAGCCTTAAAAACATGCCTGGGTAGAATCCCTACATGCAATATGTCATGGGAATGAAATTCTAGATTCAGGACTTTTGTGGACAGTGGAATTCGGTGGAGGCTTTCGTCTATGGAGGGTCTTCCATGTTGCTTTTGAACATATCGCCGTATACGTGTGCGCAGGTGGGGATTATTGAATTTCCCCCCCTCCCCCCCGCGAAAGCAGTTGGAGCACTGGAGTGGGCCGATTCGGGTGGATTTTCAGCAAATGGACGGGGCCATCCATTGATCGACAAAGATAAAAAACTTTACCCGGAGGAGTAGGTGCGAAGCGCATCGATGTTTGGGGATTAGATGACCAACATAGTGGATGGACAAAATCCTGCAACAGCTGAAATGGATGAACATGAAGGAAGAATGTGACACGCCACATATCAACAGATGCCGTTTCGTGGATTTCATCCATCAGTTTTGAGGGGGACCCTTTTCAAGTTGGTTTGGCAGGTAAACCAAAGCAAAACCATCATTTTGGTTGGGCCAACACTGAAATTGCCTACCCCCTCAGTTTCGGGGACATGTTCTTTAGGTAAGCAAAGGGTCACTCGGATGTGTATCAAGCTGCAACCGTTGGCCACTTGAGAGCAGCCACTGGATTTTCAGGGAAGCCCTTGCCCAGAAAAGGGGTTACAACTGGGACTCGGCAACGGGGAAACTGACAACTCTAGGCTGTACAGTTGCACATTTGGTCTTTTTCAGTTCGTTGCCGCCCTTTGGGGGGCATTTTGGAGACTCCATTGGGCGAACCCACGAACCCATTAGGGATGGATCCCAGGGTTGAAACTCAGTGCTCAGGGGTGCTTCCATTCGCCACTCTTCAGGAAAGCCAAAGGACGCTTCAAAACATGTTCTTCCGAAATGGCTTCGTTTTTTTCAAGGGCACTGCCGTTTTTGTGGCTTCAAACGGAAACCAAAAAAACACCCGATGCCATGTTGGGGGGTTCAACCCAACCCTTTGGTAGTTCTGAGGTTTGAAGCAAGCCATTGCTTCGATAGACGCTTGGTTCCAAAAGGCAGGGTCTGACGCTCTGGTTTTTACCCCGAGACCCGGAGACCCGGAGACCTAGACCCCCCAAATGGCATTGGGACAAAAGGGGGCACTCTTTTTTCTGTACTGGTAGTTGTTGAAGGGGAGCCCCCCAAACAAAAGCCATGAAAGCTGGGACCCCCGCTAGAGCAAGAAGCCGCGCATCGAGCACAAGGACCTCAGAGAGAGGAGTCGATCAAAACACCATCCCGGGTCAAGGTTGTCGTGCCATCGAAAGGAGAAGTGGGTGTCTCCTTCCTTAGGGGAGCCCTCAAATGGTGGTTTCTCTTTTAGCTTCCCTTTACCTTCAAAAAACATGTGAGGTTCTCACATGCTTGGGGATTTGGAGCCCGTGATGGAGGGGTGAATTCCCATTTACCCGCGACAAGAACGCGGGGTTCAAATCCACATCCAAACAACCTTGCTCCAAACCGCCAATTGAGGTGGTTACCCGGACAAATTCTACCGAGGTCCTCCAGTAGAGAGGTTAGAATAAGGGTACCCTGTTTTCTGTAGTCTATTTTAGTAGGGAACCCTCTCAACCAAAAAAGTTGGTGAGAAAGGGCACCTAGCTGGGGGACCTAGCTATGGCAAAAAGAGAACCAGATGGAAACCCTGCTGGGATGAACTACCAAGAAAAGTGCGGGTTTTGGTCCATTCGCATGGACGGCGCCGAGTCCGAACAAACTTGTAAACAAAAACAACAACAAGGCGCCAGACCCGCCCAGTGAGAAAAGTTGACACTCTGAGCCTGGACCCTCCGCGAAAGGCCGAAATTCACCCCAGGACTTTGGGCAATACCCAATGTTTTAAGTAGGAATTGGTCCAGGTCGTCCGAATTTGGATCCCGGAGTTGGTTTTTCTCCTTGGGCCCTCGAATAACCAGAGGCGTGGGTGTGAGACCGCTGACCCGCTGGTATCCTCTCACCCTCCACCCACTTCCTTGTTTCCTAGAAAATGATACCCTAAAATTGTGGGGGCTGGGGGGTGGGAGGCGGGGGGGGGGGAGGAGTGAATAAGGGCCTTTTGGGCTTGTTTGGGCTCCCTCCACGCCAGGCATGATAATAAAGCTTAATTCTTTTCGGGGTTGATTTCAGTGGGCATTCAAGCTTTGGACGGGTGCGAATAGATGCGAAACTGCAATACTTTATTTTGTAGTATGCTGAGCCCATATTTTATGACATGCAAATCGTGACGCACAAAGCGTGGGCCAACGCAGTTAGTGGGATTTCGTTTGTTTTGAGGGCACTCCTTTTTGACTCAATTTAGAGGGAACCAGCTGATCCTGTTGCTGATTTGGCTCCGGTAGAAGCTCTGCCCCTACACCCAACACCGACTCGTTTACAGGAAGTTCAAGAAAGTGATAGGACAGGAAGGGGTGGATGATCCTCTCCCATCCACTCAACCCCTTCCCAGCCTATCATTTCGTGACTCGGGGAATTCCCAACGGCGCAAGGGACGATACGAGGAAGAGAGTAAGAGCGACTCATTCATCCTTCATTTTCGCTCGCCCTTTGCCCCACCTTTGTCCCGCCTGTATGAGTCGGATGGCGGGAGGCGTGACAAAGACAAAGATGAAAGGGTGGCAAAGAGAGAGAGAGAGAGCGAAATTGTGGAAGAAGACTCGCTCTTCCCTTCCACGTCCCAAAGCTAAAATGGCCCCAAAAAGTAGAGAGTCCAGGACCCCCTCGTTGCGCCCGCTTCAGGGGTATAAAGTTAGCACACCCCACTGGTCAGCAGGAAATAAGAAACGAAATAACCCCTTTAAACCATCCAACTACAAGTAATGGTTTCCTTTCTTCGGACCTCCCCCAAAACCGGTAGACACATTCCGCCAACACCCGCCATCGTCATTCAGCCAATCGGAGGCGGATTTTTCGAGTCTCAGGAGAGCGCCAACAACTCGGGGTGCAGAGGCTGGCGCTCTCCTGGCAACTGGCTGCGAAATCCATCGAATTTCGCACCCTTCAGACACCCCTTCGGAAGGATGCGCTTACGGAAATACCCGCAAACGCTATGGTTTCAACCATGGTTTCTTAGCTGGGCTCTCCGTTTTCTGATCCCCTGCTAAGCTCGAACACTTTTAGTGGCGTGGAAACTATCGCAAAAACCAAGCAAACACCTCTAAAACCCCACCGTATAAGCCTCGCCTTGACAGGGTTGCTCCCAAACGAAGGATAGGTCTTGCCTTTCTGACCGCTGCTTTTCGTTGAGTGCCGGGATCTGCAGGGAACGGAGCCGAACAAGCAGCAGACGCGACGCAGCGCGAGGGGGGTGATCCGTTTGCTTTTGCTCTGCGTTCTTTGCAAACCAAACCTTCCGTTTGCTTAAGCCCCTGGAAAAATTAACACATTTCGAACAGTCATAGATTCCCTTTAACACCAACCGAGGGAAAATCAAAACATATTCATTTCAGCCACTGGAAGAAACCCAAAGCCAATGGCCATCGCTGGACCTCACCGGCTTACCGGCATGGCGAGCTTAGGGTTGCTTCCGTGTTCGGCGATGTTCACGCGTCCAGGCTGCGAGTCTATGGCTGGTGAGTCTATGGTTTGAGACAAAACGGTCGGGAAACCGAAAGTGTGGATTCTCCCTTGTCATTTCCATGCAAGCCAACCTACCCTCAAGAAAACCCATATGGGCATGAATCTTAACTTTTGGATGGCCAAAGACTTCCATTTGCTTAAGTCCCCTGGCAAAAACATATTTCCAGTGGTAGGGTCGCTTTAAAGCCAAGGTAAATAAAACAACGTCCTCTTAAGCAAAAGGATTGATCAACACCCAGTGATTGATTTCGCCAAAGGAAGCACTTCCCTTGAAGCTTCTCAACCGCCCCTAACTCCCCAAATCCTAACCCCTCTCCCCCCCGCGCTGGCCATGGGAACAACAGGGAGCCATATACCAGTCCCCAAAGAAGGAGTGTTCAACCTTGCACCGAATCCTCAAACTCTAGCCTTCCGAAAGTTCTTCCTTTGGCCTTGCTCTGCAAGATGAACACGCCAGGCTAGAAAAAACGCCTCTCCCTGAAACCGTCTCCCTGAACCGTCTCCCTGAAAGCTGCCCCACCCCGAACCCGCCGATTTCTGGTCGACCAAGTCCATTGCTTTCAGCAGTTGGGGGAGCAAAGGGACACAAATCCATGGGCGGTTTCGAATTTTTATCTCAGACCCGAGTTCAACGGGAGGTTCGGGCTCTCGATTCCGTCCAATGTCCATAGTCACCCCATGTCGATCGTCGATTTTAACGGTTGACATGGGCGTCTCTTAAGCGTAAGCGCCGCCAAAAGGGTATATATGAGTGTGTCGTTGTTTAGGATTTGGACCAAACATGGCTTCGGTTGTCCTCTTTGGTTTTCCTTTGTAACCCACCAAAGAGGGGTCCATCCAAAAACAGAAGCACCCCCACTACCCTGTAAACGAAGAATCACCCCAGAGCTCTCTCCAAAAGCCGCATAGGAGGTCTGGGCTAAGGCGGCGCTTTTTCGCTCCTCCTCTCGCTCGCTTCGGCGGAGCTCCCTCCGAGAACATGGCGAAGCGCGGTCCGAGAACCGCGAACTGCGCGTCCGAGCCGGTTGGACCGCTCGCCTGAAGACTGGAGTACAAACCAGAAATTCCACACTTACCAGCGGGTGGCTTTTGGTATAGTACTGTTTCGGGCTTTGAGAGTTTGAAGAGGTTCATTACATTGACATGGGAACTCCAAAGGCAGTTCTCTCCTTTCAAGGAACCCGTGGAAAGTATCTGTTGATCTATTTTTGACCAGCTGAAACACGTGTTCACGCCGCCGAATCAACCCATTTCCCTGGTCAGGGATAACTGGCAAGTTGTCTGAGCGCTGATGGCCAAACTCCTCTGCACCCTGCACAGCAAGATATCAAGAATCTAATGACCCAAGCCAAAAACTGCGGGGTCGCGCGCTTAGTATTGATCCGGATGACCCCCCGTGGATAAACAGGTGTCCGCTCTTTGGTGAATACGATGGATGTGCCGAAATCTTGCAAGTAAACCAACCGCACTCAATAGTTGAAGTTGGAAAGTAACACGAAAACCAACCGGGCGGGGGGGGGGGGGGGGAAATTGGCACATACTCTTTCCGGAGAACCGAATCAATGGGAATTTTCGATCCTCAACTTGGCCAAATGCGTGGAGTCGACGTGCTGCTTTTTAGCAGGCCACGGTGGGCCTTTGGGGCAATGGAACGGGCAAGTGCCCAGCAAGAGGGCCTTCAAAAGGGCAAAGCAATGCAACAAACCTGGACACTGTGGGTCAAAACCCCGTACCCCCAGTCAACATCCCAATCCCCACTAAAATAGACTAAAAGGGGTGGCGCACCACCCACAGCCACTTTTTCTTCTGGCGAAAGCCTTGAGGGGCCTGACCTTTACTATTTTTCGGCTGAACTCTTCAAGGGCCAAACAGGCCTGAGGCAAAAAGCTAAATCCAATTCGGGATGTATGTCCGACCATTCTGGAGGGTGTTCCCAGTCAAATACTTGGGGCGTGTCTGTCTTTAGGGGACCCCCTCCAAAATGCTGGTTTCCCTTTTGGTCACCAAAACGGGCACCCTCCAAAAAAGACACTCAAAAATGGTTGGTGACTAATTCCCGTGCAGATGGCATTGAAAGGGTTCCCAACTAAGAATCATACAAATGCATCTCAACTGCATCCAAGGGAACCCGAAAACAGGTTCCTCAAGTGGCCATGGAACAAAGCACTCACTTCTGGGAATTAACCACCATACCCATATTTCTCACCTGCCTCCAAGGGAACATTTCTGGGGGTTTTTGATCTCAAACCCTCCACAAATCTCTTGAACCAAACATACACACGCCGAGCATCTCGCAGGGGACGCCTTGACTGCTTGAAGTCGGCACCTTTTTGCGCTTGGAGGGCGCCCCAGTGCGGGCGTCTGTAAGTGAGACCGACGGACAGGTTCCTGACTTCAGCGAGTGGAGGTCTGAAAACAGGTGGGCTCCCTCAAAATTAGTGGTTTCCCTTCGGTTTCCCTTTAAACCCAAGGGTATCCTCACAAAGACATACCCATTTGCCGGTACTTGTAAACCAGTAGCGGATGGGTGATGGGTAACACAGGCAGTTGATTGGTTCCTTTCAACGGCCCCTTTCAAATGGCACCAGAGAATAAGTGACAAGCTTGCTGGAAGGCCTCAATTCAAGAAGCCCATCAATAACATCCGATCATGATTGATTCCGCGCGGAACACCATATACATTTGCTTTATGAGTCGGGTTTTGTCTAGGTTTCAGAAAGGCCGGGTCATGCTTGGATTTCAGGAACGCTGCCCTGCGAATCTTTGCAGATGGCACACTCAAAGCAAGCCTGACGAATTCTAACCAATGCGCGAATCCACCCGTCACCTCCAGGTTGATGAATGGCTGGATGAATAAGGGGCGTCCCATTCTAGAAGGGACGGGGATGCTGGAAGTTTGGTGGACATACCCCAGTAAGGTTCCATCAGAACTCTTCCATCAGAAACCAAGGTGTCTGAACCATTGCTGGGCTTGGGGCCTTGCGTCTTCGGATGCCACCCAACTCGATCCCGGTTGCTCAGTTATGAGCTTGGTGATGGTTCGGCCCTAAGAGAACCCACCCAGTTGCCTTTGCCAAGCACATCACAAACCCCTAGAGGGAACTCCTCATTAACAAAAGGCGATGCTTGAGGGAAGCACAGGCATAAGGCAACTGGCCAGACCCGCATCGCGCGAGAACTGCGCTGGGCAAGCTGTCGAGGGCAAGAAAAGGTCGCAAAAGGACACCCGAGGGACCTGATGCCGACTTTCTGCCATCGTACTGGTTCAATGAATGAGGGCTGCCCTCAGATCTCCCGCCAAAAGTTTAACTTTTAGTGGGTTAAATGAAAACTACCCCAAAACACTTAAAAACACTAAAAGGCTAAGGGGATGGCTGGGAGCAATGGTGCCTGTGAAGGGTGCCTGTCGAGGGGTCATTTGTTCAATGCCACAGGAGTAACCTTGGCCACTGCACCCAGCAAATCAAATTTGATCAGATTCTGATTCATACTCGGTCTATCCTAGACAGTTCTGGGATGGGCGACGTTAGCGATGTCCTTAGGACCTTCAAAACAGTTTGGCGCCGATGGGCTTTGGGCCTCAAACTCAGCCTAAGCCAATCCCAATCCGACACCACGCGCCGCGGCTTCGGCGCGCAAGGCGCGCACGCCGAGCGGCGCCTGAGGCCGGCCTGAGGACTTGAACTGACGAGTGTAGGGCGTTCCTGAAAGAAACGATGGATCACCATCTATCCGAGTCTCCCTTCCTAAGTGGGCGGGGCAAAAAAGTCTGAACTTGTTTTATTTATCGCTAAGATGGAAAATTAGGTCCTCCAGTAGAGAGGTTAGAAGAAGGGTACCTTTCTTTTTCTGTAGTCTATTTTAGTAGGGGAACCCTCCCCCAAAAAAGGGGAGAGGAGGGCACCTAGCTGGGGGACCTGGGAGTGAGCTCGGAGTGAGCTCGGCTTTCCTTTCAATTGCGGAGTGACCAAAATGGTTGGTCAAATGCTCGCATCCTGCTCCCGGGATTGAACGGGGCTTTGGGTGATATCTGCACTTCCTGACTTTCTGTTTGCCACTGGCGTGGTCTTCCCAGTGAGAAGAAACCTTGAACCAAGTGGGTGAACCAAATAAGTCTTTGAAGCTTCAGGAAGCCTTCGAAAGCTATGGCAAAAACCACCAGGGCGGAAAGAGGTCGTCCCTATTCTCTATACCCTTCCTTGTTTACCGAACCTGGAAGGCCAGAAACTTTTTCACCTGTATGAAATCAACGTGGCTGTGGTTGTCAAAACCAATGGGATCCCATTTTGGTTGGTATATAGGTGAATTCACCATACTTTGTTTTTGTGGGGATTGGGATGTTTACCGGAAGTACGGGATTATGCCCCATGGCCACGTAGCTTTTGGCCAACTTCCTAGAGGCCTGGTCATGACGAAGCACCCCTGCTGTTCCCTCAAGGAGATTCACTTGCAGGTGCTCAGTAAAACACGACCGAGTCATCTTGTGTCGAGAATGAGCCGTTTTTTGGGCGCCTGAACTAAAAAATAACAAATAAAACATAAAATCGGGGAGGGTTTTGTTGCCTTGGGGAAAAAATCCACGTCTCATTCTCCGCCTATCGACACCGGCACGCCCCCTGGGCCTAGTAGTGGTTGCCCAGCGTCTGGTCAAAGGCATCCAGCTTCCTGACGGGGGAAGCAACGGGAGCTGACGGAGTTTGGGGGGGCGGTGGGTGGGGCTATCCAGGTCAGAACCTGGTGCGTGATGTTGTACTAAATTCACGATTCTGACTGTTTTTTAGGGATGGTCAGAGTCGGACAAGGGCTTTGCTTCCCTCTGACATACCACTTGTATGGGTGTGGCTCAAAATTGAAGAGCTAGGGCAAACTGCAGGTTTGAGTCTTTAGTGCATTTACCAAGGTGCCATTTTAGTACATGTATTTGAGCCACAGCCATATAGGTGACTTTGGCCCAGTAGATTCAGTCACCCTCTTGCCAGCATCGTGGGAGTGGATAATCCCCCGAAAGGCAAGAAGTCCTCCCAAACAGCCTCCGATTGTCTGAATCCACGTAGGGTACTCATGAAGACGTGTTGCGCTGTTCCGTGGCCCTCAATGCCCTGGCAACAGCAGTCAAACCCTCTTCAAGGAGAAACTTGAAAGCACACAGCTCGCTTCTTTGCCGCCAAAATGCTTCCCAAAAGGTTCGTTGTCCTTTTGGCTTGTCCCAAAAACGGCACGCACTGAGCCAAACAAAAGGACCCGGCCTTCTTGTCTTGCTCCCCAGGGACCCCAGAAATAAGAGGTTCGCCATTCCCAGAGGGGTCCAAGTAAACTGGGCTGTCCTCAGATCCCCCGCTAAAAGCTTAACTTTCAGTGGGTTAAATTCGGAAATCCCCACTAAACCAACTAAAAAGATCTAAAAAGCTAAGGAACCGGATGGCTCGCTGGGAGCCACCAAGTAGCAAGAAACGGAGCCCACCGTTCGGGTGGTCCTGGACATCCGCTCCAGTAACTCCTTCATCCGCAGGTCGGTGTCTGTCAGCATCTCGGCTTCATCCGCCAGGGCCTACGCCAACGCCGGACGCCCAGGTGTGGTGGAAAACCCACGGCCTTTTTCCTGGGGGGGATTTGATTCCCCACCAAAAGTGGTGGAAGAATCCCCACCAAAAGGGACACCCCCAAGACAATCGAGGGGTTGATTAATCTGGGGTCAACATTCAGCTACACTTTGAAGGGGGCCCTTCGAGAATTGGCCCAATTCCCCTTGCCAGGAAACCTGGAAGATTGGTCAGGGTGATGGTTGCAGCCCAAATGGGAAGTAGTAATAACAGGCTTGCGAGACCGGCAGTAGACAATTGGCTCCTGGCAAAGAAGAATCAAAAGCAAGCTAACCCAGCTCTTGACTTTTTCCGGCGGCTTCTGCCATGGAAGGCAAAAAGGACAAACTCGATATTGTGGGGGCCTTTTGGGGGTTTCCGGTAAGCATCACTCCACCAAAACAAAGCTCGCTTGAAGCTGGCCCAGGTACAGCGACCCCAGTTTTGAGGGGGATTCTGCCCGCCATCGAATCATCAGGGCTCTCATCCCGCTGCATTTCAAGACCAACGTTGCCCGCTCTGCACGTGGAACGTCGACGGCTGCGGCACGCTGCGGCGATTTTTCTGGTCATCAACCTTGTGCGCCACGCTGACGACCAGCCCCTGCTGCACGGACTCGCAAGTACCGCCCATGCTACTCATACGAAGCCATTGCTTGTTGCTAGCAGAGCGGGTCCATAGCCTTTGTCACTGCCTCACCTGGATCGCTTTGAGAGAAGTGCCGACACCTCTTCCCTAAGACACAAGTTGCTTTTCTGGGGAGGAAGCGATGTTTGGAGCCACAAAATCCAGGACCCTTTGGGGCGTTTTGGAGGGCTCCCAAACACCTTTGGACGTTGGGCACCTGAAAGGTCGCTGTGGACCTAGCCCAAGCTCCTTATGGCCCTGGTTCCTGTTTTCAGGGGCTACCCCTTCTTTGCGGTATTAAACGGGGACAACCCAAGCCATTTTGGGGTCAGCCCCAAGAAGACACCCACCTAATCGCCAGGAAGGGCTCTTAGAAGCTTCTTTGAGAGGGGCCCTTGATGACTGAGCCTGGTGGAAGTACCAAGAAAATTTCGGAACGCAGTGCCTGTGCACGTCCATGTTTGTGGGAGGGTAGGGGATCCCATCTGAATGCCGCGCCATAGTTCTCGCGAGAGAAGCATGCCTTTGTACCCTCCCACCAACAAACATGGAGATGCAAAGTGAACCACTGAGTCTTCTTAAAAGAGGACCGGCGTTGCGCTTTGCTCCGCGTTTTTTGGTTTGGCTCGAGAAAACAACACAACCGAGATATGGCAGTGTTTTGCTGAGGGCACCCTTGGGCAGGCCTGAGAGGAAACCAAAAGGAACCGCTGCCGATTTAAAAGCCCCCCTCGTTTGACACTTGCGTGTGTGTCCCAACAGGGATGTGGACCCAACAGCGGAGTTCGGGTTTCCGTTTGGTTTCCTTGGAGGCGACCCGTTTTGAAGGCCCCAAGAAAACTTCGACTGGGGTTCGGGTGCCACTAGACCAAGCTATATGAGGAAATGGCCCTTCATCTTGCTCTAAAACTAGACCAAACTATAAGAATTTAGGCCCTTGGCCCACAAACAACTCAATGTATTTCGGTTCTCCTTTTCGCTTCCTTCCAAGCAACCCGAACCAAAAAAGGCGAACTCAACGATTCCGCTGGACCCATCTCGGCTCAGTCCTGCAACTCCTTACTCACCGGCTGGAAGCTTTCCCATTCCGCCATGAAGGTCCCCAGGTGCTCTTTCACCTGAAGGGACCGGTGAACGGCTGGAGCCTCCAAAAAGACCGGCCGGGCACGCCTGGAAATGGCACGTGTGTCATATACTTTGTGCTAGTACTGGAAATCCATACGCTGAAAAGCGTTGAGTCCAAGCCAGAATCTTCAATCTTGAAGCTTGGGTTTTGCTCCCAACCACCAAAACAGGCAACATTTGCTTGAATGACACGAACTGGTGGTAAAAAGGATGATCAAACCAAGACAAACACACATCTTTTCCCCGATCCACCGCGGTTGCATGCAAGGCAACACGTGTGACATGATCAAAACTCCTATTCTCCTAGGAATCACCAAAAAAGCACTACCCTCAAAAGAAGGAACCACACCCACATGCGTTCACCCCATGTCAAAGAGATCCACCCCCCTCCAACCGGAGCCAAACCACCCAGTGACACTTGGACACATAGGTGTGCTCTTGGACAAAAACAAAACCGATGGATTTCCCTGGTAAATGGTTTATAGAACCATTGGCATCTTCCAAACGACAAAAGTTCGATCCTGGACCAATCTAGCCCAGTGGACGAAATCTATTTCCATCAGCTCCTGCACTGACCATCGCTCGCGCTCAGGTTGAGAACACATCGGCCTCGTCTGGACAAGGTAGGCGCAGCCGTACTCATTTCTCCCAAGTCCGGATCTGTGAGTCCAAGCAGGACAAGCCTCGCCTTGCGCAAAGGCACAGCCTGACCAGGGTCTGTAGCTTTCAGCGTGAGCGAGCACCCACCTCAATCGCATGAGTCGTTCTGGAGGGATGAGATGAGCAGCTCGCTTGCATACCTTCTATTGCACCCATTGCTGGGCAATAAAATAGGTGATCGATCACTTTTGAGGCCAGAACGGAAGAATCCAAAGGTGTTGAGGTTACACATGGATTCAAGGATAACCTGTTGGGCGTGATTCTTTTTTTGGAGTTGGTACCCTTGCGGCAAAGAGACATCAAAAGGAGAACCGACGCCGTCTTGCGGGGCCATTTCTGGGAGAAAAAAGAAAACGCACCCTTTTGGGGCCATGGCGGAAAGCCGTTGAAGGCCCCAAGGTCGATTCACTTTGGACAACTGAGGTAGTTAGTTGACTTGAGCGAAAGGATTTTCGTGAATAGGAGCTTGAAAAAGGGGCACTGCAGGTCCGTGTTGGTATGTCGTCTATGTTGGAGGGCTCTGCCTGGGGTTTCAGTCGGTAATGGAAAACAACTTCAAATAGAAAGAGGTCCGTCACGTTACCTAGTTTAACTTGTAGTGGGTGAAAACAAATCCCCAATAAACACTAAAGAGCTAAACACCTAAGAGAATGGCTGGTAAAGACCAAGCTTCTTTTCTGGGGGGCCCCGCCTCTGCTTTGACCTCATCGGCTGCGGCTTGTAAGGACGCCTCACGGCGAGGTTGGGTTGCAAGCTCTATTTAGGATATTTGGCTGTGGCTCAAAAACGTGGTACCAAAATGGCACCTTGGTAAATGGAACCAAAGACTAAAACCTGCAGTTTGCCCTAGCTCTCTAATTTTGAGCCATACCCATTTGAACATATTCTACATCATATTCTACAGCTTACTTCCTTTGGGTATGTGCCAACACATGGGGGATGTGGGGCCCAAGAAAATGCTTCTCTCGTCCTGAGTTCCCGAATTTTAGCTTGCTGGTTCTCAGCAGGGAATGAGACATGACCCCGAAAAGAAAACTATCCCTGAAATGAGTTCCTTTCAGAGAATTCCCAAAACCGGTTCATTCAACCAACACCCGGAAGGACATCCCCTACTGAAGACCATGTCTTACGGCTCACTTCCCGAGTGGAATGGCCACACAAACAACAACTGGTTTTTTGCTACTAAACTGGTAAACCAGTGCCTCCAACATCAAGCCCAACAGCCAAGTGTTCTGAATAGGCCCCACAACATCAAGGGCCCATAGCACAATCTAGCTCCAAACCAATACGTCGGATGAAGTACGCAGATTGACTGTGCCAGCCCTGGGTCAAGCTTCAACCCCAAACTACACGTCTCTACTCTTGGTATGGTAGCAACAAACTTTGTTTTTTTTTGCAGACCCCAGTAAAAATGAACAGAACCAAAAAACACAAAAAAACAAAACAATAAATCGTGCCAAGAACAGTGAAGTACATACTCTCCACAAGTGGCATCTTCCCAGAGGCCGCCAGCTCCTTGCCCCACACCGGGCGCCTCCAGCTCGTGGTTGCCTCGGGCACGGAAAGCCCCGGAGGTCAAACCGGAAGCCGGGACGCCAGGGGCAAAGAGGAGGACTTGGACGAGGCGAGGTGCTCAGCCGAATCAATCTGAGATTTGGGGCCACTTTCTAGGAGCAAAACTTGGGATTTGGTGAGGTGCCCCCCCCTCAATTTCCATTTCCTGATGACTTGTTTTGGTGGTCTGTGTGTGACCTATGCCATCCCCTACAAAAGATGTCTGTGAAAAAATGCTCACTTTTGAGGTAAGGCACTACATCATTTTTTCTGCGTGTGGTGTTGCAGTTCTTTGAAGGCAGGATTAACCATGCCTGATTTTGCTTGAAGACTGTCAAATACTGGGAATATGAGGGCACTCCGGGTTGAAGGGGCCTGCCCGGCCCGGAAGACATGGCACAAAAGGCGAAACGTGCAAACCAACTCGATTTGGGCTCCTAGAGGATCCCAGAAAAGCAGTTTGGTTCGTTCCATGGTAGGGGAGGGTACTGTGCCTTCGGGCCGTGTTGCAATAAGGTCCAAATGATCCCTACCATCCTTTGGATTTGGACATAGCTGTGGAAACTGCATCCTGTTCTGGAAACAGCTTTGTCATGATCTTGAATCTGGAAGTTTTATAATACTTGCAAAACATGAAACCTGAATTGGACCACCAAAGAACAAACATCATGGCTTTCGCTCGTTTTACGCCCAAATCAGTGGAATCACTCAAAACCCATACCGATTGATATGTGTATGTCTGAAGATTGGGGGGGGGGATTTCAATGCCCGAATGGCCACGTTTTCCCTTTTGGTCCTTCAAAACCGAATGCCAAAAGGGGTTCCCCAAAAAGGACACACCCAAAATACTCTGCCCAAAGGACCTGGAGATGAAAGGTGATTTGGGGCCATGACTCAAAATTGCCAAGGGGAAACCGAAGGTCAGATCCGGTCGATTCGCTTACAACTCGTCTTCCCCCTCATTAGAAATTGATGTTGGAATGGCTGAACATGGGCAAACCCAACCAAAAAAACAAAAATCCCAAAAAGGCCACCTCCCCCCCCCTCCCCCCCCCGCCGGGAACCCACTGGGGAGGGCGCTGTTCAGCTCCGTCTTCACGTTGCTTAGGTGGTTCCGCGTGGACAGCTGCCGCCGTTGCACCTGAAACCCGGCCAACGGCATCCCCGGTGAAAAACAAGCGGCGTAACGGGTAAGGGGGGCTTCTTAGAAGCCGGTCTCCAAGAATATAGTATTCAAATGAAGGAACATGGCTGTTGAAGGGTAACACCTATATCATGTTGTAGTGAGCTAAGCATTTACACGCATTATAACGTTCTGATCATTCATGGCATTCAAGTCCACCACCATTCTGATTCTGTAGGCTCCCCGTATGGCTCTACGCACCCAATTCCTCAGCTCAGCTCCCTGAAAAATTAGAATGTTCTTCCAAGAGTTTTTTGTTCAACTCCTGGGAGTGCACCCAAAGGAAAGAAGCCAAGCTATCTCCACTGGAGCCGAAAAAGGACAGAGACCCCGCAGCTTTCAGGTCTGGGAAGTTGAACGCTGCTGTCTGCGGCTCGAAGAACAGAGGCTGCGAAGGAGTCCCCTACCGAGAATTCTCGGAAGCCGGGAGGGTCATTCTTTTGCTTTTGGGGGTGTCGAAGTCAGAAACTGGTTGGTGGTCTCCCTTTTACCTGCCACTTTATGCATCATTCTGGGGCCAGCGAGAGCACTCTGGATATCTTCTTCATCCCACTCCAAGAGTCGACGCAATGCCTATGGGACAAACATCCCTATCCAACCCATCTTTGGGACAACCAGGCGATCCATGGAGAAGTCCAAGCTCCGTCGGGTTTCGGATGGTCTTTCACTCTGTCCCAATTTTTGCCGAGAAAGCAACCGGGCGGAAGAGCAAAAACTGAAGAACTGCCAAAAGGTTTGAGCCGCAAAGCTTGATCTTTGTGTTGCTTCTCTCCTTCCCTTCTGTCCTTCCTGATTTACTTCTTTCTCTGCACATTTAGTTGTTCTCTTTGTCTGTCTTTCCTTTTTAATTTATTTCTTTCCTTCCTGCCTTTCTGTGCCTCCTGCTTTATGTTTCTCTTTATGTCTTGCCTTCTTGTCTCTGCATGTGTCTTGTTTTTTCTATGAATTTACTTTACTTATTTGTTCATTTCTGTCTTTCTTTCCTTCTTTCTTTACTTATCTAGTCATGCCTTTCTTTCTTGTTTTCTTTCATGTTTCTTTCTTTCTCTGGTTCTTTCTCTCTTTCTTTCTTTCTTTCTTTCTTTCTTTCTTTCTTGTTTTCTTCCATTCATCCGTCCATCCAGGCATCCATGCATGCATGCATCCAGACATGCATACATTCATCCATGCATCCATGCATCCATCCACCCTGCATCCATGTATCCATCCACCATGCATCCATGCATCCATGCATCCATGCATCCATCCACCATGCCTCCATGCCTCCATGCCTCCATGCCTCCATGCCTCCATGCCTCCATGCCTCCATGCCTCCATGCCTCTATGCCTCCGTACCTCGATGCATCCATGCATCCATGCATTGATGCGTCCATGCATCCATGCATCCGTGCATCCCCCTCCCTCCATCCATCCATTCAATCCATTCAATCCATAATGTCGTTATTTAGCGATTTCTATCTTTCTTTCTTTCTTTCTTTCGTTCTTTCTTTCATCTTTGTTTTTGTTGCTTTCTTTCTGTTTTCTCTCTCTCTCTCTCTCTCTCTTTCTCGCTCTCTGTCTCTCTCTTTTTCTTTCCCTGCCCACCAACCCCCTACATAATGAACACACCAAACAAGGTCAAGTTACAGGCACATACCCACTAGGACTATTTTTGGGTGACAGAATCTTTCGATCTACCACACCCTGAACTTCCGTGAATTTGGATTGGGACAATGGCAGCTCCTTTTTTGGTCGCTGACCTTAAAGGACAAGAAGGGGACTCCTGCAGGGCCAGGTTCATTCCGACTGAGGGCTCCAGGGGACTGACAGAAACTCAACTTTCGGCCATTCATTGGGCCTCAGCCTGACAGAATTTGTGTGAAGAACCTCTTGTTCTGTTCTACCAGCCTTTTTCGGGGGCCTTTGGTTTTGTTCCCTCGTTCTCGCGCAAGGCCGGTGCGCCTCGCTCACTTCGGAGCTGACCCGCTTCAGCTCCACGTGGAACCGGGCCTGCTCCGGAGCCAAGGGTTTTCAGGGGCAAGCTGACATGGAACCTAGCTCCAGCAGGGATCCGGATGCATTCTACACCTGAACATTGCAACTTATAAATGGTAACTTCCCTGTATTTTGGTGGAAAAAGCAACATATTTCAATTGGTTGCAAAATGAATTTCTTTTAAGGAGCCCTGTCCAGATTTGAGAGGTTGGAATAAGTTGGTGCCAACTTCTTTCGGTTTTGTCTGTTTTAGGGGAACCGAATCTCCCCCCAAAAGGGGTGAGAAAGGGCACATAGCTGGGGGACCTATAGGAACCTACCAAAGGGTCCCTTTTAAAGGACACTAGTCTTCCGGCATCCCGAACCGTCAGACATGGCTATGGGTCAAAACCCAAATGGGTTAGCCCCCAGTGAACATCCGATTCAATCCAACCACTAAAATAGGTAACCTAAAATGGGTGGTGAATTCACCAATCCCCACCAAAATGGGATCCCAAAGCAGTGTAACGACAACCACAGCCACATGAAACCCAGCGAAGGATCACTAAAGGACAATCGTCTTCCAGCATCCCGAACCTTCAGATTCCATGGACATCTTGGAAACCATCCACAGCTAAAGGGTCATACCCCGCTTTCCCCTGGTGAACGCCATCTTAGATGCAGGGACAGATTTCACTAAACAGACAACCACATACGTTAAACTGATCATAACTAGCAGCTTGGGTTTCCCTTGAGGCCCTAGCCAAAAGAGACACACCCGATATGAGGAATCCGACTGAGAAGCCTTTCGTTGGGTCTGTCTTTAAGGTTGGACCCCACAACGACATGGCGGTTTTCCTTTTGGCTTTCCATGAAAAACAATCCTGAAAGAGCAGGTTCCATGCAGCCAGCTTGATGCTTCAGTTTGATGGCGCTCCATGTTTTTTCCGGCTGCAAGCTGTGGGGTCTCTGCCCCCAAGCTCTGGGGTTCCGGGTTCCGGAACTGTCCGGCGCTGTCCGGCATATTACCAATACTTCCTCTGACCTCCGAACCTGCCGCGCAAGGAAAAGGAGAAAAAGAAGAAGGAGAAAATGTCGCGCGCGCGCTCGGGGCCTCCAATGCGGAGTCCTGCGGCGGTTTCGACGCAAAAACAGGGAAACCCGTTAACGAAATACGAAAAGGCATCCCGTTTGCGGGGTTCCGAAAGGTCAAGTCAGCCATGAGCCGAAATCAAGTTCCCACAAGTTCCCTTCCAAATTTTTTGGAAGCTCACCGGGCTTTTCAGGCGCCCATCCCGCGAAAACATAGGCTTGGAACCCCGTGGCACAGTAAACACGTGATGATTCTTGGAACTCACTCAACTCCAAGGCACCTGACGGGTCGGGTCCCTTTGAGAGGAACCTGATCTTCCAGGTACTTTGCACAAATGCCTTCTGCTTGTGGCAAGGGTAAGCCGTTCTTCTAAACTGGGGCAACCATTGTCATAAAGGCTGTTGAAACCTAGGGTGTGGACGTGGAGCCCATTCTTTGCCACCCGAGAACTCAATTGGGTCTCTCTGCAAAAGGAGCTCGGCACACGAGGGCCATGAAGCGGCTTGCCTTCAAACTGCAAGAGTGCCAACTCAGGAAAGGAACTGCGCCCCTGGATGTGACAAACAGCCGCAGGAAAAGGAACATATCAGGAGTGCCGTAGTTGGACTGCTTCGAGGAGAGCAAGATACACCGAGTGGGGTCTAAATATGCATATGCCCTCCCCCCCGCCACCCAGCGAAACTGGGTATCACAAGCAGAAGGGCTGTGCAAAACGAGTCCCCACCTACAAGATGTAATGCAGGTTTGGTCCCAAATGTGCGGACAGGGTTTGCACATCCTTGGCCATTTGCCTAAAGTGAGAATCACCCAGACATATGGGTGTTTTGCAAAGTGCTGAAATAGTTGGTGTCCTGTTAGATTCCTCTAACCACCGACCAAGAGGCGGCTTTTCCGAAATTGAGTTTGAGCCACTCCCATAGGGATCCACGAGGTTTGTTGGCCTGGCGGGGACTTTTGCAGCCCTCATCCAGAAAGAAGCACAAGGCACTTTACCGGGGGGGGGTCGGTGCCCTCTAAATAACTCAAACCGGCTTGGTCTATAGACATGAACTCCAACACCGGAAATACAAGACCTACATCATGAGTTTCATCGCTTGTTACCCCGAAATCGGTGAGCTTGCCCTAACATAGGCAGAAGTACACCTGTAAACTCTAAACAAAGTACAGTATACATGTAAACTGGGCTGTTCAATGATTCACCATGAGGGTTTGTCTAACCACCACAAGTCATCTGGCAGCAGGATCTTAATCATGTGGAACAACTCAGGTAGACCAAGCCCGATTTTTGGAGGAACCGTGCAACCCGGGTTAGCCGCAACTGACCGGTAAAATTTGTTCCAAGATCCGCCCCTCCTCCAACTCACGAGACTCCATCCGCTCCGGCCTGGCCAAAAACATGAGAGACCCCGAAAGAGTTGGTCGAACGTGAAATTTCTCGCGTTTGTTTTTTTCTGGTTCCATCCCTGGCGTTGCCAACAGATCAATAGGTTCCTCAATATGAGAGGCGGCGCGGGAATTGCTTCATGACTTGTCCGATCTTTCAAACTATAACCGATCTTGCTTCCACTCAATACTATGGTTGGTATTTGGCTTAAATCCAGTATTCAAATATTGGCGTGCATCCCGTGCGGTTGCCGGATTCCGTCCATGGCCGTCGGAACCGGGAACCCTCGGCCGGGGCTTGTGGGGGTCCGGAAGGCGTCACTACCCCTCGAAACCGGATGAAGAAACTCAGGAAGGGGCAGTCCCTAACAACGTTGCACCCACTTGCTCGAAGATGCGTAATTAAACACATAGCTTAAACCGCCTCTTTTCGGCTCCCCTCCCCCCCCAAAAAAAAATAAAAAAAAATGGGGGGAGGTTGAACATGGCTTTGCCCAACCGTAGTCCCTGCGCTTGCCTGAAAGGGGCAGAATGCAAACCCACGCCGAAGCGGATCCGACGCTTGGTTCTACCCAGATGGGCCAAACGGATCAGACTGCGCAACGGATCAGATGGTTTGCTGGCCGAAGGAAAAATGAAGGACACCCAAAGGGGCAACAGGGCAAACTGCTTCCTGAAGTCTGGTCAATCCTTTTTTTGCCATAGCATACCAAAACCGCTACAACACATGCCAATGCTACCTCAGCTCTTGCCCATTCTGGACCATTGCTTGAGTGTTGAGAAGCCCAACCTTCCAATTTGCTCAAGCCCCATGGACAAACACAGCAGTGATAGAATCCCTGATAAAAAAAAAGAGAACAAACAACATATTCATTTCAGCAAATGGAAGCAACCAAACACAGGAGTCCTTGTCTAGATGTTGTTGGATTGCCTGGCCCCTCGGAGACAACGGCCTGGCGGAGAAAGGGCGAAAGCTTTTAACATAATCCATACTGTGGATGGACAAAATCCTGCACCTAAGAACCCTGGAATGATAGAATCCCCAGGCAATCCATGGTTTCAAAGGTGCAGGATTGTGTCTATCCACAGTAGTGCGAAGGGAACTCGCTAGTGGCCTGGCATAATGTTCACCCCATATGAATCAAATTCAGGTTGAGTAGTAGGTGGGGTCAGCCTTCAGGATCTCGCAGACTTGTTTCAACAGGCACACCCGAAACACGCCGTCCAATCCCCACCCCCCCTGGCAAGAAACGGCTCGCCGCCTGGGGGGTTTGCTCACGCAGGGCTCCTGCATCGCGTCTAAAGGAAGTATAGCCATGGGGGGGGCACCTTGGTTGACGTTGAAGGGGAGCAAACATTGGCAGTCAAGGGGGGTTTCCCACTAAACCACAATAAGCAAAATGGTAAAATGTTTCCCAACAACAACCATGGCACTGTCCCGTGCATTGCTCCTCTGCAAATCAAGGATGGAACACAAAAAAGGGGTCCGATCTCCAAGAGGAGGTTCCAATCTGCAGGAGTTGTTCAATGTTGAAACTAGTCCATGGAGAGACATCTACCAAGTCACATTTGACATTTGCCAACTCGACTGTTTAGTGACAAGGCGCACATAGCATCAACAGCCATTAGGCAGCGTGAAAGTCACAAGCACCGCGTAGAAACCACAGAGCGTTGTGGTGCTCATGCCAAAGAGAACACATCGGCTTGAAGCTCAATTCCGACATAGGTTAGCAGCCTCACTTTGAAAAGTGGCCTCGGTGCTGACCGGCAAAGAACCAGCAACCGAAGTTCTTCATCGGGTCTCGTGACTCAATACAGATCCCCAGTGGCCATGGAGAAAACACAAACGTTTTTTGGGGGGCCCCCTGCCAAAAAACGAAACACGGACCCCCTTTTGTCTGTCTCAAAGGACCGCCTTACCAAGAATCGAGAACTGTGGCCCGGGCCTAAAATCCAACGTCAACTTTCTGTGCATGGAGAATGTGGGCCCGTCTCATCGCCAACGTTCCCGTTGCTGCAAATGCCAAACACAAAACCACTCAGTCCAGGGAGAGTAGCCTGGTTTCTGGAGACTAGTTGGCCATGTTTGCCCATATTCCGGCAGAAATCAGGCCAGTTTTCGGAAACAAATCTTAATAAATCCAGCGCATGGAAGGTCCGAATCACAGGGAACTTCAATGTGCCCTAAGAAAATAGGCACGTCTTTTTTAGGGGGTACTCGTTTGTTGGGGGTTTTTAAGGGAAACCAACATAACAACCAATGGGGGTTCCCCTAAGAAACATACATACAGGTTTCGCACCCTCAACCAATGGTGCCCTGGCTTGCTTTACCCCAGGGCCTTGTCCAAATCTCGATCAAAACTCCCGTTTCTTTGGCCGATCGGGTCACCGTTCCCTAAGGAACCATGACAATGGTTATTGAGGATCCTTACTATCAGATGTGACTCTGACACCAGGTATAGGACCCGGTCGTTTGACCATGGGACGCATGGACTTCCCAGCCTGTTCTTTATTGGAATAGATTAATTGGGTTTAGGCCCTTGTAAACCAACACAAGATTGCCCTATCGGTGGATTCAAAAAAACAACAACTAAAAACTGCAGGTGTGTCTTCCATGTCCCGCGCGGTTCCTCCTGTCAGCTCGCATGCCCTTCTTGGCTTTCTGGTTCCCAACCCTGGAGAAATGAATGCGTGTATATATATATATATATTTATTTATACACCTACATTTAATATAGGTAGCCTTTCTGGGACACAATATACACAGTGTCAGTTTTGTAGGTTCGCATTGGGATGTGGTAAGACTACCTCACTGAGGCCGCAGTCAGCTTCCCGCTTCACGTCCTTGCACTTCGCCTTGGGCGTGGCATTGCTGAGCAGCCGAAGCCGGCTGCCGCCTGCGATATTTGGATTTCTCCGACCGCTCGAAACGGATCGGGGAAAAAACCGATCCAACACCAACACTATATGGCCATTGGTCAAAAGCCCGGTTATCCCCCAGTGAACATCCCAATCCAACCACCAAAATAGGTTCTAAAATGGGTGGTGAATTCACCTACCCCAAAATGGGATCCCATTGGTTTTGACAACCACAGCCATATTATGGGTGTGTCTCTGTTTAGGGGACCCCCAAAACAGTGGGGTTCCTTTGGGCTTTTGCTTTAAGCCCAGCTACTAACATGGCCAATGGTTCCATCCCATTCCGTTCTTATTCCTTTAAAGGCGCTGTCATAAACACTTCAAACTGCAATTGACTGAGTTCAAACTGCTGAATGTTGGACTCGTAAACTGTACAAGAACACCTCGAATCGGCCTCCAGTCGCTAACCAGACCCTCAGCAACTTTAAAAACAACGAACGCGCACCCTCTGTTGGTTGTTGATTTTGAAAGTGGCTGGCAGGGCACTGTTAATTTCGAATTAATCCGGAGAACCCTAATTTAAGAAGAGGGACCCCTAAAAAAGTTCACTTCCCGAAAGAGGAATCACCCCTGATTAGGCGCACTCCTCCTGATTAGGCAGCCAAGTCAGGGTCTAGGAGTTGATTCCAACCATTTTGTTCAACCAGTTGTTTTTCAAAACCCTATCGCTGTTTTCCCTGATTTGTTTGATGGTTTCCTAAAAAGCAGGATCGAAAGAATGGACATGGGAGCTTCCCCTAGGACAATGAGGTCTCCACAGCCAACTCATTCTTAGGGTAGACTAAGGGGACCCCCGAAAAAAATAAAATAAACCAAAAAACACATAATGGCTGGTCTCCTTTGTGGTTCCTTTTAAAAGCGTAAAACAACACAGGGTACCCTCGAAAAAGGCATAGGCCTAGGGGCTGATTCCCCCAAACCCGGGAGCCTCGCCTGAGCGCCTGGAGCGCATGGGCCAGCCCACCGTCAAGGACGGCAGGGACGAGGCCTCCGCGGTGGGTGGCTTCTGTGACACCGAAGTGGCCATGGGTCAAAACCCAAATCGTACCCCCCAGTGAACATCCGATTCAATCCAACCACGAAAATAGGTTCTAACATGGGTGGTGAATTCACCTACCCAAAATGGTACCATTGGTTTTGACCCACGGCCAAGCTGCAGCAAGAAGTTGGGTCCAAAAAAGAGCGCTCCAACATGGCGGCGTCATTTTTTGTTGGCTTGACCCCGGCTAAAGAAAGGTCTTTCCTTAGCCTCAACATTCCGCTAAAAATGGGTTGCCCCCCAAAAATTATGGAGGTAATTTCTCTTTTTGGATGTTTGGATCCAGGAAACTCGACCTCAAGGCCCAATGGCCTTGGATCGTTTTATCTGAAGAGGAGCTCGTTTGAACCTCCAGGTGGGTCAGAATCCAAACCGATCGGGATTTTTGAATGGTCGAAGCTTCTTGCAAGGGGGAGATCCGCACCCCTTTGTGCATTTATGGCAAGGGGATTTTGTCCCTGACCCTCCAACTACCCGAATCGGTTTTGAGGAAGTGACTCAAGTTGCCCCCGATGGACCTTTTCAATGGGGTAACATCTTTCTATGGGTGGCTTGAGGGTCCAGGGGGAATGCTGGGCAAGCTCCGGGTAAACCGCGGTAAAGATGCGCTTGTTTTAACCTCCAGGTGAGTCAGAATCAAAACCGAATAGACTTCTCAGGGATTCCCCAAAGGAAACTTAGTTGCCCAAAAAGGGCCCAATAAAAGGTAATCACCTAAAGATGAGCTCGTTTTATCTCCAGGTGGCCTCTTTGAACCCAACCTCGCGGGAAGCTCCGAGCGACTGCCTTGCGCACAGATGGCACCACCACCAGGCGCGGCTCGGCGTGGCAGGGCAGCGGCCAGCGCCGCCTCGGTTCCCGGGCGGGTGGACTGCGGGTCCCCGTTGCGTTGAAAAAGGGACCGCCCCGAAACTAGGAAGCGGTGTTCTCCCGTTGCTTTCAAAGGGACCACCCGGGTGTTGACGGTTTTGGTTTCTCTTTCAATCACGGACCATGCGAAGTGAGTATGGGCTTGAAGGGAACCAAAAGCAAAGCCATCTCTTTTGGGGGGCGTCTCTTTTTTGTTCCAGAAAGCCAAGCAACCCTTGCCCTCGGTGTACAAGGTCTTCTCAACTTCTTGCTGCTTGCTGACCTTAGGCCTTGAAACAACAAAACGAGCACCGCATACACGCTTCCACCTGCCTGCCTTTGGGGGGGGGTGCCCTCAAACGACAGACCCGTCCAAATGGGTCTGTTTTTGAGGGTACCCCTTTGGTTTTGAAGGGAAACTCAAGGGAAACCAAAATCCATTTGGGGGGTTCAACCTAAAAAAGGAACACATAAATGAGTGTGTCCATGTTGAAAGGACCAAGTGCCTGTTTGCTTTGGGACAGCGGGGACGCCATCACAAAATGATGTCCACGACCATCTGAAAAGAGAACGCGACCATTGCGGTTCCCAACTTCCAACTGTGACTCACTTGCTGGGTGGACTGGCCAAAAAGCTCCACTCTTTTTTGTTTGCCACGAAAATGGTCTTTCGAAACAGTGGCAAAAGTCCAGGAACTCAGGGAGTCAGGTGACAAACCATGCCAGATTTCGATTGTCGCTCTGATTGGCTTGTGGGCATTGCCTTTCCACTGGCAGAGGCGTCCAGCACAGTCGATTGACAGGCGAAATAGGCCCCCTTTTCGGCTTGAAAGGCAAGGAAACTGCACAAATGGTGGGCCCCATGAGGAAACACAGACCCAAATGGGAACACAAGGTTCTATCATACTCCGTAGTCCTCAAAGAACCAGACGGCCTAAAGGCAAGCCGTGTGCTAACTAAGGGTTCCGTCTTGGCGTCCCTCCTATCTTCCTTTAAATACCAGAAACCAATGTCCCCAGCCCTGCGTTTTTGGGGGGAGAACCAAAACTCAAAAAACCTCGAGAAAACAAAAACAAACAGACAAACCTAACGCTGCCTCACATATGAGGGAAATGTTTTGGCATGACGGGTGGGAACCAGAACTCGAAAAACCTCGGGAAAACCAAAACAAACATAAACCAAAGATATGAGGGACATGTTTTGGTATGACGGGGCTTGCCTTGCCAAAAGTAGTTGTCTGGAGCTTTTTGTTTTCTCGAGTTTTCTTGCTACTTTGCCACAGATGCTTGACAGGGCGCTCAGATTTTGGACGCAGCACGAGATGCAGATATGGAAGCAGTCTGAGGCGCACTGCACACAGTGTGTTTGCCAAAGATATTCTTGGACAGTGAAGATACGCCGAGTTAATTGGCGAGAGGGGAGGATGGCCAATTAATATCTGACCTTATGACCTTTCTATCTCTTGCCTATATCAGTCTCTCTGTCATCTCTATCACTAACTCACTTCTCAGAGATACCTTCTGCAGCTACTAATTGGCCAGCGGCAACGCTCACTGATTTCAAACCTCTATCTTACCTCTTTGTTCTCCCTTTCATCTCTAGTCCTCACCACCTACAGCTTCCTTGAAGATAAGATGGCGGTGGGGGCGGGGCAAGAGATGAGAAAGAAAGGAAGGAGATGGATGGCCATCCAACCATCTCGTTTCTCTTAGTCATGTCTTAGAATCCAGAATGTCTTTCATGTCATCTGGGCTCTTTATTATAATTTTCTTTCCTATCTCTTCATTTGCTTCTTCTTTCCTGGCCGTTGCGGGGGTGAAGAGAGATGGGAAAGTGATTAGGTAAGAGGTGACAAGAGGAAATCCCACGGATTTGTGTAGTCCAGAAGTGTTCCTTAACTGCATTTCTTCAAAGTTGTTTCACGCATAAACATGTGTGGTCCCCATATGCTCTATCACCAAATGTGCGTCCTGTCGTTTGGTTTTCCTCAAAGGTGGTTTCTTACACCCGTCCAGAGCGAGGTGTCTCAAAAAAACAATCAGGCCTGTAAATATCTTTGGCAACCAATAGTTGCGAAATTCCTTGTTTCATAGTTTTTCAAGCTTCCTGTTCACTGGCACTTTGTCGTGGTGATGTTCGTGTTGTCTCTTAGCCATCCCGAAATTTGGTTCATATTTTCCAGTCCTCGGATTTACTGCTCACTGGGCCTTCCAAAATTTGATTTGATAGCTTTTCAGTGTTGATGGTGTACAGAGGCAAGGTTTTTTTCCGCAAGCAAGACTGCTGTAGGTGCTAGAAAAGCTGCTGCACACACTTCTACCAAGAGGACCCAGGAAGCAGGCACAGAGAGATCGTCAGCGACGAGATCGCAATCCCTTTTTTGTTCCCTCCCTCCCTCCCTCCCTCCCTCCCTCCCTCCCTCCCTCCTCCCTCCCTCCCTCCCTCCCTCCCTCCCTCCCTCCTCCTCCCTCCCTCCCTCCTCCCTCCCTCCCTCCCTCCCTCCCTCCCTCCCTCCCTCCCTCCCTCCCTCCCTCCCTCCCTCCCTCCCTCCCTCCTCCCTCCCTCCCTCCCTCCCCCCGCGCCCGCCCATGATTAATGAAACAGACCACCCAAAAAGTCACAACGAGTTGTTAGCCAGAGATGTGACGGTGGCCAGGAACTCGGACCGCCGCCACCCCCCCCCCCCAAAAAAAAAACAAAGGGACTCCCTCACCCCCGGCGCCCATGACTCAAAAAAAGTCAGCCCCCCCAAAAAAACACCTGGCAGAATCCACCAGACCACTGGCAATACTGTGGATGGACAAAATCCTGCCCCACTCAAAAAAGCCCTGGAATGTTTCGATTCCCCAAATATCAACCAAAGGTTTCAACCATGGGTAAGTTCGCAACCATCCGGCCGACCCAAAATCCCCTTGAAACCCATAAGATCCAAGCAAGTTCCCAGTAGATTTCACCCAGAAATGTCTCAGACCACAGATATGCCCGGAAGAAACGACCTTCGCCTTGGGTCTGGCACAGTCCATTGGCATTGCCACGCTCCTGCCGTGGAGCGGCATGGAGGCGCCTGCAAAGCGCACGAAGGCGAACCATGGCGCCGTTGTTCCCCATGACCCTTGGAGGTCTGGTGGGCCATTTGCTTCGCTATATGAACACTGTGCATATATATATATATATATACACTTACATGTATATGTATATATGTATATTTATATAGATACATTCTGCTCATTTGGCCTTTCAGAAGTGGCCAAGCCTAAGCGAAGATTGCTAAATTACTTTCCTTAGTGCTTTAGTCTGGGGGCCACATGTTTAGCCTTGCGCCGACCGGGTTTTGGTCGCAGGCCTGCAAAGCTGTGAAGACCAACTGAGCCACAAATGTTCCAAGTGGCAACCTTAACCCACTGAGTGGATGGGCCACACCAGTACCTGATCTGTTTTTTTACCAGAGCAGTCCACCCCAAAACGTGCTTTAAAGCCGAGGACCTTGGGTACCCCAACCCACCGTTTCTTTGGGATCCCCTCCCTCCCACCCAAACTTCCCCCCCCCCCAGGCCCGTGATTTGAATCATGTGTGGTAGGAGTCTTTCTCAAGTTGATCCAGTCCCATCAGCCTAGAGACGAGCTTTTTAACTTTTTACAACCCTTGGCGTGGGCGTGCGATTTACACCACGCCTCCGACTCAAAAAGAACCGAACCCAAAAAGCCGGCTCCTCCCGTCAAAAAAAAAGTGCTCTCAAGGTTTAAAAGGACAAGCAAAGGACAGGATTGCTCGAGCCCGAGGGGTATGGAAGGAAGGGTCAATCGAAAAAAAAGAAGAGAGAGGAAACTCATGACTTGGAAGGGAAGCCACAAACAAGATGTTTGACACATTTTGGCAGTGGATCAATATAGCTGGCATAGTTTTGCTTTTGGGGAGTGATTGCTCTCAAAGGGAAGGATTTCTCTTTAAGATTCCAAGCTCAATTGTCCAGTGCTTCCCGGGGATGCCTCTTTCCAGAAAAACTGCAACCATTTGGCTAGTTTGTCGAAAAGACAAATAATTGTTGGAATCAGACCCGATGAAGGAGAATCTTTCGTTAACTCGCAGGGCGAATCTCTGTCCGGGGCTCTACCCCGACAAATTGGACGAGAGGCAGGAAACTTTTTCCAGCAGCCTTCTTGACCCTGCCCCCTTTTTGACTTTTGAAGACATCCCAACAACCATAAGTTGAAGAAAGAGAGCCTCTCAAAGTGTGGTTAGTTCTCTTTCATCAGGGACATCGAGGTGTGTTGTTGCAGGAGCTGTTCCCCTGTTCGGGGTGGCTTAAAAGGAATATGTGTTTTAGTTCCCCAGCTGAACAAAGACCAAACTCCTTCAAACAAAGATGCTGTTGGGATAACCCCCCCCCAAAAAAAAGAAACACAAGCTGCGATCAGTTAGGAACACCCCGCCCAAAAAGAAAAGAAAAGACAGAGCGCCCAAGCTCGTGGCCGTTTGAGGAAACTTCCTGAAAGGGGCTTGGATCCTAGCGGATGGTGACTTCTGACATGGGAAAGTTGGCGGGTGTTCTGATGATGACTTGCTTCTCAAACGTGAGTGTGGCTGTCTTTTTGTTGAACCTAGCCTTTGTGGGGTGGTTCTTAAAGGAAACCAGAAGGAACAACCCCAAGTTTGGGCGGGAGGGGGGGAGTTGAGGCCCGCCCATGGGAAAGTTGGGCTTTCTGGTTTTGTGGGAGATTTGGGTTGTTGCTTCTCGTCCTCCCCGATTCAATCATAAAATACCATAGTGTTTCCCTATGGTTCCAGGGAACATAGTTACCCAGGATTTCTGGCCTCTGGGTTTTACATGATGGTTTCCCTGGTTACCTACTTTTGTCGCAACTGGAAGAACAAAGCGGGGGTTCAGTTGCTATCTGTATAGTCTTCAATTCCTGAAAAAGGCAACAACCCTCTTGCCTTCCCACTTGCAAGTAGAAGCTCGGGAAGAAACAGAGCCAAGGAACTCCCAAATCGAGAAATGTCTCTTGAAATGACCTGGGCGGTCCTCAGATCCCCTGAGGAGAGTGTTGAACTTTCGGGTTAAATGGGAAAAAACGACACCCCACCAAACCAACTGAGATCGGAGGCTGGGAACTGAACTATATCGCGAGCTTGCCATAGGTGTCCTTTTTGGTTGACAATAGATGGGTTTCCCTGGTTGATTGAGCCACCAGGTCAAAACCAGGAAGGGATCACCCCCGATTTTTCGGGCAAATCGACCAAACAGGACACCTATGGGGCTTGCTCCTTTCACACACATTTTTTCTTAGGAGTGACCAATCAGTGACCAAAAACTCCGGTTACCGTTTCGTAAGACCCCCCTTGAGTCGTTAAATGTTGTCTCACAATTTCGCTTGAAATTGTAAACCGTTCCTCGAGAATTTGAGAAGTCAGAGGTAGGTTGTCCCGGAAAAAGGGATCGCGCGCGCCTGCCCTTCCCCTCGGGGATCAGCTCCGCAATTGCCCTGAGGGAACCCATCGACTCGATCGATCGATCGGGGGGGGGGGGGTAGGGGGGGTGGGAACTCTCAAAGCCGAGTTTCCTGGGTGCGTCAGAATATTTTACCAAGCTGAAGTGAGGTGGTTTCGGGGATAGTCCGATATTCCCCACAAACAACACCATTTGGGGTGAGGTCGGGTGAGGTCGTTATCATTCACTCAGATTTTCGGTGCGAATGCCGAGGTGTCAAGGTTGAAAGAGGCTTCACGGTACTTCTGTGAGCCCAAACTCAGCTTGTGACAAGCGGCAACAAGAAACCATCTGAGTTGGGTTTCCACATCCAAATCATTTGTCGTGAAACCATGAGGGTTCTCCTTTTCATGGCCCACATATGGCCGCGGGCAGACAAAGGTTTGGTAAACTTCGGATTAATCCAAAGGGCACGTGCGATTTTGAGGGGTGTCTTCCCTTTTACTCAGGAAATTATCTCTTTGATAGGGTGTCTTTGACCAGGGTCTTTCTGATTCCGCAGCCAGGGTGTGTATCAAAATAGGGGGCCACCCCAAAGAACTGGCGATGTTTCCTCTTGGTTCCCCTTTCAGCCACGCCCAAAAGGGTCCCGAGCCAAAAAAAAAAAACACCCCTTGTGTGTCTCAAAGGAGTTGGTCCCCTAAAAAAAGGCGAAGGGTTTGGCTGGAAACCCAAAAGGACACCCAAAGGTCAAGTTGCCCACCCATTTTCTTGCTGGTGCGAGGGAACGACGGGTTTGGGAATGAACCTCTGGATTCCCCAGGAAACCAGTCGGGGTCATTCCCTCGTACTAGGAGTAGTACTAGTAGTACTAGTAGTACTAGTGCTAGGACTAGTACTTGGATGCTGCTACTAGTAGTACTACTGCCTTTTCCGCTCTTGGTCTCTAATTTTCCGCTCTCAGTTAAATCATCCCTTGAACCATCGACTTTCGGGAACCTCAGGGCGAGGACTCTAAGCTCCCCGGCGCACCGGCGGCCTCGTTTCGCTCGTTTCGAGCCTCGGAGTCGACTCGCGGGGCGGTCACCGGAAATTCCCCGCTGAACATCCTCCTGAAGCCGAAGCTGGCCTTCAACCAACATCACGGTAGTTGTATGGCCATGGGTCAACAATGCCTCCATTTTGGGGCGGATGAACACCCATGTACCACCGATTTTGATGTTCACCAGGGGGACAGGGTTTTGACCCACAGCCATATCAACAATGACACTAGTACTGATACTATTACTAGTACAAATGCCAACAGCAATGCCACACATAAGTATGATAGATAGACTTTTCCCAAACAAAACAACATACAATTAATAAGCTATATCGATCATGATGAAATATACGCGTAAGGATAATCGCAAAAACAAACATCCCCAATATTCACCAATACTACTGCTAGTAATACTAATAGCTTTAATGAATTGTACTTTACCGCCCTGGGTATGGTAGGACACACACTTTGCATTTTGCAGCCCTCCACTACAAATAAACAGAACCAAACAACTTAAGCACCTACACACTTGCTCGCAACAGTGAAGAGTTTCCAACAGCTAATGTCATTAAGATAATACATAACTACTCAACAATTCACGACATCAATATGCTACGCCAAGCTGTTAATTGGCGGAACAACAAAATGAACCTTCATCATGGGTGCGACATGAGGCAAACGACTCTTTGGAAGAATTCTGAGCCAATGTCACTTGTTTGGAGGTTTCTCCAGTACATGCCTATTTCTTGAGAGCAAGCCTTGCAAGGTTGACTGAGAAAAGAGACGACAACAGGCACTAAACTGGGCTGCTCTCCTCCTGACCATCGTTGCTTCCAAAAGGTCTAAGGAGCGATTCCGTCAAGTAAAGATAACTTACCCAGTGGCTTCCCAAGACGCTTAGCCAGCGGCTTCGCCAAAAGCAGGGCACCCCTTCTCTGGTTTTCTGCGCTCAAACAAGTTAAGGGGCCAGAAATCCACTCGACTGAAGCACAGGAGTGCTGATCAATGGGCTCAACCCTTGTGTCACCCCATGAGCCAGGGTCAACATACCTTACATACTGTCTGCTGGCATTGCTGCTCTGAAACTTGGTCATAGGGTAATTTTTCTGGCGCTCACTGCACTGAGCTGCGCTCAGATCCCCCGGCTAAAAGTGACCAATTTTTAGTGAGTTAAATTCGGAAACTACCACTTAACACTAAAAGGCTAAAAAGCTAAGGAACCGGATAACTGGGAGCCTCCAAGTGCTTGTCAAGGGTCCCGAAAGCTCGCAGCCCAACTTTACAGATCGACGCCTCTGACTTCGACTTCGGCGCGGTCGGCGCTTTGGGCGTCACCGCCGGACCCAGCAACCCTGGCGCTGCAAAAGTTGGTTGGCTGCTATGATCCCCCCCCCCCCATACACGTGCATTTTTCCCCCGATACCCCCGATTTTTCTTGTAAAGGCCACCGGTCTCGGGTCTTGGGACCGAAAAGAAAGGTGTAAACCCCACTTCCACAGGGGCTGATCTGATGGCCGCTGGCAAGTCTGAGGATAGCTGAGGCCCCAACCATGTCCACCTCATGTGGAGTCTGCCATCCAGCCAGCTGTCTGGTCTGCTCGTGTTGTTTTTTCTTTTACTTATTCTCTTGGGCTGTCAGGCTTTGAAATGGGGGGGGGTTCCAGATTTGGAGTGAGAGGGAGTGAGGCTTGTCCAACTTCGTGGCTTCTGAATCGAATGCTAGCTGTTCAAACACCAAGATTGAGGGGCTGTTCGGTCGCTTCGCACGATTTGAGTGTTGCAAGGACACCCATGACCAAAAAACACTTGCTGGCACTGTGCAAAGTTTGATCAACCAGACCCTGGGTCTGTATCAAGAACAACTAAGGAGGAGGCTTCTGAAACAATGGTGGTTCTTAACGATACTGGCTTTTTAAGCAAGTCGCTGGGTCCTTGCAATGCCTCTCGGAATTCCATGCCAAGCATTGGGGGGAATAGCCTGTGATACCACTGCGGTATCACAGAACTGGGAACCAAACCACAAATTCCTATCTCACATCTACACATATGCATGTATGGTATACATATGAATATATATATATATATATAATGTAATATATATATGTATATATATTATGTATATATTCTATGACCCGGCACTTCCAGTCATGTTTATATTGCTTCAATGGAGCCGTGGCTTACCCCTCTTTCACGCGCGCCGCGTCTGAGCCGGTGGGTCCCCACGAGCAGTTGGCTTCGCAGCGGATTCGGCCAGTCGACTCGACTCAGCCCAGGCCAACAGGGGATCAGACAACAAGAGCACCACTTGGCTCTGTGGTCAAAAAAATAGGACCCCAAACTCAAAATGGCACCCTGATAAGCATAAACATGGACGCAACCTTGCGGTCTTCTGCGGGTGTTTGCTTTGACCCATACCCAATTCCCTTTCTTGGCACCTGCATTTTGGTGTTTGGTTTCCCTCCAAAACCAGAAGCAAGCAGCAATAAAACTCAAAAGAGGGCCCCTAAAAGACGACGCAACTATTATGGTGCACCCACTACCCGTAGAAGGAAGGAGGTTGCAAAGTTTTTCGTCGCTCAGAGTCCCCTCCAGACCCTCAATTGGGTGTCGGTTAACCTTTCAGTCTTGCCATGAAACTGCCCGAGCCTCAAAAAGCATGCAACCTTTACAATTCACCGCTGTAAGCACAACCAACAGGTAAGACACAGCGCCCCTTCGCAAAAACCGATGGCCTCACTTGAGTGAATTGGCCAACGTCCAAGCTGGTTGTTTGCCACTAGAATGGTCTCCCCAAAATATGTTAAGTCTACGAACTCGGGAAGTGGGCCCAAGCAAATGGTTCATATAGCTCAGAACCAGTGGAACCCATTTAGGCAAGCCTAAGGGCGCCTCTGGTTAGAAGGGCCACAAACTTGGCCCCAATCATACTTTCAGATGCTTCACGCGGCTGGTTTTTTTTTGGCTGACCCCCCTTTCATGGTCTTTAATGATGGTTTTCCTTTTGGTTTTCCTTTAACACCAGCCAAAAAGGCCCCTCATGCAAGACAACCCCAAACTTAGTCTACCCTTGCAGTTGTTTGGGAAGATCCCAATCAAATAGGATTCATGGAAGGGTACTGGACCCGCGCCAAAAAAAACATGTGCCAACAAACTGTGCGCCGAGATTTGGGTTTTTGTCCAAAAGGCCTTTAACGGGCCCCCTCAAAACAAAAACAAACACAGAAACAAACAACCACAGAAACAAACAAACACACAAACAAACAACCAAACAAGGAAGCAAACAAACAAACTAACAAACAAACAAACAACCAAGCACACATGGGTTTCAAGGTGTGGGTCCACCTGGCACGCCACCAGGCAGCACCCCGTGAAGCACAGCACCGCCGCCGCGCAGGAGTTGCGCCTCGCGATGCGTGGGCTCTGGGCTCTGTCGAGCTTCGTTCCGCGGCACCCGAAGGATAGCTCAACTTGCGATCGGTGCGAGAGGGAATGAGAATTGGATTGAACCCAGGCTGTCCCCTTAAAGGAACACTTGGGGCGACAAGTAACCCAGGCTTTGGCCACCCTTGGCACCCGAATGAGAATTGGAATGAACCGAGGAATTGGTCCCCTCAAAGGAACACACCAGTTGGATGGTGTATAAGGGTCATTCCATCATTCCCTGCTGAGCACCAGCAAGTCAACGGCAAGCAAGAGTATGTTCAAGCCACCCAAAGCATGGGGACTCATTCTCTCTGAGGATTGCTTTTTCAGCTTGCCACGAGTTTCCAATGAAACCCAAAGGGAAACTTCCAATCTACCAAACTTATTGCTTAGAAATGGGCTTCCAAATTACCCTTGCCCTTACCAGTGCGCGGCAAGCAGGGATTTCCCAAACCACCCATTACGGGGGTGCCGGATCGAACTCACTTCCCGAGATGGCAAAAACAAGCTTGTGGTTGTAAGCCACTAATCCACATGTGTATGTGTCAATCAAAATAGGCTCACTTGCTGAGATGGCCCAAAGACAAGTAACCAACCTTATTGCCTGCGAACTGGTCTTCCCAAAAAGTGACTAACGCCCATTAGCTCAGGAGGTAACCATGTTGGTTGACGGCGCCTTGGTTCAAAGGCGACAAAAGAACAAACATCACCTAGTTTAACGGGTTCTTTTTGACACAACCCCCTTAAACCACTTTGGATGTCTTTTCCCTTAGCCAAGGGAACCAATTCTGTTAAACGGACACATGTTTTAGGGCTGCCCTCAGATCCCCCTGCTAGCAGTGACTCACTTTTAGTGGGCTAAATTCGGAAACTACCAAACGAAAACCAACTAACAACCCAAAAAGCTAAGGAACCGGATGGCTGGGAGCCTCCAATTTTTGCAGGGATCCATGGCCTTAGGCTTCGGGTGGTGTGCCTGGTGCCGGGATCTTTGTTCCAGGCTATGCGTTGCTGGTTGGCTCTGGCTCCACTCGTAAACCCAGCTTTCAACCCTACAAACTTGTACTTGCATTTGTTGTCTTCATTGCGCTGGAAGCAAACTGACTCATTGTTTCGCCTCTCAGACTAGGTGTTTTGAACCAGGAGGGGCTGTGGGGTAGTGGAAACCACATTTGTCATGATCATAGGAATAGCCCTTGCATCACCCTTGGGAAACCCCTGCAAATTAACATGGGACCCAACAAAGGGGGGGGTACTTAAAAGGAATCTTCTCTGGGCTCAAACTTCGTCTGGGCTTGTTTCCAACTACGGGACCGTCAAAACCAGTTGCTTCCCTGACCTTCCCCCCGCAAAAACCACCCCAACCCGAGTACCACAAAAAGACAGAGGCATCAGGAGAGTAAGATGGATGTAAAACCACAACCTTCGGGAAGCTCCGAAGTGACTGGGCCACGAGGGGAAACATGGCCCACCCACAAGCAAACAATAGGTTCAAACCGTGGGCCCCGTGCCCAAAATCCCACTTTCAAGGTGTTTCTTCTGATACCGTGGATGGATGAGATCCATTTCGCACCACCGAACAAACCCTGAAATGATTTGGGAATATACCGCTTTGCTATATTTCTTGGCAATCGTTTTGCGTTTCTCGGTAAGGCCGGGGTACACCGCCGACTATATCAACTGCCGGTTTGGCCTAAAGAAGTCCGACGATCTTCCCAGCGCTCCCCCAAGGACGTCACGCGCGAAAGGGGCCGTGGTGACGTGGTCTGAGCCATTTGTGTGTTGTCTTTTTCTCGGTTGCGAACTCTGCTCCCCTGCTAAACGTTTGACTTTTGGTGGTTTAATGGAAACCCCATTAGTTGGCAAAAAGTTGAAGTCCTAACAGCCAAGCAACATGCACCAACAAATTTTGGGGGTGCTGGTTGAAAGGGAGACTCGCGAAAGGGCAAACAGACTCCTGGGATACATGGGGGGGTTCTCGACATGCTGCACTTCATTTGGCGGTGTTAAAAGGACACCGCCCATTTTTGGGGGGGGGGAATCCCTGAGTTTGAGAAAAAAACCAAGTCTAATCAAAGGATACTTAAAAGGGAGAGCAAAAGGAAACTAGGACCTTCCAGAAACCAAAAAAAACGATGAAGTAAACCGTAGCCAGGCACGTATTTTGTGTTCAGAGGAGATCCCAGTGGATGTCAGGGCAAATCGGAACTGTGCCGAAAGAGCTGAGCCGATGAGGGAACTATGCAACTGGGTCCTCCAGATTTGAGAGGTTAGAATAAGTTGCTACCCGTTTTTTTTCTTTTTTTTTCTTTTTCTTTTTTTCTTTTTTTCTGTAGTCTATTTTGGGGGAACCCTCCCAACCAAAAAAGGGTAAGGGCATTGGGGGAACTCTGCAATCTGCTGAACCCACCCGACGGCGCGTTGGCGCGGTGACATGGGCTGTAGTTGGCCTTTGAGGGAATCGGAGCCTCCAAGGCGCTTCTGGGAAATTCGGGCCCCTATGGCCAATTCAAACGTCAGCCCACCAAACGGACCTTCCTTTCAATTGGCCCAAGGTGATGTTGCCATCAGGAGAAAGTATAGGGACACCCTGCCTCTCGAACAGAACGACGCCCAAAACAGATCTCCCCAAATTGACAAACTAGCATGATTCTGGGCTAATGACTTAAGAAGCTCGCAAGCCTGAACTAAGGAACCCTCTCAGCAAGGGTGAGCTCCTCACTTGTCCAAATTCCTCCCGCCTGAAGGGCTTACGCATCAGCAAGGAGAAAATGAAGGTGAACACCTCAGCGAACTGTTCGCCAGCCTTTGAGCTGGTTTCCAACGGGAAAAAAAGGGGGGCGGCGTTGCGTGTAAAACCACTGCACATCGGTGTGCAATATGAGTTTTGTCCATGGGGCACGTGAGGAGCCTCACTTCATGTGATGAAGCTTGCGGTTTTCGCGAAGAATCTGGTTGGGGAAAAAAAGAACAAGACCCAATTTGGGTTGATGGATTTGAGCTTCCCTTTAGTAGCCCACATTTTTTAACGTGAAGACTTGGGTTGATGGATTTGGGTGTTTCCCTTTAGCAGCCCACCGGCACCCCCCTTTCCATGGAGGCTCCTAGTGTCCCAAAACAAAACCTGTGGGTCTTTGTGGGCAACCCGAGCCAAAAGGATTGCCCAATACCTGCGGTATTGGTTAAACTGGCTTGGTTGTATTTGGTTCTGAGGTCCCATTGGTTTCCTTTAGTTTTCCTTCAGGGTTGCCCCTGTGCCGATCAGGTCAAGCAAAAGCAACACTCTTGTTCAAAGGATATCACGGACTGATGGGTATATAAACAGTCCACATGGGAAACACTTGGCCCCCCACCCCCATAATTCCCTTTTCTTGTGCCCGCAGATTGGAACATGTTAAAAGAAGGAGAAGCAAAGCGCGGCGGCCGCACCAACTCTTACTTTGACTTTGCCTTAACCTGGGGGGTCGAGACCGGGGGCAGTTTGTTTTGATTGTCTATCAGAGGCTCGGAGCAAGCCTCTGTGGAGACATGGCAGCCCCAAACACCCAGTCAAATTCTAAGCACCTTGAAGGCTACGCTGAAACACAAAGACACCCAAACAAGACACCCCCGTCTCGATCCTCACTAAGCGTCTGTTTTAGTTGCATTCGAAAGACGGTTGGTCTGGTGTCCCAACTTAAACCACACAAACGAGGGGTACAGCAGCCTCAACAAAAAGACGACCGCCCCTGGCTGCGTTTGGGAAAGCTGGGCGGCCCTGCCGAGGAAGTGGAAGAGAGCACAGTGTTCGTGGCCACCTGCGGAGAGTCCCCTCGAAGTGGGAGCTTGAAGCGCTTCCCGACGTTGCCATGGGGACTCTTTGGGGTGATTTGGACCATTTTTCTCTAGTGGGCTGTATGTTAGTGGACAGGAGGGTAGGTGAGTGGGTACTCTCATCTCGTTTGGGTGTTAGAGGGCTTTTGGGGCAGCGGTTGGAATCCGCTGCTCCTAGGACCCCGAATTTCAATTGGGGGGCGTGTTGTGGACAGGGGATGTCTGTCTTACCAGCCATTCTACAAGTGTTCCCCACTGAAGATGCATTGCCACATCAGCATTCAAGACAAGAGTTCGCTGGACATGCTAGTTTGCGGCGTTATCTTCGGCAAAACGCAACTGTTGGCTTGTGGCGTACAAAACAAACGTTGACAGCCACTTTCCCTGTCAGCACCATCCCTTATTTCGACCCCTGATTAATACCCTACGGTCCGCACTGGGAAAGGGAAATCGTATCTGAAGGGTACCCTTTTTAGTTTCATTCGGAGAGCCCCTTTTTCAGGTTGAAAAGGAACACCCATGGGTCCCCTACTGTAGATGGACAAAAACCATTTCGCAACACGAAATGAAACCATGGTTGCAGTTGAACCCATACCGTTCGTTGGTATTTACTCGGGAATCATCAGACACATTTCGTCCCCCGATCTTTTGACGAGCCATACCCAACTTCTTGAGGCGCCCGCAGACGTGTGCAGGAGACCTCGGCGGGGAGAAACGGTTCACTCGCAAAGGTGAGAGTCTAAGAGATTCCTCAGATTCCTAGTTGACACAATATATCTGCGCTTTGGGTGGTTTTAAACTGGAAACCAACCGCACACCACTATCTTCTTCTTTTTTTTTTTTGGGGGGGGGGGCGGCCTGAAAAAATGACAAACCCGTTTCAGGGTTGCTGTAACGACCACTCTGCAAAAAAAACAAACACATGTTCGTGGGTTCAAAGGAAGACCTTTAATTTCAACCAAAAGGTTGAAGTCTAAAGATCACACAGCCAATGGCAATCAAGTTCCTGAGTGGATTGGTCCCAACAGAACAAGTAACCACATTTGTTGTATACCGGAAACTATCTTATCTAAATTAAACATATAGAATCCAGAAATTGAAATTTAGATTCATTCAAGTCATAATGGAAATTCATTAATAGTTGTTCATGAGTCCTCATATTCTCTTTTGACCTCCCTGCATGTTTGAGCGGGACATCCTTTTAGGTATCCCAGCTTATTTGCTGATAGACCTCGTGATCCTTAGTGATTCTCACCAGCAACCGAACATCTTTCAACATGGACCCGCACGGCTGGAGAGAAAACATCCTTGCGTTACCAAAGTGGGCCATCCCCATGTTCACTTTCGCACTCAGGAGATTCCACTGGTATCACAGGAGTGCCGGTATTCCCTCTGGTATCACAGTGCCCGTTATCCACAATCGTGTGGATCGAAATGGCTTACCGCATGTTCTCTAGCATCCCGGTGCCATCAAACGTTTCTCAACGAAATGACCTGGACATAACTTGAGTAACTTGACGGGTCGATCCACGTGAGGAAAACTGGGTTTCCGTATTTACAAGGAAAAGCTGGCAAGGTTCCTTCTATGTTTCCAGAAAAGCATCTCCACATGTCCAGAGAGGGACATGTCCAACTGTGAAGCCCGAGGCAGATGAGGGGTTTTGTGCTTCTTTTTTGGTGATTTGGGCTTGTGCCCTGTCAAAGTGACCCTGCCAAGAAACGCAATCGATTTCGAGCGTACTGTGGATATGGGTCACTCGTGTCTGTGTCAACTATAAACAGGTCCCCCCTTGTTGGTGGGGGGAGGAGGCGGTCCTTTTGCCACCTGGTTTGCCGCAAGACGGTGTCTGAAATTGGGGACTCCCGCGGCAAGGGTCTCCTTTTCGGGGGGGGGTGGATCCCGATTTCCCGATTTCTGCCATTCGTGGGACAGCAGCACACCCCTTGGCGACCTAAACTGAAAAAAATGATGGGTTTCCCGAGATGGGTTTATAAAACCAGTCTCAACCAGTGGAACTCATCTGTTTCTAAGCAAACTCACCTAAACAGGACACCTTAATTGCTGGACTTGGGCATCAAACCCTGCACGCGCCGCGGCCGAACAAACCGATGACAAGCCTCCCAAGCGCCAGTTTCCGCCCTTCGGCATCCGCGCTCACGTTGTACATGCACTGCGAGCAAGACCACAGCACTCCGACCTGACGCCACGCCATTTGAAGGATGCTCCGGGAAGCAGGTGCTGCCTATTTTTTGATCCCTTCTTTCCTGGCGGGGGGGAGGGGGAGGGGGAACAAATTCAAGAAACCCCTCATCGTGTTTCTCTTCTGAATCTTTGGTGTCTTGGGGGGGAGGGTCCAAATTCTGGTATGTTGAGACATAATAAACCACAATGGGTCTAGCTCAAAACGAGCGGAGCTCACGGTTCCGACTCGATGTCAGCTCCGAGCTCGTTTCCGGTTCCCTGCCAGTGATTCTTTCCACTTCCATAGCCTGTATAGCAACCAAGGGAGACCACCCTTCTACTAGGCTGGAATTAGGACCCCAGCAAAAAATATATTTTTTGCTGGGTTGGTGGAAAACAAAGGGGGCCCCAACAAAGCAAAGAAGGACAAAGGGGGAGCTAATTCTGGGGAAGTCTAGGGCTTGATTCCGATTCCATTCTTTTCAACCATCCTGCTTTTCAAAAACCGGATCCGCTTTCCATGAAATTCCGGAGGTTTTCTAGAAAGAAGGATCCCTGGAAAGAATGGGGAAGGTACCTCTAGATCCCTTTACAAACCAAAAGGAACATGGCTGGTTGTCTAGCTAGGTCCTCCAGTAGAGAGGTTAGAATAAGGGTACCAACTTTTTCTTTTTTTGTCTATTTTAGCAGGGGAACCCTCCCAACCAAAAAAGGGTAGAGAAAGGGCACCTAGCTGGGGGACCTAGAATCCAAAAGGAACATGGCTGGTTGCCTATAGTGGAAGCTGGGATGCACTGGGCCCAGCTTGACTTGAAGTTTTGCTCGGTGGGGGCACCTGGTACCATTTTGGGGCAGGTGCACCACCCATTTTAGTCAATTTCATGTTCACTGGGGGTACGGGGTTTTGACCCATAGCCACATGTTTTGTATATGTCATGAACAATCTCGCAAACTTCCAATATAAGGCTATGGGGCCTTTTCAATTCATAGTTCGTCGCATCGTTCGCCCAGCGCCATGTAACTTCAATGGCACCCCAAAAACAACAAACTTGGAGAGGAGCCTCATTTCGATGCAATCCTGGAGTTCCACTTTCATTAATTTGCATGGGAGTACCCAACAGGCTCAACACGCCAAGTCTGGGGTAGGGTCCAGATGAAACTTGCAAGCCCGCCCCCTTCGAGATCAAAGAGGAGCAACTTGGTGATTCTTGATGTTTGGGTGCGTGTTCGACACATTTCAAGGCACTCACCATCTTGCCATCAGTTTTGTTCCCTTTTGGGTCAACACACTCAGCCACAATCTCGCTGGTTTCTTCGCCCGGCAAATGCAGCCACCCGTCCACGTCCAATTTTAGATGAACCGCAAAACTGGGTCCAATCCCCTGCTCAAAGTGACCAACTCTTGAAAAAAAAAACGAAAGAACTAGAGGGCTGGGAAGCGCCAAGAACATCCATCATACACACGGCTGTGGCCCAAAAAACCGGACTTCCAAAATGGGTTACCCTAAGTGGAAACATGGGTTACCCAAAACCTGCGGTTTGCCTCTCCTGGATAATTTTGAGCCACACACCCACACCCCTTTCTTAGAGGCCAACGGCTCGCTGGATCCGGGGCCACCGGCGGCCTGGGGCCCCGGGCAGTGCAAGTCATTCGACCCGTGGCGGCCACCTGAGGAGAGCTTTGGGAGGCGCGGTACCTTCCCAACCGAACATAGGTGTCACATGGGTATGGGTCAAAAAAACAATCCCCGGAAAACCGCAGGTTTTAGTCCATGTGTCCATTTGCCAGGGTTCCATTTTGGGTACCTATTTTTGACCCACAGCCATAAGCAGGTTGCCAAAAGAAGCTTCACAAGAAGGAGCCTCAAACCATCAATACAAAGGGGAATTCACCCCGGAATTTTGGGGCTACTTTTGTGTCTGGTCTTGCTCGGTAATTACCCCCTTGTCGGGTAATTGGTCTTTCTTAGCGAAACAAAACAAATGACAACACGCTGATTCTTCGCTGGAGCTATAGGTAGGGAATGAACCCAAGACTTCCCCTCAAAGGAAATTACCAGTTGGATGGTTATAGGGGTTGTTCCACGTCTCATTCTCTGCTGAGCACCAGCAAGCATTTTGTGGCAGGCTGTGCAGGATTTTGTCCATCCACAGCGCCAATACCAAAATGGCTGGTATGGAAGTGGACAGTCTGCTGGCAGTTGTTCAAAACGACCGTTTTGCAAAGCCCATCATTGTTGGAAAGATTGTATTCCGTACCTTTCACACAGGGCAACATGGGTTTTGACATGCAAACCTGTCCAAGGGAAACCAACAGGAGGGTGATGGGACAATACTTCTAAACAGTAGAATATATACGTTCCCTGCTCTAAACCCAAGGATTCTTCTAAGGAAACCACACAAAACCTAAGGGAACGACTGGAATCAACGTTATCACCTTGTACAAGCACCATATATTATGTTTCCCAACACAAGCTCCAAACTTGGTAGTTTCCTCGTTGGTTTTCTTTTCAAAGTCCATCCCAAGGGGGCCGCCCATGTTTGAAACCAGCCGTGTTTCCCTTTTCGACATCGCGCCACCAAAATGCAAACCAAATCAATTTGGCCCAGACGACGATGCTTAGACCACCCAAAAAGGTAGCACTTGTCTTCCCACATGGACCTTCAAGTTATCTCAATGGGAAAAAAGGGGAACCTTCTTTTTGTTGGCTGATTTGACAGGGAACCCTTTCCCCAAAAGGCAAATCCGGCGCTGGGCAACTTGGATTTGTGGTCGCGCAAAACTTCGACCAGGCCACGCGGTCCCGGGCAGCACTCCTCCTGGCAACGACCCGAGCAGGTTGCCATGCCCTTGCTGCACTACTTGCGTGTCAACTTTGAGGGCGATCCCACAACGGATACATCAACAGACACAGGACTTCCTCCCTTTTTGGCAGTGAAAAGCTGGAACCCTCAAGCTGCGGGCGGAGATTTCAATGTTCACTTCATGTGAAACAGACAAAACACGTCAGAGCCTCATCCCACGTCGTTTCCAACCGGATCGGTGGGCAGTCACCGGAAAGGCTTTAGGGCAAATTTTGCAGTAGCAACTTTGGGCAACATTGATACTCATTTCCGATCGAGTGGATGGCCTGACACACGAAAACTGCTTGTTTGCCACCAACTTGGTCTCTAACTCCCCCCCCCCCCAAATATATATATATATATATATGTATATATATATATATTCGGGAACTCAAGAAAGTGAGGATAACGCGGAAATGTCTCGCAAAAGCGCCAAGCCCTTTCCCAGACATTGCGCTGGACTGAGCCCTGCGGCGGCCCTTTAGCTCGACGCCTGCAAGGGCAGAGGAGCACCACGCCAGCCATGGAGTTGAAGAAGGTGACCTCGGAAAAGGAGCTCCGCACCAATTCCAGACCAGTCCTTCTTTTTTTTGGGGGGGAGCACCCCCCAAAAAGTGGGTCTTCCTTCTGGTTTCCCTCAAAAACTAAAAAACAATAAGAGGTACCCTCGAAAACAAAGAGACCCATGTTTGCTCCAGGAGTGGACCTGACCACTTTGACCACTTGCACTCTTGTTTTCGCACTGTCCAAGGAGGGAATCTACAGGTAGGGTTTCCAAAAATCGAACGCAATATCTGCGTGCCGAAAGATGCCCCACCCCCGCCTTCAGGGGAGGGGGGTGGAGTCAAGGTCTGGCTGCGGGCGTGGCGCTAGAACTGCCAAGAGGGGGGGATGCTGGCTTGTTTGTGCAACGGCCCCTCTGCAAAAAATGACGTTAACTTCTTGTGGGTCCAATGCGGAAAAAACCCGGCCCAAAAAGTTGCTCAGTCCAAAGATCCGTTACAAAAAACAAAAAACATGTGGTTCTCTTTAAGCTGGACTTTAAGCCACATTTCAAAAGGGTACCTGAACCCCCCCCAAAATGCCAACTGAAAAAAATCGGGTTGTTGCCCCCCCCCAAATATATATATATATATATATATATATATATATATATATATATATATATATATATATAAATAAAAGTCATCCGGCTCTGATCTTTCCAAGTCCTCGGCCTTCGGGTCTCAAAGGACGCGCTGACGGAGGTCTAAGGGAACCTCTGGAAAACATCTGGGCAGATTCTGCCATTCCCACACTGGAAATCAGATTCCCCCGGAAAAGGGATTCCTTCATGAGTGCGCAGCTCGCACAAGGCTTCAGAGTTCGCGCCCATGTGGTCGTCATGCTGGGGGGGAAGAAGACAAACCCTTTCATGTAACCATGTGTCTGGGGACCCTGTTTTTTTGACCGCCAACCTGATTTGTGGCCCCATAAACCAGAAGCAAAAATGGAGGAAGAAAAGCTGGTTTGTGGTTGGAAAGCAGAGCCCCCTCTAGCCATTGATGCTGATGCCTTGCGCCAACACACTTCAAGGCTCTCAAGGCCTCTTTGTCCAGCTACAGCACTCCGATTGAGTTCATGAGCCAACTAAGGAAACCAACTTATTGTTGGCCACTGGAATGGTAAAAAACCAAGAAGTGACTACAGTCCGAACGGAACTCAGGAAGTGAGTTGTTCTCGCAACTCACAACTCCCCATCTGCAGCTCGGCACTGCCAGATGGGTATGTCTTTTCGTTGCGGTGGACTCCCAATGGAGTTGCTCTCCTTTGGTTTCCCTTGAAACCCACCAAACAGGGGCAACGGAGCAAAACCGAAACAGATGGATGCTCAGCGGCCCCCCCCGCCCCTCCTCACCCGCGGAACGGGAGGCCCTGCGAAGAGGGGCTGTTGGAACTGGGCTTTTTCCGTGGCCACGGCCTGCGGCTCGCTCGCGGCTCGCTCAAGCGGACGTCGGACTCCCTTTTTCGGACCCCCCGAAATGGGCGCAACGTGCTTCGGTTTTTTGGTCCCAAAACAAACCACCAAAAAGGTGGCCCCCAATAATGTCATGTAATGGTGTTTTTCTTTTGGCTTCCCTTTACAGACCACAACAAAAAATCGTTTTTTCCACAAAACAAAAAAACACAGAGAGACACACTCGGTCTTTTTAAATCCCGAGTGTGGGGGTCGTGGACACCATCTGGATTTGGCGGTTGGCGAAACCGAAGCCAGCGATTTTCGAGGTTTCCCCTTTTGGCGACACGCACGATATGGGTTCTAAAAAGATTGGTCTTCACAAAGGTGGGGCATTCATATCTTTAGGGCCGAAGGATCCTACCCAATGGTATCGAGCGCACTCAGAGCCTTTGTGGAAAAGCTGTCTTCCATTTGCGTAACTCGCCTGGACAAAATCCTGCAGTGTTACATTCTCGTAACATATTCTTAAGCCTAAAACATCTGTCACCCGAAACATCCCGAAACAACAAGCCGGCACCCTGCGTGAAACAGCCCATCCCCAAGCGGCAGGTTGCAGATTACCATGGAACACAAAAAACAGGGCCCCAAAAACCAGGACAACCAAAATCAACTTTTGCTGTAGTGATAGATTCCCTTACAAAACAAAAACACATGGGAAAATAACACCATATTCTTAAGCAACTGGAAGTTGTTTCGAGGTCTTTTGTTTTAAAAAGTGGCGGAGTCCCCGCCTGGACCGCAACACTGGAGAAGACCCAAAGCACCAGGCAGCCTGACGACAGATGCAAACCTGTCAACTCTGAAGCCTCACCCATTGAGTCGGGAAGCTCTGTGCAAAGGAAATAAATATCCATTGAAAGGAGAACCCTGAAATACAAACCACCGTTAAAACCATGGGGGCTCATAACCATGGTTTACCTAAGGATTGTCATCCCATTTGGGTCAACCATTCTGTTGGGGGTTGAAGCCGAATTCGGGAGAACATTCGACTGGTTTTCTCATTGTTGCCGGAGAAAAGTCCATCGTGCGACTGCGTTGGGCCCCGCCCAGTTCTGCAGGCTGCTGGCCACTTGCGCAGCAGCCAGCTCGGAGAAAAACAAAAAAATCTCACGACCAGAAGGTGTGATTTTTGTGAGCACCAAAACTAAAAACTAAAAACAAAGCTAAAAACAAACCACAAGGTTTTTTGACCTGACGTGTGCCCACCGTGATTTCTGTGAGTTCTCGTGAGTGATGCATAAGCAGACTGCTCACAGTCACTCCCTCTGAGCCGCATGAGCCAATTCTATTTCTGCATTGCCAAGCGTTACTTTCAGATTCGCAGCCCGCCAAAAAGTTGGACATGAAAGCGAACCACGAAACAGTCAGATCAAGCAGAATCAAAGCCTCTTGTGGGCAACCTCCTTTGCGCGACTGCTTAGCCTTGCTTGTTCTGTAACTATAAATTTGACGGTTTGGGGACCAATTCAAAAACACCACCCAATGTTTGCCCAAATCTGTTTGGCGCGTGTTCTTTAATAACTTTTTCCTGGCAAACACAACTTTCCGCTATATAAAGCCACCCTCGAAGCAGTCACAGGATTCAGAATGTGTGAAAACCACTTTGTATCAAGGCGCCCCAATGCCCTAAATATAAATGGGCTGTGGAGGAGACCCCATTGTTCTAGGGGCAGCTTCCCTATTCTCCATGAAGGGGGATCAACCCCTAGGCGTAGGTTTTTTGAGGGTAGCCCGTGTTGTTTCTGCTTTTAAGGAAAGCCAAAACAAAAACTGTCCGTTGTCGGGGGGTCCCCTTACAATCGTATTGTGTGGATGGACGACATCCGTTCGCACCACTTTGCCATGGCCCATGCTTGAAACCATTGCTTGTTGGCAAAGGGAAATGATCAGAAGCTAAGACGCTAGGGTTTCTGACCGGTGCGTTTGATGGATTTCACCACCATCCACATGACTTTTCTCGGGTGGAGATTGTCAGCCATCTCCTCTCTGGGGCCCCGGCCAGCCAGCATGAGCGCCCCTTGCGCTTGCCTGGCAAGGCTCGAGTGGTCCTGGGTCCTGCAAGTCAACTTTTTCTGCGTTCAGCTGTGTCCCCTAAAAACACAGTACTCATCAGGATTCCATCCAGTTGCATCCCACGCCCGTCCCCTCTGCAAGAGGCTAGGACGGGAGGCAAAGGGTGGGCAGCTTCTTTTTCTTCCTCTTTCAGAAGAGACCCGCAGCGCAAGAAGCCCAAGCTGTGTGCAAACCTCCTCTCACCTCCCCACTGCTTCGCAATCAAGAACCCGTGCACGTTTTACCAACCCAACCAAAGACATCTGAGACGCAACGACGCAAACTGAGAAGCCATCTGAGGGCTAAGAAAGGGCCCCAATTTTGGGCCCCTTGTGTTCAAATTGACGCAGGATCACAAAGGTTTGCTAGGGAGCTATATCCTGCCATCATTTCTGCAAACTCATTGCTAGCCGACTCAACATGAATGAAACGCATGACAAAAAGGGACACTGCACTGTTCCAAGTGGAAATTACCGAAATAGTCTTTGATTGTCAATGCAGGTTGGCCGTTTGCAGGCGCTGCTACTGCCTTGCGATTGGCATCATGTGGTCACTATATTTTTTTTTTGTAGTAGTGAACAAGGCGGCGCCCTTGAACCATCTTCACGTCATCCTTCTTCCCAGCCTGAGCGATGCCACGGCATGGCCTTAGCAATTTCAGCGACACGGGAGGCCCTTGTGGTGTTTTTCTCTCACGAACAACTTCGCAAGATAGTCCCAGGAAAAACTCGAAAATCCTGGATTGGGTATGATTCAAGCTTCTCACAACTTCGGGACATATCGCTTTCCATTTGAGCTTCTTACTACTTGGTAGATGAGCGTACAAGCAGTTTGCATGGAAGACGTGTTTGTTCGTGTTTTCTGTATGGTGCTGTTGGGAAGCATCTGGGGGCCATGCCGTTGACACCGCATTGATCAATCGAAACCTGAAAGATCACGATGAGACCGTCACATCTTCATTCATCAATAGATGGACTGCTTTCTACACGGGCACTCGGGCTATCAAGATCACTCGTATGATACACTGAGAACATCATGTCTTCCCACAACACATATGCCATGCCCCTGTGAAGAATAGGCCTCTGTACGCAGGTTCTCTTAGAGTCCTACCCCATGCAAAAGGTCCCATGGCCATGGCCATGAAAATCCAGACAAGCAGATCGTCTGACAGCTGGCGCCAAGAAGTTGCTTGTAGTCTTGGCAATGGCAAACATCAGGCTCGATTTGGGCAGGGCAGGTTGAGCAGGGGAATTGCCACCGCCTGTGCTGGACGTTTTTTTTTTTTGTTTTTGTTTTTGTTTTTCTATTTTAAAGTTTTATATATATTATATAATACAGAACTGGCCTCTTCAGAAGTGAGACACGCCCAGTCACGAGATGGCAAGCGGCAAGCAGGCAGCACCAGCAACCTCCTCTTCGAAGGCAATTGGAAGATGTGCAGGGGCAGTGGCTACAAGAAGGTAAGGAGGAGTTGCTGAGAGCCCCGTTGTTTCAAGACGAACAGCCAAACCAGCTAAATCACCCCGAGCAATAAACACAACACAAAAGTTCAAATGGGCTTGGATGCGGCTTTTGCGTATCCACAGCTATAGTAAAAAGAGGACGGACATGACCAAAACACATCCAAACCATTTCCTACTGTGGATGGACGAACTCCTGCACCAAAAAAAAACAACAACATGAAACCATTGTTCGTTGGTTTTTACAGGGGAATCATCATTCCAGAGTTTCTTAGGTGGTGCAGGATTTCGTCCATCCACCGAGGTTTGTGTTTCCGCCCGCATAAGGAAAAAACACCCCACACCCAGTCAGCAATAGGAACTCTGCAGAGAAGGGCCCTGTGAATGTGGGCCGAGGCCCTTACCCTGTAATCAATATGGGGATACTTCTACGTGAAAAATGTAGGTCAATTTCTTCAGGAACCTCTAGACAGCCTTTGGCTCAAACAGTTAGGCGGCACTGGGGAGCATTTGCATTTGCTTCCCCTTGCGAGACTCTTGTGAGCTGACCCCCTGATGAAGATTCCTCTCCGTTCGAACAGATCGCATTCTGGGTCGGTCTTCAGGCGGCCAAAAGTAAACCAACTTTTGCCGTTCCCAGATCCCCTGCGAAAAGTCTAAGTCTGACTGTTAGTGGTTTAATAGAAACTACCATTTAAGCAACTTTGTTAACAAAAAAACAACTGGAAACCCTGCCACTGGTTTAATCGAACCCTAAAACAACCAAAAACAACAAAGGACGTGGCTGAGACCCTTCCAGCTTTGCTGGGTGTCAAATAATTCGGCCTGGAAAAGTTCAAGCCCATCTCGCTGTGCTTTCCTGTTGGTAAACGAGGTAAACAATGCATTCACGTGTCGTTGCTTTGTGCTGAAGAGTGTCCCATCTCTGCTGCAAACAAGTAAACATGTAAAAGGTTCTAGTAAACAGCGACCAAGAAATGGCGCCCCCAAGTGCAGTTTGAGGACCAGCCCCCAAACTAGTAAGCATGCTTCAACAGGTCAGTAGTCAACAAGAACGCTTGGAGCGCATGTGTGTTTGCGCGCACGCGCCTCCACTAGTAGGCCTCTATACAGGAGTGCAACCATACCAGGAACTCTCTCCAATGAACCAGCCGCTTGCAACTCGCACAACATGTACATGGGATGACCGCAGGCAAACCCACTCAAAAATATCTGATAGTTCAACCACATGGGAAAAGCGACCCTTGGTCAAAACTGGGAGCCTTTCAGGGAATATTGATGAACCCACAAAGTTAAAGTGATGTTGGGATATGGGGAATGTGTTCATCAAACCCCAAGAGAATTTGGGAGGGCTTAGTCTTTTTCGGAATTGGTACCCCTTTTTGGGAAATTGGGCGTAGCGAAGTTGGGCTCCTTCCACGTGCCGTTTCCCTTTGGTAGTCCTTTAAACAACATCCAAGCAGGGCACCTCGAAGAAGACACATCCATATGGGGGGTGACCTTTTTGATTGTACTCTTGTTGGGGTTGGCTTGAAGAAGCACATAAACAAAAACATCCAGGATCCAACAAGGTTGGGGGTCCCCCCGAGTGTTCAGAGACACCCATAAGTGGCAAACATTTGACATAGACGAGACAACTAATCTGCACATTTTGCTATAATTCCAAAAGCTGAAGTAAGGGATCCCCAAGGTGAAGTGAGCTCGTTATACCCCAAGATGAGCTCGCCATACAATAGGCCGAACCATTCCCCCTCCCCTCCCGCATTCGGGCCCCGGCGCTCATAAGGATCCTTTGACTGACGTGACATGCTTCATGGCATTGCCGCCCTCCACTCCCCCAACTCCCCACGCGGCCAAACTCGAGTCGTTTCATATTTTTCCCCGCGTGGAAAAGCAGAAATTACGCGGCAACGGTTGTTTGATCCTTCCAAGGGACGTACCCTGGAGACTTTAGACACATTCTTTGCCAAAAAACAACATATTTGCTAGCATCGGCTTGGACAAATCCTGAAACACAATGCAGGGCATGGAAGGCTATTGCTTGTGCCGGGCTTGTTTGAGGTAAGTTCTCGGGGGGGGGGGTTGAAAGGTCACTGGCCAAAGCTGTTTCTGGTGTGTATCATAGGCAAATCACTGGGTGTGCATCTCTCGATTTCCGTGTCAAAGCCAGGCACCCCCCCAGAGAAACAAATCAAAGGGAGTAAGCATTTTGTTTTTGTTGTTGTTCATCCGGCCATTTGGGAATCTCCAACTGGCATTGACACATTCGTGTTTTTTTTTTTGCGATTTTTCAGGGCGACTCGGGGTCCACCCGAGTTGACTCATTTCATCTCCCGAAGCTGAGCCACAGCGGCCGGAGTCTTGCCGACATCTACAAATCTCACAACGCACCTGGCGGTGGCAGGGGGTGATTTGTTTAAGGGAAACCGTTCAAACAAATGCTAGGTCCTCCAGTAGAGAGGCTAGAATACGGGTAACCTTGTTTTCTGTAGTCTATCTTGGTAAGGGAACCCTCCCCCACAAAAAGGTAAAAGGGCACTACTCAGGACCTAGAATGGGTGTGTTTTGTCAAGGGCACAATTTTCAGGTTTCAAGGGAAACCAACCGTACGCCGATCCCGACAGGTGTTGGCGCTTTTCTGGGTTGATCCTTAAGCCAGCCGTAGAAATTCAGCGAGGAGAAGGGCCCAAAGCCTATTTTTGACCCTTGCGGCGTTTGGTCATGTAGCCATGGGTCAAAATCCAAATCGTACCCCCAGTGAACATCCCAATCCCCACTAAAATAGGTTCTAAAACGGGTGGTGCACCGAAAACCCCAAAATGGGATCCCAAAACGGTCTTGACAACCACAGCCATTTTGCTAGCTCTGGGCCAACCTCTAGAATGGATTTCCACGGGTTCAAAAGGGGCGCAAAGTGCAAAACCGCACAAGTGCACCAGTTTTGGGAACCATCATGTGGGCGTGGTTCAATGACGGATTGAGGTGTCTAGCCAATCTCTCGTTTTTGCTAGTGTTCGTTTTGGCAAATCAAATTTTGGGCCGAGCCTCGCCAAAGAAATGCCGCAGGTACGACCACAAGCTCAGATTTGGTGGATTCACTTGTGACCAAAACGCGCTGCGTGGGCGTAAGAAGTGCGGCAGGTTGGGAGATGAATAGGGCACTTTCGGCACATGGAAAGGGAAAGGGTGCCCTTCAACTTAGGCTACTTCCCCCCCCTTGCCTGTGAAAATGCAAGCTCGTGAAGTGGTCGTGTGATGCCTGTGAGTCTCACCTTTCCACAAGCCTGCTGTTGAATGATGCACAAATGTGTGTGTGTGTCAAAGCCTCAAAGTGTCCCTTTGACACACCCAAACTCACCTGAATTCGACATTCCAAGTGTCCTAGGGACCTTCTGAATTGCTCTGTTTTGCTCCAAATCCAGCGGTGAGCTCGCTATTCGCGCAGAAGTGCGACCAGCCCAATGCAACCAGCTCTTTTGACGGCATTGCCTCAATTGCGCCGCAGATTTGGCGCCCGACTACGCAACAGTTGACATGTACAAATGGATTGCCGAGTTGGCCAAAGTGTCAAACAAAGACTTCCTGATCCAAGAGACTGAAAATGGGTCATTGCTTGTTTGCTGACCGATGGCTTGCCTCAAAAACTGGCCAATCGCCAACTCAGCACAAAGCACTGTGTGCCCTCAGATCTGACTTCGCCTCAGCCGGCATGGCACCTTTCTTCCAACAACTCAAGGCAAGTCAAGTCTTTAGCTACAATGTAAACAAAGGCCAACCCAAAATTTGCGTAAAAGGGGTAGCTATCGCACACAGCAAACTATTTTGCCAGCAAAGTCATCCCCAAAGTGGGGGGTGAAAGGGAAACAACTGATTCCATGGTCTGACTTTCATCGCCCCCTACAGACAAACTAAGGACCCCAGAATGATGCCCGCAGTCCAAATCGTGCCTCTGGGACGCTATTTGCGGAGCAGGGCTACAACGAAGGTGGGTGGATTTGCATAGATGTCATGGATTCACTGACCATCCCCAACAAACCCCTTAGCATCCCCAATGGCTCAGTTGGACATCCAGGGAGCCGGTGTAAGCCCAGAAAAAAAACTGCCAACTGCCGCGCGCGCGCCGCGCGCGCTGCTGCAGCTGGGACAAAGGCCCGCGCCCAACTTGGTGCTCATCGCAGCTGCGAAGTCCTCTCAGGCCGTCAAACGCCGACCGTTGACCGCGCTTCGGTTGCTGTAACAGGGCAGGGCGAAACCGAGATGGGCGGGGCTGGCGCCATCAGAGTGTCACGCTGTGTTGTCCTTCCGGTTTTGGTCGCAAACCTCAGATCCCTCATTTGCATCAAGTGGCCCGGCCACGGGAAGCCGGGAGAAAGATCCCCCTGATTTCGATGGGGTGGGCGGATCTATTACGTTGGCCTGCCTTGGATGTTTGCCTGAGCCGTGATGTGGTCTCTTACTTCGCCTTTCGAATGCGCTGCGGGAGCTTCAAGTTGAAACTAATTTTCGAAACTCCCATTTCTTGAACGACTAATGAATGGGATTCCAGAACAGCTTTCCCACAAGGATTCCCGACCAAACAAGGAACATGGTAGGAAATGAGGGACACATTAATAGGAAACACAAATGCGGATTCTAAAGACTTCCAAACACTACTGAGTTAAATACGGATTCTAAACAAAATCTGAAGAGTACTGGTCAATGCAAGCTATGCAAACAATACAAAAGCAGCGCTGCCAGCACACGGCAGTACTACGCAACACTAACCCTTCTAAACCAATAAGTCCTCCTAAGTGCCCTCCCACCAGCTAAAATGAAGTGCACAAGCCCCTTTCCAAAAGGAAAGCCGTCTTTCTACAGGGGCCTATGCACCAGCCCATGCTAGTTGGTGGGAGGCAACATATACTTATACTGGAGTCCTCGCTCCCCTTCTTTTTAAACCCTCTTTCCAATCAGGGAAGCTGATCTCAGAGCTTGAAAGACGAAAGCTGTCGATTCTGGGCATTGTTACCTGACAAGGGATCCATGAGGTAATCAACTGCTCCTTCTAGATCGAATGTGTTGGATGATTTCTTTTCACTGTTATTTGTCGGTAAGCCCGCGTCCATTGGACAAAGGGTCATGTTCCGCAAAACGAGGACCCTCCTCATTGACTGTCCACGTGGAGCCCTTGAATAAACATCACACGTGGCCACTCCAAAAGTCTTGGGAGCGCGCGTAAACGGCAAATTCCTCACTTATATAAGTAGTGCCCCAACTTGCCATGCGAATAAACGGCTTCAATGGCTGCGGCTCAAAACTGAGCTAGAGTCACGCAGGTGGTCTTTAATGAGTCGATAGAACCTTCTGAAACGGCAATTTGTGAGCGTTGCTCTCTCCGCTGGTGGCGCAGATTGGTAAGGTTTTTATCGCCCCTATGACCGTAACGCCAGGTAGAGCGCAAACATGGCCAGTGGGTTTTGGTTTTAAACGCGCTCACTTGGAGACCTCTTTGGCCACTGCATGGAATGGCACGTGTCTCTTCATTTCAACCGGCCGATGCTTTTGGTTTCCCTTCACTTCCAAATTGGGTAGCCGCTCACAACTTCCATGTGCCAAGTCCTAGGGAAAAACCAACATGTGTCCAGTAGTGAGAAAAAGATTTCCTTTAAAACCAACAGGGGAAAATAACACATTCTTCTTCAGCAAATGGAAGACCTCGAAGGGCTTGGGTGCAGGTACAGGGGCTCATTCGAGCACAGCTTTCATGCAGCCTGTGGCTTCTTAAATCTGAAGAAAATTCAGCCGTAGGCCATGGCGCAAGCGCTGAACATGGATGGCGTTGCCAAAGAGCCCATTGTCCATGAGGGGGTTACGGAAATTGTGACCCAGGATTAATAAACCCGTCCCATTATTAGGGGGGTGTTCCCTCCAAAAGCGATGAATCCCCACTAAAAGGGGACCCCCCCCTATTAATCAACCAGGGGTTTATTAATCCGGGGTTAACAGTACGTCCCACGTCTCTTGGCGGCTGGACAACGGCCAACGCTGTTCACTCAGACTTCCGGGGTGAACAGGCTAGGTGCAGGGATTCCCAATCCCCGGACACCAGGACAGGACAGGACCAAGGAATCATGCGGACCATTGAACTTGGAACCCAGACATAATCCTGGCAGTTTCCGGGACTTAGGTCTAGGCCCACCTCGGTGGAACTAACCCCGTTGGAAGGCTACATTTGAGTCAAAGTAAGTGCACCCGAAAATGCTTCGTTTCCAAGTTCCTTTTAAACCAAGCCCAACATTGGTACCTTTGCCCACACCCCCGCCTCCCTCGAACCTCCCAGGGCGGCTCCTCTAGTCGCACCAGAAGCAGAGCTGCTCGCAGACGCGGCCGCTCACCGTATCCCCGGTCTCAATGGCGCCTGCGTCAATCCGCGGGTCCCGCATGGCTCCGGCCACGTCTCTCTCGGTTTTCCCAACAGCTGCAAGCTGGGTCGCTAGGCCCAAGCATCACTTTCGGGGAATCTAAAACTATTGACCCACAATAGGAACCAAATTCCCAAATTCCCAAATTCCCAAATTCCCGATTTTGAGGAGCCCAACCATGGAGAAAAATCATTTTCAGGAGCCATGCCAGGAAGGCAAATGCCGATGCCCGGCCTGTGTTGCACTCGCCGGCGCAGTACTTGTTGCCCGTCAGGTACGTGGAATTCGTGCACTCGGTGCCTTTGCAAGGACCGGAAAATAACATTCCACCGAGTCCAAGGGAGAAAGTTTGTCTCTGGAAATTAATGGGTTTTCCTTTTAGAGTAATCCACAGGTTTTTGGGTGGTTCCAATTACAACCACCGCGATTTTATTGGGTCTCCGAAGCGAAGCGACCAAAAAAAACGCACCCCCAATTTGGGTCTCGACCCATTTCTTCGCCGCGGCACAGGTCTCGATGCCCTCGCAGTGGGCGCAGTCTTTGGAGCACTTCTCACAGGTGTTGCCTCGAAAACACTTCTGGCAGGGATCCTGCCAGACCCCTCAGGGTTTGTGATAGGCCTTATGAAGGCTAAGGTCAACTGAACCTTCAACTTGTCAACTTTTGCTGGAGGGTTTTTCTCGAAAGCGCTTCGGCCATGGACCTTACCGTTCCAAGACCCCTCATGCTTTGTGGGCGAAGTGATATAGGCCAAACCGGAGGAACCTCCATACCCTTACCAAGACCGTCTGCGACTTGCTTCTTTGCAGCCCACTGAAAAGCAACAAACAACTCTTCAGGCCACTTTCTGGTTGGCCGTTTGGAGGTTGGATGGTAATTTAATCCACTTGCACCAAAGGATTCAACCTCAGCCCTCTTAGTGGGGCAGTATCTCTTCCGCTCTGGGTTCTGAAGGGTAACAAAAAGCGGACACCCTTTTGAAGTTGGAGCCCTGATGGCTAACAAAGCGATCTGCGAAATAAACACCAAGGACCACTGCCGGGGTCCCAAAGGGGGTGGTTGCAACCCGAATTGAAGGACAACAATCACCTGAAAGAGCTCCTCAAAAAATGACTCAATTGATTCTTTACTTGGTTTGCAACGCGCAAGCCACAATCGCTGAGCGCAGATATCCTATTTGTTGATGCTGAGCAGAAAATGGAGAACTGCTACGCCCTTGCAGCACATGCCTTTTCAGAATCTTCAATCCTGACCTAGATAGCCAAATTTCAGTCACTGTTGCTGGGTTTTGGGGTAAAGTGGATGGACAAAAGCAGCAACTGGCGATCCAGGTACCACGTAGAACCGGGAAAAGAATGGAGCGCCCACATGTAAGGGCTGGTGCCGAGGCTGGGCATCGTCCACGTTTGCTTTCGGTCGCGAAAATATTGTGTTGAACGAGTCATGTGGGTGGTGCCTTTACGGGGCGCCGGAATCAACAAGTCGCAGCCTGCCAATGTCGGTTTGTTTGTCCTCTAGTTCAAAATAAGAAAGTATATGCCAGAGTTGCCGCTTACCGTCCATTGCCTGCAAACCAACCGTTTACCATATCAAATAAAACGTCAAGCCCCCGAGTTGTTCATCTTAGGCTTTGTCTCTGAGCGCCTTGGCTTTCCCCCGAGAAAAATCACCCGCAAGGACACTGCTCTAAAATTGGCCGCTCCCTCGGGCTGAAGCCTGGCTTGGAGCATGTTGCTCACTGAGACCCTCCGGTTTCCGTCCCAATTTTCAAGTGGCCCAGGGTTCCGGGAATTGCCACAGGGAAAAGGCCATGACAAAGGCGAATGCATGGGGGTGGTAAAAGGCAAGGAACTGGACATGGGAAGCCTTTGGTGGTCCGTGTCCCTAAAACGGTTTGCCTCCAAACCAACTCTACAAGAACATTAATGGCAGGAGCCTTCTGATCGCAGGCTTCCGAAAACCTTTCTGGGGGGCCCCGTTGGCTTTTTGTCTCCTGACCCCGCCTCAACCTTGAAAAGCCATTGGATGCGAAATCGGGCTAAGGAAAACACCTGCCACGTGCATACTCTTGTTGGGAGCGAACATGATTTCCTCCCAGTGGAGAAGGCGTGTCTCCTTGTCTCTGCTGACACCAACAAAAACACAAACCCAAATAAACACGTACATAACCCTTTTGCTTGGTTTCCCTTTGAAACTCACATACTGCAAGCAAAACACAAAAAGCAACCCCCAAATGATGTGCCCCTCGAACCCTTGGGTTACCCTGTCCCTTTAAAAAAAGCACCTCGCTAAACAAGAAAGACCCGCTCACCTGGCTCTACACACACACTTCAGCTTTCTGCGGGCGAAAAAGTTGAATAAGGGGCAAGTGGCGTGCCATAGGGTGCCGCCGATGTTTCCCTTTCCCTTTGAGACCACCCGCAAAAAGGGTCAAGTCTTACCCGCTCCCACATTCGCTCTATAACTAATGGACGAAACACGTGTTTTCTTCTTGTTCACTCTATAACTAATGGCCAAAAGACGTGAACTCCTTCTGGTGGGCAAAACACATGTGTTCTTCTTCTTTGTTCAATAACCTCAAACAAATCAACAACCTCAAACAACCCACAACACACATATCTAAAACACATATTAACAAAGAAACACCTCAACCACCTCAACAAATTAAGGAACATCCAAAAAACGCCTCAAACAAAAAACAACGAAACCCCCGCCCCCGCCCGCCGGCCCGCCCGGAGAACTCCTAGCTTCAGGTCCCAAGGGCCCATGAGCTGCTCGCCCTGGCCGTAGTAGCCCCCAGGGCAGGTCTCGGCGCAGTCCTCGCGTGGGAATTTGGTGTCGCTCACGTCCGTTTTGGACGCTGGCCATCGGACGTGGGACTTTTTTTTTCCGGTTTTTTCCCGGTTTCCTCGGCTCACGCCCCTTTTGGACGGTGGGCCATGGGTGGGCCATCCCTGGTGGGTGTGACCAAACGCGTGAGGCAAGCAAAGTTGGGCCAACAAGGCTGGCAGCTCCTGTTTGGAAGGCCGCCAAAAGTACGGAGAGACGCCAAAAGTTCAACAGCGATTGGCAGGGGCGGCTGGGGTGAGGGAGCCCAAAGAATCCCAGGCCTTGGGCATGGAGCCCAACAAAGAGGTAAAACCCGCACTTGTTCCGAATCCCCGAAACTGTTCATCCAAGCCCAAAACGTGACTCTCATGGGGGCTGGGAGAAAGCGGGGGGAGGGAGACCCAAGTGAGCCCTTCAAGCCTTGCTAAGCCCCGGAACGAGGCGAAAGTCCGAAACGGAACTCAGGACGCGAGATCATCAATTCGGGCCCAGCCGCCTGTTTGAAGCTGCTTGAACCACCATGGCTTAGCCTGAAACAATGGGCCATGACTTCAAGTAGCTGTTCCGTGCTGTTCCCAACAAAATCTGCTGGGCATACGCCCGAGCGCTCCACCCTAGGCTTTTGGGTCGTCTCGGCTCCCAGAAGTATGATGTATGGCCAAAGTAATTAGTTGGCCTAGGTCTATGATACTGGTAACTTACGAAGAACCCCAAACTAAAATCAGTGGAAGTCCATGTTGAACCAAACTGACCAGAAAAGTACAAGGTCCTTAAGGAGAACTGTAGGGAACGCGTCTAAACAGAAGATCCCAGCTGTTAATCCCTCTCAAACACTTGGCAAGGACATATTTATGACACACGGCCTCATGCCACGTGGTAACTCTGCAAACACTTTGAATTCCTTCAGCCTCGCGCCCGATCGCGCCCGAAACCGATATTTTCAGGGTTGGTTCTACCATGTTCATAAACATGTCTCGTGTGGGCCCGAAACCGCAACCGCGCCGTCCCTTGAATCTTGCGGAGAGGAGGGACACTTTTCGTGGACATGTCGATTGCATTTCGACAGGTGAAGGGCTCTGAGGTTGGACAGGATAGAATAAGTTGCTACCCGATTTTTTCTTTTTTGTCTATTTTAATAGGGGAAGACTCCCAACCAAAAAAGAAACGGTAAAAGGGCACTACTGGGGGACCTAGTCGACTGAAACCGGCAAAAACAACTCCAGTTTCGTCCTGCTTCGGCGTCAGGTAGGTGCTGTTCTTGCACTGCAGGCACCTGGCTGAAGGCCGGGTTTCATGGGCGCTTGGATCCCCGGAATTTGCCCCTCTCGATGGTGTGTGACAAAAGACAGTCGCGCAGTCGCTCATCCCTCCATGCGAGCCAAATATAGTTCACAACACTCTAGTGCTCTCTCAAAGGGATCCTGAGGGCAAGCAAGTGCTGTTGAAGTTCTTCCGGATACTCACTTCCCGTCCTGTGAATCGATTCAAGTCAACTTGCATAAGGGAAACCACACAGACGAGCCACCGGCAAATGGAAGACATACCCTTTCCATGGTGATTGTAGACCCCTAAGCCCTTCGCAAAGGCAAACGCCTGCATGTTCTTCGCCGAAAGGATTGTGACCAGATTTACGTTGGGGAATCGAATCAGAAACGGTTGGGTTTCTGAACGGCAGTGCGAAATGGATTTCGGAATCATCCACAGTATGATTGCCAGTACTAAGTTTCCTTGCAAACAGGTTTCCCTTGCACACAGGTTGCCCTGACAGCAGATCTCCCCTGAAAACGGGTTGCCCTTCAAACAAAAGTTTCAGTTTCTGTCCGCATGAATTGCTTGAAAATAGTTGTGCCTTGAAACCTTCTCAGTTGCCTTTTGGTTTTCCTTGAAGCAACTTCAAAGGTGACACCTCCCTTGCCGGGGGGGGGGATAGAGTTCTTCGAGGAACAACCAAATCACCCGGTGGACATCTCAGTCAGCTGAGAAACGAAGACCGAATCCAATCCCAAGAAGCAACACGGTTAGCTCTTCTTTCATTCCCCCTAAACATACGCCTCCTTTTGGTAAAATAGCTGGCCCTCCGTGGAAATAAACGCCCATCTAAACCAGTGCCCATCGATTTCTCGCCCATCCAAACCAAAAAGGCCGCCCACGCCCCAGCCAAGAAGTTGCTTAAGAAATGGGACTCCAGGCATCTCGACCCCGAAAGTCACAACCTTCGGCCTGTTTCCCCAGACACCCGCCAGCATCATCTGCAATTTTCCGGTTGCGGCAAATTTTTCGTCATGCGGCGATTTTTCCGAATGAGCTGATCGATTTTTGTGACAATTTTTCAACCCGGCCCTTCAAACCAAACCGAGCGATGGCCAACATAAGCTGCAACACCTGGAGGAATCCACACCAGCCAGTGCCGCCCAGGTTTGAAAAAAAAGGGGCAGGGGTACAATCAACTAGACTTACTCTTAGCACGGGAGAATCATTGCAATCATATCGCCGTGATGTTTTACCTGGAACTCCCAAACACTTGCCAAGCCAACGCAATTTGGCTTGGATCGTTTCAGTTGATCCAACATCCGAAGAGAAAAAACAACAACAAGACACATATCCCCAAACCGGAGAAACAAAAACTTGGCTGGAATTAGGACCCCAGCAAAAACGCTTTTTTTGCCTGGCTAGTGGAAAACAAATGGAACCCCCAAAAAAACAAAAACATGAAAAGGGGAACTAATTCTGGGGAAGACCACACATCCACTCTTTGGTGGGAGAAGGCCGGCTCCAAGCGAATGCATGTCGAGTGGCTCCGTCGCGGAGAGGCATTGATGGCAGTTTCGGCCGCAGGGGGGGCAGGTGCGGCCCACGTCTCGGAAGCCCTCGTGGAAGAAGCCGAAGGGGCATTCGCCTCAAACCCGGGAAAGCGCTCGACTTGTCTCGTTTTGGAGAGGCCAAGGGAAACATGAAAAACGGGTGAGTCATAATCAAACTCGGTATTGCAGTCGTCTGCCCAGAACCAGGTAAAGACTAAAGAGGCGGTTGCACTGATTTCTGGTTGGAACTATCCGCTACTAACCTTCATACACCCGGTTGTTGATTGTGGCTCAGGTGGTGGTTTATACCATAGTAATTCGCTGGAGCACTGGTCACAAGAAAGAAAGAGGTTTTGCCACGCAAACGTGTACAGGCACTACCAGGTCTTTGTCTTTGTACGAGCACTTTAAACGGGACCAGTTAAAGGGCTTTGGTGACACTTGGATTGCATCCCCCTGTTTTGAAAGGCCAGCTCGACCTGCCGAGTTGGTGACAAGGACCATCAAATCTGAATAATATTTCACCAACCTGAAACTTGCGGTGGTTGGGGGGATATTCCCCACACACCATTTGGGGTGAGGTCCTGTGAGGTCGTTACAATTCACCCAAATAAAATGGTCCTGCATAAAGTCCAGGAACTCAGGGAGTAAGTGATCCTCAAACCCCATACATACCCTTTCTGCACTACTCGACAAATTGCCACGGATTAACTAGTCACAACCAGCACCTACTGTGGACGGACAAAATTCTGCAGATTCCCCTGTAAACAACACAGACAATGGTTTGCCATGGTTTCTTATGTGGTGAGAAAGGAATTTTGTCCATCAGGACTGGCCGACACAAAACCGAGTTGCAGGTCCGTTGCTCGCACGGATTGAAATGGGAACAGCTGCCTTCTGGGTCTGCCAACACAGTGTCCCACATATTGTCCCGCAAACCAAACTTTAGCTGCCAGAGTGGACAGGCAAAACAACGTCCTGGAACGTTTTATTCATCACCAAAACTGGTCCTTCCAAGAAGCTTAAAGTCCATAAAAATCCAGGAAGTGAGAAAAAAGGGGCATCAAAATCAACACGGCCCCCAGCTCTGTTCCAAGGGATCGACGTCCTCCGCCCGACACCTTCCGGTTGCTTGTTCTATGGTTCCCGGCTCTCGCACTGATGGGCGGCCGTGAGGTAGGTGGAATTCTTGCACTCGGTGCCTCGCACCGCGAAAAAAAAACGAGCGAGGCGGTGCGTTCGTCTTTCTGGGGTTTGTCTCAACATGGAGTGAACCCACAGAATGGTTATGAGGGCGTGGTGATGAAGGTCTTGCTTTTGGTTTTCCTTTTGGCTTTGCTTCTGGCTTTCCTTTTGGCTTTCTTTGAATCCAGCCCAGAAAAGGTGCCCAAAAAAGGCGTGGTCTTTGCAAGAATTGTGATCGCATTGCATCACGCAAGTGGACATGTTTGGAAGGTGAGTATGGCGAATATGCATTTTCATCTTTCCGACGGACCTGATCGAAGACATGTGAAACACAATCCTCTGGAAATCTCAGAGTTGGGCAATTCGAGGACGCCAGTACTGTTCCGGGTGAATTGTGAGAACTCAGCCACCGAAGAAAGGCTTCCCTGGCAGGCGGTTACAATCTGCACAGAACTGTGGCGTTTGGACCGTTTTCCCGGGACATGTCAGCGCTGGGCCCTTTTTGGAAATCGTTTCTCTTCGGGTCTTTTATACCACCTGCTTACGCCTAGAAAAGGGGTATGTACTGCTTCCTGGTTGGGTTCACTACCATTCAAAAATAGGCATCCGTGGCAAGGCTGCGTGTAACTTCTTCTTCTTCTTCTTCTTCTTCTTCTTCTTCTTCCTTTTCTTCTTCTTCTTCTATGACATAGATTCCGGATCAAGTTTGACCCTCTGCCAAAGGGGTCGCTCTTTCTTTGAACCACACCAGAACACAGTGTACAAAAATCCTGCGATTCCGGTTCTATCAACCTGATCTTACGCTTTGCATAGGCCTTTAAAATTAACAAAAGCCACATGAACCAGGTCCCCCTTTACACGGCATAAGGCTCAGAACAACTTCTGAGACTGGCTCCAGATTTTCGGCCCTTTGAGTAAGCTTGTTGGGGGAAGAGGTGGGTCGTTTGATGAAAGCGCTCTCCGTGGCCATTGCTCCCAGCGCAAAAAGCTTGCTTTTTGGTGGTCAGAGGAAACATACACATATGTTCCCAACAAGTGAAAGGCAAAAGTCGAAGCAAATAGCAGACAAGCATTGGCAAGTTGCAGACCCCAGCGCCATCGCAGAGGTTGCAATTCTCTTGGCACTCCATGCACATTCGTCCCACGTCGCCTCAGATCCGTCCAAATGACTCAAGCTCTGGGCTGAAGTGAGTGGGTTGTAACCTGGGTTACAGCTTACTAACTTGGAGGCTACTAAATATTGGGATCAACTTAAAGGGGGGCAACAGAGGAAGCATCAGATTTTGGGGTGGCGATTCTGAGACATAATATGACTCAATCCCTGAAGAAAAACATGAATTAGCATCACGCGAAAAGGCTGTGACTGTCAATTACCGAAATCTATCAACCTGGATAGGAGAAACATCCCACCCAAAGCCGATACTCTGAGAAAAACTTTGTCCGTTGCTCACATACTTCAGACTCCTGAAACAGGGGACCCCAAAGAAACGAAGCAAACCCGCCCACAGTGAGCTGGGGCCGGCCTTTCATTTCGCAGATCCAACTTGAAACGACCCGCAGCTCCCAGTAGGAAGGCCAGAGCCAGCCGCTCGTTGGACTCCTCTCAAATCCAGACTTATTCGACATGATCGTCCCAACAAGTCCAGAAACTTAGGCAGGATGATGCCAAGCCTCGCCACTCTGACACGTCTCATATCCGCTGGTCCCACACAAAATGCCCACAGTCGGCGTAAAGACCGTGTTCCGCAAGGAAACTTGTTTGTGGTCTTGAGTGGCAGTTGAACGGCTTTGAGGGAAAGTGCGAACACCTTCACCCACCAAGTTCAGACCCTCCAGTAGCTTGCTTGATGTCCACCTGCTTTTTGACGGACCTCAATCTTGCAAAAACAAATGGCTGAGGTGGTGCAGGACTGTGTTTTCATTCAACTTCCGTTCCTTCAGACCATTCAACCCACCCCCCCGAAAACATAGATATTTCCTGCGGGTTGGTGCTGGATTCTGACGTACGAGAAGCTGAGACGGGCGGTTGGAAGAGACACTTCCGACGAAAAGTCTGCGCCGAAAAGTCTACGCCACATGCGCCTCTCTGAATCAAACGAAAGACTCACCCGGGAAGAGGGTTGATTTCAAAGCCAGCCCGAAGATTCCCAAAAGAGCTCCCCCCAAAAGAAACACCTTACTCCCAAGGAAACAGAAAACAACTGTATATAGATGTTGTTCTATATTTCTACACATAAAATCAATCGCTTCTGGGACCCCAGAAACCCAGGTGGGCTCACTGAACCCAACTCCCGTCCCTGGTCGCCGCTTGCCCGTCCCGCTGGTCTGAGCAAGGCGCCGGAGCCTTCCTTGTAGTAGCCAGCGGGACAGCCCTGGCGAAAGTTGATCGGCGTGCCCCAGTGGATCCATTTTCCCAAGTGTCTAGGTAGCGTCCCCATTCTTTCCAATCCTTCTTTCTAAAACAACGCCAAACACCCTGGGAAAACAGCTGGTTTTTGAGAAAGGAACGATGGTTGAAGCAGCTTTTCAGAGACTCCGGGGAAGAACAGCCGTGGTTGTATCGAAAAGCAAGTAAAAATCCAACTATCTTCAATCGGACTGACCTACAAAAAAACAGCGGTGGATCCCATGCTTTGACCAGCATTTGTTGAATCGGACTGACATAGAAAGGACACCAATAGATCTGGTTGCCCAAGCTTGGCATTCTGAACAAATTATCCCATTTCTTGGCCTTCATACACTTCATGCTCTGCTTCGTATTTAGTCTACGAGGTACAAGCAGATTTCGCCAACCGCAGGCATCCAGAGCTCAGCTTCCTGAGGCGTCTGGCTCCAAGGGCTCGACAGAGTCTGGACAGGCGTCTGGGAGCGCCGGGCGCGCGAAACCAATTGACCAATTGACGCACGGGGCACATGCAAGGAGCGCAACGTTGCGCAACGCCGCTGAAACATGTAACTCAACAACCTTCGGGTTCCCATGTTTTGAAAGGGATCCGCACAGTCTGGCCGTTACACAGTTTGGGCTTGCCGAAACTCGCTTCAAACTTTCTTGCGGCACTGGTCTTCCCAATAACTGGGCTGTCCTCAGATTTTCCGACAAGTTGCACTTTTGTGGTTAAGTGGAAACTGCCACTCAACTCCACAAAGCTAAAAGCCACCAAGATCACCTCCATTTGCTTACGCCAGGACTTAAACATATTTCCAGCAGTGAAATCGATTCCCTTTAGAACCCACAGGGGAAAATGGAAGGCCACCCTGAGGCTGGGGGCTATTTCTGGAACCCAAGCCATGAGCGCGCGCTTCAGGCCGTCCGCTCGGGCACACGTGAGCAAATGAGCGGAGTTCAACCCCCATCAAAAGAATGGCAAGGACCCCGGGGTTCAATTCACCCCCATTGTTTCAATGGTTCTAGGGGTTGATTCCGATCCCATTCTTTTCAACCATCTCTCTTTTCAAAAATCGGCTGTTTCCCCTGGTTTTTTGCTGGTTTCCTGAAAAGATTCGGATCCCTGGAAAGAATGGGGACCCCTATGGTGGCTTGACCTCCAGACCCCACGCTTCGCGAGCCGAATTGCCGAATCGCCGAAGCGCCTCGGCGCACCACTTGTAGTGCGTGAGGTACTTCGAGGCCCTGCACTCCAGGCACTGGTCCCACCAATTGCACCTACCGGGCGAAGCGGCGGCTCGAGCCGGGAGAATTCGAATTCCAGGCGAACCGGGTTCGACCAAAATGGTTTCAGACCTAGGTGTCCTTTTGACGTCTGGGTCCGGGCAAATTGCCCCAGAACCCGACCAAAATGGTGGTTTTTTGCTTTTTGCATCCTAGGTGTCGTTCCGTTCTTGCCGAATGATCGGATCCGATTCTCGGACTCCGTGCTTTGACCGTGAAAATCGCGCCCGCGTTTCGGGGCAGGGAAATGAGTCCCAGCTTTTGCAGTGCCGGAATTGTGTCGGAAGTTTAGCAGCGACCAAACTCCATTGACGTTGGGTTCTACGGGTTCTACCCATATGGCTGTGGGTCAAAACCAATGGTACCATTCTACCTATTTTAGTCTATTTAAGTGGGGATTGGGATGTTCACTGTGGGTACGGGCTTTTGACCCATGGCTATATGGTGAAAAAGGTTTGCACACGCCTCACCTCACGGCAAGCCCCATGATCTCCCAAGCAGAACCGCCTAAAATGGTGGGAGGTTTGGCGCGCTGCTCATTTGACTTTGGTTTCCTCCACCCTGCAGACACGAGGAGGCCGTGGGTGGCATTTGGCACTCTAAGTGTCCTCCATACATGGCAAGGGTAGGGTTCACGGATGGTTGCAGTGAATCCCCAAACACAATCTTGGAAGTGGTTCCCACCAAGTTGCTCTAAACCCATTATACAACAGATGACAACAGTATTACCACCAACTGACCCGGGCGATACCCATCAACTGACCAAACAGGACATTCTGGTATACCCACCATAGGCACCACCATCTCCAACACCAATACCAAACTGGTCACAAAGGTTTTCAAGCTTCACTATTCCAACTGAAACAGATCGTAGAACCATCTAAAATGGCCGCTTGAAATCAGCTTATGGCCATCCCCCCCTTTCCCCTCGGCCGTGCTTCCCTTGGGATCCCGCGGCTGCTGCCCCCAGGGTGATCAAGCGAGGTCCCAATGTGTGCAATCAAAGCAACCGCCGACTTCGCGACTTCGGGGGGCAAAGGCGACCATGCATTCTCAGGCTTCCTATAGGAACTCATTCCTCCATCGCCCACAGGAGCAAAACCGGAGCGTTGCCTAAATGGGTATGGGTCAAAATTAAACCACCAAAGGACCGCAGGTTTTAGTCCTTGTCTCCATTTAGCAGGGTTCCATTTTGGGTACCTATTTTTGACCCACACCCAAATCAGAATACATAACCTCCATGGGGGGGGAGGGAGTGAATCCTTAAGCCCGTCTACCTGCAAATGGTGATGACGTCAGCCCCCCATATCGTCCTTACCAAGGTGGTGCTTGTGGTGTGCTGGTTGCCCCTTTTTGGAGGTTCCAAAAAGGGAAATCCAAGACCCTGTCGGTGGCCATGAGAACAAAGGGGGCAGCCTTTTGTTTGGGCAGCTGACTGTCAAGGGAAACCTTCTCCAACAAGACTTAGGTCTGGGTAAGCATAGGTGACTACAACCACATTGATTCCAGTGCCGTCCTTCAACTGAACTAATCAGAAGGGGCAGCTTTGGCTATTTCAGGCTAGCTCAGCGCCCCCACCAGAAACCCAGGCATACGGGTTCGCCTCACAAAATGATTGGGACCCCCAAAATGGAAATGCATTTCCTCTGGGTGCGCCTCTCGGCTTCCAAACCAAGCCCACAACGGGCATCAAGAAAGACAGACCCATTTTGGGTGAAGCTGTTTCTGAGGGTACCCTTTGCAGGTTGCTTCAAAAGGGACAGCAGGAACTCCGGCGCCATTTTTTAGGGAATCCCGAAGGGGTGATGGTCCAAGGCTCCCGAAGAAACCACACGGAACCTGTAGGGAACCTAGAAAAATTAAGGAACCCTGAACCCTAGGGCTCTCACCTACCCGGTTTAGGGATTCTATAAATCTTTGGAGGGATAGATTTGCGGCGTCCCCCGATTTTGAATGACATGGGTTCGGGTTGTTGATCAATATTCTTCGCCAAAGGGCCATGGGCATTTTTCCAGAGTTTTGTGGGACATCTCAACTCTTTTCTGTGGGATTCCCCAATGGTCATCCTATGTTTGCACCTTTTGATCCACATGCCCATGGTCTAGGTCCTCCAGTAGAGAGGTTAGAATAAGATTTGGTACCCGACTTTTCCTGCAGTCCATTTTAGTAGGGGAACCGAATCTCCCCCCAAAAAAGGGGTGAGAGGTCGGGCACCTAGCCGGATGACCTAGACCTAGCTGTAAACCAGCGGAGTTCACCATCAGCTTGGGTTGTCAGCCCATTCTGAGGTTGGAGATCTGAGGCCGGTGGCCGTCCGGCCGCGTGTCTTTCTTCTTGTGGGTCCCTGCCCTGTTCGGGGTTGAATCGACTAGGGGGTGTTTTGTAGGGGGAAAAAGTAAAAGCCCAAAATTGTAGGGGGGTTCCCCTTTGATAATGTCGACCCAGGATTCATAAACCCGTCCCACTATTAGGGGGGTGTTCCCTCCCAAAGTGATGAATCCCCACTAAAAGGGGACACCCCCCAATCAAAAGCAACCACGGATTTATGAAAATCCGGGGTTAACAGGGGACACCCCCTATTAATCAACCGGGGGTTTATTAATCCGGGGTTAACATTAGAGACCCCTACTGAAAAACCGGTTGGTTCCTTTCGGCGAGGCGCTTGGTGCAGTTCTCCGCACAGAGCTGACACGCTCCCCCGAGGCCCTCCGAGCCCGGCAGCGGGAAGAAGCCATCCGGGCCTCGGCAAAAAAAAAGAGCGACCCGGGGCGACGGGCGCCCGGTTTTTCTTCGGCTTTGTTGTTCACTTTTTCTGTTTTTACACCAGGCTGAAGGCAGATGTTGTTTAGTTTTCGGAGGCGCTGCTCAGAGTGCTGCTCTGATTGGTTTAGAGCAGGCTTTTCACGCAGATGGCTCGCGTTCTTTTCCTTCACAAAGATTCGCGGTTAAAACACCCGGCTGAAGGCGGATGGTGTTTTGTTCTAGGCGAGATGGTGTTTTGCTTTGGTGAGGTTGTGCCATCTACTTTCAGCCTGAGGAGGGGAACCCAAAAGGAACTCCCCCCCCCCCCCCCCCATTTTTTGGGCCCTGCCTATTTTGGCACGTCCAAAGTGGCATCATAATTTGTTGTGTCCCAATTACCCTCTAGGGTGTGTGTGTGTGTGTGTGTGTTAAGAGAAATAACCCTCCAAAGTTTGAGAAGCCCTCAAAATCTTCGCTTTCATGGAGCCAGTCAGAAAGAGCTCGTTTGGGGGTTGTTTAAGGAACCGTCCAGCATGCGCTTGCGGCAAGCATCAATTCCCGAGCAAATAACATACGTATCTCCCTTAGACTACTTCGGGATTTCAATGCTCACACACTTGTCATAGTGAAATATTTCGATTTAAATAGTCCGCCCAAGCCCATGGTGGAAAACCTAAAGGGTGGATTAAGTGTGGTTGCTCTCCTGCCACCCTCCAAGCACCCGGACTTTACCTGTGGCTCATTTGGTTGTCCCCATATAACTGACCCCTCCACAAAAAAAACGTGGGATATTGGTTGAAGTCCTTTTAGCATAGCTATGCTAGACAAAAAGTTCCCTCCAGAAACACACCAGCCAAATGAGTAGAAGACTCCTGGCGTTCGCAAACAGAGCGAGCTCAGTTGTTGGATTTCAATTTTCGCGCAAGGCTTTCAAAGCCTGACAGTTGGCTTGCCCAGTTGGCGCTTCCCAGTTCGAACATGTCAAGCGGACACAATAACATGGCAACTGTCTCCCAGGATTTCAGTCGAGGAGTGAAGGTTTGCCCTTAGATCACTCCCGTGTGGAACTACAAAAGCGGGCAGGACAACTGTTTCTCCACACACGAGCAACTGAATGAAAGGATACGACCTAAAAGCAAATCCATCAACCTGAAAACGCGATACGGGGTCACCCACCTAACGCGCCAATATTGTTGACAAGCCCTCCAGCTGTGGCAGAACTATACAAACTGGTCTTTGTCGTCGCTATGGTTCCCTTAGTAAACCTTGTGATGATTGTCTAACATCCCCAATAAAACTTGGTTGCTATTGATCCCCCTGCAACAAGATTAGGTTTGTGTGGAACCAATGGAAACTCCACAGTTTCCCAAATCCAACCAAATAGCCAGGCTCAGAGCATCGCAGAGCAATAGAGCAACCATAGATTTTCTTGCTGGTGCTCAGCAGGGAATGAGGGAATGACCCCTATAAACTATCCTTTGTGGTTTTCTTGTAAGGAAATCCCCAGGTTCATTCCCAACACCTGGACTCGCTCATTCTCTATCGCACCAGCAAGCTTTTTACATCGAACTGGGTGGCCCTGCAGGTCCCTTCGCACTTGCCCTCGGGCGTGAGGAACAAGCCATCCTTGCACTCCGTGCAGAAATCGTGGTCCGTGCCTCGCGAACATCTCAGTGACTGGGATAGTCCTGGTGGTTTCCGCGAATTTTCCCTTGGCTCATTTCCAAAAGCCCTGATTTCCCTGAGAAGCGACAAGTGATGGATGTGCGTCAAAGGAAGAACCCGAAACCGTAATGGCGACTTTCCTTGTGATGAAAAGGGTATCCTCAAACAACTCTCGCACACTTGTTGCCACACATACACCAATGTGTTGCCTGGGGGCTCCCCCATCCTGATCCGTAATGCATCAAAATTGGAGAGGTACCCGGTTGGAAGGTCTTCCAATGTAGGTATCCTAAGTTTTTTCAAACAGACTTCGAGTAGAGCATGCTACGCATCCTTCTGTTACCCTTTTTGTTGTGCATCTCCCCAAAGGACACCACAAGGGGAATCACTATCATCTCGTGGAAGGATCAAGGACTGATTTTTCTCACCCAGTTAAACTGGCCAAACGGATCCATTCCACTACAACAACAAGTGACCGTGCTGGTTGTTAAAGGGACAACGAATGCTTCGAAGAACGGCTGTCGAACACAAACAAACAAACCGCTCGAAGACAAAACTGCGGTCTGAGGCTAAGGTGCATTGGCTGCATCCCGGCTTGCAGGAAGCGCACTCCCGGTTCCAGGCATCCTCCCCCGTGTGGTACCAGCCTCGCGGTTGTCAAAACGCCGCCGCGCGCGGTTGACGAGATCCGCGGATGACGAGACGATGCCCACGATTCACCAGGAACCGCCCATTTGATGGGCATGGTGGATCCGTCTGAAAAGCGACCCCCAAAAAAGCGTCCAGCCGGAGTGTGGGGACACCGCATGCGTGCCAAACACACGACCAGGAAGGGAACGAGGTTCTGTTTCGCCCGGCTTGCTGCCCGCCCTTCCACGGCTCCAACCCCTAGGGGCGAACGGCCTGGACTTCAATGTGGGGAAGGTTGAACCAGTTTCCTTATGGCCCCCAAGTCATGGTGGGATCCCACTTTGCTTCTGAAGACACTTCGAGCTGAAAGGAAGGTTGGTGCCCTTTGACTGGTTGCTTACAACTCCCCTTCTGCAGGAAACATCTCAAAGGGTCATGTCATGGCGCCCACCACCCAACATAAGAAGCTCACCTGTAGCTCACTTTCGGGGTGGATTAGCCAAGGTCCGGATGTTCTGTTTACCCCTAAGCTAATCCTCACCTCCTGAGAGCACTGGCCAAACCAAGTCCAAATAGTTTGCCACCAACATGGCTCCAAACCAAAAGAGTGACTCAAGTCCAGGAGGTCTCAGGCAGTGAGAATCCCAGAACCCTTTGCAGTCCAACTGAAGTGATGTAAGAGCTCTTGGTCCAAGGCCTGCCTCAACCTCTCGGCCCAGTTGGGCACTTAGATACCAGGCACCACCTGTCATGCTGCCTTGGAATGTGAACCGGCCAGGATTTGAGCCTAGCTTTTCGGTTGGAATTCTAAAAAGAAGCTCTCGAACTTCCCAAGAACGGTCAACTTGGGCATGTTGCCGGCTGATGGACGGACTTACCCCAAGGTGAGTTCGTTGACATTTCTGCAAATCACATCCCGTTTGGCGAATGAATGGTTGGAATTCAGACACACCACCCTTGCCTGATGCCAGTGGGACAATTGGTGCCTTGTTTCTAAACTAGCGGGGTGGAAACCGAACACCAGAACTGGGATCGTGCCCACGCCACGGACCTATTTCTTCTCCCCACCACGGACCCGGGTAAGGGGGGGGGTTCGGGTGGGGGGTTGGTGTTTTCCTTGGCAACATCACGTGCTTGTCTGAGATAAATCCTAGAAGCACATTGCATTCAACAAGTGATGCCATTGAAGACGGTGCGATCTTGGAGCTGAGCTGTCACAACGCAAAGACGTTTTTTCGCTCTGAGAACTTGTTCTGGAGATTGCTTGTTTTACGTGGCTCTGCCAATGCAAACTCATTCTCGGTTCCAAAAATAGGGTTCGGTTCTCCACCCGCACGGTTGTTTTTGGTGCTTGGCCGAGGGAAAACAGCAAGGAATACATGCAATCCCAAAGTTAAAAGTGTTGATGCCCAATGTCTTCTTAGAAGCTTGCCCAGGAGGAGTTGGTGTGACCAACCAAATTGGGTAGAGCATATTGATTGCCTTTTGATTGAGATTCGCCTTACCACTTGTGTGCAAGGTGGCAATTTTGATTCCGTCTTTAGTCTTTGGTGGATGTTTGCAGATTGGACATCTGGGGGGCCTCAGGCACCCCCCCCCACCCTGCCCGACAAAAAAAAGTGGTGGATTTCGCGCTGGTTTTCCTTTCAGACCCTAAAAAGGGTACCAACTAAAAAAACAACACATCTGTGCCATGGTCAAAAGACTCCTCGTGGCCAGCCCAAGCCTTTCCATCGTTGAAAGGGACACCAAACAGCAATGATCGTTGGGTCCAAAAATCCCGGTGTAAACCGAGTCCCAAGAAAAACCGCATGATTTCCGCGCCGAGGGACCGTCTGGGCATCGGGGTTTGCACTGCTGGTCGTGCAGGTAGGTGCTGTTGGCACACAGCGTGCACTTCCTACGGAACGCCCCGACTTCGGGGTTTCGATTGGGGGGTCAAAGGGACACACAGCCCACTAGCTCACTGTATGTTGTCTTCATTTCCCCACTTCAATCATTTGAGATGCCTCTACCAACTGGAAAAAGAAGAAAAAAAAACGCCCGCCCGACACATGTTTCCCTTGTGCCAAAAGAAGGAAAAGGTATGGCGGGCCTGGGGCCTGAAAAAGGGGCCCTTGGATTGTGGCCCTCTACCTGGGTGTGCCTTTTTAGTGAATCCCAAAGGGTGGTTCAGGGAAACCAAAGGGAAACCAACCCCACCTGTGGGGTTCGGGTGCCATGTCCACATGGGTCAGAAGGGGATGTGACAACCTCAATTGAGGGCGCCAGGGGAATGGCCGGTTTTCACGAAGCCCCACGCGTTTCAGGCGTGGAGCGTGTAAAAAACTGGCTGGCTCATCCAGCGGTGTTGCGTACATCCAGAAGAATGAGCGGCTTTGAAAAGGGCAGTGACCAAGGGGAGCTTTCTGAAAGCGGGCAAGGGAATCTAATTTGAAAATATTCAAACTTGTGGCGTTTGGTCCCTCTTACATAAGTACATTGAATACGCTTCTCAATTGACCGTTCAGTCAAATATCAAATGCAATCCGCAGAAACCCCGAACGACTCTTCATCCAGGGCACGTCTCGGCCGCACACTCCGCGCAGTTCTCAGGACACACCGGACCTAACGCGAGGCGACCCGCCGTGGACTCGAAACCAAAAAGGCTCAGTAAGGCGAGTTCATGTTTCTGCGGTTTGGGTATCCTCCCACCGACTAACATGGAAGTGCACAGACCCCCGTGGAAAGACTACTTTCCTCTTGGAAAGGGGCTTTGTGCACTTCCATGTTAGTTGGTGGGACATCCACCTACATGCAACGCGACTGAGGGTCCTGGAAGACTACTGTCCTCTACAAGGGACCATGTCTCTGGCGCGTTCCAGGTTAGTGGACAGGATGCAAAGCATGGGTGACAACTTGTTGATAGAAAGGGTACTGTTTTTCCAAAGACTCAAGTTTTTTAAGAACAAAAGCACCCACTATGATGCTTTCAAGGTTCGGAGCAAACGGTAAAACACAATGGGAGGACCCTCCACAACGACAGCCATTGGGTAAGCAAAGCTACCATCTGCGCTTTGGCCATTTAACACTGAGTCATACGCAAACACGTGGTAAACACACCATCCCCAAAATTCAGCGTGTAGGATCAACAAGCTTGATCTCCGCAACTTTTCCTAGCCAGCGGCAACACGGCAACTGACTGTCTCTCAAAAAGGAAACAACAAACTACTAGCCACGACCAACTCCGGTTTAACATGGGGAAACAACACGTCACCATGGCAGCGCATCAGTCAACATAGGATCCCCAAAAGGAAAAGGGAAGAAGGGATCAAGGAACCTCAGAGCAGTTTTTCTACGGGTTCCCCATTCTTTTCAACCATCGTTCTTTTCAAAAACCGATCGCTGTTGCCCCTGAGTTTTTAGTGGTCTGACAGGAAGGATCCCGGGGTCCAGAATGGACATGGAAGCTTCCCAGATTCGACGCAGCAACAGGTCGAAACATCGCGACTTTTTGGGCAAGGAACCGGAGCCATTTAGCTGAAATGAACTACTTACATGAAAGGGCTTTGGGAATGTCTCTGTTGGAGGGGACCCACTATGATTTTATAAAACCGAGGCCAGGCCAAGCAAGGCCAAAGGCTGAAAAGAAGGATCCCTTTAGACCGGGGAAGCTGTAACAAGTGACCCAAGAATCGAGCGAGTCTTCCTATTGGTTTTGCTCTGAAACCTGCGAACCAGGACTTCACCAGGTTCACAAATTGCCACTCACACAGTCTTGGGACCGAGGAGTCAGCTAGAGGAAAGTCTACAGACCAAAGCAATATATATATATATATACCCACATACATTCATAGCGTAGGCATGCGTGTATATATGGCTGTGGGTCGATCCCCTGTACCTCTGGTGAACATCAAAATAGGTGGCAAATCTAGCTAGTGGAAAACAAAGGGAACCCCAAAAAAGCAAAAACGTAAAAATATAAAGGGGAACTAATTCCGGGGAAGGCGGTATAGCTGAAAGGGTCCCCGGGACCCTGGCCCCTGGGCTGTCGGGCAGGTGCCGCCGATGGCGTTGGCGCCGGGGAGGGCGTAGTGGCCCTCCGGGCAGTCCAGCTCGCAGGTCCCGGCGGGGGTCAGGTAGGTGCCCTGCTTGCACCTCGCTGGGATCACCAACTTCTCTGTGGATCAGTCCATTTTTTTTCCGAAGGCCTTGGCTACGGTTCCAATTATGATTGCCTGTCCAGTAAAGCTTGGTTGCTGCGACGACCCCTCTGCAAAAGTGCTTGTGGCTCCAATACCTTCAGGGACCCGGGGGGTGAGGGGTCTGTAATCGCATTGATTGAGTCTTCCCCATAGGGAAATGGCTTTTCGTTTCCAATGATTCTGATTGCCTGAAATCCACACTAAAACTCGGTTGCTGCAACGACGACCCCTCTGCAAAAAAGTGAACAGGGTCCAAAGAGGAAAGTTTAACATGCCAAGGTTTCAACCAACAAGTTTGATAGTCCAAAGATTCAACCAGCTGCTTGGTCCTGGTTGGGTTTCCGCTCACGGCCTTTTGCGCGTCAAGTTGGAATCAAGAATGGCGGGCTGGAGGGCACCAGCATGGCTTCGGTGACCGCTTCGACCAAAGGACCACGGAAAGCGTTGATCAACGCTTTGGTGCACTTCAAAACTCTTCGCACTTCCTGCTTGCACCTCTTTCCAGGTGTTGGCCGAACCCAACACCCTCCCTCCTGTGGTGGGCACCTCTTTCCGGAGAATGGCCGAAGCCTCAACACCCTCCCTCCAATTTTCTGGTGGCAGGGGAAATTCCCTTCTTACGTGGCTTGGGCCTTAGGAACAAAGCCCAAACGCGCCTATGGCAACGGAAAGGAATCGCCAGAGGAAAGTCTCCCAAGCTGAGAAAAACGAGAATTGGACCGCCCCCAGGGGAAAAAGTCACATTGCTGGAGGGCTGGGCTAGCAGTCATGGCTTTGGCACCGCGCTGGTTCGGCTGGTCTGTTTTTGGGTTTGCTTTTTCCAGCCGGACATGGCGATGAGCAATTTTAATAGGGAACCACCCGGTGTGATTGGTGGACATATATGTCCACCGAATTCCGATGCAAGGGGGCCTCCACAGGCGACTCCATGGAAGCTCCGACTGACTGGCCCAACCAACCACTCCCCCGGTCATGTTTTATTGTTGGGTCAGGGCCCTGTTTCTTCTTTCTGGGTTCCATTGTGATGCCTAATGGTAGCATTCTGATGCCTAGTGGTCGAAACAAGGAGGTCATTTCTATTGGGAGTTTCCCCACCCAAGGGACTTAGGTGCTGAACTAGGGATAGGCCTGCATTCATTCTCTCAGGAGAGTCTTGGTTGGGGTTTGGTGGTGACGTTCGGAGTACGTTCCCCATTTGGCTTCAAAAGGCAGAGTTTCCAACTCCAAACCACCAATCCAATCAAACTGAATCACCAATTAATCTAGGGGTTGATCCCCCATTCTTTTCAACCATCGTTCTTTCCAAAAAACGGCCGTTCTCCCTGGGTTTCTGGAGGTTTTGTAGAAAGAACGATCCCTGGAAAGAATGGGGAAGGTACCTCTATACCAATGGGTAAACTGATTCTCTGGTGTCTTCCAGGAGGAGAAGGTTAACCTTGCGACTCGCCTCAATACTTCGAATTCAAGACTTGGCTGGCTTTAGTTTAAATCACGCCCACAGGCTAACGCTAAATGGATAGACCCCTGAACCATGGTTGGTTCTTGCGCGACGTGCCGAAAACCAAGTCTGACCCACCTTCCAAAGACTCCAGGAGCAGATTGGCCTAGGTCCTCCAGATGGTCTGACCTTTCAAGCACGGGTGGCTAGGTCCTCCAGATTTGAGAGCTTAGAATAAGATTTGGTACCCGCTTTTTTTTTCAGGACGTCTATTTTAGTAAGGGCACCCTCCCAACCAAAAAATTTGGGTGAGAAAGGGCAGCCGGGGGACCTGGGTGAACCTTTTCCGGAGAAAAAAATCCTCCTCGCTCTCCCCATCCAAGGAGCTCGGTGCACACGTCTGGACCCAGGCAGGTATTGCAGGAGGCGTGGCAAATCTTGCCTTCGATTCGCGGAGTCGAGAAAACCCCTCTGAACACCCAGCGGCTAAAAAAGTGAGGAAAAGGAACCAGTCTTTGAACCGTGTTGCTTGCGCGGCTGCGGGGTGGGTTGAAAATTTGTGTTGGCGTTGATTTCATTGTTGGTAAGCCCATGAACAACAAAACATAGTCTTATGGGCGCCCCATCTCACCTGCAGCTTGACAAATCATTTAAATCTAGGGCTCCGCTGGATTTCCATGCAGAAACGGCGCCTGTTTTGGCAGCTGATTTTCAAGCGAAGCCTCCACACAGAACAAAAGTGGACAATTGGCATCACTGGATCTTTGGGCAAACGTACCTTCAATCAACCACAATTTTGACTGGGCACTTAATTTCACACGGTAGTCCTAGAGCGGCCATGATCTTTACCGAAACATTATACCTTTCAATGGAAAGCCTCTGAAATGCCACGCACCCGCAGTGCCGCAGTATTTGATCTTTCCACAATGGGACATGTGAGGACAGCTGTCTCAAAAGGACAACCCTGCTCCTTTTACACGAAACTGTTCAATTCCCAAAGCATTTGCTGGGTGACCGTGATCCCACATCCCCTCTCCTTGCCCCCAAAGCCTCCTACTGCTTTTTGGGTCATATCTGAATGCGAGAAACGGTGCTCAAGTGCTCCCTACGAGTGCGAATCGGATCGAGGGGCAGAACCGCCCGACGTCGCCGTCCCCGCTCTTGTAGTAGCCATCCGGGCATTCCTCAAGCGGCAAAGGCCAGTTGAGGAAGGCTCACGACTCGAATGCTAAATCTCAACCTGTGTCATCTCGAGCCCCAGAATTCGCTTTAACAATGAACCTTGGCCGCAAAGCAAGTGTCACTTGAGTGGAATGGCCAAAGAAGCAACCACACTTTTTGTTTGCCGCCAAAATGGTCCAAACCCAAGTAGAAAGTCCAGGAACTCAGGAAGTGAGAGACATTCCAGAGCACTCCAAACTGTGCCGTGGTTGCTCCCTGAGTCCTGGCAAATGGTTGCTCCTGGAAAGCCTGAAGGATGCATGGCGGTCCTTGCGGAGACTGCGACCAGGTCTTTGAGAGACTTGACAGGCCAGGGTTCACACCTTTAACAAAAAGCGCATCCCCGCCCTACCAGGAAAGATTGTGAAAGGAGCCGTCTCAACCAAACCACCAACCGCACAAAGCACGTACAAACACAGAAAACGGTTACCAAACAAGATAACACCAACATGACCCACCGGAAAACAAATTCACAGCGAGGAGCGTGGTCACACCAGTTCGTGTGGGTGAGGTACTGCCCGTTTTTGCACTGCTGGCACGTGGTCGCGTCCGTGCAGAGCGTGCAGTTCTGCGCGCAGCGAGGGCAGGTTCGGCCCACCTGGCAAAGGGAACAGCTTTGGGGGTCGCAAGCCTCGGCTGCTGTATAAAAAGACATCTGGGTCCTCCAGATTTGAGAGCTTAGAATTAGGTACCCAACTTTTTTCTGTTTTGTCGATTTTGGTAGGGGAACCGAATCTCCCAACCAAGAAAGGGTAGAGAAGGGCACTACGGGGGGACCTAGACATAAAGTGATGTTTCTTTTTTTTTAAATTTAAAAATATAATAAATATATATATATATATGTACTATTATTATTATTGTTATTATCAAACACAACATATACATACAGCGTGGTTTGCATTGTTTGCGGGGCACAGCAACAGAGTAGTTATTTCCCGGGGGGGTGACCATAATATATATATATATATGTGTATATGTATGTATATGAGACAGCGTCAAAATTACTTGTCTGGGGTGTATTCATTTGGTGTTAGGACGTCCCGTATCGTTTTACAGGTTTTGCTTAAAAAGGACGTCCCGTATCGTTTTGCAGGCCGTGGATACGGGACACATCCCTACCCCCGTGCTTGCTGCCAAACGACTCTTTGCGGGGACAGCGCCAACGAAACAGCAACGGAATGGAAGCTCCCACAAGCGGGCGTTCCCCGGTATAAAGCCACACGGCGGCCAAAGCGCAATCCCTGCAAGCAAAGCAACTCACACCACGGGCCGCAGATTCCTTTTAGTCCCCCTCACAGACTTGAGGAGGAGGAACTTGCACTTGACACAGAGTCCTCCTCCAACGGCTGTTGCGCCGCTGCTTTTGCCTAGCTTTGCACCTCTTCTCAATCAGCTCTCCCCCCTTGCTGGGTCCGCCACGCTTTCTCTCATCTCGTTGCCTCCTCAAGTCGGCGTGCCAGCAAACTCACGCAGTGTTGCGTCAATGTAGTTCCTCACCCGCTTGGCTGCTGGAGCTGGGGTTGTTCGCTTCACACCCAGGGCACACGTGCAGCCGCTTGGGGAGAAAGGACGAGGCTGCGTCCAAAGATGCTTGTCACGCCCCCGCGGCACCGCCGGCGCTGGAGCCGCGAGGCTGGCTTCCTCACCGCGGTGGTCTTCTTCACCTTCTCGCGGGCACTCTTCGCGATCACCTAGACAATTGCCTTTCCGCGCTGTTCGGCTCAGCCTTTGGAGCCGAGGCAGCTCTCTCTATGCGAGCATGCTGCCCCTCCTGGGTCAAAGCTTTCCACTTCTCCTCAACACGCACTCCTCAACCCATCGTGATTCTTCCTGTGTCAGCCCAGCGCCGCCGGTTTGTGGCTGCACGGCTGCGAGGCTGCCTGGCAATTCCTGGCATTACAATCCTTGCTCTCCAGCATTGCAGTTCTTTCACAAGCCACCCCCAAATGTGTGTCTCCTCGTAACTGCAGGGTAGCGCTTTGGTGCCAAGTGGGCCACCCCCGACATTTAGCATCCTGCCCCATTGCGGGGGTATCGTCGGGGTATCGTTTTGGGGTATCGTTTTGGTGGTCGGTTTTTTCTCGAAGCGGCGCTGTTTGACAACTGTCTTACTTCCGCTCCAAGGAGCCTCAGAGAAGCGCTGGAGCGTGCAAAATGCAGTCCTGCAGTTTGCTTGCGGCCGAAGAAAGGTAACCTCCCAAGCACCTTGCGTGGCCAGCAAAAGGGCAAGCCAGCGGGACATCCTCAGAACGCATAGCTGCCGTCTTGGTTTCCGTCTATGGACGCTCCACCCTCCAGCTCTCGCGCTTTCTAGCCTTTTTCGTAGCTTTTTCATGCGCAGAGTGCAGATGCACGCATTCTTCGAAAGAGCTCGCCCATTTAGTTCCAGTATTGCGCAAGTTCCTTCTGAACTACAGTTGCACCCCTTCTAAACTTGTTTGACTGAACGGAGAACTACTTTTACATCCCCTTCAACAATGCAAACGCTGCAAGAAAGACTTTTGCCCAACTACAACTCGTAATGCTTTTTGCTGGCCGGCAGTTACCCCTGCAATGTGGTGGACACATGCTAGAAACGTTCGCCCCGTTCAAGCACAGCTTGTTTTTGCCACACGTGTCTTGTCACAAGCCAGCTGGTGCTCCAAATGTGAAGTTCCCTTTTGATCCCCCTGCCCTGCAACCCTTGCAGAGGAAGGGCCTAGTTGCAAGTCTCGACCAAGCAAATAAACACATGCTCTAGGAGAACACACAAACTAACAAGACATTTTTGTTTGCAACCAATGCCAACTTGCTGAAGGGGTATCGTTTTTTTGGACGTCCCGTATCGTTTTTCGAGCAACAACGCAAACACAATACGTGCATGAAACACCCCCATATAAAGTACATGACGGTAATTTTGATGCTAACTCATATGTGTATATATATATATATGCTTTTTTTATATGGCTGTGGCTCAAAACCCTGTAATTCTGGTGAACATCAAAATAGGTGGCAAATGGATGTTCATCCACCCATGCCCCATGGCCATATATGGTACAGCGTTGCCAGCCCCCCCCCCATGGTCATGTGGTCAGACAAGTACCCCCCCCCCCCCCCACCCCTGTGGTTGTGGTCCTGTGGTTGGGTTGTGGTGGTTCAGGGTTGGTTTAGGGTTGGTTTAGGGTATATTTAGGGTGTATTTAGGGTTAGTTGGTTTAGGGTTGGTTTAGGTTTAGAGGTGTACGGTTTAGGATTTGGTTTAGGGTTTGGTTTAGGGTGTATGTAGGGTTGGTTTAGGGTTAGTTTAGGGTTGGTTTATGTTGATTTAGGGTTGGTTTAGGTTTAGAGGTCTACGGTTTAGGGTTTGGTTTAGGGTGTATTTAGGTTGGTTTAGGGTGTTTAGGGTTGTTTTATGGTTGGTTGCGGGTTGGCTTGTCCTGGGTTCAGGGTGGGACCGTAGGTGCCAGGATCCGGGGTCCTGAGCGACCCATACCATATGGGGGGGGGTAGCAACACGGAACACGGGACTATATATACATGTACATATCCACATTTATGTATAAGAAGCCTTGGGCTGCGTGCGCGTGTCCAACGGGAACGTGGGAATCCTTTTCCTTGGCTTTGAGAAGCGGTCCACAAAGGCCATCTGCTGGTACTAGCCGCATCGTTTCTCCCGTGATCAAGGTCCCTTCAGTGGTACTGTGGATGGCTGAGACATCCGCTTCTCGCACCACGAAATGAAACCATGGTTGAAACCAAAAGGTTTGTTGGTACGGGGGATGGTGGTGCGAAATGGATTTCGTCCATCCACAGTAGGTTACGGGAGAACAACCGAGCATTGTGTCCAATTCATGCGCCCAGTCCGCCTGGATCCTTCCGAAACCAATCTTTTTTGGAAGTGGTTGGAAACCCCTATGACTTCAGCCTGCACAGCCATCGTGCTGGAACTGATGGATGGACCCTGCAACAAACTCAACCAAAAGCGCATCCGATTTTTTGCATGGACCCCAAAACCCCCAAAAAAAGCCAAACCCCCAAAAAACCCAAAACCCCAAAGATCAGTTCTTTGCCACCGAAACAGAGCCCTTGGAGTTGATCTGCGGCTCCCAAAGACTCTCAAACACCCGGGTTGCTCCAGTGGTTGCAACACGAAAACCGTACCAACCGCTGGTCTCAGGCGAAGGGAAACCAACATGATATTGCTTAGACTGGGCTGGCCTCAGATCCCCGGCTAATTTGTTTTACTTTTAGTGGTTTGGAAACTAAGGCTACAACCTAAAACTTGAGGGGATGGCTGAGAACCACCAAGTAGACCATGTTTCAAACTTGGCGTTGAATCGCCCGGGGCCACAAACTTCTATTTGCCTTTTTGCCCCCCTGGAAAAAAACAACACCATATTTCCGGTAGTCATAGATTCCCTTTAAGACCAACAGGGGAAACTGACAAATATTCTTAAGCAAATGGAAGCAAACACAAAACATCCCCAAGTCACAAGTGATTCCCTGCCTCGCCCAGGCCCTGCTTGTAGAAGCCGTCTGGGCAGCCTGAGAAAGCGAGGCCCTCCAATCGCCCACGGAAATTCGCTTCGGCCCAGATGTTTAAACTCAAGGGAGAAGCACGGGGAACTACGATCCAATTCACACCAGGGATCCCCTAACAATCAGTGAGCTTTCAACCTCCGCGAGGAAAGTCTTCTGATCCAGACATTTCAGCCCTGGATACGGTGAATCGTCAAAACCCTGCACCAGCTACGGAACCCCAGAATGAGAACGAACAATGGTTTCCCATAGTCTCGAAGTAATGCGAAATGGATTTTGGCCATCCACAGTAGAGGGTCTTGGAACGGTAAGAGGTCCCATGAAACAACCAATGGTCTCGACCCTCTTTCCATCTTTCCTTGGCGCCCTGGCCGTTGGCTAATCCTCTTTCCCCTCTTTCCCGTGGCCCTGGCTCCCACAAATTGAAGCAAACTATCTCCGCTCCGGGTCCAAACCAAATGACCCAATGTGTCCAAAAATGGGGGGGCGCGCTACTTGCCAAGAAGGTCTTCGCGCAGCTTTAGTGGGCAAACCACCAAGGAGCCCAGCCAGAGTTGAGTCCTCAACTTTTGGCAATAGACACTTTGCAAAGTGCTCAAAGAGGCTTGTGGATGTCCTCCGACTCTGGACGTGGGCATGTGTGTGTGTGTGTTTTCTTTGGGGGACCCTGCAAAATGGGCATCCCTTTAAAACACTCCCAAAATCTCTCAAAAAGGGTACCCTCAAAAAAGACAGACCCACATCACCGCTGGATTGACTCGCACCTTCATCGCAGGTAGCAGATGGCGTCAGGTACCGCTTGTTCTTGCCTGCGCTCATGAGCTTGCACACAGCTCGGGGTGGCGCAAATTGGTTGAATCAACACGCCATTGGCGGGTTGAGGTTGAAATAAATTGATAATAGATGCCTTGAAAGCGAACCACAGTGGCAAGGTGGAACCCAATTGGTTGAACGTTGCAAAACTATTCCCTTAATGCTTTGGATTGGTTCGGATTCGGGCTCGACCATGAACACAGGTTGCTGGCCAGACCCTGGCCACAACAAACAGAAAGTTGACCCGAAAAATCGACCCCCTGTGGGCATAGTTGGCACCTAACCTTCAGGAAACACCTCCTCTCAAAACAAGGGAAATGGGAAACGCCCGTCCCACTGGAGGTCTGTGTGAAAGCAAACCGACACTGCTAGCTCCTCCAGTAGAGAGGTTCGAAGAAGGGCACCAACTCTTTTTTTTGTGTAATCTATTTTAGTAGGGGAACCCTGCCCCAACAAAGGGCTGAAAGGGCTCTACTGGGGGGCCTAGTCTGGGAAGAACCACAACGAACTTCCGTCTTAGTCTGCAGCGGCTCCAAGTTGAAGGCCCTTTCCGTGTAACACAGGCTCGCATTTCCCCGCAGAGCAGGTGCAGTGGAACCACCCTTTAAACAGCATACAGGAAAATGGCGAATTTCCTACAATTTAAATATCTGGGATCTGTTTGTAACGCTTCCAAGCTTTGTGTCGCACTTGCACTTGGTCAAAGGAAGCAGAACTAAAAGGTAAACCCTGCAGCTTGACGCAAACATCGGGACCAAATCACAAACACCATAAGGTGAAAGGGTTGCAACTGAGCCGCAAGTTTCTTCACCATGGCACAGGCCCAACACCTTCGCACCCGAGCCGGGGGACTGGCCGGCCCGGGGCCACGGCTTAAATCGCCGGGACCGGCCCGGAACCCCCTGGAAGAAACGTCAGCTTGAAAGGCAAAAACGGGAGCCCACTTGACGCAAAAAGCAAAGTCTGGCAAGCTTGGTTCTGGTTCATTGGGGTGTCCCGTGACTTGGTGCGATAGGCAGGGAAAGAGGGAATGACCCCTATAAACAGTCCCTTGTGGTTTCCTAGGGAGTCCCGAGGTTCATTCCAGCTCATTCCCTGCCTATCGCACCAGCATGAGGGAATCCAAAACTCTCACCAGATTCCCCACTCGCAGCCCCAGTGATTCATGGATTCTGAGGGTCCCGGCACTCTGTGGCATAGGTGGCGCTGATGCATCTCCTAGGCGCAGGAAGGTGCAGGCCCTAAAATTTTGCGCTGAAGCCTAGGGAGACTGTGCCCCTCATGAATGTGCATAACAAAAAACACATGCAGGGTTATATACCTATATACTTGGATACACTCAACTTATGCCTATTTACATAGGTGAAGCGTTTTGAGAGAACCCTTGTGCTGGTCGTGATAAAGGAAGACCAAAGCGAGACCACACATGTATGGCTAGCCATATTTGTTGGGGGTACCTCTCAGAGGGAGAGAGAGAGAGAGAGAGAGAGAAACACCTACACACTTCATATTTGGCACTAAGCCCAGTTTTGGGGTCCGTTATTTGGCCATGGGTCAAAATCCCGTACCCCAGTGAACATCCCAATCCCTACTAAAATAGACTAAAATGGGTGGTGCCCCTACCCCAAAATGGTACCATTGGTTTTGACCCACAGCCATTTCCAAAGACGCGCCGATTTCGCAGCCAATGTCCACCTTCCAGCCCTCCCGAAAGGGAGCCAAGGCTCTGCACGTCGCCTGGGCAGGGCGGACAGGTGTTGCCGAACTCGTCGATGCCCTGGCGGTAGTAGCCGTCCGGACAGGTGTACTCGCCTCGGGTCGAGGCCTAAAGTTTCACGCGTCCAGTTGACACCGGCAGGGAGTGAATCCCAAAGGCGTATCGCATATTTGCCATGTACCCTCCAGATGAGTCAAATGTGGATTTAGAGTACATGGAGTAGGATGCAAACAGCTAAAGGCAGGGTGGGGCCAAAATGCTCAAACACGTTTTGGTTGAATCGACATCCTTCGGGGTTCCCTTTAAAGGGGGTCAGAGTTTGCAGTTGACTGAGGCTGGTACCATTTTGCCCTTGCGACCAGATAAATTTACCACATGGATGTGTTTTTTTTAGGGGACACCCCCAACATGGATTTTGTCCTCCTTTTGGTTTCCCCTTTAACAACCACAAACTAAGTGGTACCTTGGGAACCTCCAATCAGGTGCCATGCCAGAGAATCACCTTTCAGACCTTGACTGCAAGAAGATTAGACAAGGAAAACCAAAGATCAAAAGTTGAAAATGAACAAACATCGAAAACCAATGGAAAGAACACCATTAATCAAAAGTCGAAAACCAATGGTCAAACATCAAACCAATGGTCAATCATTGGCTTTGGGCGCTTTGAAAAGGCACCGGGAACCCAAAGAGCAACTAGATTCACTACTTCGGAAACACCCCGTTCCTCTTTTGGGAGGGCCAAACATCGATGGCTTCATCAAAGGGACTTCCACACGAATGCGATACACCACTTCAAAAAGCAAGCTGCGCTCGGAACACCGCATGAACCACGCGCACTGGGGCGACGCAACGGGGCCCCTATGTCATGGACGACCAATCCCATGCTCATTTGCTGGGTTGGCCAGAGCAAGTCGAAACTTTAAATCTACCACCAAAATGGTCTTCCTAAAAAGCTTAAAGTGCAGGAACTCAGGAAGTGAGAAATCCACACCGATCGGCAGCAGCAGTTGAAATGGATGACCTGCTCTGGGATGAATCACCAAATGCCAGGGATTTTGCCTATCACCAAAACGGGGAGAAGGGTGTCCCAGGAAACTGAAATACAAAGCCAGGGGTACAACAAGCCAGCGGCACGTATGACATTGATGAACAGAACGGCTGGAAGCAGTGCGGCAGTGTTTGCACCCAGTTTAGAATCTGAAACAAGCAAATGAAAACCATCGCCTGCGCTTGGAGGAGTCGACCTTACTTTTGCATCTTCGCCTTTCCTCGGTTTCCGGAGCATGCGGTTCCGGATGCCCATTCAGAAAGCATTCCCCGTTCCGGCGCGACGGCCCAACGACCCGAAGGGTAGAGAGGTGGGATCGGGAGCCAATTCCTCACTTCAGATCTGAACAGGGCTGTGGGGAGTGGAATCCACGAATCTGTGATACAACGGAAAGGGCCTAACCCCAGCGACTAGTTTGTGAATAGAAAGGGGGAGTCCCAAAAGTATCACAGAAGTGGGGAAAAGCCCTTGATCCCACAACCCTGGATCTGAAGCTTTGGAAACCAAGCAGTGGGCAAAACGCAGTAGCCACACGTTTTGTGCCTTTGCCACCAAAATGGTCCAAACCCAACAAGTTGAAAGAAAAACAAGTCCACGCTTGTTGGACACTTGTTGGTTGCCACTACAAATGGCAACCACACCCCAGCGACTCAAGTCCGAAACGGAGCTCGTGAGCGGAACTCGTTGCTAAGGCACACGTCTCGGCCGGCGTGAGGTACGTGAAGTTCTGACAGCTCGTGCACTGCTCCTGGCCTAAGAGTTCGGAGAGGTCCCTTCTGGCAGTGCAAGGCTTCTTACATAACAAGGTTTGGGGTTCCGCACGAGTTTTAAGAGACACAAGTGGCAAACACTTGACATAGACGAGACAACCAATCTGCACATTTTACTATACTTCCAAAAGCTGAATTAAGGGATTCCCATCTGGGTCCTCCAGTAGAGAGGTTAGAATAAGGGTACCCGATTCTTTTCTGTAGTCTATTTTAGTAAGGGAGCCCTGCCGCAAAAAAAGGGGGAGAGAAGGGCACCTAGCCGGGGGACCTAGACATGATACCTCCATTTGCTTTTTGTGGCCCCTGGCCATTGGAACTCATTCTTTGAAAATCAATCAATTAAAACTTTTGTTTCCCGAATTTGTCACAACCATTCACAATCAAAACCATTCACAATCAAAACCCGCAAAATGGTCGTAATCGAACCACGGAAAGAACTAAGAAGGCGGATATCCGCCACTATTTATGGCAGGACTGCCCCTTGCTAACGCTCATCTACCCGGGTTTTGATTGTGGCTCATTTGCGTGTTTGGTCCCCAGAATACCAAAAAACTAGCAGTGATAGGTTCCCTTTTAAAACCAACCGGACAAAATCGCAGATTATTCTTAACCAAATGGAAGGCTATGGCCTTGTGCTGGTTTGGCTCCCTTTTTGGGCTTGGCTCACGGAAACCATAAGGCCCTTTGACACACTGGCCGTCAAACCTTCCAGGACCGGAGACAACTGGCCAGTGTGGTTGCAGGGCTGGGAATGGAATCCACGAATCTGTGATACAACGGAAAGGGCCTAACCCCAACGACTAGTTTGTGAATAGAAAGGGGGAGTCCCAAAAGTATCACAGAAGTGGGGAGAAACCCCTTGAGCCCACAACCCTGCTCTCAAATGGCCCGTAGACGGCAAATTTGACTGTCCCCGGCTTTTGTTTTCAGTGTCCATCCTCCGCCCCAAAAGGTTGATTGCCTCCTTTGGCTTTTACAGGCTTTGTGGGTAGGGTTTGTGGGTCCCTCGTGTTCCCAAAACGGACAATCTTAAACCCGCAGGTGTTTCTGCAAGATTCTAAGAGCATAATGTCCCCGCGAAATGAACGGAACCAAGAAGCAAAACTCCAAACAAACATATACTCAACGCAAGATTATATTGCGTTTTGACAATGGCAACACGTAAGCACGTCAGCAAATTATTTAACGTCGATTGTTCACAACCTTCTTTGGGTTGAGTTGACTTACGAAAAAGGAATATTTCTCAAAAGATCAACGGGCACTTTGATTCCGCGCTTTCATCAGATAGATAATCCCAACATGCTAAAAGGTCCGGGCTCCTAGAAACTCTCTTGGTACATCGTGGAATCAACTCGCTGAGAAAATTCCCCCCGGACCGTGGCCAAAGGAGACAAGGCGCTGAAGTCTTTGCCTTTTTTGGAGGTGAATGTGAAAGGGAGCCTTCTCCAAAACAAAATTTCGCAGGCATGTCCGGGCTTTAAATATCTTGGGTGTTCGATTCGCCAAGCTAGTAGGTTGTAATGGAATCCCTTCGGTTACAACCCACCAAGTACGTTCAGTGGAATTCACGCTGTTAGTGGATTTCCTTGATGGTGGTTTCCACTGGTGGTTTGCTGGTGGTTTCTCTTGAAACTGCCGCTTTTAGAGCTTCCACACAGGAAATGGGGGCCTATGCTGTGAGTGGCTTGGCCAAGCACGCACCACTAACTTGGCGAATCGACCGCGAATCAAAAGGTCCAGGCGCTGTGACAGTTGAAGCAGGTCCGCGGGCAGACCTTGCAGAAGCGCCCCACGTCCTCGCTGCCCTCGAAGTGGTACCGGTCTGGGCACTCGTACTCGCAGCCTCCTGCCGAATCCAACGACAATCGGAGACAACGAAAATCGAGTCCCCCGAACAGTGGAATTCACCCTGCCAGCCAGGGGGACCCCTGACTGGATTTCTTCCCTCAAATGTTGACATTTACTGGAACCGCTTCCCTTGAAACCGCCACTTTTTGGAGCTTCCACAAAGGAAAACGGCGCGGAAAAAAAAAAAAAAACCCTGTGAGTGACCATTCACCCTAAACCCAAGTGCTGCTAGGGAGCCTCGCAGATCCCGGCGACCCCCCCGGCCATAGCGGGGGCAACCCGCCAGTCTCCTTTGTCGTGGCTTTTTTTCTGGGTTCCCTTCGTTAACCGCTATACAGGTACATGGGTCCACTGCAAAGAACAAAATCAAATAAGGGGTTCTTGGAAAACCAAACCCCGGGACCTTCGAAGACCGGGACCTTCGTTTCTTGAAAACCATTTTCGACTTATGGCAAAAGAAGGGGCACCTTTCTATGGTTGACCTGGATGAAGAAAACAAACGTGGGATTGGCCCAAAAAAGAAGCCTTCCACAACATAGAACCTTGCTGGATACAGCAACTTGCAACCAGAATCCTCGCAAGTGTCGACTCCCATTTTGCGGGCTTCGATTTTTCGGGCTTCCCCGCTCCCAGGAGTGCAGAATGAATGAGGGGCATGTGAGCCCGGCTGAAAGGTCATGCGGAAAACTGTCTTTGGACTTCCGGCGTTCTGCCGAATTCTTTCCAGTTGGATACTTGGGGGTTGATCAAAAGGTCCAAGATACGTGTGGGGGTGTCCCCGGTTTTAGTGGGGATTCAGACTACTTTTGCAGGGGAACACCCCCCTATTAATAAGCAGGGGTTTATTAATCCGGGGTCAACATTTTTTGATCTTATCCTGCAAAAAGATGTCATCCGGAGGATTCCCATGGTCCAAAGGTGTCCTACCCACAGCTTAGTCCAAGGCAAGCCATCCAAGCAAAGCGAGGCACGCCCAAGAGAAAGCCAAGGAAAACAAACAGAACACAGAAAGCCAAATTGCAATGCCACACGACAACACAAATGAATAAACCGAAAGGCCAAAGAAACCCCCCACAGCCTAAGAGGAAAGCACACGACGTTCTTCTCACGTCCCACAAACCGGCGTGGGTTTTGCTCGCCGCGTTTCCTGTGGGTGTCAAGTAGGCCGCTTGCGCGCACTCGGTGCACACGTTCCCGGTCTCGCAGAGGTTGCAGGGGGACGGGCACCTCCCGCACTGCTTGCGTTCACTTTCGAGAGATACAGGGAATGAGACATGGAGTCTGATCTCGAGAACATGCTATCCGCTATGGCGGTGTGGTGGTTGATTTGTTGTTGTTGGTTGTGGTGGTGGTTGTGGTGGTGAATAAAAAATGGGTGCCCTCCAACAAATCACGGAAGCTGACGATCGGATTGGACGTCTACTGTCCTTTTGGGAAACCCGCGACCGTCTTCCATGATTCTTGGAAGACTTGCTGGTGCTCAGCAGGGAATGAGACATTGAATGACCCCTATAAACCATCCATGGTTTCCTTTAAGGGAGTCTCCGGATGCGGCTCATTCCCAAAACCCGGCAGGTTCAACACCTGTCGCGCCAGGATCAAAGTCAGCGAATGATTTCCCTTTCACCCAGCAGGGCGAAACGGGTCCCCCAATGGCCCATTTTTCTAGGATACTCCCCCAAATCGAATGAAAAATGGGTTGCCAGAAATGGAGATCTGCAAAAAATATCCCATTCCATTTTTCAGGTGGGGATGTGACCAATTCGAAGTGGGGTGCCGTTTTGTAGGAACCCCCCCGAATGGTGGCTGTCCTTCTTGGGGCTTCAACTTATAAACAAAGGGACCCTCAGAAAAGACACGCTCAGCTTCCCTGGTGGCTTGGAGCCTGGTGGCTCGATTTACCCACGCGAGCTAGGGGTTCGAATCCCCAAATCCATCCGGCCACCCAAGGGTAACCTGATTGGGTGACCCATCTCTGTCTGTTCGGGTTCTAACTGGCTTCTTTTCGGAGTGCTAGTTGATTGCCACAGGGGTGTGTCTTTTTAGGGAACCCCCCTCAGAAATGGTTTTCCCTTTAAACCAACCCTTCAACAGCAGGTTCCCAAAACAAGAACCCCCCATAGTAGGCAATTGGGGGAAACCATCATGTAAAACCTAGATCTTCTCAGTTGCCCAAAGAACCCAGAAACGAAAGGTTAACCTTTTGGGGTCATGACTAAAAATCGAGACACAGGAAAGCCAAAAGGTCAAGAGGTCGGCTTTGGGCAAGTGAGTCGAACAAACCCTGGGCATGCCTGGAACCATTGGGAGCTACACAACTGAGTGTCCGACCCGATCGGAAACTGTGTAAATTCGAAGACCCAACAACCACAACTTGTAGCAGACACCATGAAAAGCCGCTAATTTCGACTCATTTTAACTGGCAACATTTATTCCATATACCAAACAAGCATGAGCAAGTTCCTAGGTGAATGTGCAAATTCTGCTAGAGCCGGTTAGTCAACGCTTGGGGTTGAACACGGTTGAGTTCTAAACCAAAACACGCAAACAACGCTGGATCAGGTGTTGTGAGCACAAAGTGCCTAACCAAGATGTCTAAAGGGACACTCCCTGACGGTCATGACCCCTCCAATGCAGACCCCCGGATCCTCCAATGGAGAACTCCGACCCTCAAGAGCCCTCAACAACAATTCATGTTGAGGGTCCAAAAACAATCGGGACCCTCAGGGTGAATAGAAAACCCACAGGGAAACCAGCAAGAAACCGTTTTCAATGGTACATGTGCTGGATGCCAGGAACAGGATTGTGGGAATATCAAGTCTGGAACTTGGGCATTAACAACAAATTCATCGTTGGGCGTCAAACGGTACCCTGCTTTCACAGCGGGAAACATTCAATGCCCATAATCCTGTTTGTTTGCGTTGCCGAAAAGGGAACAGGGGAGTATTCCAAATTCCAGTTTGGAAACATCACACGTTTTGACGAAGGCAATTGACGTACTGCCAACAAGGGAAATAAGAACAGTCAACCCCAAGAAACCTGGAGGTGACAAAACAGGCTATATACTCACTTCCTGAGTGGACTGACCAAACCAAGTCCTAACTTTTTGTTTACCACTAACATGGTCCAAACCCAAAAAGTGATTGAAGTCGATGAATTTAGGAAGTGAAGTGAGTATGAGGGGTTGGAAAAATTGGCTGCCCATTTGTCTTGCTGGTTCTCAGCAGGGAATGAGGGAATGACCCCTGCAAACCATCCCCTATGAGTTTCCTTAAAAAACCCTTGGTTCATTCCCAACACCCGGACTCATTCCCTACCTATGGCACCAGCAAGCTTTGAAGCCCAAATTCCCCGCCCTTCTGAAGCGCGGTTTTTTGGTTCAGCCTGTTGCAGTTCCCGCCCAGGCTGTTGGTGCCGTTCTCGAAGTATCCTCGGGTCGGGGGGAATCAAATCCCAATGGCTTTGACCCGGTTGCAACCAGTCACACTGTGACGCAAACTCTCTCTCTCTCTCTCTCTCTCGGAAAAAACAAGGAGCAAAAAAAGGAGACAAAAAAAGAGGAAACAAAAGGAGTAAAAAGAGAAAAAAGGAGAAAGAAAGGAACACAACAACGAGATGATGCTCATTTTGTTGGTGGATTCCACTTTGGAGGTCCCAAATCCGAAGACATCGCCTTGGTTGTCAGTGAACTGGGTCCAATGGCCATTGGGAACCTGCTGGGTGTGGCTCAAAATTAAACGATCGGAGGGGCTGGCTCCGCAGGTTTTGGGGAGCCCATGTTTCGATCCACTTACCAGGGTCCCATTTTGGGTACCGGTTTTTTGAGCCACAGCCATTTGTCCATCCCTAACAAAACAGTCGAACAGCAGCCGAATAGAACTGTGAAAGACAACACAACTGGCAGAGGGTTCATTCCCAAATACATCAAATGGGTTGCTATATTCAGACAATCAACCCTACCCAAGTGGGAATCCACTCACTTTGCCACAGGTGGGACTGTCCCCTAAGAAAAGCGCGTGCTTAGATCTGTTACAAAGGGGACAACGAATTATGGAGCCCATTGAGTCGGGGCATAGCCTTCCCCGCGTCTTCCATACATGACTTGCATCCATAGGAAACATCGTTGACCTAGCTTGCGATTTAAGCTGGCCTGGATTTCTCTTAGTCCTAGGGCCCTTTCAATTCCAGGAATTCATGCAGCAAAACTGGGTGTGATTTTTTTAGAGCAAACCCCCCAAAAGGCTGTGTGTTCCTTTTGCTTTCCCTTTAAAACCACCAACAACCATGGGGAACCAAGTACCAACTCCAAAAAAGACGCTCCACCCAGTTGGATGTCGTTTTTGGACGCTGCCTTTGATACTCGCAGCTTCGCTGGCCTGCGCTGCGATTTCGTCTAGTCCGAGTCGCCAGAAGGGCACTCTGATCTGCACTGGTTGTACTCGGTGAGATGGGTGAAGTCCCTGCACACCGTACACTCCTGACCATAGCAGCCGGCAATGCGGGGATGGTCGTTTCACAGTCTTGGTGTCATGGTCCGGTTCACTTCATTTCAGACGGGAGCCTTTACATCGGTGGTCAAAATCCCCCGAGGTTGAAAATAAGGGTACCCTTTATTCTGTAGTCTATTTTAGGGGAACCCTCCCCAAAAAAAAGAAACGGGAGACAAGGGCACCACTGAAAGACCTAGCCCCTAAGAGGTTGACGACTTGACCGGAGATTTCAAAAGCAACTCCTCATTCTGTTTCTGGGAGTCGGCACGCCAAGCCCGTCAAACAACTCTGGCAGCTTCTAGCCTAAAACCGTCTCAAAAGGGTCCATGTTTGGGCTTGGGAAAACCCCCCCAAGATGGCTTCGGTTCTGCTGTTGGTTTCCCTCTAAACCACAAAATGCAGGGTACCCTCAAAAATCAGCACCCCCCAAATTCTGATATAATGTTTTAGCCCGGTGGGGTGTTGCGCCCAAAACTCAACTTTTTGCTGCCGGTCTATGCGGCACCCGATCAAGTTCAAGTTGATCAATCCGGGGTGTCCAGTTGGGCAAAAATCCAACCCAGTAACTTGGCTGGAATCAGGACCCCAGCAAAAAAATATCTTTATTGCCTGGTTAGTGGAAAACAAACGGAACCCCAAAAAAGCAAAAAGCAAAAAGGAGAGCTAATTCTGGGGAAGTAAATGGGCTGGAATTGTGCCCAAATGTGGGGTTTAGTCCAAAAATAATTGGTTTTGTGTCTACTTTGCACATGGAGCCAAACACAAATTTTGCAGTTTTCGGATCGGAAGCTCCTTAAGCAGGATCCAAACCCCACCACGCCCTGGTTTCCTCCAAATAAGACCTTAGGGTCTTGTCTTTGGCAGCCGGGGTAGGGAAGGCCGGGGGATTGTAGGTGTCCCTCCGGATAGATGGCACAAGAGTCAAATCCAAACTGAAAAGTTCTAGTTCCGTCAAAAAAGACTGACCAAGAAGGACATCATCAAACCCTGCCTTTAAACTGGCCTGCCCAAATCCAGGAATAAAGAAAGGGCGGATCTCCACACCCATTGGGCTGTCCCCTCCAACTATCCGAATCCGTTCTGAGTCTGGCTTCTGCGGTTTGGGGTGTTAAGGGCCACCAAACGGAACGCCGAACGCCATTTTGGGGGGTCCCGAAAAAGACCAAGGGCTTAATTTGTCTAAGATGGTGCCCGCTGCCCCCCGAGCCACCCCAAGATCATGGGGCTTTGCATGGGGCTCCCCATAGCACTCCTAGGACCTGTTGGGCTCCCCATGGGGTTCATGGGGCCGCTATGTCAAGGGTACACACCGCTAGACATGGGGTGACCACTATAACCACCGCTATGTAAAAGGGTCTGCACCTCTAGATTTTCTTCGGTCCTTTGGGACTGGAAAAACGGGTCATGCCGACGCGAAACGCCACCGCTGGCATTCAGTCCTCTGCGCTGTTGCAACTGTGGCAGTTCTCCGGGCACATGGGGCAGGTCCCCCCAACCTGCGACTCGCACTGGCCCGGCGAACTCCGACCGGCGAATTCCCCGGCCCGGCCAAAAACAAATGCGAAGCGTCTTCGGGTTGGAAGTTCGAAGGGACGACCATTTCCAAGCAGCAAAGAACTCACTAAATTTGAGCGGGGCCAAAAAGTTGCCAAGCTTTAGATTTACCGTACCTGCTAAAATTAGTCTTCCCCAAAAGTTCAAAGTCCGGAAACTCAGGGAGTGAGACAAGGATCACTGGATTGCCCCCAGTGGTGGTTTCCATTGAAACGATCGCCGCTTTGGGAGGTTACAAGGGAAATTGTGAAATGGAGGAACCCCTCACAAACCAAAAGCAAAACAATAAACATCAAATGCCTCGCCCTGAGTCAGTCGATCTACGGCAGGCACCCGTGCAAAAGTGCATACTTGGCTTCAGCAATGGGGAAGTTCTGGGAATTACCTCTTGATCAAAGGGCGATCAAGTGTGTAGTGGTTTAGCCCTTCACTTGGTTTACCTCCACATAAGCAGAAAATGGTGGCTTCGCTTGGGCTCCCTTGCCAAGTCGAAAGAGAGTAACTACCCTCAAAAACGACACGCCCTTCCAGATTCTTTTGGTTTCGAATTCCTGTCGAAGCACTCCAAAAGTATGCTGTTTGAGGGCACTCTTTTCAAGGTTGGTTCCAAGGAGGGGGAATCAACTGCAAGTCCCCCATTTTGGGACTCCCAGCCAAACACAATGACAAAAACGTGGTTTTCGGACTTAAACACCACACAACAGAGGTACCAACTCCGAAAAACAAAGCGACTCCCCCCACTTGGGAGTTCGATTCGCCAAGTTAGCAAGTTGGTGGTAACCGTTCGGTCCTACCCCACTGGTGGGGTTAACCCACTAGTGGGTCATGACCCAGGTGGCCTTCTAACCACTTGCGGCGAATCGAACATCCATGTACCCTTTGGGAGAGGAGTCCATGTCTGGGAGAGGGGTCCATGTCCAGTGGCGAAAGGATCCGAAACGACTTCGACGCTCCGAGGGGCTCCACTGGTGCCCTCCTGGGCATAGTGGCCCAAGGGGCAGCTGTCCTCGCACCAGCCGCTGGGATTGAGGTAGAGGCCTCAAAAGGATCCGCGGAACGTCACAACTGTGTTGTCTGTTTTTCAGCGAAAGGTCGAAGACTTTGAGTATTTGTTGCTTTCTTCGTTCTTTTTCTTCGTGGGAAACTACCATTAGAGAAACAACAACCAACAACCCTAGGAAACGCATGGCTGGGAACCACCAAGAAAATGGGTGTCTCCTTTTGTGTTGAGCCAAATGTGGGGGGGGAGGGCGGGGCTGTCCTTTTGGTTTCCTAAAGCAGCACAAAATGAGTACCCTCGAAAAAAGGCACCGAACCGCACACACACACACACAAACCAGGTTGTTTTTGCATTTCATGCTGGGATTGCGGGTGTTCAGCGAGTTACACCTTTCGATTTCCACACCATGCCTTGTTGTTTTGCAGGAGTGTGGAATCTCTCTTATTGTCAAGGGTCCCCACCAAGCAGCCGACACCGCTTCCGATTCCACTGATCCTTGAACAAAAGAAAAAACAAGAGCCTTCTTTCAGAACTCAGGGGGACCAATACTGTGGATGGACAAAATCCATTTCGCACCAGTTGGGAACAATGAATCCCCATAAATAATAGGAAACACATTCTGTCCATCGGCACTAGGTTCTTGTTGTTGGTCCCTTAGGGGGATTTGGCATTCGTTCGTATTCGGTTGAACTATGCACCAGGTCTCTAAAAGCAAGCCCTGGATTTGAACATAGAGTCCACAAATTTCACCAGGGTTGCTTGGGGATTCTCCCAAAAATCGGTCCACAAAATATACTTACGCCCCCTTTCTCGGGCCTCAGTGGATATCTGAGTCGCCAAACCTGGTACTCTTTGGCCCCATCCCATGGTAACAAATCCAAAGGCTGGAAAGAGACATCCGCACCGCCTGTGGATTGGCAAAATCCTGCACCAGTTGGTAGATGGTTTATCCCACAATTCAGAGGGCTTCCTCCATCCCAACTGGTGCGAATGGATGCCGTCCATCCACAATATGGTTGAGTCGGCTTGTCCTCTACCCGAACCACTTCCCCAAATCGGCGATGGCTCATTTGGATGCCTCGTCTTTTCTTAGGGGACTCCGAACCAGTCCATCGACCCAGCGCAGTCCGGTTTGTTCAAATCAGCCGAAGGCGCCGTTCTTGCACTCTGAGCAGGTCGTCGCGGTGGTGCACTGCGTGCATTGCTCCGGGCAGGTCTCGCATTCCCCGCCTGCAACCAGGGAATGACCGAATGGTTGGCCGCTGAATGGGGAGGTTGCTCCCATTGTTGTTTGTGCTATTTTCTTCAAACAAATCATATAAACAAGGATCATGTGTACATATATATATATAATTAATGGGTTTTATTATATATATAATGGGTTCTATATAAACCCACAAACCCCAATGGAAGGGGCTGGCGATCTTATTCATGTGAATGTGTTGTCTACAATGTTCTTGCTATTGTTGAAACGACAGGGTTTACACAACCCTATGCCCAAGTGGATTGGCCAAACACTCTCAACTCTTGGCTTACGTACCTCCCAAGTTGCCTTTCGACTCCATTCTCAACAATCATGGATAAACTGTAGGCAAACAAAGTGCCTCGAGACGGGAAACGTACAACAACAAGTTGTTTCTCGTGGTTTCCCTTCAAGAAAGAATAACGAAAGGAAAAACAAGCCTCGACCGCCCTCGACATATTTCCCCTCCCAAAAATATTTCCTGTGGGCCGGGCGTTCGGGGGTCTAAGGGAACCACAGCCCATATGCCCCCCCCAGAGCATGACCCAAAGCCAACATGCATAAGGAGTACCAACAAGGTATACTTTTGGGGTCTAATATATGGCTCCCGTACGGTGTCACCCCAACAAAATTGCTTTTCTGGCTTTCCTTTTGGTTTTCCTCTTGGTTGTCCTTTTGGTTTCCATGTTGTTTCCTTTTGGTCTTGGCTGTCCTTTTGGTCGCCTTCTGGTTTTTAGGTACCAACTCAAGAAACACATCCCAGCGGCCCCAACGCCCCCATATCCCTGCCAAACCCCGGGCCTACTTCCCGGGTGCGGTTGGGGTAGTACCCAGCCGGGCAAGTCAGCTCACAGCCCAAGTAGTGGGTGAGGTAGTTGGAGGCCTTGCCTCAGAAGCAATCGGCCCCACAGAATGCAGGCGAAAAGAAATGGACTCTGGCTAGGTCCTCCAGTAGAGAGCTTAGAATCAGGGTGAGGTTTTTTCTGTAGTCTATTTTAGGGGAACCCTCCCCCAAAAAAGTGTAAAAGGGCACTACTCGGTTGTCCAAAGGACCCGGAAATAAAAGGTGAACCTTTTGGGCTATGACTAAAAATGGACCAGAACAAGAATAGCAAAAGGTCGAAAGGTCGGCTTTGGGCAAGTGAGCATAAAATCGCAGCGACCAAACCCTCCCATGCTTGAAGGAGAAGCAAAAGAAAGTTCTTTAGAAACCGAGGGTTTTGGCCAACTTCCTAATGACTTCTGTGATCTATACAGACCACCCGGGACCACACAAATCCTTTAGGGGGGGGGGAGTCGGTGGGGGTAACCAAATAAGGCTTATTCAGGCAGCTGAGGGAGAGGTACGCGGAGGCCTTGCCTGGAGGCACAACAAACAGCGGTACCATCAAAGCACGCACTGTCCCCCCCACTGGCCCTGGCCCACCCCTCCACAAACCCCGAGAACCAAGCGTAAGGATTTGAAGGGTACGCGATTTAGGCGTGACATGCTCCCGGACCCAGTGTCCCTCTGCATGAGACAGATCGTGAAACCGGGAACATATGCCAGCAACGATGGGCGCTGACTCACTTAGCCACACTCCGAAAAAAAGGCGGCTGCTGCATGTTGTGGTTGACGCGGTCTCGTCCCCAGGGTTTTGTTCGATGCCCAGATCCGACTGGGAGTTCAAGGTGGCCCCGCCCCCTTCCCCCCCCAATGGTGATTGGAGGGAAACAGCTTACTAAACTGTTGTCATTTTGGGGGAACAATTTGATTGAAGTCCCCAAGTGGACTCGTTGGGGGTTTTAACATGGCTTGACTGAATATTTTGAGGACCTATCCATCTGGGGTGTTGTGTGCAGAGTGGGCTGTTTGCTCGGCAAGTGACTGGCCTGCCAAAACCTGCCAAATATAGACAAATCATGTTACCCCCACCCTCACACAGGTTTGAATTCTAATAGGGGACGCTCTGGTGGACATCTTTAGGTTGGGGTTTCTGTCCACCAGATCCACGTTTCAGATGGTTCCCCATTCAACTCCATACTCGGGTGTTCGATTCGCCAAGTTAGTAAGTTGGTGGTATCCTAGCGTTCTAACCCGCTAATGACTGGGTCAACCCAGTCATGCGTGATTTCGCGGGTTGACCCAGCTGGCCTTCTAACCACTTCACTTGGCCGAATCGAACATCCGCGAAGCCCCGCGCCGCGGAGTTCGGACTTCGGCTTTGCTTCGATGCCCAAGCTGCACTCAGTGCAGTGGTCCTCCGCCTCGCACTTGTTGCACGTGGAAGGGCACACCTGGCCGACACCCCGTGCCCCAAGCCCACCGACCCGGAACGTCGCGACGTCCCGGAGGGAGAACACGGCATTCCGTCCCAAGACACGGTACATGCTTCCATTAATGCTTCCATTAAGACAGGCTTACATACTTGCTTACGTACATGCTGATCTACTCTTGCTGCAAAAGGTTTGGTGTCCACCTGCTCACAACCCACCTTGCCCTTCAGGATCCTGACTCTCACCAGGTGAGAAGCTACTTTCAGCAAGTTCGAACCTGTGACCGAACTCGTTCCAACACATCGGTTCCTTTCGGACGCCGAAAAAACACCTGGCCCTCTCTGCTTGCAAGCCTTCGAACCCGTTTCGGTCGAACCCCGGCCATCGGGAAAGAGGATCCGTTTCTTGGAATGAACAGAGGCTGCGGAATTACCAGGACCTGTTCCTCTTGTGACTTGAGTTGGTTTCAAGGCCAACGGGATCCTGACTTAAGTTGGTTTGCAAGGCCCCCCCACAACAGCGTTCAAACTATGTTAGGTCCGTTCCTTGTCTAAAACCCCAAAGCGTTCATGACGATCCCTGCATGGCTGAATTGGAAAATCAAGGAACACACCCAACAGGTGCGAGGCCAAGATCATGGACAAAGTGTTGGTGTTTGAAACGAGAGATGGGCGAATGAGGGATGAGTCGTTAACCATACACACCTGCCCCTTATTGACCATATACGTTGTAAGAGACCAAACGGGAAAGAAGCTCAAATGCGGAAACAAAAAACCCCAAAAAAAACAATAAGCCCCTTGCCCTTAAAACAGGTCACCAATTTAGGTGCCCTCAAACGGTATCCAACAAATGTTTCTTTCCTTTCAGATGCCACATAAGTGCAAGCAAACAGAAGTGGCTCCTCTGTTAAACTTCCGGGATAAATTTCAACTCCAAGTCGGTCGTTTTTGGCAAGCATAATTCGTTTCTGGAATCTCGTGGAAGGGTCTGATCAATGAAACCTCCAAACCAAATTTGGAGATTCCAATTACCATTTACCGGGTTATTCCAGGTGATCCCACTACCATTACTGGTATTCCCTCCTCAACCTCCTCAATGGTAATGATTCCATTTGCCTGCACGGTAGGCAGCCAAGAAAACCATACCCAAAGAAGGGATAAAATCCCTGGTTACGACTTGGCCCAAATTTTGGGTACACAGAAAACCATATTTTGATGACTCTGTTTCCTGTTTGGTGTATACCCCAAATATACACAGCATACATGCATACATACATACACACATACATACATACATACATACATACATATATATATATATATATATACATATATATATATATAACTGTATATATCTATATATATAACTATATATATAACTATATATATAACTATATATATAACTATATATATGTAACTATATATATAACTATACATTATATATAACTATATATACATATATGTATTCTGGGAGAACCCCCTGTCACCAAAAGGTGGGGTGCCTTGAGCATTTCACCTCCTCCGGCTCCTTTTGCCCTGCGCCTTGCAGGTCCGGCCCAGGTCCCCGGTGCCATCCTCGAAGTAGCCTGCGGTCGCTCGGGTTTGGGGCGCTTCGCTTCGTTGGGGTGGGGGGCGGGACTGGGGGGTGTGGGGGGCGGGTGTGGGGGCGGTGGGGGGCGGGGGGCGGGTGGGGGCGGGGGGTGTGGGGGGTACCAACTGTTTTCTGTTTTGCAAAGAACAAATTGGTGGAACCCTCCCACACACAAAAAAAGCTTTGCTTCTAGGTCCTCCAGTAGAGGAGTGGGGGGGGAAGCAAAATGAGGGGGGTTTCCCAGTCTCAGTGACTTGGTTCAACCAAAAGCGCGGGGGTTCAGCCAAAATTGGGGGTGATTGGGGGGTGTCTTCAACTAAATTGACTAGGTCCTCCAGATTTGAGAGGTTCGAATAAGTTGGTACCAACTTTTTTCTTGTTTGTCTATTTTAGTAGGGGACCCCTCCCCCAACAAAGGGGAGAAAAAGGGCAGGCACCTAGCTGGGGGACCTAGATAACTTCTTTTGGGGAGGGGGGGGGGGGGGGCGGGCTGGGATGGGTAGGTCTTTTAGACCAGAGACCCGCCAAAAAGGGTGATTCACCAGGCGCAACCCCACACCAAGGTGGTAGACCCCCTCCCGCCCCACAACGGTGGGTTTCCTGTTGGTTTTGTTGCAAAGGGATTTGGACCCCCCGAGATGGCGTTTTTGGGATGGGAAAATGGGTGCTTCTCCGAAGGGATCAATTCCTCTGGGTTGGTTCTTGTTGGCTTTCCCTGATTCAGAATGCGCACTTCACCCCTCTGGTCCTTGAAAAAATGCAAGCATGGCTTGATGCTGCTTCCTGGGAATTCTAAAAATCAGGCGATCGAAAAGGCCACTTGACTACTAAAGCCTTGAAGATCTCTCGTCCGATCCATTGACACACAAAGCCAACTCCATGCAGCGGAACTGCGAATTCTCTCCGCGGAGTGGGCTGTGCTGTTTCGCCTGAAACCCGAATCTGTCCGGGCATCCTCCGTGACCATTGAAGGTACGCTGACGTTGGGACCAATATTCAAGGCAAGCCCGAATCAAAGCAACCCGTGCTCAATGGTGACCTTGGGCGAATGAACCATTTGTAAGCCCCCAACAAACTCTGGCAAGACTGAGGCTTTTTCAAGGAAGGTTCCAGCGAAGAAGGCCCAGAGAGTCTGCTGTAGGCCCTGGCTTCAAGCCAAACTGGGCATGTTCTCCCTTGATCCTTTCTCGGCTGTCGGTGAATTATCAATCGCAAAGGATCGCAAAGGGCCCGGCCGTCTTGGCATTCATCCTCGCACCAGTTGTAGTGGGAGAGATATGTGGAGTTGCGGCACTCCTGGCGCGGTCAGGGGATGTCAAACCGTGACTCTAGCGAGCAGTCAAGCGCAGTGTGGCTCCTCATGTATCCCCGTCCATCACTCCACAAGAATGTCCACCAGCCAATTTGCAGGGTGTTCCATATTAAAATCCATAGCCATCTGGACAAGTCTTGTTCGGGATGTGGTTTGGCTGTTTGGCAGGAAAACACAGCCAGCTTTTCTGGGTGAGGGGGCCATGTCCATATCCTTGTGGTGGCCAACTCCCGCTGGAGATTCATTTCGCGCGAATGTTTCAATGCATTTGCATAAGGGGCATATGCATTTCGTTGTTGTTTTTCTTTTCGGGGGGAATGTGTGAATCAACCTTGCCAAAGTAGCCAAAGGTGGGCTTTCAGAGGAAAAATACACACATTCGCTAACAAATAATTAAGGTGATTGAATCAATCAATCTTGTCAAAGGTGGGCTTTCAGTCAAAGTACTTCTCACTCACCTTTTTTGCTACTCCTTGCCTCCGGCTCAGTAACTCGAAGCCACGCATAGCGGTGCGTCCAGTAATTCACGCACCGGAAATAAGGAATTCAGTCAAAGCAAGCCTTGAGATCCTTTTACGCCCAGCTCGTTACAAGTTGCAGAGATGTCCAAGTAGCCAGCCCCCCCAAAAAGGGACCTGGGCTGAAAACTCAGATTCCCTGCCGCAAGATTTTGACTTGTGGTTTAGTGGAACCTACCACTAAGCCAACTATAAAAAACTTAAAAACCTCTCGAACCGGATAGCTGGGAACCACCAAGTTCAGCGGGGCAATGTTTCAAGGCGACATATTTTGGGGGACCAAGGTTCCCACTACACCCAAATGCATCCAGTCGCTGTCCCTCAAACTGCACCCCTTAGAGGTTGAGCCCACTCTTAAATCGACCCTGAGGGAATCATCATTCCGGGGCCCAGGAGTGCTTTTGGAATAGATGGCACCGGTAAATGATTAGAAGCAAGCTAAAACCAGTGGAATCCACCAAGCTGACCAACAGAACCATATGCAAATACAAAACCATCCTTTTAAGAGACAAAAGAACCGCCCTCCAAGCATGAAAAAGGCACCCCCCTACCAAAATTGAAAAGGCAACACCCTCCAAAAGGACAATGTAAACACGCTCCCCAAAAAGCAAAACAAGCAAACACCCATGCAAAGGACCACCTCAACCCCCCCAAAAAAAGTAAAATAAAATAAAATAAAATAAACATATAATAAAATAAATAAAAAACAAGTGAAGAAGACATAAAACAAACAAACAATAACATGACAAAGTGACCAAAACAAAAAGCAACCGCCCCATGACAGCTCCGGGTCCCCCGTCCCCCGTCCTGGCACACCGTCGGGCTGGTGCAGAGACTGCAGTTCTCCGCGCCTTAAGGACATGCTCGAAACATGTGATCCAGCCTTCCTCCGGGGTGTCTGGACCAAAAAATCCGCGGGGCTTTCGCTGGTTTTCGCCCGGTTGTTGTGAATCTTATGGAGCCAAACTCACGGCGGGTTTTTTGCTTTGCTTGGCATGGGACATGGAGGGCTCGTTCCATGTCCGGGCCTCAAACGGGCCATGCCACATGGAATGGGCCAAACGTGCCATCTTGGATCTTGGGGATCCTGATCGACCCAAGAGGCTAGACACTTTGGCCCGAAAACCGGCCAGAAGATGCAGGCCTGGGTCAGACGAAATGTTTGAACATGCTGTAACCTGTTGACACGTTGCTGCAACGACCCTGCAAAAGCGTGACCCTGCAAAAGCGTCGTCTACTTGCTTGCTGACATGCTGACTGACTTCAGACTTCAGACTGTCTTACCGACTTACTTGCTGTACCTCGCGTCACTCTATGTTGGTGGTTGGTTTATTTTACTTTGCTTGTTTTATTTTTGTTCACTTTATTGTGCCTGGTTTTGCTTTATTTGTTACTTCACTTTGGCTGCTATTCTTTACTGTAGCTTAAATTGTGTTACTATATGTTCATTGCTTTGCTTTGCTTATTTACTCCGTTCCGCACTGAGTTATTTACTAGCTGGTGTTACGTTACACACACGCTTGCTTACCTTCTGACTTCCTTTCTTTACCATAGCTTGCGTTGGAAGGTTAATTGGTTACATGCGTTGACGTGGCTTTCTTTCTTTGTTCGGCTGTGCATATGGATAGCAAATCCCTCACAACCGGTTGGTGGACACACATGACCATGTAAACCCTGCTCACCAACGGGTTCCAAAATAAATACATGGGTGTGTGCTTGTTTTGAGGGTACCCTTGTTGTTTGTTTTTTAAAGGGAAGCCAAAAATAAACCAACCATTCCTTGGGTTCACCTAAACTGGGCTGTCCTCATATCCCTGCAAGTATTTTCACTTTTAGTGGGTTAAATAGAAACCCACCCACTAAACCAATGAAACAATCCGGAAACACCTAAGGAACAAAAGGGGATGGCTGGGGCACACCCTACGAATTTCTCTTCCCTCCATTTGCCAAGTCCCCTGGAAAAAAAGTACAACATACTGTCAGTAGTGAAATCGATTCCCCTTAAAACCAACGGGGGAAGAACAAACATATTCATTTCAACAAATGGAAGTTTTCAGACAAACCCATGCCCCTTGCCACAGTCGCGTGCCGGAGCTCACTGTCGGACAAATGATTATACAAAAGTGTTGGTCATTTGAGTAGAGACATGTTGCGGTAGTGACATCGTTGCCCTTTAAAGACCAACGGGGGAAAACTAAAAGATATTCATTTCAGCAAATGGAAGTAATTTATGATTCCATGCAAAGAGCGCCTGGTCACCTGCGAATGGTCCAATGGTGATATAAAGTGTAGGTCATTCAGCAAATGGAATTACAAAAACAAAGGAACCAACAAACAAATCCGGGATTGCAGTGGTGAACTCGATCTCCTATTTAAAACCAACGGGGGAAGATAAAGCAACTCATCATTTGGCTATGGGTCAAAACCCCGTGAACATCCCGATCTCCACTGAAACAGGTTCTAAAATGAGTGATGCGCCGAAAACCCCAAAATGGGATCCCAAAACGGTCTTACGACCACCACGGCCATCTCAGCCAACGGACGCCAACGGTTTTGACCCAAAACAACAAACATCTTGTCAGTAGTGAAATCGTTTTCCTTTAAAAACCAACAGGGGAAGCCAACGGGAAAAAAGAAGCAGACGGACGCTTTTCCGTCTCCGGGGCTTCGGGCAAAGGGGGCAGGCGTTGCCCACGCCCCCCGGGGCTGGGAGGTGCCAGTAGCCATCCGGGCAACGCTCCAGGCCTCGGTCTTTGACCCGGGACGAGTACCCCCTGTTTTGGTGTTTTTCTTTTTGTATTTTTTCGTATTTTTTGTGAAACAGGGAAAACAACGGGGAAAACTACCAGCATACCTCAGGGTGGGTTTCCCATGCCTAGAGCAACACTTTGGAGTGGAGATGTGGGAGTTTCTCAGAATAGGAAGGCGCAGGTGCTTGCAAGCGCAAAACTGCCGGAGCCAGCAACAGCCACATTTGCACAATTGGGTGTGTCTTGTTTTAGGGGAACCCCTTTTGGACGAGTGTTAAAGGGAATCCAAAAGGAACCCGCCTACAAGGAGCCGGGCTTGGTCTTTTTGAGAAACATCCAAGTGAATTTCTTGTACTGGGCCTCGGTCTTTTTGGGTAGTCAAAAGGTGCTTGGCAAATTCTGGTCCCTGAAGGCGCTCCAGGGACAATTCGGAGGCAGCCACTTCGGGCCTGGGGGTCCGTGGAATCCTGCTCAAAGGATGAGCCAAAGCAAAGAGAGCCAAAGAGTGGCAATCCAAGGGTCAGGGGCATCTTCAGCAGCTTGAAAGTGGAGAAATCTCCTTCTGCGGTTTTTGTACCAATTCGGTGCTCTAAGGCCAACGGCTCTGCAACAACTGCTCTGCCCCCATTGGAGCCCACCCCTTTAGCAACCCCACGGGCTTCGGGGGTGTGTTACGATGCCAAGCCAACAAGGAGAGTCATCTTTCTTCCTGGGCCACAGACCATGAGCCGATGGCTCACCTTGCGAGTTGGAAACATCCAGTTGGACCCCCTGATTTGGGCCTCTCGTTTCTTTTTTTTGAGTTGGTACCCATTTTATGGTCGTAAAGGGAAACCAAAGGAACACCAACATATTTGTTTGGGGGGTGTCAAAAAAAAAGACCCGCCTCTGTGAGTACCCTCAATGAGAGACGGGTTCAACTTGCCAAATCCCTGCACCTTCGTCCGAAGAGGTGCGGGCATGTGCGGGGCCAGAAGCTGAACTTGCCTTGCAAATGGCTTCCTTTTCTGCCGGAGCAGGTCAGTTTCAAATTTGACAATGGGTCAAAGCCCCGGTGCCCCGGTGAACACCCAGAAAGCCTTCTAAAAAGACAACAGTGGAGGGCAACCATCCCCAAAAAGGCACCAAACGGTTTTGACCCACAACCATTTGGGCTTTTCGGCACCAAGCGGGTCGTGCAAATGGCGGGTGGTTACCATACTGCAAGCCCAAACACATTCCTGGGTCCTCCAGCAGAGAGGTAAAAAATCAGGGTACCCATTTTTTTTGTAGTCTATTTGAGTAAGGGAACCCTCCCAACCAAAAAAAAATCGGGATAGAAAGGGCACCAATTGCTGGGTGACCTAGATTCTGTCATGGCCCACTCGCCGCGCTGTCCGGGGCCCGGCCCACCGGGGCCCGGACAACTGCCATCTGGCTGCAGGAAATGGTCGTTCTTGCAGGTGGTGCCTAGACTCCACTTCGGACTGAGAGGTGACCAGTTTTTGTTTTTTTCCCCGCTCAGGGACCAGCGGCAAAAAAAAGGCGCAGAGGAAGAAAACCAGAGGGGAAGAGAGGGCCATCTTAGTGGAGCCAACAAGTCAACGGGTTTTTTGGGCACTGCTCACTGCCCGTTTTCTAAAAGGTGACGACCTTGTGGGTGAAATTCGGACACCCCACCACTAAACCAACTAAAAAGCCAAAACAGCTGAGGAAGCGAAAGGGGCGGCTGGGAGCCACCAAGCTCAGTTGAGCAACTCGGCAACTCGCAAAAGCAACCCCCGCATCCAATGGCACCTCCTCTGGCTTCCCCAGAAAACATCTGGCAAATGCTCCAAGGCTTAGGATCCACTGGAAACCACGCCCAACGAGTTCATGGACTTGAGTGATTTTTTGGGTTTTGACTGTTTTGGTGGCTTGCAAAAAGTTTGGACCTTTTCGTTCTTTTGGCCCATCCACGGAACTGAGCACAAATAAGGCATTCTGGCCGGGTCTTTTGATCTTCCTTTTCGGGGAAGCAAGATTCGAGGAGGGGAGCTGAGGAACCCCCGGAGAAAAATCAGGCTTCTACTTCTCTGTCGATTTGTCCACGCCACCGGCGTTCTCTATAGGACAATATGCGTTGCATTTGGCGAGCCAGGGACCTGTTGCAAATGACTTACGCAAATGACTTCTCACCTGGAAGCGAGTTGAGTGCCTGACATTGGATCCATGGTGAACTATTCGCTGAGGCCAACTGTAGGTCGTTGGTTTGGCCAACCTTACCCTCCGGTTCTCTTACTCTTATAGGGGTACCTTCCAACCATTCTTTCCAGGGCTCCTTCTTTTCAGGAAACCATCAAAAACCCAGGCAGGGGAAACAGCCGGTTTTTGAAAAGAACGATGGTTGAAAACAATGGGGAATCAACCTCTAGAACTCTGCGTCCTTTTCCTCGTGGCGAGTAAGTAAACAAAAGTTTATACCACCAGCTAACATGGAAGTGCACAGACCCCTGTAGAAAGACTACTTTCCTCTTGGACAGGCCTTTTTGTGCTTCCCTGTTAGTTGGTGGAAGGGTATGGGCCTCAGTATAATCCCTTTAACATCAGGTCGCTAGTAAGACCGGCTGAGAAGCGTGGCCAAGGGGGAAGCAAGGTCCATTCAACTTCCCAAGGGTTGGGGAACGGTCACTTGAGTCACTTGCTCAAAACCCGGTATCAAAATGGTCATAATCCCAGAACCATGTAAAGAAAATTAGAAGGCGGATATCCGCAGCTCTTTCTGGTTGGGATCATCCCTTACTAACCTTCATCTACCCGGGTTTTGATTGTGGCTCACTTACACTTCCGCGATGGCCGTTTGTCCGCATCCCGTGAGTGTTTGAGTAACTTCCCTGGCTTTCGGGGAAATTTGATTTCGGCGCGGGGAAATTCGTCCTGTCACAAACACGACCCCTTCGGACACATCTTCTCGCGAACACACTCACCGGGGTTCGGAAAGAACACAGCCCTGGCAAAATACGGGACTCTCCCCAACACTTGGCTGGACCCCAGCAAAAAAAACCCTTCTTTTTGCCTGGTGAGTGGAAAACAAAGGGAACCCCAAAAGAGCAAAAAAGCAAACAGGGGAACTAATTCTGGGGAAGAACACAGGGCCGCGCAGCACCCCACAAGATCCCCCAAAGCTTTGGCAGAACCGGCTTCGAGGTCCGGATCTGAAATGTTCTCCCTCTCAAAAGACCCAATGGTCGCAATGCTTCAAACAAAAATGCGTCCCAGAGGTAAAACAAGGAGGCCCCCGTGGAGCCCCATACCAATTGCTTGTTGAGGTCGTGGGAGTTTCAGCCACACGAGTGCCGGAGCATCAGATTTCTCCGTCAGAGCGGCTCGACTTGTTTATTTTCAGTTCTCGGCCGAGGATCCCTACGAAAGATTCGACCAAAACGGTCAGAGTTGGTTCTCAGATCCGTTGTAATGTAAATTGGTGGGAGGGAGTAGAGAGTCCCTCTATAGCCTTTTTGGGCAATTCAGAGTCCCCCATTTCCCCACCCCCCCTCCCAACTTGACCATACTATTGCAGGCGGACTACTGATGTTTTAACCACAAGTTATGAGTCATTTCTGTCCGCCCAGGACATTGGGTTCTGGTAAGTGACCTCCATTTCCGATAGTGGCAACTTGTTGAGTGGACCCCTTTGCTTAGCTTCCTCGGTGATTTGGTGATTTGGGTGGGTGCTTTGGTGGTCTTCCGGGGTGGTTTCCCATTCACCCGCTACAAGAACCAGGGGTTCAAATTCAAATCCAACCAACCAACATTGGGTTACCTGATTTACTACAGTACTCGGTTGCTTTCTGCTCCTAGAAGTTTAACTTTTAGTGGCTTAATGGAAAACCCATTAGTTGGCAAAAAGTTATGGTCCTAATAGCCAAGCAAAATGCACCACAGAGTAGGCAACACTTCACGTTGACCGTCGCTCATGCGAGGTTTGGTCAACATATTGGGAGTCTATGGTGAATTAAGGGGGGGGGTTGTTTTTCGGACCCATTGATCTCCATGCAACCACAGGTACCAGCAAAAACCCTTGCCCCGACTCACAAATCCTGTTTTGGCCAAGCCGCAGACTTCGAAGGTGTCGCAGGCGGCGCAGTTCTTGGAGCAGGGCTGGCAGGTGATGTTGATCTCTCCCACGCCGTCGGGGAAGTACCCGGGGGGGCAGGTGTACTCCTGATGCGCCGAGCCGAGAGGTAGGTTCGGACCCGATCTCAAGAGATTCGTTGAGTTGACCCATCGCACTTTCATCCGGGAAAGGTAAATGGGGGGCACCTCCAAGAGTGGTCCGAAGCCCCCACTAAAAAGAGGACACCACCCCCCCAACAAAAACAACAACAACAAAATCAACCAGGGTTTGTGCCTCCGGATCAACATTCTTGGAGAGATTGGCATGTTAAATACCTTTTGGTTGCCAAGTCCAAAGTGAGCAAGCAACACTTGCCAGTGGTCCACCATCCAAAGACATCAATGGAGATCTCTAGGAAAGCCCTGGCGAGAGCCGCAACTGGGCTGAAGTGAAAATTGCGTTCTTTGCTGGTGCGGTGGGGAATAACAACGAGTCCGGGTTTGGGGAATGAACGGTTTGGGGCTCCCCTTACAGGAAACCACCAGGGATGGTTGATAGGGGTCATTCTAGCTCATTCCCCTGCTAGCCAGCAAGCTTCCTTAAAACTCTTCCTAGATCTGCTAAACGTCGAACACTTTTGGAGTGGAAACTACGTCACTCAACCAACCCGAAACCCGAACAACCTTAAGGGAATGGCTGGGAACCAAGTTAAGGGTAACGTTTGAAGAAGACAATGTGGGGAAACCCTGCGGGTCCAAGGTCTCCCAAAGGTTCCAACCACCAAGTTCAGTGAGGTCATTTTTTGAAGAGGACATCATTGGGGGAAAGGTTCCCTTCTTTTACGAGAGCTTGGGTTGCCCAATTCTCCCAGATGCATGCAGTCGGCCTCCCTCAGATTGCATCCCCCTGGCTTTGCCATTTTCTAGAAGCGGCTCGAATCGGAGCAAGTATGTCAACCGCGATGCCCCAAAGCAAAGCAAGCCATGGTTGAGTCGTAAGCCACCCTCCCACAAACACAAGGCAGCGGTGGGAGGCTACCCAAGCGATCAATTTCCTCTTCAGATGTTGTGGGAGGGGTAAGCCTCAATTCCTCCCCTGGAAACCACCACGCCAATCCAACACTGGCAGGCTCTTGGGCCCTCAGCTCGGCCCGGAACTCGAGCCGAGATGATGCCAATCTGAGGCTCAACTCAGATCGCATTCGAAGGCCCGAGGCCCCGGCGCAGGTGTGGAAGGGCGTCAAAGAGGCCGAGTCCTCGCCGCGTTCCGCCGAAGACCGGCGGGGCTTGGGGTGGGTTGAGGCTGGCCACTGCTCCAGTGGATTGCCCCAACAAAAAGGCGACCGAGCTTCTTACTTAGTCTAGGTCCTCCAGATTTGAGAGGTTAGAGTAAGGGTACCCACTTTTTTTGTTTCTTCTGTAGCCCATTTTAGCAAGGGAACCCTCCCCCCAAAAAGGGTAAAAGGGCACTACTGGGGGACCTAGTATTACTCAAATGGCCACCAAACCCAAAAAGTGACTAAGGTCCAGGAACGGAAGTGAGTGTACCTGTGGGAATCCCTCGAATGCGAATCCCACGTCTACCAATGGACGCCGAGAACGTGTTTAAATAGACGTCGATGGCATAATTTCCCGTTGATTTGGTCATCCCCTTTACTTCCCCACAAAAAAAATCAAAAAAAAATGATACCGTCTACTTTCACCCGTGTACAGTTTAAAGTATCGTTGCCAAAGAAGTATCCTCAAAACCGCACACCCATACGGCCGAAACATAGTTTAACAATCCAACCCTTCGCATGAGTAGCGAAACAACTTTGCTTTCTGCAGCCCCACCCAACAACGAACAGAACCCCAACCAAGCAAAAAGCAAAAAACACAACAGCCAACCACCTTGGTTGCTGTTGACCCCCCAGCAAAAAGTTTAACTTTTTGGGGTTTAGTGGAAAACACCTTTATTTCCAAAAAAGTTAAAGTCCAAAGATCCAACCCAATAGCAGTCAAGCCACAGCGAAGCTCAAGCATTTGCATCGCCCCTTTGGGTGAAACCAACAAAAATCCTCCGGTCCTTGCACTCGGTGCAAACGCTCCCTGAGCTGCACTTGTTGCAGGGAGATGAGCACATCTCACAGGTGCCTCGGCCGAAGATGGACACCGCAACCAAGATGAAGGATTAGAATCCTCGAAATCAGCTGTAATGTTAACCCCGGATTTATAAACCCCTGGTTGATTAATAGGGGGTGTCCCCTGTTAACCCCGCAGTTTTCATAAACCCCTGGTTGATGTTGATTGGGCTGTGAATCCCCTTTGAGTGGGGATTCAGACCACTTTTGGAGGGAACACCCCCCGAATAATCGGACGGGTTTATTATTATCTGGGTCAACATTACTGGTGACTTGAAAGGGGCTACCGGAAATGGACAACATGGACCACACCCGCTTTTGACCATTAGTTTATGCTCTTCGGCGTATTTGGGGGTTGATCAAAAGGTCGAGATACACGGGACCATGGAAAACCACGAGAAAAGCAAAAAATACCCATGGTCCTTTTGGGGCCAGGAATATTGATCAACCCCCAGGTGTCAATCCTCTAAATCAGCTGCACTGGTAACTGTAAAGGGGCCCTGCTGATGTTCTCAGGGGACACTAGACGGGTTCTAATCAACTGGTTCCAGATTGCGGCAAAGGCTAGAATGTGCGTAGCATCCAAAGAATCGTCAATCAAAATAGGCTCACGTCGCTCGAGTGGATGGCCAAAAGAGCAGAACCCGAACATTTTGCTTGGCCCTGGCATGCCGGTCTGAACCCCCACAAAACGGTCTTTTCGCAAATCAACCAGGAGGGTGTCTCACTTTTTGAGTGGACTCGGCAGAAAAAGCTCCGAACATTTCGCACTAAAATGGCAACCAAACCCAACACGTGCCCTAAGTCCGAGTGCCGGAACTCGATCGCGAGTGAGTTGGGGGCCAAAACATTTTGGAGTCTCCCCCAGCGATGAGCGGACACAGATCACAGTCCCTAGAGGTCCCCTTCGAACGTTGATCTTTTTTTCCGGTTGGGGTCCATTGAAACTGGGTCCGTGGAGGAGCTCATAGATCACCCCTGCTCATTTGCGCTACCACTAAACCAAGTCCAATTCTGAAAAACCTAAGCTGAACCGGATGTCTGGGAACCACCAAGTTGTGAAGCATCGAACTTCGCCCGGGATAAGCTGAGCCGCGGCCGGTGTCCACCTTCTCATCCGGCACCTGCTCCCAAAACCCGTCCGGGCCTCAGAGATCGGCGCGAGCCGCGGAGATGGAACCCCCCAATGGATAACTTCCCTCGTGGCTTTCCCAGAACCCAACCCAAGACATGGCTCCCTCGGGAAAAAAATAATAATAAAACAACGGATAGGCATGGGAATTGTGTCCCCTTTGGTTTCCCTTTAGCCCAACTACAAAACATGTTGCCTCAAACAAGAGATAGGCATGCGTCGTTGTTGGTTTCCCTTTCATCAAACCGGAGAAAGGGTTCCCTCAAAGAATTTGCCATGGGTCAAACTTCCGTACCCACAGCGAACATCCCAACCCCATTGAAATAGACTAAACTGGGTGGCGCACCGAAAACCCCAAAATGGGATACCATTGGTGTTGCCCCACCGATTGACCTTCGAAGGAAAAACCGCAGCCCGAGGGCACTCCGTCTTGCAGGTGCCGCTCGTGGGATCCAGGAAGTAGTCGTTCTTGCAGACCTCGCACCTGAGCTCGTGCGGCGCAACCGCGGTCTTGAAGATTGCATCCGCAACTAAAAGCATTCTTGCTCCTGGCCAATATTCAGTGCACCTCAAGTTGTAAACTCAGTTAAAACAGATTTCCCAGAAACGGCCCCCGAATGGAAACCCCGAAATTAAGGAACCGCCTGGTTGATTAGATTCGGGGTGTCCCCTTTTAGTGGGGCTTATCACCTTTTTGGAGGGGACACTCCCCTACTGCGGATGGACGAAATCCCGTACCACCTTTGAACCGTGGGAAAATATTGTTTGTTGGTATTTGCAGGGGGAATCATCATTCCAGGGTTTCTTCGGTGGTGCAGGACTTCGTCCATCCACAGCAATGTTGACCTAGGATTAATAAACCCGTCCCAGTATTTGGGGGTGTTCCCTCCAAAAGTGGTCTGAATCCCCACTCAAGGGGGGATTCACACCCCGAATCTAATCAACCAGGGGTTTGTGAACATCCGGGCTTAGCATTATCAGTACGTGGATGGCCCAAAAAAACTTCCCAAACTTTGTATTCACCACTAAAATGGCAACCAAACCCAAGCGACTAAAGCTCACGAACTCAGGAAGTGAGAGTCGGAACACAATCTTAGTTTATAAAAACAAAAAAGAACAAAAACTAAAAAACCGGGGTTGGACAAAAACTAAAAAAGGACTCCCCAGCTGTTTTTATATGTTTTTTTTCCCCCCGGGGTTAACATTTATCAGCAGGACGGGTTGAAGCTCTGGTGTTACCACCGCAGCCGGTGATCGGGCTGCCCGACACCTTCTCGCTGCTGCACTCCATGCAGTTCTCCGAGCACAGCCTCAGACCGTCAACGAGGTGTCGGAGGCGTGCGACCAACAAAAAAGCGGGCAACGGTTGAGCCAAAGGAACCGCGATGTATAACACATAGTGCATTCCAGGGGTACCTTCCAACCATTCTTTCCAGGGATCCTTCTTTCTACAAAAAACCTCCGAAAACCCGGGGAAAACGGCTATTGATTGAAAGAACGATGGTTGAAAAGAATGGGGAATCAACTCCTTGATGCACGCATGTGCATATAGATAAATATACACATAATGTCGATACGTGTAGATGATCACGCATACCACGTGCGGTAAGGCATCGATGGACATAGGATGTCTACAATTGTTGGCATGCGCATTGCATCTGCCGATGAAGCTTTACACATCAGATTGAAAATTCGTAATTGCAGCTTGGTTGAAGGTATTCCTATATGAGGATGTCAGATTTTTTAAAGTATTGTCTAAATCCTAATACGTGCTGCTTAAGATATAAACACTCTGCATATTCTATGCAACTGTTCGCACATTTGTAATACATGTTCTGAATGGGCAAAGGCGTTCAACGTTGTACACTTAATGCCCCCCCTTATTTCAAGACTATCCCCTTCCCCTTGCCCCCCAGAATGGCAAGGTGGTGAATGGCCCCTGAAACAAGATGATCGCGTTCAACCTGAAACGTGATCCAGTTCAAACAAATACTTCTACGACCATCAATCATTAAGTCTGAAATCAGAAAAGGATGCCAAGTAAAGGGCCCATGTGGGTCAATCATAGGGTAACCCCAAAATGGCTCAGCCGGCTAAAACCTGCGGTCCACACCCTGGTGGTTTGATTTTGGCCCATTATTTGGGTGGGTCTGGATGGTGTTAAAAGGACACCAAAAGGAAACCACCTACCTGGAAGATTTGGTCCCCCAATTTACCCGCGTTTTTTTGCCACGTTTTACCCTACATCGTCTGTCCCTCGTTTTACCACGCGCCCGCCGTCTCTTCCGTCGTCCGATGCATCCGCGTGGCTCGCAGGTGCCGCCCACCTCTTCAGTGCCACGCTCCCAGTATCCGGCCGGGCACTCGTAGTTGCACTTGGAGTCGGGGGTGAGGTACCTAGGACTCGCGTACCGAACTGTTTCTTGGCCACTAGGGTGCAAACCCACTGAAACGGAACTCAGGGCCCAACTTTTGCTTGGAAAGCCAGAAAGCCACATGGCCAGTGATCATCCCAATCCTCACTAAAATAGACGAAAATGGGTTGTGCACATATCCCAAAATGGTACCATTGGTTTTGACCCACAGCCACATTTGTGTCAATCAAAAAACGGCTCACGTAGCGAGTGGATGGCCAAAAGACATGTAACCGAACTTTTTGGCGCAAGCCATAATGGTCCAAACCCAAAAAGTGACTAAAGTCCATGAACTCAGTGACTCGGGGAGTGGACCGTTCTACGGGTCGATTTCGGGGGCAACTCTCAGACGCTTTTATTGATTTGTCTGAGCTCAAAACGGCTTCTCCCCCCTCCCCCCTGAAAAACCAGCCAATAAAGGATATCCCCCCAAAAAACCTCATCAACCCTTTAAGAGCTCAAGCCCTCTTAAAAACACCCCAATCCCCAAATGGTTCCGGCTTTGGCAGTCGGGAGCCTTGTAAGAACAAGAATAGGCCGAGTGGGTCCATAGGAGGCACAAAATGTGCAGGGAATCTTGAGGGTGTCACCCAAGGGGTTCGGATATGCAAGGTCACTTGGGTGCCTGATATCCAGGGCGAGATTCAACCCTTTGAATCACGGTCACCTTTGAGCAGCATGGGATCCCTCCCTGAACAAAAACAAGGGTTTGGTTGCTTATGTTGTCTAAACAAGTTTTGCCCCGTGAGTTTGAGGGGACCCTTAGGGACGGCCAAGACTTGCAAAGGAGCTGGAAACAAACACATAACGTCCTCAAATAAACGTGCGAAAAGGACATTTCCGTGTTTTATGGGTATTTTGAATGTCCAGGAACTTTCTTTTGGAAGAGCTTTCCTCACATAGAAGGTGAAACCATGGCTGGATTTGCATGGTCAACGACACTCACGGGCCAAGAAGCTAAGAGCACGTGCTGACCTTTTGGACCCTTGACATAACACCAACATGCGAAAACCAAAAAATATAACAGGTTGGATTTGGGCAGTTAATACAAGAAACGCGTTTCCGCCCTGAAAACACTCAGCCACATCCCTGTTCTAAAGCTCGAGATTGGGAAACATAGGAAGGGTCGGCTGAAGCTTCCAATGCACCAAAAAACAAATCCTTCCCTGGTCCCTGGAACCTGCAAGGTGTCCAAACTCCTCTAGGTCCTCCGGATTTGAGAGGTTAGAATAAGATTTGGTACCCGATTTGTTTTTCCGGTTTTGTCTATTTTAGCAGGGGAACCCTCCCAAAAAAAAAGGTGAGAAAGAGCACTACTCGGGGACCTAGTCCTTTTTGGTTTCCCGCCCAACATCTTGACAGATCGTCAGTGTCATCTTTCCATTCAGGACAAAGCCGGCAACACGGGCATCATTGACAGGCCTGGCCGATGCAAGTGGCTGGTTTCCTATTATAATTATACATCCACAGATCGTGGTTGCGGGGGGATTGAACACTGGCTTACCCTCTGTAAGAATCATGAAACTGCAAGGGACTCATCCCAAAACGAAAGGCTTCGCGTCCGCCTCCATGACTGATGCCAAACATGTGCTGAACTTGATCACGTATCATGAACAACCAGTTGGCGACTGCCTGGGACATGTGCATCTTCCCAAGTGCCGAGTTTGTTTTGACCAGCCACCTGAAGACCACAACATGTGGTTTCTTGGAGGTCTCCTGTGCAAACCAACTCACACCCTGAAACAGTCCACACCCAAGACATCTGAAGGAGACCTGGGTCACCAACTCACAGGGTACCCTGGAAGAAAGCAGTCTAAAGACAACCACATTTCTGCAGGAGACCGTCTCGGAGTCTCGGAATCTCGGGTCCCTCCCTCCACGTTTGAGGCCATCCATCGTTCCCATCCCGCGTCGCCCCCCAAAAAATGGGATCGAGTCGCGTGGAGTTTCTGCACTCCTTGCAAACGTCTGCCTCGGACGAGGATTTGTGGCCCAAGTCGTGAAGCATCAAAACTGGGCTGCCCGTTCTCAGATCCCCCGCTAAAAGTGACTCACTTTTAGTGGTTTAAATGGAAACCCCCACTAAACACTAAAAGTCTAAAAAGCTAAGGAACCGGATGGTTGGGAGCCACCAAGAAAATAGAGCCCTGCTCGGGGGCCTGACAAGTGTAGCCACACGGATCGATCCTCCCTCCAAAAAAAGGCATGAGAACCTTGTGCTGGTTGAAAGGGACAGGTGGTAGCCAGGGCATAAAGTTGAGCAAGCAAGCGAAGTCTAGCAATGAACTGACTCGCCCAGTGACCACGGACAACACTGACTCGCCCTTTGTGCCATGCACGAGTATAAAGTCAAACCTGCCCCCTTAAAAGGAAAACAACAGCCCAAGTGCTGCAAACCTTAAGCAACTGGTTTGTCAACATTGCACCCCATGTAAAGACTTCATGTCGTGATCAACACCGCAGGTGTTAGTCCGTCCTTCCATTGACCGGGGATCCATTTTGGTATTTCCAGTTCTTTCGACCCACATGTGGCAACTACTTGTCTTTTTGCGCCATCACGTAGACGTCGGGGGAAAAAACAATCATCACAAAAAAAGGAAAGACAAAAACGGGAACGCTTCGCGGCTATCCGCCGAAGTGGCCGACTCGCATTTGCTGCAGGTGTGGAAGCACCTTGGGCAAGTCCTGCCCGTCTCCTCGTCCCCGGACTTGTAGAAGCCCTCCGGACCTCGGAGGAAAACAAATGGAGGTCTGTCCCCCAGAAATGCCGTGCCTGTTGGCGTCCCTCTTTGTCCCCAGTGAAAAAGGGGTAGCCTCAACAAAAACACACCCACCTGGAGGGTAAATCCCCCCGGGCGGTCTGGAAAGTCTGTCCCCGGGCGGTTTGTCTTCCCCCTGGGACTTCGCAACGGGAGCTTCACCATCGCTTCACTCCTGGAGCTCGATCGTTCGCGGTCTTGTTGGTGCAACCGGCAGAAAGCGCGCGAGGCTTGGCGTGCGGTCGCTGCCCTTCTCTCCAAAAGGGAGGGAATATACCTATGAAGTAAGCCGGACAGGAAAGCAAGGGCAAGATGAGCACGGGGCAACTTCAACTCTTAGACTGAGAAGAGCGGGCCAAACAGGACTTCGTCAGAGATGTCCTTTCTATCTTCTTAGGCAGTTCCGTCCAAAACCATAGGGAAGCGTGAGAGCCACACATTCCATTTCACTGTATAAAGAAGGAGCAAAGGGTTACCTCCAGGGATCTTGGATCCTGTCTATCACACTGGACCCAATTGCAAAACACTCAGGGCCCAAGTTCGTTCGCAAAGCCCAAGTTGGTTCTCTGCAGCCTTGATCCCGGGATAGCAACCCGGACCAGGGGGAGGGCCTGTTAAGGGCGTGTCTTCTTCTTTTTTTTAGCGCACCCCTTTTTGGCGGCCAGAAGGAACACGGAAATGTCCATTGTCTGGGTGCTTTTCAAGGAAGCACCTGGAGGGACTGCGAGTTGTTCTTCCCAGGTCATGGACAGCTGGCTCTATCACCCGGATGCATTTGCCTGTATAGTACTCAAAGGGCTCCGAATCGGGAGTGGTCAGTATGTGGTTAGTTGGCCTGGCGAGATAACCCGCCAAAGCCATGGTCAGGAGGCTCCGTTCGGTGGGTTATAACCAGGCTTACTAACAACTACTGAGTACCCGATCGCCCCTTTAAGCAGCCACGGGCTTGCCACCCTAAGGAACGTAGCTGGTTACCTACTAGATGGGAAGCTGGGATCCACTGGGTCAGAGTAACTCTACGATCGGACAAAAATGCTTTGAACCTCAAAGCTAACCAAGGCACGAACTATGAGGGAACAGCACGGCGTACAACTACTGCTAGCATCAGGGTTTCTGCGGTTAGCTCACCGCGTTTCGCGTTTTGCGAAGAGGTGAAGCTACTCCTGCGGAAAGTGACGCTCCCATTCGACGATTCGACCGGCTAAGGCTTTTGGTACTGTCCATGACTGTCTTTATCGGTTGATCAATCTTCCTGGCCCCAAAATGATCACGGGGGGGGCGTGAAGGTCGATCTTTTTGGTGGCTTCCACTGGTCGTCCCACGAGGACCTTTTGGTCAAGCCCATATCTTCGAGCCCCGCTGGACCAACGCAAGCCGGCTTGGCTGGGAGTCTCGTTGCATCGCTGGACCTGGGGGGGGCACCTTTTCGTCAGTGGCTGGGTTAAACCGCACCTCAGCAATGCTTGGCATGTCCTCCTTTAGGTTTCCGTCAAAACCGTCCACTGGTCATTTTGAGGCAAGCCGCGCAACCCTTGCACGCAGCCCAAAGAGGCTCCCCCCAATCCCAAAGGTGGTCTAAGCTGCCATTTGCTTCGGCGAAATGTTTTTTTTTTTTGGAAGACCTATTAGTTCATGTTAACAAAAAGTTAACCCATTCTTAAGCAACCAACATCCAGTAGTGAGTAGTAAAACTAACAAGGAACAAACTCATTCTTAAGCAACTGGAAGTCTGAAGTTGGACGCTAGTTGGTACCGACCGCCGATTGCCAGGGCGCACTCGGTGCGGCAGGGTGCGGGGGGGGGGGGGGGTGGGGGGGGGGTGGGGGTGGGGTGGGGGGGGGGGGGGGTGGGGGGGGGGGGGGGGTGGGGGGGGTGGGGTGGGGTGGGGTGGGGTGGGGTGGGGTGGGGTGGGGTGGGGTGGGGTGGGGGGTGGGGTGGGGTGGGGTGGGGTGGGGTGGGGTGGGGTGGGGTGGGGTGGGGTGGGGTGGGGTGGGGTGGGGTGGGGTGGGGTGGGGTGGGGGGTGGGGTGGGGTGGGGTGGGGTGGAAGGTAGAGATGGGTGTTTGCAATTGCCCCCAGTCTGCCCTCCCAAAAAATCAACATGGGAGCTGAAAAAGGGCCCTTGTTATTGGGACCAACCCCTTGTGTATCGTTTTAAGCAACCTCTTTCTGGGTCCTTCAAGGCGTCGAGAACCTTGCCTTCAGTTGTAAGGCTGTAAGGGTCCTTGTTTGATCGCTCGGAGCAACCGTGCTTATCCCCCCAACTGGTTGAACAAAACGCGTGAAAGGTCCTGTGGTAAACCCGCGCCCTCCCCTCCCCCCAATGGAATTCCAAGCGATTGCAGGACGCCCATTAATCGGCCGGCGGATTTTGAAGCACAACGCCACCCCAAAGAAGCGCGCAAAAGCCAACCGTGCAATGGAGGTCTGAGTGGGTTGGTCACAAAACGTCCAAATACTTTTGTTTATCACAAACAAACAACATCTTCCCAGGTGACTGAATTCTAATGACTGGGTGGGTGACTGGGTGAGGGTGGTAAACAGGAAGCCTGGAACAGTTTAAACATCATCCATCCCTTCGGACAATTTGCACTTGTTTTGTTGATCGGCCCCTGCAATAGTAGGTTAAATCCATAAGAACTGAATCAGCTGATTCGTTTCAGGATATGCCTTCTGCTAACTGGTTGGACACGAGCTGGCAACCTACCACCGCCTCGCCCGACCCCTACGAGTTGAATGTGCCCCGCATTCATCAACCCAGCGAATGAAATTGGGTCCAGCAAAGGATCCCCTCGCTTTGCACCAAACATCGGGACCCGAGCAGCAGCAAGCCTCCAGCGGTCCCAAGGCTTGGCTTTCCGGGGCTCTAAAAACGGGGGCTCCCGCCTGTGCAGATGCCGCAGTAGCTCATGGGGCAGGTCGCGCAGGTGCGGCCCCTGTCTTGGTCCCCCTGGCAAACGCTCCGCTTTGACAAAAAGCGGCGGCTTTCCGGGGTGTGTCTAACTGGGGGCCATTTAACGAGGCCATTTCCAGAAGGATTTCCCTGAAACACGCTTTGGGGGTGTGAAAATAGCCTATTTTGGGTGTCTAACTGGGGGCCATGTCCAGAAGCAGACCCCCCTGAAACCCGCTTGGGGTACGGAAAACCGCCGATTTCGGGGTGTTTAACGGGGCCAGTTCCAGAAGGATTTCCTGACCCGACCCTTTGACATTCCTAGCCAATCCAAACCGACCAAGGATTTACTTGGAAACAAAAGCGCGGTTTTGGTGATGTCTCGTTGCGCGGCCTCTGGGTAGTAGCCGTCCGGGCAGGTTACCACACCTGGGACACCCCAAAACCGGCAGTGCTTTTGGCACAAGTGGCTGTGTCAAAATTGGGGACCCTCAACATTGTGATTCTCCGGTTGGTTTCCCTCAAAAGCCCGGCCAAAACAGGGTAGCCTCGAAAAATACAAACACACAAGTAGGGTCCCATCTTGCAGACCAATCGTGAGTGCACAAAAGGTGGCTCGAGCCCTTTTCCGGCCACTTCAGGTCTGTGTTTTGCTGTATGCCGGGATTTCTGCAAGGGAAGTGGGCCATGGCAATTGACGCAATGGGTTTCTCCAATAAAAAGGCCTGAAACCACCACACAACGCGACTGGTTGATCTGGAAATGGCCAGGCAGTGAGGTTCATTCACCATGAATTAAGGGATCCACTGGTAGGATCTTCGCGAGTGAGATGTTGATCCGAGCCCCAAAATGTGAGAGCTCGTTGGACATTTTCCAATGCGATGCTTGGGCTGTAGGTGCGGTGCTAACTCGAAAATAAGAAGAACAAAAAGAAGGCCTTTCCTTTCGGTGAGCCTCGACACGGTCAGCTTGGGGAGGGGGCAAGATCGAAAAGCTGTCATCCCTTAACCTTCATCCTGGAGGTTGCCGATGAACCCCAAAACAAACGCACCTCGCCCATTCGGTTGGCAAAAGGAGAACTGGAAACTCGTGCACAGCATTGACAGCATCAAGTCTGTAGGACAAGCAACCTAAGCTTAGGCCCAACCAAAGACAACTGAGTCGGGGTCTCTTGAGTGACCCTCACATCCGCTTTTGTTTTGGAAAACCTGGCTTGCCGGGGCAACTACTTTCTTTTCAGTAAAGGGTTGACATCATACCCTATCATGCTCTGCAAAGAGTGGGTGTTGGGTGTAGGGGGTATCTGGGCAAAGGGCCTTGCTAGCCTCACGTCAGGAATCCCCTAAAGGGACCTTCCTGGGTCCGGTGAGTTCGTTATGATCAAGCCACCACATATGTGTTCCCCAACATATCACATACAGTTCTCCAAATATTTGGTGAACCGCCTGAAATCCACGGACTATCAACCATCCCACATTATCTTCAGCATAAACATTCGGATCTGGTGCATCGTGCTCAGAACCCGGCAGTTGTCCACGTCGTCCAAATGCATGGAGTTGTTGCCTCGTGGCGGCTTTGCTTCTTGGCATCCATCTTCTCGGATTGTTAAAGAGTGCTTGTGTGCCCGGAGATGTTGCACCAACACATTGAGAAACACGAATCACCATTTGAGCAAACCAAGCAATGAGGAGGGTGTCCAAACATGAATGGGACACAAATTTGGGTCCCCGTTCGACTCAGGTTAACGGCACAGTCATAGTATGACACATAGAAGACCAACAGCCCAGTTGCCCTGTGACCCTGGTAGAATCATGGGATGCATTCGGAGTTGAGCATGTTTAGATGATTTCAGGGGGCGGGGTAGCCAACAAAAGCCAACTGGAGCAGTGCATATCAAATGGTGCACTAGCCCCCAAGGCCTTGGGTAAAGCCCCACCCGCACTCGAGGCTGCCCAGCAATGTAACCCTTTCAGGGTGTTGGACCCCCCCGGCTTTCAGAAAATCAAGTGAGACCTCTCGCCTCCAAGAGGTTTAACCATACTTTCACAGCATGTCAACCGGACACCTTTTTTTCTTCACAAGTTCGGCTGCTGGAACCCCACCAAAACCCCCAAGCGCAGTCCACCAGTCCACAAGTGAGCGGAAAACTGAAATCCCATGTTTGATACACACCATTTATTTATGGCCTTGTCTTTCTCAGTGGCCCCCCAAAATCCGCCGGGCCAGTCCGGGGCCGGCACACTCCAGGCACACCGTCGCGGACTCGCAAACGTGGCAGTTCTTCTCGCAGTGCGGGCAGGCACGGCCCGTCTCGGCTTCCTCGAGAGCTGAGAGGAGGGTGGAGCAGAGGGACGAGAGCTTTGGTGGACATTGGTGTGTGTGTCTTTTTGTCAGACACCCAGAATTGTGGTCTTTCCTTTGAAACAAAAACAAAAGGGGTAGCAACGAACAAAAGAAAAGAAAAGAAGAAACAACAGTGAACCACTGCTGTTCGAGCTTGCCCCCTAGACACTTACCAGGTACGGGCCCAACCCAATCCTCAGGCGCTATTGGCGGCCGCACGACCATCCGTTCTTTTCTCCGGGAGTCTTCCCCGTCACGGGGAGTTTCACAGTCACCACATATCGGAAGACCTGTTCAGTGGTTGATTGATCGAGTTGGTTTCCTAGTGGGCATGGCCCAAAATTAAGGAGCCGGGGTTACGCAGGTTTTAGTCTTTGGTTCCACCTTTTGGAACCACATGTATCCGTTGTCTGTGGTTCGGCGGCCTTCGGCACAGCTGCCTTTCGGGAGGGGCGGTTCTTCCGATAGACATTGGCTCCCCTCCAAAAAATAAGACATATTGCCGGTAGTGATCGATTCCTTTTGAAACCAACAAGGGGACATAAGACATATGTTTAAACAAATGGAAGTTGGTCCTCAAAGGTTGCTTAATACAGGGGAGTCTCCGTTTAGTGGGGGGTTCAGCACTTTTGGAGGCAACACCCCCATGTTTGGGCCGGGTTTGTTCCATCCGGGGTCAACATTAAGCTGTACATAGCCATGATTGCAAATGGCCAACAAGGCATGGTTTCCCAGAGTAGCCATCAAGGGTTTTCAAGGATGGGTTTAGGGCCTATAGGGGCAGAAGGAACTGCTGCATTGCGTCTATATGTTCATTTCTGGACAAAACAGATCCGAACCCTTGTAAGAAGCTCACTTACTTCGGGTTGAAAGGTAACATGAAGCAACACCGAAAGTGCGGACAGATCGAAAGAAAGAGAAGCGTTGCAACCCAGAAATTACGACTCTTTGTACAAGGACCTCTGCGAAAAAGCTTCAAACCAACTTCAGCCAGTGGAATGCTATTGAAACTTGGTTGACGTTGGAAGGGGAGCAAAAATTCAATTTTTAGCAGTTAAGTGGTTGGATTTCAACCACTAAACCACAATAAGCAAGAATAAGCAACATGTTTCCCAGCAACAACCATGATCTGTGGGTCAAAACTTAATGAACCGCTGGCCCTAGGATATGGCCATGGGTCAAAAGCCAAATCGTACCCCCGGTGAACATCCCAATCCCCACTAAAATAGACTAAAATGGGTGGTGCACCTACCCCAAAACGGTACCATTGGTTACGAACTCCCTGGCACGAACTCCCTGGCTCGGATACCATCCAATCGAAACCCCAACTATCAGGTCAAGCTGATTGACCGACCTGGGCAAAGAATCACTTGTCGCGAGCAGTGGTTGGAAACCGTCACGTTTCAAACAGTCGAAAGGCTGTTCGACTGGTTGCTAGTGTGTGGCTGGAAAAGTTCAAACCCAAACAGACAAAAGGTAGTGCCGGTCCATCAAAGAGCACCGAAGAGCGCCTTGGGAGTGTGGTTCCTTCTGGCCCAAAACTATTTATGGGGTTGTCTCAAAATGGGGGAAGCGCTCTAAAATGCAACGTTGGTGGTTGTCCTTTCCCCCAGACAACCCAAAAACGAGACACACCCATATCCTTGAAGGGGCCCATTGAGTCCGACTCGCCAAGTTCGCCAAGTCTCTCCCTGCGGGAAGGTGTTGTTGGGACACACCTCCACGCACTCCCTGATCCGAGGAAACAGATCCGTGGGTGGTGCAGATGTGTGGCTCGTGGTTTTCGAGGATTTGGACCCCCCAAAAAGGCGCAACATCCTACTAGCTTTCAGGCAAAAGAAAGCCAAAAGGGGTAAAATCAACAAGAAGACAGACCCAGATGTCTCCAATATAAAATACGTTTGGAGGACGAGCGCAGTGGTTGGCAAGAGACACATGTAGTAGTTGCCAGTCTATATTCCGGGGGACTAGCTTCATAGGCCCCTCCCCACCCTGCCCCGTGCAACAAGCACTAGGTCATTTAGGAGGCTGGAATTTCCAGTTCAGGCAGATCATGAGTGCAGCATACAGGTCATGTCAAAAGCAACATTGTCGTTCTACATTTTGTGACAATTGTATGAATAGCATATTCCATAAATACGAGAACTTGGAACTCAATGATTCCAACACATCTGTGCATCGTTTACAAAAGACACCTCAAACAAATAATTGTTTACATAGATGGCAGCAAGGGGATGGGACGCCGCATAAAGGATCATGCGGCTTAAGCCTTTTGCCACTCCATTGCGGTTACACAAACATGTTTGAGAAACGGGGGTTGGTCAACAACCTTGTTTTAACATTGTGTCACTTCCTGAGTGGACTGGTCAAAATAAGTCCACTCGTTTTGTTTGCCACTAACATGGTCCAATCCCAAAAAGAAACTAAAGTCCGAATCAGAACTCAGGGGGTGAGTTTTAGTGGGACCAGGGGCTGGACTCCCTCTACCCTCCCACCGTGTCTGTCGACACTCATCCCTTTCGAAAGACGACTTCCTCTTGGGAAAAAGGGAGCAGTGTAGCAAATTGCGCTTGGTGAGATATCTAAACTGAGTGAAAAACTTGCAGTGGGTCCGAACATCCACTGTTTCAACCAAAAACACTAGTGTCCAAAGATCCGACCACATAGCCATAACGTACGTGAGGGTGTCCAATTTGATGTTCGACTAGGTTGTATCGGATGCCAACTCCCGAGGCGAAAGCAACCAAAAGAAAAAGGTGTTACTTGTGTTTTGTGTGAGCGGCTTTGTCACTTTAGCCCACAAAGTTGAACAGCTAACCAGCCAAAGAATGCCTGCAACCACAGGTCTTGTCATTTTTTTCGGGCATGTAAGTCGTCTCTCAGCTTTGGTAATCCAGAGTAGAAACAAATGGAGCATTCTGTCAGAGGGTTGAACAGTTTATATTTCTACTATAGTTGTTTGACTTTTCTTCGCCTCTAGTTTTTGCCACCTTAGGTTTCGATGAATAGGGCCTTCATATACTGCGCTGTCCTCCGGACAGTTTCAGTTGTGTTAAAGTCGGACACCCAACCACGCAACCAACCAAAACCGAAGACAAATAACAATAAACAAGCAAGGAACCGGACGATCCGCTGAGAACCACCTCAATAAACAACGACACCGGTGGGTGGTTCCTTTCCCCACCTTCGGACGCCCATGGCTCGCTCGCTCCGAGCCGAAAAACCGTCCTTAAACCGCCGGAAAAAGCCGAGAGTTCTCGGCGCCTGCTGGGCGCCAAGTACTTGAAGTCCATGCACTCCGTGCACCTCGTTTCGCGAGCTTCGCGCTTCGGCCGAGGCTCGCTCTGAGCCGAGGCCACGAATGTTCAGCTTCCCCTTAGGTGGCTTGGCGCCCGGTGGTTTGGTAAGGAGATGGGTAAGCCCCATCTGCCCTCACAGACACGGGGTGAAATCCCCAAACCAATGAGAAAATGACTGAACCGTAGCCTCTGGAGCATTGCAGCAACCCATCACTCTCTTTTTTTCCCCACGTAAACAAGTACTGTCCAAAAAGCCTTGGCTTGGCGGTGCTAGGTGTCCTTGAAAAAGACATTGCATTGCATACCAGTGCCCTCCAGTCCTCCAACATGGAACATGGTCTTCCCGGACCCCCGGTGACTGAAAAGAAGGGAACATGAGTAGAACCGAATTGGGCGTGGCTCAAAATTAACCGATCGGAGGGGCAAACCGCTGGTTTTGGTTTCCATGTTTCCACTTCCCGATCGGGCAAGTTCCATTTTGGAATTCCGGCTTTTTGAATTCGCCACAGCCAATTGGGTATGGCTCAAAATTAAAGAGCTGGGGTTACGCGGGCTTTAGTCTTTGGTTCCATTTACCAGGGTGCCAATTTGGAATTCCACTTTTGTGAGCCACAGCCGATTGAAGACGGTGTCATCCTACCGACCCAAAAAGGGCACAAATCAATTTCCTGGGGCTCGAAACGTCAGGGGAGTTTTGGAGCCGACTTGGATGGGCCATACATCCAACGGGTCACTGGGGTCGCAAAATCGAGATCAGCTAAGAGCGATATTCAGCACCTGGACCCTTAATTCTAAAGAATCTTACATGGTCCATTGTTATGGGCCATGAACTAATTAACTGTTCAAAAATACATACCCCTTATGTACCACTTACATAATGGGTATACAACGGTGTTGCCCTGGTTGATTGGTCAGGATCACTCTCTTGTGTTTGACAACAGCAATCCCGAAAGGTCCCAACTCCATTGGGACTCTTCGTGCCAAGCCCCCAACCCAGGTCCCACAAATAGGGGCCCATTCAGGAAACCCACTGGCACAAACAGTTTCCTGAATGGGCCCCTATTTTGGCAAATCTTTTTTTTACACCCTTGATCGCCCTTGGCCGCCCTTTTGCTGAATCAAACTTGCAGATTTGTGCTTTGGCAAACCACAAAAACAACGGCCCATAACAATGGCCCATGTAAAAGTCTTTAGATTAATCTATCCATAAAAAAGGGAATGCACCATAATTTGGGGGTGCTAGCCCATTTGTAAGTTGGAATCTTGAGAGTCCTGGCATGTGCTTGCTTTTCGGGACGGATGTGACAACTCCTTTTTGGTCATGGCTCTCATAGGAGTCTTTGCGTTGCGGCGTCTACTCCTATGAGGTTGATGATCAAGCTTACAAAGCCTTCAAGCAAAGGATCCGGTCGTTTCACCATCCGTGGAATTCACGCCAGGCCATGTCTTTGGCGCGCATGTACCTGACCCTTCACCCATTTCTTCCACCCGAATCCGAGTTCGGATCTTTGGATTTCTGATCAGGGCCAAAATACTGTGGATGGACAAAATCCTGCACCACCTAAGATTCCCTGGAATGATGATCCCCCCACAAATACCAATTGCCCATGGTTTCGAAGTGGTGCAAGATTCTGTCCATCCACAGCAATCCAGAGGTATCCGATGTGACAGCCCAAAGCTGCAGGCCTTTAGAGCTCCTACATCCGGCACCTCCAAGCTGCAGCCCGGAAAAAAAATCCCAAAGCAAACTTCTCATGCTCAAAACTCCGGAAGGTGGTCAGGGGTCCTGAGATGGAACCATTCTGAAGGTTCTGTAAGCTCCCAGCATTGTGACCCCGAGTTGTCCGGGGTCTTGACTAGGTCCTCCAGTAGAGAGGTTCGAAGGGCACCAACTCTCTCCTTTTTCTCTGTAGTCTATTTTAGTAAGGGACCCCTCCCCAAGAAAGGGGAGAGAAGGGCACTGGGGAACCTAGCTAAGCTCCCATCATTGTTTACTCAGTTGCCCAAAGGACCCAGAAATAAAAGGTTAACCTTTTGGAACCTTGACTAAAAATGGACCAAATCAGGGAAACCAAAAGGTCAAAAGGTCGGCTTTGCGCAACTGAGTGTATGAGGACTTCTGGGCCCAAGTTGTCGGGGCCCATTGGAAGAGCTCGCCAAGACACGTGTTCTCATCGGTGCAGGTCCGGCAGTTCACGGGGCACTTGGCGCAAGTGTTGCCCACGTCTGCGTTGCCTACCTGCGCGCAACGAAGATGATGAAGCTCTTTCGCAGGGAGCCAGAACAAAATGTCGGGTTTGTGTTTCTTTGGTCGATCAGTTGGCTGGTGCATGCAAGCCTCCCATTTGCTCGGTTGATTGTTGCTTTGTCGTGAAGTAGACATCACTGGAGCATAGGGATAAAAGGCTTCGTCACAAGGGCGACCCATGGTTGGCTTCAAGGTCTAACCTCGGCAGTGACAGAGGCATTCTACATCTCTGGGTATACATTTGTCCGATAAGGCAGTCTCGAAGGACCCTTCAAGTTTCGGCAAATTCCATCTCCAACCGGGTAAAAGCGAAGCTAAGCTTCGGGCTGGTGGTCGCCCGAACTCTTCCCCTAAAGCCCCTCCATCCGGGCCCCTATTTCCTGCAAAAAAAACTTGCACTGAGGCCATCTTGGGGTCTGATATGAGGGAAACAAGGGGGAGAGCTGAAAGACAACACGTTGACAACGATCATCCGTGTCCTCTAAGATGGGGAACCCGTATACTGAAGGAAAACAACTACATGCTCGCCTGTTCGGGATGTGTGTGTGCTTTGGCTTTTACCTGCCATCAATGGCTGCGTATGGTCCGTGCGGTGTTGCTACCCCCCGTCCCTCCCCCCCCCCCACCTTGTAGTAGCCTACTGGACACTCGGCCTCACACCAAAAGTCCGGGTTCAGATACCTGGGCCGCACGAACAACAACTTGGTGACATCTTTTATTTTGGTGGTTGAAAGGATAATGAGTTGAAAGAGGCAACACACATGTATTGGTTCAATTTGTTGCTTTTCATTCTTGTTATTTTGAACGTGGAACAGGCAACAAGGCAAAAGGCAAAAAGGCACAACCTCCAGGGCAAACCAAAAAAAAGGTAAGCTAAGTCTGGCAAGGCACATGGTGTTCTTGCACTCCGTACAAGTGCGCGCGTCCTGCCGGTGCAAAGCCGCGACAAGAAACTAGTACGTGCTTTCCCTGTCTTCGGTACGGTACCGGCGCAAACAAAACATATGCATCCTACCTGAAATATCCTGTTTGACTCTTCTAGGTCCTCCAGTAGAGAGATTAGAATAAGGGTACCAATTTTGCTCTGTAGTCTTTTTTAGTACGGGAACCCTCCCAACCAAAAAGGGAGAGAAAGGGCACCTAGCTGGGGGACCTAGTCTTGTACACCCTTCGGTATGCAAAAAGGTGGTACCGCACTTTTCGATGGCAAGCGGTCACATGGTTTTCCGCGAAAAAGGAAAGCAGCTCTGACCGACCAAATCTGTCAGCATCAAACCATGAGAGCCCAAGGTGGGCAACAAGCAAAGTGATTTTTTGCGACTGAACAAATGGAAGACTCCGAAACGGCCGGGCTCGAAAAACCGCGAACTCTTTGGGTTTTCCTCGCGGAAAACCAATTGAGGCTGGCCTCAAATGAGGTAGGGCCATGCTCATTCCAGGTAGCAAACTGAACTAAATTCTGCAAAACATGTTGGAGATGTTTCTTTTTTTTCAGTTTTTATTGCCTGGATTTCCCCGCCCCCGCGTTTGGCCCCCTTTTGGCGGTTTGCGAGTAATTTGTTAGCACTCGTTTATTATTCTACAGAGTGATCCACAGATTCGCCGCATCCAAACGACCGAGAGCGTTTCGATATGCTCGTGTCCCATTTCTTCGGACTGACTGGAGATGTTCTGGCCGAAGCTCATACGGAGGACATGAAGGAGGGTGAGGGTCAAACAACCGTTTAATCTCTTGACCACAAGAGACTTGAACCGTAGAATCTCACTTGATTGGATTCATCATGATTTGTCTCTGGACTTTCTGTCTCCCACGATGATCTCGAGCCAAGTGCAAAGGTCGAGCGGGAAACGTATTGCAACCCGGAATCCTACGTTGAATCTATTAAAACCGCAAAACTACACCGCGTTGGTCAACAAATCGAACCGACTTGGACACCACAACACCAGTGGAATCCATGTTCAATCAAACAAGGACACGTGCGGGCGGCTTTTCGGGCTTTCGCCGGCCGCCGGTCCTCGCACTTGTTGCAGTCCCCAGAACATACAGGACACTTGTTGCCGATGAGATTGCTGTGCAGCGGGTCCTGGTAATAACCTGAATCGACTCGGCACCTAGACTCGAGCGCTCGGCACCTGCCGTCTTAGATAGGGACTGTCCGTTTTCCGATCCGCAAGTCAAACACCTTTAATGAAAGAACACCTTAAGTATCTTTTAATCCATGTTATTTGTCTTTTAGCATATCTTCTAGTTCTAGTCTGAGTCCTCTCCAAAGCAGTATTATAATCCTTTAGTGGAAACTGCCACTAAACCCTAAGCTGAACACCTAAGGAACCGGATGCCTGGGAACAGTTCAGCCTGAGAACAAGCTGAAGGTCCTCAAGATGGGTACATGGGCTTCTCTAAATGATGCCCGGGTGAGCATCCCTTTCTCCCCTTGCAATCCCAAACAAGGGTGCCCTCTAAGACGCTTGAGCAAAGTATATGTCGAACCGTTGAACACAGCAAACCCAACCACGATAAAAGAAATCGCAGCTTCATGAAAACATCGACTGGATGACATTCTCAGAATAGGGATCCAACAAAAAAGTTGGCTTCCTTTGGTTCACCTTTCCATAAACCAAAAGGGGCCCACTCCGAAACACCAAATGGAGAGCCCAACATTCCAGGCTTGGCTTGGTCAAACTGCTCAAAAGGCCAAGCAGTTGGCTCCATCTGAATCCATTCCAATGCGAAAGACTTCGGCTGAACCAAACGCAACCGAATTGTTCTTTGATCTCTTCCAATGGTCATCGAAAGCCAACCATCACGTGGTCTCAGAGAATCATTCAAATGTTGAAAGTGGGCAAGTGCTTTGATTCTTGTTTACGCTCTTTGCCCTTTGCAGTCAATAGGTGTGGCATAGACATTACAAGCTAGTTGGGCTTCATGTAGATGTCAAGTGTCCAACAACCAACCCCATTCTAAATACTACTGTAAACGGGGGCTGCAATCCATCATCATCTGTCTGCAGAATTCAGTTTGAAGTTCGGGTTGGGCCGAGCCCTTGCCAAAAGCAGGCCAGGGTCGGGTTGTTTAGACAAAGTTTGCCAACTTTTTGGGGAATCCCAAGGAGGGTGGAGGAGGTGTGGGAGGCGCGGGATTCTAACCACTCCAAGGGGGTGCCTCCCGTGAGACAATATGCCCAAGCCCCGGCAACCTTTGAACATGGGGTTTCCACTGGAAAGCGTGCCAATTTCTCACTTGCTGGGTGGACGGGCCAAAAAAAGTCCACACCTTTTTGTTGACCTCTAGGTCCTCCAGTAGAGAGGTTAGAATAAGGGTACCAACTTTTTCCTGTAGTCTATTTTAGTAAAGGAACCTTCCCCCCTAAAAAGGTGGTTTTACCATCAAAGCCGACCCCCATTGTGATAAATTAAAACCAAGGTTCTTTGGGCAATATCAAAAAATAACCCCATGATTTTACCATCAAAGTTACCCACTTGTAGCTTGAAGGACAACAACGTGTGACTTTGACCCAAAATCATGACTCCAGTTGGATTGCGCCCTTGACCCTTCCCCGGAGTAGGCAGACATGACCCAAAAACAAGACGTACAAGTCAGGACCATCAAAGCCGACCCTGCTGCTCTTGGGCTCCTGATTATTTCCAGGGCGCGCCATGGAACCCCAACTGCGGGGGGTAGGGTTGGCTTGAAAGCGCTTTGTTCCTTTTTCTCCTGGGCTCCGCGTCCCAAGACAGGACTCCATTTGTGAAGCGGGATATTTTCCGTTGTGGAGGGGGACGTGTTTCAGGGAAGTTGCCTGGGCATACCCACGACATCCGCCGACAACAGGAGGGGTGTTGGGCCAGTGTTGCGCACAAGTTGTGCTCCTTACCTGTTACCCTCGAAAATGGCAACATGTACCACTGGGTGATTCCCAGACAGCCCCTTTTCGTCGACCAAATCCTTTCATACGAGGGGACGCCCGGTGTGTTACAAAAAACGGAGCCCTTCCTCAAGAATCAAACAAGAAGCATCAGCAAGCAAGGGGTTTCTTGCATCAATGGCACTGGCTGGGGAAAACAGAACAAACAGACGGAAACAAAAGATCGCCACTCCAGCGACCTTTCCGGAGGAAAGAGCCCGAAAGAAAAAGCAAGAAGCATCAGCAGGAGAGCGCTGGATTGCATCAGTAGCACCCCCATCCATCACTTCCTTGTGGGAACCTGTCCCAAAACAACCGAGGCTGTTGCAACCAACAACACGCGAGGCGAACCAAAGACCCCTACTCAAGTCCCGTGAAAGAGCAAGCAAAAGCAAAACAAGGAGAAGCCTCAGCAAGACAGAACCTGATTACATCAGCACCCCCATGCATGACTGGGAAGTGTCAAACGAATAACAGATCCCCGGCTCGGGAACAGCTCGGAAGAGAATGCAGACAAAAAAAAAAACAAGAGACAATCAGCAGAACAGAGCTTGACTGCATCAGGAGCACCCTTCTTTATCACAACACACGACGCTGGAACGTGTGAAAGACATGCAAGAAACCGATTCGCCCCCCCCGTCCCCCTCCCCCCATCCACCTGTCTCTGAGAACTGATTGGGGAAAAGAGACATAAGCCAACGAGGTCAAACAAAAGGACCCTTACCAAATCGAGTTTCTCCTGTACTGTCGGCTGCCTGAGCTGGAGGCGTAGTATTCATTCCTTCAAAGAGCCAGCCACTCAGTTGTTCAGTGACCCTAGAAAAAAAGGGAACCCTTTTTGGGGCTTGGACCATTTTTAGTGGGGCAGCCACTAAAAAAAGGGAAAAAGGGTGCCACTGAACAACTGAGGCCACTGAAACATTTAAAAAGCAACACAATGACATTCTGCCAAACTCTTCCATGACTCCAACGATCACCCCATGATGCAAAATTATAGTCCGAACACCACACGGAAGTGATCCCGCCCCAAACCACATCCAAAGAAGTCGAATTTTATATGAGGACACATCATACTGTAAATGAGGCAGTGCCACTTCTCTTGCTGAAACGGTTGTCTCACTCATCGACCAAGGGGGTGGGGGAGTGGGGGGGTTTTGGAACATCAGCCTTCTTGCTGGTTATCGTGGAACAATGCAATCTACCTCCCACGACTGCTTTTTGGACCACGCCTTGGGTTTTCGGGAATGGCCGTCGTAGCATGCAAGAAGGTATCGGCAAGGAGCCGTCTGGGCAGGACGGTGCACATTGCGCCTCTGCGGTGAGATACCTTGGCGTCACCAGGGTACGAGGGCTATACCTTTGAGAGAGTATTCCTGGTATCTCCCAACATACTCCATACTGCATGTGTGAATTTGTATGCATCTTCTAGATTTTACATATGATCAATGCATACTCGGAAAAGGGGCACAAACTTCGAGTTGATCCGATGGGCTTTCCGTGGGAGATATTTTTGGGTTGTCCAATACCCTGACCAAATCCACAACAGCTTACACTGCTCACTAAACGGAGGTCCCCCTGAAGCCTGAAGGTTTCCTACCATGGGCCTAAAATAGCCCAAAAGTGGAACCCAGGCAGAAACTTGAGTTGTTCCTTACATTTACATCATGTGGTTGCAACCTTTTTGTTAGGCCCCTCCGAAGATTTAGAATACTCACAGCTTCTTGATATGGTTGTGATTCTATTGTTGAGGGCACCTGGACCCACACGAATTCCAACTTAAAAATGGGTTCTTGCCAACCAACTTAGTAGTTCGAGGGTCCAGGTACCCTTTTTCGTGGAATTGAAAGCCAACCACCTGGGTCCGTGCCCAGTGCAAACCTTTAAGCCAGCTGGTTATTCAAGGCAAAACACCTTGGCTGGCTCCGAGAGATGCCATCACAAAATGGACTTCAGGAACCTTCATCAACTTTTTGCTGAACTCGCGATCCTTTTTTGGGGAGTGAGGTACTTGGAGGTGAGGTCGCCTTTTTGCGTGAGGTAGCCTGAAAGGTCGCAGACCCCCCCCCAAAAAGAAAAAAACAAAACGCCGCGCGAGCTGTCTGGACTTCGCCCAGTCCCTACTTTGGTCACACCTTTTCACCGAAACCGCAGGCGACCTTCCGCTGAAGGGTAGCTCAGCTTCTGCTGACCTACACTCCGCGGGCTGGAGTGGAGCAACTGAGCTTTGGCCTGGTCGCATCTGCGCGAAAAGAAACGCAAACTTATAGTTCACAAAGCTGAAACCGTACGGAAGTACGGAAGTGGCTCAACCTTGGGATGCACCAGGCCAGCCAAGTTGGAGGCTCGCGGGTGAGTTGGGCCCTCTTCAGTCCATAGGAACGGATGGTCCAAAGCACTGCCTTCAAGCCCCGATCAAACTTCAAACTCACATGGCTCAAGCGGAAACCTGTTGTTCTCCAACCTAAACTTCTTCGCGCATCGTCGGAATGCGCTGGCCAATAAAAAGCACAGTCCCTTTGGAAACGTCAGTATGGGTGTACCTTGTTTGAGCTTCAAAAGCAAACCAAGAGGACACCCACCATTTTGGGATTTCCCAAAGAACGACACACCCGTAATATGGCATTACTCAATATGGGTGATGTACAACCCAGTGGTGGAAAACATGTCATCCTTAGCAATCTGAACAAGCATCCTCCCGACGTGTTTTCTTCATTGTGCCCGCGATCCCCCTTTTTACATTGGAGTTTGAACCCCCATTTGCTCCTGGTATTTTGGCGCACGTGTCCCCCCCCCTTTACAGTAGATAACAGTAAATCTGCACATTCCATGGTACTTCCAAAGCCTGAGATTCTGCTGCAAGACCCCGGCTGAGCTCGGCCCCCTCTGTTTTACCAGTATCAAGGTCACACACCTTTAGTGGAAGCTGGGGAACCTTTCCCCCTGCCAGGTCCTGACTTTGGTACATAGAAACTGTCGAAAACAAGACCCCAGAACTTGGCTGGAATTAGGACCCGAGCATTTTTTTTATTGGACGGTAGTGGAAAACAAAGAGAACCCCAAAAAAGCAAACAAGTAAAAAGGGGAACTAATTCTGGGGAAGAGAAGTATTGACCCTTTGGCCCGCTGGCGAAGTCGCCCAACTCGCAAATTCGGCTTTGGGCCTGCTCCAAAGAGCTACAAAAAGCCGTGAATAACTTCAGGCAGGGCCGGACGTGAGACTTTTTGGCTTTCAAGTACCCCTTTCTTCCAATGTCCCATGGCAAAAGACTTTTCTTGTGGCGATCCAGAAGCAGAGTTCAGAAAGCAACGACTGCCACGAGACGTGAAGCTGGTCGTTTCTGTGGAAACCAGCTGGGTCAATGCGCATATCCCAGCCGTCGGGCATCCGGGATCCATTGGCATCCGGGACCGATGGTACTCCATGAAACGTGGCAGACATACCTTAGGAGCCTTGAGAAAAGAAGCTACAAAAAAGTCTTTCCCATGGCCAACAAGTCCAAGCTCTCTGGTGGAATGATCGCAACAAATACAGCTACTGGAGAAGCTTCTCTTTGCTTGTGCCCTTCCTAGATGATTGGGCCAATCTCGTAAGATCATTGCCCTGCACGGTTGAAGCCCATTGCCGTGCCCGGTTGTTTTGGCCAGTGCGGTCAACACATGTCATACTGAGTTGAAAGTTCCTCTGGACCCTCCAAAATTATGGCTGGTGAAATCCTTGTGTTTATGTTGTGGGTAGCTTGAGGGTCCAGGTCTACACTTTGTGTGCGAAAATATGTTTCTTCCCCAAGAAGTCGAATGTCTTAAATGGTTCATGTCTCAACGTCCAAGCACCTGCCTTGCCAGCGGCAAGAGTTCAAATTCACCTGCAACCTGCTGGCGAGCTGCAAGGCCTGCCTGGGCTTTGATTCACTAGAGCTCAACCTCACAAGTGTGTTTCTAGATATACTTATGATACGGGTACATGTATGTAGCTGTGTGTTGTTATGTATAACGTGCTATTTTTGATTCTGAGTGGTGTGTGTGTGTGTGTCCACTAGTATGCTTGGAGAAATGTAGGTACATACACAAGTGTGTACATATACATACATATAGATGCATCTCTCTATCTACATATATATATATATATATATATATCTATGTATGTACGTAGGTAAATATGTATAGATATGCGATCTATCTATAACATGAATATCTATCTATCTATCTGTCTGTCTGTCTGTCTGTCTATCTATCGATCTATCTATCTATCTATATGTGGAAACGCGTCTATCTATGTATCTATCTATCTATCTATCTATCTATCTATCTGTCTATCTATCTATCTATCTATCTATCTATCTATGCATGTATATACCTATCTATCTACCCACCTAAATGTAACTATGAATATGTACATGAACATTTATCGATTCATGTATACATATGTGTATATATATATATACATCGATCTACCGACATATATACACCTACATTTCTGTATCTATATACATATGTGTCCACAATATTTGAATATCTATCTATCTATCTTTACATATATATATATATATATCGATCTATGTACCTAGATTTTTAGGAACGTATCCATCTAGACATATGTATATGATCTTTCCACTTTCATTCACATCTATCTACCATCTATCTACCATCCATCGATCTATCGATATATCAAGCTAAATATGAATATATATATATATATGTATATAGATAGAGATATTTGGACATATATCTATGCACATGTCTGCCTATGTAAACATATATATATATATATGTAAACATATATATGTCTACATATATATATATATATATATTGAGATAGACAAACATATATACATGTGTTGATATATAAATATACTTGCGTGACTATATGTACATATGTGTCTATCAATATATGTATCTACTTCCATATATCTGTGAACATATATACATATCTACTACACATATATCTATGTACCCATTTATGAATATATATATATATATATCTATGTCTATCTATCTACATATATGTATATCTGTCTTTCCGTCTATATAAACAGATCGATACATAAAACATAGACCTTTCTATCTGTATATGAACCCACATGTCTATCTATGTATGTATCTATAAAACTCTATCTATCTATATATATATATCAGAGTATATACATATTAAGCTAGATGGATAGCTAGCTAGCTAGATAGATAGATGGATAGATAGATAGATGGATGGATAGATAGATACATGTATTTACGTGACTATCTGTATATATGTACAGATAAATATGTATATATACATGTCATTATATATATAGAGAGACATACACATTTCTCTATCTATCTATCTATCTATCAACCTGTATGCATTTATCTATCTATGAACATATATGTATACATATATATATAGTGGTTTTGGCGTTTTAATGTCCATGCCTGACTTCTTTGTGGTCGCTAACCTTGACCTCTGTTCTCATCTTTGATCTAAGCCCTGCAGGCTGAACGATCCTACGGACTGATCGCTCAGATGGGCCGCAGGCCTCACACCGCCGACAGCGGGGCCTCCAAATGCAGCATGTAGTCCTCGAAGGCGATGGGTTGAGTGCGGTTGGGTAAAAATGAGCTCTCTGGCATGAGAGCTGTCATGTTCGCCCAGTACTTGGCACACATCTGGCATACACAGAACATGTTTCATACTTAGTCTAGTTCATATAATCTAGTTTTGAAGGAGACCCCGGACTGCCCTCCCTCCCACATGGAACTCGTCAGAAGTTCCCTTAAGAAGCTGGGAGGCGATGTTTTGCTTCGTGAGGAATGGGAACCCCGCTGCTCGACGAAATGTTGATCCGAGGGTGTGCCTGGAGACCCGTTTTAAATTACCTTTGGCTAGAATGCTCACTGGAGTAGCTAAACAAGTCCAACAACTTGTTCTTTTCTTTTTACCACTAAACCGGTTTAGTGGTCCAAAATCGAAACAGCAACTCAAGTCAAGGAACTCGGGCAGTGAGCCTAGCTGGGGTTGGCTAAGGAAAACTTACCCACTTTGCTCACTTGAGTGGATCTGCAAACTCACTTAACTCAGTTTCCCAAAGGACCCAGAAATAAAATGATTAACCTGTTGGAACCTCGGCTAAAAATGGGCCAAATCAGGGAAACCAGAGGTCAAATCGGCTTTGCGCAACTGAGTCAAAGTGAGTCAGGGGAACTGAGGAATGGATTTGAGTGAGGGCCTTCATTCTGATCGAAGGAATTTCTCGACGGATCCCGTCTTCAGGGACACCCCGTGCTCAAACTCTCGCGGGGTTCTGCTCATGGGTTGAATCCCAGCGGTCTCAGCCACTTCGAACCCAAACCAAGTGGTTTCAGCGATCCCTATCGAGCCTCAAAAATCCAACCCCGAAGTAGGGTCCATTGCCCCGAGAGTATGGGGTGAAGTCCTTTTCTTTTTCAAGGGTAGTTCTTTGGGGCCCGGGTACTTGGGAAAAAGCTACTAGTGGTTTCAAGTTCAACTCAGGAAGTCTAGGTCCTCCAGTAGAGAGGTTAGAATAAGGGTACCAACGTTTCTGTAGTCTATTTTAGTAGGGGAGCCCTCCCCCCAAAAAAGGGGAGAGAAGGGCACTACTGGCAGACTGGGGGACCTAGAACTGCACCCCAGGTCCTCGTGGCGCTTGATCTGTCGCGCGCGGCGCAGGAAGAGCATCACGGCCCCCACCGCGGCAAACGCGGCGAGGAACACCGCGCTGAGCTGCGTGGGGCGGCTGGCGTTCAACGCCAGCAGCACCTGAGTCACAACCAAACCCGGTACTAAAATGGTCGTAATCCCAGAACCATGTAAGGAATCAAGAAGGCGGCCGCAGCTATTTATGGTTGGGATCGTCCTTTACTAAGCTTCATCTACCCGGGTTTTGATTGTGGCTCACCTCAAATCAGCCTCCCTTCAATTGGCGGTTTCTGGGTTGCCCTCAGAATCCCTCAGATCCCATGCTGAAAGTGACTAACTTTTGGTGGGTTAAATGGAAACTACCGAGAAATCAACAAAACAACTAAAAAGCCAAGAGGATGGCTGGGAGTCACCGAGGGGTCCCATTTACCCTCAGGATCAAGGGCTTCAAATCCCAAATCACTAATCCAAACCACCAACTAAGGGTTGGCTGATAAAAAAGATAACACACAGGAAACAATCGACGTGGCCCCCACAAAATCGGGGCTAATTGAACCTTCCTAGAAATTTCTTACAAGGCTTCGGAGAACCATTCTAGAGGCAGGGGTTGAGGAGAGGGCTTCATGATTGGCCCTTACCAACGAAAGCTGAGATGGAACCAGCCAAGGGGTATATGGCTGTGGTAAATGGAACCCAAGACTAAAACAGGCAGTCCTCTGGTGGTATAATTTTGACCCACACCCATATCTTGAGGGATGGGTGGAGTTTGGGGACCGACGCCAAGAAGCAATTGGCTGTTGGCACCTGAGTAACCAACAATATCCGGAGTAAGGGGCTACAAGGCGGATGGTTTATGCATGACCCAAGGAGCAACTACCTGGAATCCACTCAAGACTCTGTTGAAAGGGTCCAAACACGCAAGAGCTTCATATTCTCACCAACCAAAACTTCCGCCGAAGACCAATGAGTCGAACACCCCAAATCGATTCCCACGCACCAAAAACCGACAAAGGACTTCCCTGGGGTCCAGATGGCTGGGAGTCGGCTGCATGTTGCACAAGGATTTGGGATTGATTGCGCTGGACTTTTGAGTTGGACTTCTTCTTTCAGTTGTAGGTTTTGTTTGGGGAGATGAGTCTGATGGGCGAATGATTCCAACGGGGCTGTGGGAACTTTACAGCCATATTAAGTCATGCGCAGAGAGCGACGTGTGTGTGTGTGTGTGTGTCATTTGTAGGCCGAAACTCCTTTTTGGGGTTGGACCCCCTTAATGTGGCAATGTTACTTTGCAGGGCAGCAAGTAACCACTAAACTACGTACAAGTTCTGAAAATCCAGAATAAGCAATATTGGTTCCTCTTGCCCGTTTTACGATTCTGCGCTCAAAGTGAGTCATGTTAAATCCATAAAACAAGCAGACTAATTTTGACACCGGATTACTCAACCCTATTCTGTTAATACGGGGGTGTTCCCCTCCAGAAGATGATTCCCCACTACACCCAGGGACACCCTATTAATAAACTGGGGGTGACACAAATAGGGGGTCACTGGTTTTGCAACGGCGCAATCGCCGGCTGCTTCGCCTTCGGCTCCGCCTTCGGCTCCGCCTCTTTCTCCTTCGCCTTGGACTCCTCTGCTGCCGCCTTTGCCTCACGCGCCAGCTCCTCCTTCAAGGCCTCCTTCTCCTTCTGCCGCTGCTCCTGCTAATCCAAACACCCTCAAAATACGAACATGTAGCTTTTCTGGCGTTGAGGTTGGCTCCCTAAACTCACTTATTGGCCAAAAAGAGCCTGCGATCAGCAAAGAGCTGCAAGAAGAAGCGCTGCTCAGTTTTGATGGAGGAAGTCCCACTGGAGTTTTCTACAACCAGCACAGGTTCTGAGTGTCTGTCCGCTTTGTTTTCCGAATCTCTGCCCCACCACCCAATTTCCCCAAACAGAATAAAGGTGTGGAACACTTGCTTCTCCTGCGACCGAACGAAGTGGTGCCACGGAACCAAAAGGGGGGGGTGCCGCAAACAACTGCTTTCCCAACCTTAGCTGCGTACGAGGATCAGGCATCAATAAGGTTGCATGCCTTTTTGGACTGGTGCTCAACCAAACACCAAAAGGAACCCACGGCCAAAGGCCGTGGGAGTCCCCCCGCCAAAGCAAACGCAGCCCGGGCTTGAAACGCCCAGCTGCCCTAAGGCCGCGCCCGAAGGCCAGGCTGTGTCTTGGCTTCCCAAGTGGATTGGTGGTTTGGTGGCTCGCCACTAACCTTGGTGCCACCCCCAAAATAATTCAATCCGCCAGATTGGGGGTAAAGTGAGATTCACCTTCCAAACAAAACATGACTTGCCACAAGAACCTGGAAACAGAAGGTTAACCTTATTGTCAAAAGGAACATACCAAACCAAACAGGTCACAACTAGGTTGCTGTTGATCCCTCTGCAAACAGTTTAACTGTTTGTGGGTCCAGTGGAAAATCCGGCCTGTTTCAACCATAAGTGAAAGCCCAAAGATCTAACCAATAAAGACTGGGCTGCCCTCAAATCACCTGCTAAAACTTTGACTTTTAGTGGCTCACTAAACCCTAAAAGGCTAAAAACCTAAGGAACCGGATGGGTGGGAACCACCAAGACAAGTGTGAGATGAGCCCTGGCCAGTTCGCCTGCTCCCGCTGAAGCTCCCGCTGCAGGCGTGCGTGCTCCATCTCCAGCTCCTGGGCTGCAGGATGTATCCACGCCTTCAGTTTGTCCTCGGTTCAGGTTGTCTTACAATGATGTCAGGCCTGAAACACACATGGGTTTATTCGTGTCTGCGGAGTTGCTTCAAAACATATACAATTCCATCTGGTTTCAGGCTCCAAGTACGATCATGCATCATGGACCTGAATTTTGATGTCATGTTAACCAACATTCACACCCCTCCGAACCACTTCTGAGCGTATTTGGGCCTATCGCCCCCAGCTGCACAGTTTCTCCGAGTGTGCCTTGAGTGTACCCTGTCTGCGTCAAGAGAAGCAAGGATACCTACCCAGTTTGGGCTCCGATGAAAGCCCGCCCCAATGGAAAGCTCGCCCATGGGTTCCGATTCTCTGGGCTGCCCTGCTGAGAGACGAAAGCTCGTGGGTGAAACTCGGAAACCACCACGAAACCAACCAAAAAGATCTAACAAGACCCTAAGGAATTGAATGGACACCTCCGCTAAACCGACTAAATAGATTCGATCTGAAAAACAACTGTCAGGAACTGGATGGCTGGTTGCTTGCGATACCAAGTTCTGCGGCTCCTTTCGCAGCTGCTCCTTCTCCTCCTGCCGGCGTGCTTTCTCCCTCGCCAGCTCCTGAAACCGAAACTGAGAAGCCTGGCCTGCTCCGAGCATCGAACGCGGGCCTGCGACCCGGTCACGACAACGTTAAAGGGACCGCTCGGACACGAAGAACCTACCGATAAACAAGGGGAATTCACCAACCATAAGTTTGGGTTGTCAGTAGCCCATTTTCAAGTTGGAGATTTGAGGGTGTAGGGGATGTGTCCCTTGGGGAACGGACCCTATGACCCAAACCTCCAGCCAGGCGGTGCTTTTTGGTCGGCCCGTGTTCTGCTTGACTTTGGAGGGGGTCCCCTCCAAAGTAGCAAGTCCCCGGAAGCCATGAGACCCACAGTCGCACGGTTTTGAGGTTCACCAACTTGGGTGGTTTATGACCAGGTCTTCTGTCCGAGCAACTAACCATTACTCCATACCATTGAGGGGAAACCGACCCACAAAATTCCGAGCTCCAACACGGACCAGGAACCGCACTGCGCCGATCCGCGCCCAAAGCGCGCCTTCTCTGTGGCGGAGGCATTGGACTGAGCTGGGGCCAATAGCACCACGGCCGGCGACTGGCGGCTCGCGCCGCCGCGCTCCTTGAGGTAATGCGCGTAGTCCTCGAGTCTCTGGAGCCCAACAACCCAGAAATAAAAAGGCTCACCTTTTGGGGCCAGGACAAGTGGACCAAAATTGGGAAACCAGAAGGTGAAAAGGTCGGCTTTGGACAACTGAGTGTAGCTGAAAGGAACCCTCTGCCAGGTGCTATGTTCGTGCCATGGTGGATCGCTGCATTTCTGTGTCCGTCTTCGTTGGTTTGTATGATTGTCTGTGTGCCTGTGGGTCCACCCGTCCGTCCGTCCGTCCGTCCGTCGCTCATCTGTCTGTCTGTTTCTTGCTGGTTTGTTTGTAAGCTTTCTTGTTTGCTCCATGTTTAGGACACAGTCATACATGTGTCCAAAAAAGGTACTACTTTGACCAAGAAGAATGGACACGTGCCGATCGCAGTTAAAAGGCTACATTCCTTTTAAGAAGTGTTTGTTGATTCCTGGGGTTCCTACAAATTCTACAGCAATTCAAGCAATGAACTGAGGAATCCACAAGTAAAGTACGGCTGAATCTGTGAGCTCGCCAAAGAATAGGCAGAGAATTCTTCCACCACAAAATTAATTTATCCCCCTGTTTGGTCTTGAGCTGTCAAACTAACTTGCTTCCCTCAGAGTACTTTTATTTTTTCCTTTTTTGGAGAGGGGGTGGGAATGTATTGATCGCGCCCCAGTGAAATATTGGGTAATGCAGCCATTGTATCGAAAGATACTCTTGTGTAGAGTTGTCAAATGGCCCCCCCTTCTCGCGTTCCCAAATTATGCCTTAGTGTCTGGTGGGATTGCAAACTTTAAAGGGAACCCCTCGAAAGAAAGACAAAACAAAGGGCACCACTGGGTGCTTGGAGGTCTTGAAAAAACTGCCCCGGGGCAGTGGGTTGAGGATCCGAGTGGGAGTCTCAAATGGATGGTGCAAGGTACGGTGCTTGTGCCTTTTGCCAAGAGGGAAAAACAAGACGCCTGCTTCTTGTGATTCATTTGAAAGGGGGCCATGCCGTTGTTGTTGTGGTTCGTTTCAAAGAAAACCCCCCGGCCCCCGCAGTTTGTGGTGCTTTTGTTTGAAGAGGCCAGCAAAGGAAAGAAGGGCTGACACTGGGCAAGTATCGGGGTTGCTCCAAACACCACGGCACGTGGAAGTTTGGTCCCTCGATAAAAGGAAAACAACGACGTTTGATCATCTTTTACACGCCAACGGAGCAACCTTGGATACTCAGCTTTACCCCCCCATCAATGGTTTGGCGCCGAATCGGTGGTTTGGAGGGTAGGGGGTAGCTTCCCATTTATCTTCTACAAGAACCAGGGGTCAAATCCAAATCCAAACCACCCAAGGGTCACCTATGATACCCTGGTTACACACCGCAGTGAGTGGGGCCTTTCAAAAAACATGAAGAATAGCTCCATCTTGAGTCCTTGGCGTACTTGTCCACGAAGCCCTGCATGCCATCGGCGGCATCCTTGCCCTCACCCTTGATGTACTGCTTGTAGTCCTGACGAACTCGATGTTGCTAGGCCGCAGGTCTTCTTGCTTTTCTGACAGCAAACCTGTCTGAAGGAAACCCCCCAGAACAATCCTCTTAAAAAATGGTGGAACCCCCGCGTTGCCCTCACCCAATTCGCCCCTCTTCGATTCCGTTGTGTTTGATTGTTTGAGTAGGTTTCAACATCAACCCGAAGGTCTCTTGACCTTTCAAAAAGACTTGAACCTCACGGCTGGGGGCTGGGGGGCTGATGGGCTGATGGGCTCCTTGGCTCTCCATGAATTTCCATCCAAGTCAACGTGGCAGCTTAATTGTACACCAGTTCTGACTTTGAGAGCCCAGAAACAGGCAAGCAGTCAAGCAGTCAAGCAGTCAAGCAGTCAAGCAGTCAAGCAGTCAAGCAGTCAAGCAGTCAGAAGTGGGCAACTCGAATTCCCCTCATGTCTACATTGAGTCTACATCACCTTTTGGTTCGCCCCCAACGATGGCTTTTTTGAACTTTTGAACATGAGGAATTTCAGCCGGGGAGTGCTGATGGTCGCCAATTCAAAGCGAGTTGTCCTATGGTTCTTAGACATCACTAATCTCGGCATCTTGGCTCATTTTCTTCACCCCCACCCCAAGAACAACTGGTCAGCTCGCCTGTAGGTGGCTTGGATTGGTGGTTTTGGGGCCAAGGGTAGCTGACCCTTCACCCATAGGAACCAGAGATCCAAATCCCCAAACCTGCAATCCAAACCGCTGCGGGTCAACTCGAACCGGGTACCCTTTGGAGTGCTTAAGAAGGGGAAACACACCCAGATCCATTCACCTGCACAGTGGGTGAGGAGGGACATCGCCTTTTAAAAAACAAGTTACATAAATATTGAACACTTTCAGTGGGTAAATAACTGGTCATGCATGTCCTGCCGGTTTTCTCGTCCGATTGCAAAAAAAAACAGTCAGCTAGAAACTATGTGCGCAACTGGGATCGAGTTTTCTGTTTCTGTTTGTTGTTTGGTTTCTTTAACGTTTTGTTCTTCTTCTTTTCCGACTCCTCGAAGTACTTCTGGAAGTCTCCAGCGGCATCTGCCCCCCGCGCGTGCACGTAATGCTTGAACTGCTCCGCCTGGGGAAAAATATCAACGCAGCGGGAGGTGGGGCCCCCTGCAATCACGGATGGCAGGGCTACTACCCCTCAGTTATTCAGTGACCCTGGAGAAAAAAGGGGAACCCTTTTTGGGGAAGACGGGGCAGCCACCCAAAAAAAAAGGGAAAAAAGGATGGCACTGAACAACTGAGTACCATGTCCTTCCGGAACTCCTGCGCTCCCTCGTTACACGCAAACTTGGAGACCCCCAGCTCCGTACTGGCTCCCTTTGGACCGACACCAGGCTATCAGCGCCTGCGCCTGGTGAAGGACCACTTCGAGTCCCATTCCCCCCGATGGCTCTGGGACCGGGAGTCTATCTGAGAGGTTCCCTGAAACCCATCCCGAAGCCGCAGTGTCCAACCACGTGCTGGGACTTTGGGCCCGTGAAACTTGGTGCAGAAGCCCAAATACAGAATGCTCACTCGTGCATTAAAAAATCCGCATATCCGCATTTAAATGGGTAAATGGTACATGAATGGTGCATTAACGGTGCATATCTGTATTTACATGGTACATGTTCGTGTTTAAATGGCACACCAATGGTTCACTGGTTCCACCATCCTAGCCGCACCTGGCCCGTCATGAAGTGTTCGAAGTCTTTCGAGGCGTCCACACCCTTGTCCTGCCCGCTGGAGGTTGATGTTCAAAGGGGGGAAACTAAACATGACACTGGCTACCCTTAGGTTAGTTGTTTTAAAGAGGAAAAACATGTTTGGACACATGACATACCCAAAAGCTTTGGGACATAACATAACTTGCTTGACACATACCCGAATGGCTTGGCTTGGGAGACTCAATGTTGAATGGATGGGACAAAAAACATATTGTCCTGTGCATGCGAGTGGAAGCCGTAAAAAATCGAACCCGTCCATGATGGGTCCCCTCACCCGGTGGTTGAAACAGCAAGCGCTACCACCCCTAAAATCTGTCCACTCGATTTAAACCGAATATGGAGGAAGGAAGACGGGTCACGGCGACCCATTTGGTGAAACTCGTCCTGTGCCCCAGGGCGTGCGAAAGCCTTTGGAATTGTGACTTAAATGGAGAAAGCCCCGGGAAATGGAAATGGAAAAGCCGCTTTTGAATTCAACATGTCCATTTTGCAGGGAGACTTGAAGGGAGAATGAGCACTTTGCCATGTCAAGGGAAGATGTTGAAAAGTTCAAGATTCCTGGGGTTAATGAATCTAAAACCTCTTCAGATTTGCAGTTTGTCGGAACCTGTCCGGAAATCCATGCTAGATCGTTGTGGAAGGATGTCGTTGAGATGTTGTCAGAAAAAAAAATGGGGCCTACGAGGATTCACAAGCGCACAACTTGAGCCAAAGGATGCGGTCTTAATCGATGCGAACATCCGGGTGTCCTGCGACGTTGGCTGATTCCATGTCGTGAACCCACCAAACCAAAATGGACTTGGCCAAACATCTTCCCAGTTCCTGAACTCGATCGGGAGTGAGTGGTGTCCTTCATGTAGTGCTGGTAATCCTGGAAGAGCTTCTGCTTGGCCGGCTCGGCTTCTGCCGGTGCCAACACTTCCACCATCGACGCGGCTCCGCCATCTGCCTGCTCCGAACTGGCAAACTGGCTGAAACGTCGTGTTCCAGGGCTCAGCTTCCTTCTACTGTGTGGTTTGGAGAGAAACTGTTTCCCATTTACCCTCTCTAAGATCCAGGGCTTCAAATCCCAAACCACCAAATTCAAAGCTTGCCTGAGGTTTAATGGAAAGGCCATTGGCCCACTCTCCGGCACGAGTTGGCCACAAAGACCAGGGGAATGGTCGGTTCAGGGCTTATTGGTTAGAGAGTTGCATCCTCCCTTCTTTGCAAAAAAAACACAGAGCCGGATTCAACTCCCCACCTCGATTGATTTGCGTGGAAAAAAGGAAAAGCGCCTGGTTTTTTCAGCCCCCCATACCTGACTTCCCAGCCCACCAAGGGAACATGGGGAAAGGTCCGGTGACAGCGCGGTCTTTCTGGAAGTGGCAACTGTTCACACGCTCGGCTCAGGGCCACGTCTTGGTCACGCCACGTTCTCAAACAAAGTCGGCGGTTTTTACCCTTCAGAAAGGCTGCCCTCCACACCTTCAGTTGATGGATGGTGCACCAAACAAAAAGGGCAGGCACGCGAGGAAGCGGCCTTGTGCCCCTGTGGTTCCTTTCAAGCGGTCACAGTCCCATGGCAAAAACGGAGCTTCTGGAACGGGCCTCATTTATCCAGGGGGGTAAGCAACTTGACTTTTGGCTGCAATCGGAAGCCTCTGAACATTGCTCATTTTGCTTGACTTCGAAGGGACATTCCCTCAGGAACACATTTGGCAGGCGTCCACAAGAACTTGTTCACCATTTTGCCCCCAGCCTGCGACCCAGCCATGTACTTCTGGTCTCCGCCTCGCGAAGAAATGCCCCTTTCTCATCACCCGAAAGAGCTCATTGTTTTGCAACAAAAAGCACCCTCGAATAGGGCTTGTCCCCTTTTGGTGAGTTCATTCCGGCTCTTTGCGAAAATAATCCAGCATGTTTTCCTGCAGCAACACCCTGGCAAAGGTGCAGCTTCTTCTCGGAAACGAACAATTAAACTTCAGGCTGCGATGCACCAAACTTCAGGCTCCGATGTTGCGAGAAGCTTAAGGAGTCTTACAAGGAGCCGTCATAGGGAGCCCTTGGGGCGCTTGTTTCGAAACTGACCCAAGCACACGTCTGGTGAAGGAAATTACCGACATTCCGAGCATACGAGTCCTGAGCCATGTGCGGTAGTCCTACCAGGACACTCTTGAACAGCACATGGGCGTGATTCTCTTCTTTTTCTGAGACTACCGTTTGCGGGGTGAAATAAACAAATCATGAGTCAAAGGGCTGTTCCATTTGGCCTGGATGGTTTCCGAGTGCCCACAACTGAAGCCAACTTACGTAAATCGTGAAAGTTTTCTTTTTTGCCGAGTGCCCATGAGGAACAAAATGCACACATTTTGGTTGACAGTTGGAGTTGAAGGGAACCCCCCCCCTCCAAGAAAAAGGAAAAGCAACAAGTGGCACGGCAGGGTGTCTTGGATTCATGTAGACCCTGAATCAAACTGGCTAATGGGGGGTGTTGAGTCCTGCTCACAGCAGAGACTTGGCCGCCTTGGCTCTTCATGTACTTCTCATAGTCCCCTCCACGATTTTGCATGAACTTCTGATAGTCCCCCGAGAACTGCTTGGTGTACTTCTGATAGTCACCCGCATATTTGTCCATAAACTTCTGATAGTTGCCAGCCTGGGAGCCACCCTGGGAACCACCCATGTACTTCTGGTAGTCGCCAGCGTACTGCTGCATGTACTTCTGGTAATTGCCAGCCTGGGAACCACCCTTGGAACCACCCTGGGAACCGCCCATGTACTTCTGGTAATCGCCGGCGTACTGCTGCATGTACTTCTGGTAGTTGCCAGCCTGGGAACCACCCTGGGAACCACCCTGGGAACCACCCATGTACTTGGAGTAGTCGGCCGCATACTTGTCCATGTACTGCTGATAGTTGCCAGACTGGGAATTCGTGTCTTTCTCGGGCGTGTCCGCCTTGTCCGACTTGTGTTCGGCATCAGCATTAAACTGCACGTACTTCTGGTAGTCGCCAGCCTGGGAACCACCCTTGGAACCACCCTGGGAACCACCCATGTACTTCTGATAGTCGCCGGCGTACTGCTGCATGTACTTCTGGTAGTTGCCAGCCTGGGAACCACCCTTGGAACCACCCTGGGAACCACCCATGTACTTCTGGTAGTCGCCGGCGTACTGCTGCATGTACTTCTGGTAGTCGCCAGCCTGGGAACCACCCTGCGAACCACCCTGAGAACCACCCATGTACTTGGAGTAGTCGGCCGCATACTTGTCCATGTACTGCTGATAGTTGCCAGTCTGGGAATTTGTGTCAGACTTCTTGGCCGACTTGTGCTCGGCATCAGCATTCAACTGCACGTAATTCTGGAAGTCGCCAGCCTGGGAACCACCCTGGGAACCACCCATGTACTTGGAGTAGTCAGCTGCATACTTGTCCATGTACTGCTGATAGTTGCCAGCCTGGGAACCACCCTGAGAACCACCCATGTACTTGGAGTAGTCGGCCGCATACTTGTCCATGTACTGCTGATAGTTGCCACCCTGGGAATTAGTGTCAGACTTCTCCGGCGCGTCCGCCTTGTTCGCCGTCTGTTCGGCATCAGCATTCAACTGCGCGTACTTCTGGTAGTCGCCAGCCTGGGAACCACCCTTGGAACCACCCTGGGAACCACCCATGTACTTGGAGTAGTCAGCTGCATACTCGTCCATGTACTGCTGGTAGTTGCCAGCCTGGGAACCACCCTTGGAACCACCCTGGGAACCACCCATGTACTTCTGGTAGTCGCCAGCATACTGCTGCATGTACTTCTGGTAGTTGCCAGCCTGGGTACCACCCTTGGAACCACCCTGGGAACCGCCCATGTACTTCTGGTAGTCGCCGGCGTACTGCTGCATGTACTTCTGGTAGTCGCCAGCCTGGGAACCGCCCTGGGAACCACCCATGTACTTGGAGTAGTCGGCTGCATACTTGTTCATGTACTGTTGGTAGTTTCCAGCATATTTGCTCACAAAGTCGTTGCCTCCCTCACCAGCAAGTGCTACCTCAGTCATCCGCAATACGAAGAACGGAATGATTGGTGCGCACAGACCAATCGTAGGCACAGGAAAGCACTCATTTCAGAGGAATCCTCAAGCAGGGGAACGGTGAATGATGCAGGAACGAAATCCTTGCACATTCCTGCTCCCAGATCTCTAGCAATTCTGGATTCTCTTTTTATCGAGATGCTTACAACACGTAAAGGCAGTCTTCAGAAACCCAATGGGAAGCGCCTTATAAGTATGGTCCTTTGAGTAGACATTCATTCCAAGCGGCAACTTCTCTTCAGAAACCAGCCATGTCCCTTGTATTTTTGGAATGAAGAGCAGGATCCCTGATCAGATTGGACAAAAAGCTCCGGTCCTTCGAATTCATCCGATGACCAACAAAAGAGGTGCCTTGGTATCCAAACCAGCGAACGGGATGTCTTGTCCCGCGCAAGCGCGGGGCCAAACTGCATGACACGCCAACCGATAAAAACTCGTACTGACCTACCATGTCCCCTAAGTTCTCCAGTAGAGAGGTTAGAATCAGGGTACCAACTTTTTTTTCTTTCTTGTCTATTTTAGTAGAAGAACCGAATCTCCCCCCAAAAAGAACTCATTTGCGTGTTTGGTCCCCAGAATACCAAAAAACAAGCAGTAGTGATAGGTTCCCTTTTAAAACCAACCGGACAAGAATACCAACTTATTCTTCACCAAAAAGAAGCGGTAAAAGGGCAGGGCGCCAGTTGCTGGGGGACCTAGTCCCGAACCAAACTCGAACGGCTGAATCCCAGCTCCATGGGCTCCGGCTCAGCTAACATAGCGAAAGGACCCTAACGTGAACAGAGCGTTGGGAGCTGAGCCATGCACAAAAACTGAAGCCTTCTCTCATTTACCCGGGAAAAACTGGGTCATCAAAAAACAACCAGGCTTTACCAAAAGGATACTGGCGAAAAGCTCGCCCAACCCAACCACTTCAACAGGCAAGCGGCTGGCAGCACCGCCAAAAACGCCGAGAGGGCCATGCTTACGGCCAACGAAAGTGGGGGCGCAGGGGGGACTGAAGCCAAATGGCTTCCGTTCGCGCCGAGCAGCTCTTCCCATCTCGCCACAAAGAATCACTTCCGTGGATTTGTCACACCGGTCGGAATTTCTTTGCCTCTGCAGATTTGCACGTGGGACCCAAGAAACGGTCTCCTCGCATCGAACTCTCGATCCTCGGCCCGTGCCAATTGGTGGCTTCCGTGAGGCTGGGGAGAAGGACCAGCCCGCGGAGATCTGAATCGGCTTTTTTTCCCAGGAATCGGAGCCGGGAAAACGCCAAGCCACTCAGAACAGTGTGCCGCGTCACGGAAGGGGGACTTTTTCTGAGTGGGTTATTCACCAGGGTTCCAAAAACTTACTTGACCGGAGACCCGAGCAAGGGGCAGACAAGAAACTTGGGGTCGGGAAGAACATCCCTTTTTTGAGAGCCTCTTTTGCCATACTGCCAATTTTTGATCAGACATCAGGACAAGAACTGTCTATCTCCAGTCTGCCACTTTGGCTAAGCATTCGCGGTTTGCCCCATCTGCTCAACAAAGGCATACCAGACAACTGCCCCCGCGTTTTACCCCTGCCTTCGCGCGAGACCGATCTGCGCGCGTGAAACGCCGAGGTCCAGTGGCCCGTAAGAGCCAGCAGGTCGGATCAGGCAAGGAACCCAAACGTGGCGTAATCACTTGTGAGGTGTGTGTGTGTGTACTCATTTGCCCAAAGGACCTCTCTCTCTCTCTCTCTCTCTCTCTCTCTCTCTCTCTCTCTCAACGCAGCCTGTCCGGTCAAGCTTAGCGCGGCTGGCAATCTGCTTCGCAGATCGGCGGTCTCTGTGGACCACGCATAAGCCCAGCACTGCCAACTGCCTGCGCCACGAATGGCCCAAAGCCAGGCAGCTGCATCACCTTCCAAATGAACAAAACTGGGAATAGGAAAAGAGAAGCGCCGAAGTCTTCAGACTACTCGTTCGCTGTCAAATTGCCGATCTGTCCTGGCAAGCCAAAGCACATAAGCGTTTGCTTGGTGGAGGGCTGTGATGTGGTCATGCACAGTGCAGGGCCTGTCATCATCAGACACGAAACATTGTTGTCCATCAAGCAGAAAAGCAACATAATGACCTCTGGCAATACTTTCTCCGAAGTGCGTGATGCCGGCCACAAGTTGATATTCAACCCAATGCACCTCAAGGCTCCCTTCTTGAAAAGCGGGCACTCTGACAGAAGACTGAAGGTTTACTGCGCATGTGGTTTTCAGCGCGTCTTGCATTGCAAAGCGGTCCCTTGACACCCGTCCGATCGCAATTTTGGAGGCCATACCGCTCACGACCTTAATTGCCCCCGGTCGAGGTCATACGGGATTTTCGAGGTCATTGCATTTTCACGATTCTCACGGCCTGCAAATTTGTTAAGATTCTGGCAGCGTCGTAAAATATCAAAGGGGCCTGCAAAAGGCCCTGCGTTATTGCGCGTCGCGAAATCTCAAGGTAAACGTTGCACGAGCAGCAGTAAGCCGGATCCGACGCGTTGTCATACAGAGGCTGCGGCAATAAGCGCCCGGACAAGTTATAGAAATATACCCCCGTTTGGGCTCCGCGCCGAAGTGACCGGTTTGAGCTGCGCAAGTTTCTGGGCGCCGCCCCTTCGAAAGCGGGCTTGGCGCGAAAATCGTACTGCCCAGCGCCAAAGATGTACTTCCAAAATCCTGGCTCGAAAGTTGCATCTTTTCGTCATCAACCAAGCGCACTCGAATCGCGGCCGCAGCCCGGCTCGAAAGACGGAACTAGTTCTTTTAGGCGCCAAAGAAGCGCACCAAAAGCACGACCGCAACACCGGCGCGAAAGTCACAACTTTTCAGCGCCGAAGAAGCACACACGGCGCGACCTCGACATCACGTTTCCTTCCTAGGCTGTGACAACAATCGCATCCGGGAGCATGAGCCGGCCATGCTCAGCATCGCACAGCATCACGCACATGACGCTGCGTGCAAAAGCGTGTGAAAATCTTTCTTTATCTCGAAGGTGTGGTTCGCGGGGGGGAGGGGGCGGGGGTGCGGTTCAGCACCCGCTTAGCGCCTTGAAAACGCACACCCCAATGCCACTCGCAATATTAAGGGTCTCTACTGCACAACTCATATTCGGCTGAAGGAATTTCTCTGATGCGTGAAGAGAACACCCCTTGTTGAGTCAAAGAAGACTGAAGAAGAAACCAAACGGGCTTCCTACTGTAGAAAAAGAGGTTGTGGGGCTAGTCTCCCTTATTGAAAGCAATGTGTGATGGGCGTGTTGCGACTTGCGTTTCGCACTACATGTGAGCGTCGCAGCATGTGACGTGACTCATATTTGTGCGCTCCGCATGGTCTGTCGCCAGACTTGCTTGCCCGCCGGAAAAGAAGCAGCGCAGCCTCCGCAAATCAGATCCGGCCACACATTGGGGAGCACTAATGGACCCATTTGCGCTACGCGGAGGGTGCTACTATATGGTTTCTCTCCACCCACTATTTCGTGTTTTTGTAGCACTGCAGAGCAACTTAAGTGGTGCGTCGCTCGGCCTGCAGCCGTTATATGTGGAGCCCAGAATGTGCCTTTTCAGCACCCGTTATGTCGAAGGCGCCTTTGTTGTTAGGAAAGTTCGCACTATGGGGAAGCCACATGTGCTTTGCCAGCCCAAACTTGCGGGCCTTTCAAAACATGGGCGGGTGCCTTACACGTACAGGACCCGCGTTTTGAAGACTGTTGGGCAAACCACGAGTTTTGAAGACCTTTGGGAAAACCACATGTTTGTGATTTCTGGAAGCGGCGCGGGTCTGGATTTTCGCCGCCGCATAACTTCGACATTTTTTTGAAATCTAGGCGAAAACAGCGTGTGATTTCAAAACTTGCCTCGGATCTTCGACTAACGGTTCACGGTTCTGCGGAACCGTTTTGGTACCTGTTGAGTTTGCGCCTTTGAAGAACCCTTCGAAGCAATTTTGCGGAGCCCTCCCGAGAACCTGTTTTGCTCGACAAGGTCCGCGGTATAGCTGTCCCGAACCCCCCCTCCCATTTCTGTTTCAGATGTGTGAAGCAAGCCTAAAGACCTTGCAACATGTTTATACTTGGGGTGCCACTTGACCCTGGGATTCAAAAGGCCAAAAGAAAGGCCTTTATAGAAAGGGCCTTTGTTTATATGGCTGTTGGAATGGGGTTTGGTGGCGGTTCAAGAGTTCAAACGTAGCATTGGTGTTGGTGTTTGCCATGGGGGCCTTGTATCTTGAAGTTTGTCGCCGTCCAAAGGGCTTTCTAGCGAGAGAGAGAGAGAGAGAGAGAGAGAGAGAGAAAGAGAGAGTGAGATAGGCATCAATTTAACTTAGTTTCATATTGAAGGCTTGGCTAGCTCTGAGCGCGTTGTACTACGGGCCAATATCCTTCTCGAGAATGATATGTCGTTGAAATAACTTATTCTTCTTGACTGCGAGCAAAGAAACTAGCTTGCCACTTACAAGGAATTGACGTTAAGGCAAGGCAACTTGGATATATGTATGATGCGGGGTTTGATTGAATTCGTTTCCATCCGTGCTTGCGAGCGCCAGGCAAAGGCGAGTGATTAGGTTATAGTAGGCGAAGGCAGTGCCTGAAGAGGAGGCGCTGCTTATGTTTAACATGAGCTGCACATTGGTGCTATATCGGGCTGTGAAACCTGCCAGCCTACCCGTACTGCACTCGTGATTTGTTCTTCTGCCCCGCAATGCAGTTTTTTGATTAATTTATACAACGCCCGTCGACACGATTCGAGCGACTGCAACAGCCAAACCCACCCGCGCAGCGTAATTCTTTGGAGGGCCTGCCTGCCTCCTGTGATCAGTTGCACCGGTGCTTGCTACTTTCACTGCTTTGGGAAGGGTCAACGGTTCCTCCACTGCTTGCCGGTTGGGCGTTGCTTGCACGCGATGCGTTTGTTTAAGCCGCGTTTGCAATTGCATCGCCATTTGCAAGGGTGTCCGTTTTTCAGCTGTGTGCC